AAGCGCAAGGTTCCTCCGCCTCTGTCGCCGCCAACTCTCTGTTGTCCCCTTCCAAGTCTGGCAGCTCCCCCGTCCATTCGCTCAACTCTCCAGGAAGACTAGCAGAAAAGCTAAAATCTAGCTACGAAGAGTCGCAGAATAAGGCAAAGGCCGGGGAAATTAACGACGGTGCCATCAAAAGTTTGGAAGAGGCCAGGAGCTTTACTATATAGTAAATATAGACTTATCTCTCTTAAAGAGAGGCTCTATTTTAATTAGCTTCTATTTTAGCTTATATAATAGTATTAGTTATACACCTAGATAAAAAGAGTGCAAGGAATTATCTAGTATAGTAGGTACTAATCTAGAGAATATAATATACTACTATATTAAGTTATAAATTAGTTGTGCCTAGTTATTAATAGTTTCCTAGAGAGCAGCTACTTTAGCCTAAGTGCTTAATAGTATTATATTGCTAGCTAATAGTAAGTTACTCTTTGTAGAGTTTAAAAAGTATTTATTTATTATAGTAAAATAAAGTTTATAGTATATTAAGAACTAGCTTTATAAGCTACTATATATAAGTATTACTAGTATTAACTATAAACTTAAGAAGAGAAAAGAGGGAAAGAAGAAGCTCTCTATCCCCCCTTTTCCTTCTATTATATATATATAGGTTTAATATGCATCTAAAGCGTACCTAATAAGGCACTAATATAGTGCCTTGTACCTACTTAAGCCTACAGCTTGAGTCTATTACAGAGTAGAGTCTTAAGTGTATATCTAGGTAGTAGAATAGCGTTCTATTAGTTCTATTCTATATTACTAATATAGTTAGACTAGACTCTTATATTAAGTTCTTAACGTCTGTCTCTCTTTATCTACAGCAAATTCTATTGCTATTATTTATATTGTTCCTTAAACTTCTCTAGAGAGCATTTATCTTAACTCCTGCAACTATACTTTATATATCTCTATTTACTATATAAGAAACACTAAAAGAAGTCTAGATCTCTCTAAATGTTGTTTCTTAGGCCTAGGAGATTCCCTAGAGCTAGTAATAATAAGACTTCTTTTCTAGAATTATTATTATTATAGAAGTTTATATAATTTCCTTCTACTTATTAATCTACATTCTAGTTGTTATAACTAGACCTTCTATATTGTCTATATAGTCTAGTTAATTTAGAAGAGTTGTTTTATGCAACTTAGAAAGCTTCTAACTATTTAATTAGCTTGTATATCTTTTTATTTCTTTTTACTTATTATTCTGCTTATTATTTGTTCTATTTTATTTAATAGTCTATTAATGCCTATATTAAATCTATACTAACAGCTAGGATGAGTTCTCTATACTGTCTTGTAATCTTCTCTAAAGTAGATAATTAATAATTATATAAAATAATCTTAAGGTCTACTATTATTAAACCTTTTGCTACTATTCTCTGCATTTATTTGTCTAAAGCAAACAAACAATTAAATACTTATTCTTGTAACTTACTGTCTACTTCTCTATTAGCTAAATAAGTAATAAAGTTTATAAGCAAAATTTATCTTATATCTATCTTTACCTTTAATGCTAGGTTTTCTGCTCTTTAAATATATGCTATTAATAATTTACTTTTTTCTCTAGCAAAGCAGAAAACCTCCTATTTTATTGCAACTTCTATATATAAGTCTAGGTTAGAAAACTTCTTAACAAACTTAGCTAAAAGAATATTCTATCTTTATTCTTTATAGTCTAAATCTTTATACTATACTACTGCTCTCTCTTTTAACCTATAAGTAAAGTATACTCTTGCTAGAGTCTCTATATATTCTAGTACTCTTGCTAGGGCTGCTATAGTATTGCAGTAGTTAATATAATTTTGTGCTAGTCTATCCTTAGAGTGTCTAGCGAAAGAAATCCTACCTATACCTTCTATTAGATAAGAACATAAGGTGTCTATAGTTTCTATAGATAAGAATAACTATCTTTCTAACTTAATTAATAGTAGTAAGAATGTTAGCAAGACTTCTTCTAAAGAACACATTAAGCTAGGGGAAAGGTCTTTTATAAAAATCTATATTAAAGAATAATTAGAACTTAAGTCTAACTTTAATAATTCTATATCTAACCTGCGTAATATAGAAAAGAGTTGTATTCTAAGGTCTTCTAAACGTTCTTAAGTAGATATTTGTTTTTATTAAATAAAAAGAGAATTAAATTAAAAGTATTTTCTAAGAAGAGTTAGAATAACCTAAATAAGTCTATCTAGAGCTAGCAGATAGTATGCAAACTAAAGGGAGTTATAAGATAGAAATAATATTACTATAATTCTTAGAATTATAATAGTCTTTATTATGTCTATATTAATATAGGCAAAGTAGGTTTATTATTAGTTAAGTTGTTTATTTTATCTAGTTAAGAAGAAGAAAAATCTTAGTATAAGTTTTCTTAAAGAATAGAAGTTAAGAAGACTATATCTATTTATCTTTCTAATTACTATTTCCTAGACTAATTACTATTTCCTAGAATTACTAAACTATTCTTTTCTATCTCTATTTAATTTACTAACTTCTTTCTAAATTCTACTATAATTAAGTCTATTCTATTGCCTACTAAATTAAACACTAATTAAATATTTCTCATAGACTAAACGTAGAGTAACTATAGCGCAAAGTAGTCTATATACTTATTAGTTAAGTAGGGTTTTTTTGTGCACAAAAACTATTGCTTCTAGCCTTAGAGTAGGTCTATAGAGGGGTCTCTAGAGCTATAAGTTTAAACTCTAGTCTGTTAGTGTCTAGTAGCTCTTCTAACTACCTCTCTAGATCTATAACTCTAGTGCTTGTCGCTAGAACTCTAGCAGTTATAACTACTAACTAGAACTCTAGTAACTACAACTATCTATACTAGTAATATGCAAATAATTACAATTAAACTAAATAGTAATTTGTCCTCTCTAAACTCTCTATTATAATTAATTCTTCTTGCCTTTATAAATTTATTATATATTATTTATTTTATCTTCTATATATCTATATATATTCTATAAGTTATATATTCTATATATCTTGTTATTTTGTTTATTTATTAACCTTATGTCTAAAGTTGTTTAATAGCTTTAATAAGCCTAAGTCTTTAATAGTAATAGCTACTATACTATTTCTTTGTGTTTATTATAGCTCCTAAATTGTCCTTAAAGTTAAATAGAGTAGTATCTTATTATAGTATGTCTAGCTATTATCTATATATTTTCCTAGATTCTATAGCTTGTCTAGCACTAATAGTTTATCTTAACTATTATCTTCTCTAACTCTAGAGAGTGTTTACAAACCTTATTAAAAATTAAGAGTTCTAGTTGTATATCTATATATATCTAATTCTTATTTTAATTAGTTTCTAGTTCTAGTTTGTTTTAGCAGCATTATTTCTAGCAGTCTCTCTATTAAGACTATCCTCGCCTAATTTCTCTTACGTTCTATAGTGCGTATAATTCTTTAGTGTTCTTTTGTAATTCTAATTCTATAGTCTTATAATTCTATATATTATCTCTACGCTTTAAGTCTATTTGTATTCTTTTTTATAATTTTAATTCTATAGTCTTGCAATTCTATATATTAACTCTAGGAGTTTATTCTTGCGTTTAAAGTTCTATGCATATAAGGGATTCTAATTTCTCTTATTATAATCCTAACTCTATAGTTTTAAGATCTTATATTATTTATAATTTCCCTTGTCTTTCCCCTTCTGTCCTTAATTCTGCAGTTTTAAGGTTCTAGAGACAACCTAACCTATCTATATATTTATGTTAATTAAGTTTTAGGTGTTATAAATTAATTCTATCTAACTTGCTATTTCTTAATTGTTTTATTGCAAGTGGTGTTATAAATTAATTCTATCTAACTTGCTATTTCTTAATTGTTTTATTGCAAGTTTTATTTCTATCTATTCTTATTATATTATACATACATACTATCTATTCTAGGGGTTTGCGTCTGTCTGTAGTGTTTCTCAACCTCGTCTACATTAAATAGCAGCAATAGAGCAAATAACAACAAAGAAAAGAGGTCCTAGTCTTATTACTAAAATGTAATGCTAGTTAGTAGGCATTAGGTGTATTAATACTTGTCTTCTCTAAGTTTTTATAATTAAGTCCACTCCGTAATTATGCCCCTCATTTTCCTAGGTCATATGACTTGTCCCACTTTTCCCCCTAACAGCCCTCGGCGCTGTTGGTCGCACGGCTAAACTCTCGCCCAACGTGCTTTGCGCCTTTTACCAGAGTCAGGGGCCAGGCTTGGGTGCGCCAGAACGCTTCTGACTCGCCACGAGATCTATTGTGTTTGTTGTTCACCGTCAGGGAACACTTTTCACATCCCATTTTTCTCAGTCCAACGACCAACACGTTGTCCCGATGAAATAGTATAAGGTCATCACAAGCTTGCAGACAAGTGCGGTGTGACTCACCGTCCCAATACCTTGGACAATGGTTTCTACAAATTAAACTTCACTCAACTAACTACAAGCTAGTTTCACCAGGAGCAAAGAACAGCATCAGAAGCTGCAAAAGTCCCATTTCGAGCACAGCCCCACTCCGACATCTTGTTGCACCCCAGGGCAGAACATGTCACTTTGTCTCGGGCCGCATCATCCTGCAATGTCAAACATGTTTTAGCACAAGGTTACCGAGTACATCACCACTGTTTCCGTATTCCTATTCTGGCTACGGAGTACCGAGTCTGGTGTTGGTAAAATAATTGCCTGCTTGGATATGGGAGGAAGAAATCTGGCATCAGGGGCCTGGTCATATTGCGGTGTGTTTGCCCTTCCCTGCTTCTACTTCTGCGTCTTGTCCTCATTAGCTACATCAGCGATGAAAAACCGTATCCATGCCACTCAATTCCAGCTTTTCACCAAAAGCCGAATTGTTTTCTCATGTAAACCTTGCTGATTCATGCCCATCACTGTCACTTCCTGAGTGCCGGTTTTTTGGAAAAGGAAAAAGACAAGGTAGACGTCGAGTCCAGGTAACATCTCATGGAGGGGTGCTCTCCTGAAGCTGGTGAAGTTGTGTGCTCCCCTGACTAGATCCGTAAGCCACCACAACATCGCTCTTAACGAGCACAATCTGAGTCTCGTAGTTCCTACCGTTCGCATTCCCTCTCTTCAGGAGTAAAGGGGTAACGCAGAGCCTCAACGTCACATTCTCACTGGGCTCTCCATCTTCCTGTACTACCTCCATATGAGATGCTCGATACTCCGTGCCATTGCCAGTGTTGAACTCGCCCATCTCAGCAGGCCATACCACGGTGAACGTGGCTTTTGAGGTCATGATCATGTCATCTAGCTCCAGAGCCAACTTCATCAAATCTCGGAGCACTTCGCGTGAATCTTCTCGACTATCTGAGCGCTCACTGTCACCATTGCCGTGAATCATTTTGTAGATTTCTTCGCAGTGCTTTCGTAGGAGCTCGTTGACGTAGTCAGGTGTTGGTGGTGGCTGTATGAAGGCCCAACCTAATTGTAACCACTCATACATGGGCGCGATCTGGGACGAGTCGCCTATTTTCATCCCTATTTTAAGAATGTTGGTAAGTTACTAGGTACTTTCATGTAGAGTATTAGTAAGTACCCACTGGCATACTGCTTCCTAAGTTTTTTGAAAGTGCTTCTCGCAGCGGTCGTAACAGTTCCGCCTTTCGATTCAAAAACAACATCGGAGAGGACCTTCCAGAGATATGCTTCCACCCAAAATCGCCCGTTGCACGGCTCCTGGAAGAAATCCTCTGTCGCGTTGCCGGTTTTGCCATTCATTAATCCCTTCATTACCTCGATACAATGCCTGGCTTGCCGGCTGTCTATAGAATTGTTGTCAAGTATGAACCCGGCCAAAATCTTCACATTGAACTTGATTTGTCTCCATTTCGACTTGATTTCTGAATCAGGTATCTTGTTTCCGTTTGCTCCTGGACTTGACTTTCCGTGACATGCAGCAGCCCTCTGCGCCTGCTGTTGGGCTTCCTGAAGCTGCGCCCTCAATTGATGATTCTGTAACTCCATGCTGTGATTCTCTTGCGATAACTCCGAGACTTGCAGGCTGAGTTGGCGAATTTCTTCACCCAAATAACCGTTCACTGAGCAAATGTCATAATTTTGTTGGTAAAGGCTGCGAATTTCTTCATTAAGCTTATGGTTTGCCGTGCCACAATCTGAGTTTTGCTGCTCAAGACGGGCAATTTCTTCGTTTAAACTCTTGATTTGATTGTCCAGGCTGAGTTCTTCACACTGGTACCATTTAAATTCAGTGTGGGCACCATCGGTGCATGTTTCACTGACGAAGAACTTCCGTCGATGAAGCCGACTTTGCGTCGACGCAGTTTCTGTTGATACTGACAGCCTATCTTGGTTCCCGCACGGCGCTTCGTCGCACTCCATATTCTGCGTAGCTTCTTGAAGCTCAGAAATGGCCACCGGAGCTCGATCTTGTTGAAGAGGCGGCTCAGCTTTGATCGATTCGTTGCGAGGTGATCCCGACGGTATGTGCGAAGGAAACATCTCCGTCCCAAAGATCTTCAAAGGCATCGTTTCTGACATCCTCTGGGTGTGTAATCCTTCGATTCCTGCGGATGGTCTATTTCAGCTGGTTGACTGAAGAAGCGTTGGTGTGCTCGGTGGGCTTCGTTTCAGAGTGAAAATGCTGAGTGTGTGAGAAATAACAACAAGCCGTGGGCAGCCGACAACAGCTGGCAACAGCTGGCAAGCACGACTAGTGAAGTTGCCGCACTACAAAAGTGAGCGATTGAGCTGAGGCTCAGCTTTCTTCCAACTCAACCGCACGGTCTGCTTGCGACGTTTGCTCCTTGGGACTGAATCTCGGTTCCTCGCTTCCTCACACATTGGCAAATCCTCATGAATATCTCGCAAAGTCGGGCCATTCGGATTACTTCTATCGGCTATCGTCAGCTTGCATCATGGACGAGTACATAATCGTCGGAATTGACTTTGGCACCACGTGCGTTTCCTGTCCTACGTCTTGTTCATATATGTCTATTGATCGCACACCTCTGACAGTTCATGACAGATACTCTGGGGTGGCATGGGCATACTCCAAAGAGCCCGAGGAGATCGAGGTAGTAACTACGTGGAATTCCGACCTTAATCATTGTTCAGACCTCGAGAAAACCCCGACCCATCTTTATTTCGGTAAAGGTCGTGACAATATCAAATGGGGGTATGCCGTTCCTGAAAACGATGAAGTCCTTGAATGGTTCAAGTTGCTGCTGCTCAAAGAGCAGGATCTTCCCTCGGACTTGCGCCACTCGCCAAAAGTACTGGAAGCCCGTCGCCTCCAGGAAGCATCTCACAGAGATGTTGTTGATCTCGTGGCATGTTTCCTCACCCAGCTGTGGAAGCATGCCCTGCAGTCCATCGAGGAAGCAAATGGCAAAAACTTGGTAGAAAAATGCCGTTTCTATGTCGTTATGACGCTGCCAGCTATATGGCCTCACTATGCTCAGGAAAGTATGAGGCAAGCGGCTCAAAAAGCTGGAATTTTAAGCAAGAGATGTGCTGGTGAGACGGTTCTGAGTTTCGTCTCAGAGCCCGAAGCGGCAGCATTGGCAACAATCAAGGATCATTCCAAGAAATCAACTATCAAGGTGGGTAGACATGTTTCTAGTGGATCATTCAGCTCTTGATTATTTGCTTATTTTTCCTTCTTCTTTTTTTTAACAAAAGGCGGGAGACCACATTGTGGTTTGTGATGCTGGAGGTGGCACAGTGGTAGGTTGCCCACAATCTCAAGTCGACGTCCCGGTTTTAGAATCTCATACATATAACAGGATCTCATTAGTTATCGAGTGGAAAGAAAAGAACCATTCGTCTTGAAAGAGTGCGTCAAAGGGGAAGGTATGTCACGGCATGGAGCTAGCTTGATTGCAACCCATGAGATTGAAGCGTGTCTAACATGAAGCATTTTCTCAGGTGGCTTATGCGGTGGGATATTCCTAGACGAACAGTTCAAAAAGCTTATAATTTCAAAAACCTCTAACTGGCTTGACACTGTCGACAAGAGACAGCTCAAGAAGTTTCTCAACGATAATTGGGAGCATGGTATCAAACCACAGTTCCGAGGTCAGAATCGCTCGTGGGGCGTTGAACTTCCCAACTCGGTGGTTGCAAAGAGAAAAGGCAAAAAACGAACTTCAACATTGGAGATTATGACGTTAGTTAAGAAGTTATGATTAATCTCTCGGGAGGAAAGCTGAGCATAAGCAGTTCCGAACTAATCGACGTATTTGACCCAATTGTTGCCAAGGTCAAGTCTCTTGTCCTTCATCAATCAATGGCCATCATGGGAAAGTATGGGGAAAAACAAAAGGTACGACGGCCGACCCCAACATCCGATGCAATTTACTCTAAGTCGAAGACCAGTTCATTATCCTTGTTGGCGGGTTTGGACGGAGCCCATACTTATTTGAGCAACTCAAGTTGTTAGTTGGTGAGGACACAACGGTCCTTCAATCTCGAGGTTCTAAACCGTAAGTTCCTTTCCTCCTGCACTTTTGTAATTGAAATAAGCATGTAGTGAACTCGTAGATGTGTACTAAAGTATGTTTATTAGCTGGGCTGCAATATGCCGCGGAGCGGTGGCTCACGGAATCACAGCTTTGGGTTTGTCTGGATGCTGCGATGTAAAGGTTGACACCAGGGTGGCTCGAATGAGTTACGGCGTTGAGATCTCGGAACCTTTCAACCACGAAATTCACTCCTACAAAGACTGGTTCATTGATCCCTGTACATTGGAGCAGGAGGCAGCGAACCAAATGCAGTGGTTCATACGACAGGTAGTACTGCAACCATCACTTATCACTCCAAATTTTACACGACCCAGTTGACACTTTTATGTTTAGGGCCTTGACTTATCCGCCACCACATCGGTACGCCACCAGTTCCGTTACACATTCAACGGCGCCATTGGACCAATTTCTGAGGAGTTTGTCGTTTCATCTTCCTCGAAGCCACCTTCGAGAAGAGATCAATCAGTATCTGTATTGTGCAAGGTCAACTGGGAAAAGACGATAAAACGGCGTTTGTTACCGATTGGAGTCAACAATCGAGGTGAGGCCTATCGCATCCTCGAATATGAGATAGAGATGACTTGCAACGGTACCACTGTTGATTTTACGGTGTACTATGATGGAGAGCGGGTTGCACAGCATGTTGTTCAGGTGGAATACGTCTGATTCGACCGAGCGATCGGGGTGTTTGCCATTGAGCAAACCAGCGTAGCATTCAAAGTCCAGCGTTAACAGGGCAACAAAGAATGGAGGGCATGCAACGGATTTCACTTCATTTTTTTTCTTGAAGTAACGGCTTGGTAACAATTGAGGACATGGCCTATGGATATTGGGGAGTCAGTTTTCACCATGACTTGGACAGTTGCTATGAGAGACACAAAGAGCTTAAACCTAGTCTGGACAAAAGTTCATAAGGTATCATAGCTTTCTCATAAACTTCATCATCATTTCACGCATCTTCTAACTTGATGTCCTCCTGCCGAATAGGCAGCTCACCCTGCAACTGGCTCGCCATCGCCACCTCAGACTGGGCATTCTCATTTGTGTCGTCGCCCTCCCTTATGTGTTTGTACACTCTAATGGTGTGGTCCTGTCCAGCACTTGCCAAAGTCTCGCCGTTGACATCAACCCAGAAACAGACACCTTTGTGGCCTGTCAGGATTCTCTGCAGTATCTCCTTGTTATTGACATCCCACAGTACCACATCGCCATCTTCACTTGCAGAGGCGACAAAGGGCTCTTCGTCCAAGACACCAAAGCAGCCACCTATGGCGAATTTCTCGTTCCGGTGGCCCTGGTACGTCTTTTTCACGGTGCCCACCACGTAGTCCCAAAGACGTATGCAGTTGTCGAGATTAAAGGCCAGGACAAAGCGGCCGTTGGGGGAGAAGCAGACGTTTGTCACGGCGGGATTGTCCTCGTGGACGAGTGTCCGGAGACATTGGCCGGTCGAGGTGTCCCAGACTCGACTGCGATCCGTTAGCTTCTCATCGGTCGGCGGTCTTGGCAGTCCAAGTTCAGCACGCTTACATCAGTCCATCCGTCGAGCAGCTCACGACCAGTGTGCCGTCTCGACAAAAGTCGATGCCGCTGACGGGGTCGCTGTGAGCCGGCAAGCTCCTCATCAGCCGTCCGGCCCTGACGTCCCATAGGAACACGGCTTCGTCATAGGAGCCACTGGCGAGGATGTTTCCTTTTGGCGAGAACGCCAGGCAGTGGATATAGTTGTGGTGGCCGCGCAGGGCGGCCATTTCCTGGCCCGCGACTGATTTGCGCGTGGTCGTTTTCGGGCGTCCCGTCACGCGATCCCACAGGCGGATGGCCTTGTCGTCGGAGCCGCTGGCCAGGGTGTTGCTGTCCGGAGTCCATGCGACGCAGCTCAAGCCCGCCATGTGGCCGACCAGCGTGTCCATGTGCGCGCCGGTCGCGGCGTCCCACAGCTTGAGGGTTGCGTCTGCGGACGCTGAGGCGATGAATCTGCCATTTGGCGATATCCTGACCTGTGAGACGGGGCCTGTGTGGCCGTGCAGCACCAGACGTGGCCTGTAGTTGGGCTTCGAGGGCTCACGGGCCGGTGTGTGTTGTCGCGGCCGGGGCGAGTAGGACTCGGTTCGCGTGCGGTCAGAGGACGTTGACGACCCGGACAGCCGGCGAGAATGCGTGCGGGAACGAGGGGGCGACCCTGACCGCGTGCTCGACTCCGAGGTGGAGATGGATCTTGACCGTCTTCGCGAGCGAGACCGCGATGAATAGTACTTGTTTGAGCCCGTGGCACTGGGACTTCTCGTCGCGTCGTATCTGGATGGTGAGGGATCGCGAGTCTCCTGCCACGGGGCCTCTGAGTGTTTCCTGGCATGGGGAGACCCGCCCGGCGAGCTTGAACGCTGTGGCGAGTCGTCGTGCGTCTTGTGCCGCTTGGTGGGAGGCGTGTCGGGCGTGAGACGGTCGGCCGAATGCATAGCTGAGGTTGGGGATGCCTTGGTCGTGACGAGGCTGAGGATCCGGGACAAGTTGCTCGAGAGGCTCGGAATTATTGTGGGTGTTTGGCGGCTGTGATTGGCCGAGGAGCCGCGGTAGTGGTCTGGCGGCTTCAACTTGGCCAAATTGAGGTACCCTATACTCGGGCAACCATCGGTCAAATTGTCCAGCTCGAGGCGCACATGTCGACGACATGAGAATACGACGGAAACATGCCTATCTGCACGTACTTTACACGTCTGCCAAAGATGCTGAGCGCCTACTCAGTCATGGTACCCCGGGGGACTTACACCCATTGATTGAGCCAGGCAGGGGTGTCTTTTTTTTCCAGTGCTGCAATTGATGGCCCGTATTGACGAAAGGACACATTTACTCGGTTTTCAATTAATTAAATTGGCAGGTACGTACCTGCGTTGGGAGGTACGGGATAGTAGATCCAAATTGAGGCTAGTGCCACTCGGTACGGTCTCTAGCATCTGGCTTTGCTACTCCGTAATTGCGGCTGTGTCTCAGATTTAGCATGGGCCTGGGCACATTGCGATCATGCCGTGGCTGGTTTTCAGGGACACGCGACGATGTTGTGTCACCAGCGCTCGGACTGGCGGGGAAAGGGGAAAAACACATTCACGAACTGGGCCCTGGCTGGACGCGCTCATACGCATGCCGTTGCGTACTGTCCTTCCAAGTCCAAGGACGAGATTGACCTGAACAAACAATGTCTATAATAATAGAGGTGGGGGTGTCAATTAAACTGCCCAGTCCCGCAGGCTCCATTGGCCCAACGACGTGCCGGTCGAATACAAGAGGAAACGTCGTCGCTTTAACTGTCAACCTGGGTAGTACTCCTTGTGTGGAAGATGACGAAGATGAGCCGCCGCAATCGAGCACGCTGCCCAGGTTCCCCTTGCTCGAACGGCGCCGAGGGGACTCACACTCGCTCGGTATGACTGGTGAGGCGTGTCATGGACTTAGCGCTAAGCGACTCGAGACCTCGTCAGCCATTCGGGCGATGAGACTGAGTGCAATTACATACTGAGTACTCCGTAGTCTTGTCTGCTTGCTTTGTAAACCATCCCAGCCACGCCACGTGGGTGGATTCGATTCCGCAGCGCGGGTTTTGCGAGAATCGTGCGTGATCGGCGCTTGCGGCTGGATGGACTCACTCGCCAAGCAATAAACATGTCCAAGCCATGATTCGCCAAATGTATCATGCGTCTAGCGAGCAGCCTGGGACCTACGTACGAGTACGTACTATTGATTGCATCGCGAGATGCCACACGGGCGCATGGGAGTGGGAGTTTGCAGCCGGCCTTGGGGGCTATTTTTAGGGCAGACGGGAAGATTCGTGACATGGGCAACTATCCACCTCGCCAAGGTAGTATGGCACCATTCTCTCTTTTCCCTCTTTGATATCGATTATTAGCTTCGGCTTAGTCGCTTCGCCACGCGGACTAGCTTCTCGCCGAGAATCCTCAAAGCAGCGCCTCGTGGTGATGGTGTCGCGAGTCGGATTGAGCCGCTTACCTGCGTACCTTTCCGTGGCGTCCCACTTTTCGTCGTCGACAGGAACGTACCCACCTAGGTAGGTACTTACCTACCAAGCTACCTTGAGTACTTTACTTGGGTAGGTACTTAGGTAGGGAGGTACCTTGTTAATTACCTGGATCAACGGTCTACAGGAAAACCACGTCTGTAATGATCCTCTGTTGTAGCGATTCGGCGCGCACGCCCAAGGACGAAGTACCTCCTACACATGTCAAGCATATAAAGGCGACTTCCTTTGTGCAGCAATTTTCTGCGTACATTTTGCTGAGTAGTAAGTGTAAAACTACAGCTTCACGCTCGTGAAATTAGCTGTACCCCTTACATTTGTTTACCAGCTGCAATAATGCTAGTTTGCACCACCAATAAATGTGCGTTTTATACGATCCCTGTACTCCGTAGTTATGACGATGGGAAAATTTCTCCCCCCAAGGTTATCGTAATAGGCCTAGCTCCCTGTTAATTCTCCGTATTTTAAGCCGCCAATTCATGCGCGGTCAGCCCAGGGCTGCCCGCTCTGGCCAATGGGCCGTCTCCATTCTCGGACGCAATTTGCCTTGCCCCTGGCAGGGACCCCACCGTGCCAAGCACAACCGTCGGGCGCTGATGTGCTGTGCTGTGGCGGGTGCAGCCTGTGGTCTCCTAAATCAGCAGCCACCGAGCAGCCCGCTGATGAAATGGTCCAGGGACATGGGTCGGGACCCATGTCCAGTTGGCCAGGCACGCCCCACCACATGCCAGCTGCCAGAGGCCGGCCTGCCTCCCCCAAACATCCCTTCTGTGTATCGGAACACTGCTCCGTACGGAGCAGTACTTTATCACCTCGTCGTCCTCGCTCGCGATTCGCACCTGTTCCTTCTTTCTCCTCCCACTCCGTCACCCGTCACTGTCGCTCTTTTTTCCAGGCGTCCATCTTTATGCCGCTTACGCTCTTTTAAATACCATCTCGATCTTCCTTTTCTCGGTTTCAATTTTCACATCTTCACATTTCAACACAGAATAATACATTGGTATCTCGTGAGCCATCAACATGCGTTTCTCACTCGTGTCCGTCCTGGCCTTCGCCGCCACTGCCTTGGCCCAGACGCCCGGCTTCGTTGCCGTCATCAGCCCCAAAGCCAACGAGGTTCTTCAAGCTGGGTCTCCTTATACCATCACATGGCAAAAACCGACGGAGGCGAAGTATCAAAAAACCCTTCTCACGATCGAGCTGCTCGGTGGTGATACCCAGGGAACTCAGGTCGTACTTCAATCTCTCGCTAGTAAGTCGGCGGCAATGTGGTACTGGCCGAGTTGGTCAAGGGGAGAGTGTGTCCTGACGCGATCTTATAGCTGGTGTCAGTTACGCCGCCGGGTCGTACACGGTGGACATCCCTTCTGATGGTGTTGCCAAAGCCGTGAACGGTTTTCGCTTCATCGACGAGAGCGACCCCCAGGTGTTCCAGTACTCGCCGCCTTTCCAAATCAAGCCCTCTGGCCCGAAGTCTTCCTCCAGCTCAAGTGGCCCGAAGTCTTCCTCCAGCACAAGTGGCTCCGCCAGCGCGACTTCGAGCATCAAGACTGTTACCTTGTCTAGCGTCAGCACCTCAATGACCGCAAATTCTACTTCTGCCAAGACCAGCGCTCACACCCATTCCTCCCAGCACAAGAGCATCGTTCCTGGCAACTCCACAACGGCTGTCAAGACCTCCAGCCAGTCTGCTCCCGTTGTCGTTTCTACTGGTGTTCCCAGAACTGCTGTCTCCAGCACTGCTGTCTTCACCACTGGTCTACCCACCCCTACCGTCCCTGTCGCTGCTGCCAACGCCCTTCATGTCGGCTCTCTCACCATGCTGGGTGTTGTTGCTGCCGTTCTTGCTCTGTAAAGTGGGAGTCATGGGCAGTTGATGGTTAGGCGCGTGTCTTATTTTATTTTTATTTATATATCTTGGAAATGGGGTTAGCTGTGTTGCACGTGGTATACGAAACATCGTGCGCTCTGGTAATGGGTACTTGCTTATACATGGGTTGATATTGACACTGATTGAAAAGTTTCGGGTCATACCCGTTGGAGATGCGTGGTATCTAGTCTGTTGGCCAAGCTGGGTTGACGGCGGATCGAGGCGCCATGCAAAGACAATCTCAACACAGTAATTTACCATGGCGTGCATCTCAAGTGGCCCTCGAGTGCTATGTGACTGCATATGTCATATGCTGAAGATCTACCCTTGTAGCAACTTCTATCAACCGCAACTTGTGTCTGTGGTGATGCAAGGTTCGTCGCTGAAATAAACTTTGAACATGACCCCTGTGCAAGCCATGAAGTCGTAGTACACGGCGTTGAAAGACAGGACGACAATGTCTGTGGGCAATGTCACGGTGACCCGCTCTTGGAGTCGAGGCCACCTTGTGGCCTGCTAGGGCCACATCATGTGATGTTTCTTCAAACCAGTTGACAAGTCGAGCGGGCACAAGTTTCTGGAGTCACGCCCCGCCATGAAGCCCATCCCAAGCGTGCTCCTTCCGATTTGTACGCGACGATGAGCTGTAGGGCCGAATCCCGAGCAAACAGTTGCGCCGATCAAGCCTGGGCTTACTTACTCCGTACTCGACTTCGGCATCGCACGTCGGCGGCATTTGACAGCGGAACCGGTGTCTCACAAGGAGACGAGGTGGTCCCGCGTCCGTTGGCGGCGCGAGGCGTGCCGGCGGGGGTTTGGGGTTTGGGCTTGAGACAAAAAGAAGAGCACATGTTCGGTTAACAATTTGCCGCAGCGAGACCGAGTACGTAAATAAATGGGGTCCATGTCGATGTCTCGGTCGAATGATAGCGGTAGCGGGTACTCCGTAGGTGACGCGGAAAGAAAGAAGAAAAAAAGAAAAAAAGCCATCAGCCTCGATTTCGTGCAACGGGGACGCGCTAAAAAGGGCCCAAAGTTCAGCAGAGATCTGTGCAAACCGTCAGTGACCGTCGGTGCACGTGGCACAAGTCGTGTGCCTGCTGCCTAGCGGGGCCGCCCCCAACTTGGCCTTCTGGCAGAGGCGCGATCCAACAGACGGCCAGGTTGACGGCGATGTGGAGCGCGCCGACGAAGCGGAAGACGAGGGCGAAGTTGGCGCCGTTGCCTGCCTCGACGAAGCGGAAGACGAGGGCGAAAATGACGCCGCGGCCGTTGGCTTCTGACGGGTCGACCTGTCCGACGACGACGAGCACCGGGCCGCCCAGGAGGCCGGCCGTCGTGATGCAGGCCTTTTTCGTCCACAGATTGCGCCCGGACGGCCTGTACAGGACGTCTGCTGCGACGCCGCCGAGCGGCCTTGTGACGAGGTCGAGGAAGCCGAAGATGGCGGCGTAGTTGCCGGCCTTGGTCTGGCCCAGGTGTGGAAGTTGGCCTCGTGGTAGAGCCGAGGACGGAGTTGACGGCCAGCTCGCCGCCAAAGGAGCACGCGTACGTCGCGACGTGGAAGAGCGTCTGTGAGGAGAGCGCGACGGGCTTGAGCACCGTCTCTGCCCGAGCAGTGGACACGGCTGCCGACAGGGACGTGGCCGATGGCGGCTTGTAGAGGTTCGAGTCGTCGTCGGACCTTGCTGCCTTTTCTTCGCCCCGGCCCGGCGTCTCGCCGGACATGCTGGGGTCGACGGCCGTGGCGCTCGGGTCCTGGTTTTCTCGGAGCCCTCGAGACCTCTCTTCCCAGCTGCCGACGGGGGTGTCCGGGCAGAGGAGGACCATGGCGAGCGCACGAGCGATCACGCAGACGAGGGGGGCGGCAAAGGTGACTCGCCATGCTGTGGACGGCTCCATTCCCTGCGAGGCAACCAGGGAGTCGAAGACGGCCGGCACCATGAAGTAGGTGATGCCGCCGCCGGCGTTGCCCCAACCGCCGGCTAGGGCGTTGGCCGTGCCGACAATGTTCCTGTCGAAGAAGCTGGTGCACCAGACCTGGCACGGGACAAACGTCGCTCCGAGGATGCCAATGAGGAACCGGGAGACGTAGAGGCCGTTGGCGGTCTCGACGAGGGGCGCGAGGCCGATGGGGAGACAGCCCAGCGGGAGGAGTGCGGCGTAGACTCGCCGGGCGCCGAATTGGTCGCCGAGGGGCCCGGCCACGAACCGCAGAAGCAGGGTCGCACAGAGGGATACAATGTTGGAGTTGGCCACTTGGGAAGCGCCGAGGTGAAGGTCCTTTTTGATCGTGACTGTCAACAGTGGCGGGAATGTGTACCTAGAGAGACGACATCAGGCCTGGAAAGGACAGGACCAGGGGGAAAAGCAGCAAACGATTTCGTACCATGCCCAGAACCCGAGCATGAAGCCCGTCCAAGAAAGGAAGAAGACTCGTCCGTACGGATCAACTACGTTTAGAAATCGCCCAAATCTATGCTCGCTGTTTCGACGGGATTTCATTTCACTTGTTGGTACCATGGGAATCTCTGAATACTGTCGTTGATTGAGATGCTATTTAACTAGAAATACAGCTGCTTTGAGTCCGATTTGGGCATCTCCAAGCATCTCCGGGCTGAAACCTTTATCTAGAAAGAATGGCCAACCAGGAGACATGTTCATCTCATTGTTTTCGGGACTGTGGATGAACTGCGTCTTCGGGACTATGTGCGAACGCCTGTCTTGATAGCTGTCTCACTGTACAAATGCGGATACGAAAGTACGCGTGAGGAAACACGCCTATCACGGCAAGCCTATGTCGGCTTTGTTTTCAGCTGCTATTGGCTGAGCTAATGCGCTTGGGTTCTGACAATGGTCGCGGTCACTGACAAGAATTGACTCGGTTGGTTCGCACATTGTCTTGACCGCATCAGACAGACGTATAGAAGCATCTTGCTGATAGGTCTAGGTGGGCCATCTTTTTCGTTTTCGCCGGCTCTCGTCGTTGACGCAGGGCTGAATCTGTCCGAGGGAGACATCTTCAGTGACACGCAGTTTTAAGGTTCCGATACGTTAACTGCGCAATCCTCCAAGGGGATCTGGGGGGTGCGCAATGTCTCCCATGGCCTGCACGGTTCATGGAGTGAAGAATGCTGCTCTCCAGGCTATTTGCGATGTCTGGGCGAATTGGTATTGCAAGCGTGTTATCGACTGAATCGAGCGACTTCCCGATTCAATGAATCCTATTGGACAAATAGCCTGTCAGAAAGGGGCCGTTCGAAGCGATGATGTTTGTTGGTCTGACCTTGTGTGGAGGTTAGGACACTGGCGCCGGTGCAGCTCCACATTCTCCTTTTCGCGAAGAAAAGGTGCAAACTGACTTGAGGATGCTTGTCAACTTGTCCAGCCGCGGAGAAGGTCACTCCGGCAGACTGATATGAGGAACTTGGGGCATGTGAGACGGGGTGTTTTTTCAGATATATATATTCGGAGCTAGCGCCTATGTCAGTGACGTGACGGGATGACGCTGTCCAGGTGCTAGCTGTGAGGAAGAATTCGATGTGCGCAACCTATCCTGCCAGAGAAGGCACCCCGTGTATAGTTTTGCGAATTTCGACGGCCCGGTCAAAAAGGATCACGTTGGGGACTCATTGTCCGAGTACGCTTCCGTCACAAGTATCTGTTCACGGTCTGAACGGAGAGCCTGGCTGCAAACGGGCTTCCGGCTCCCGCACACTAAGCGGCGGCAGAGAGCGGCGCGTACGATATTACGTTGCTGACACGCGGATCGTCTTGTTGAAAGTGTCGGAATATCTCATCCACCATCATCCTATGACGCGGGTTACAATTTCAACCAGATCAAGCTGCTCGGCTGCGCGGGAGTGATCGAACTCTCAATGTGTAATACTAATAGAAGAACTAGCAAGGTTTTTTCTTCCAGACTGTTGAAGAGGAAGACGAGGAAGTATTCACAAGTCGTCCACCAACTGGCAAACTTCGATGCAACGTTGTTGAGGCTCAAGGTCACACAACTTGTCGACGTCAAAAAATTTGGGCCAAGCAAGGGAAGGTGCATTGGCTCGCCTCTACCAATCGCGCTAGTCCATGTTTAGTAAGAGGGGCAAATGCGGCAACGAAAAGTCTTGGAGGGGCATTTTTTTTTTCTCGGTGACTCGGCGTAACCATGAATATCCAACGCACACAGCTCAGGCCTCACGGGTGAGAGCATCATTGACCTGTTCTGTTGATTATAAGACCGGTAGGAAATCACGACTTGAACTGTCCGTCTACTGCCATTCAATCCCGTAACCCCACGCAACGCCGCCGTATGCGCTGACCAGTGGGCAATGTAGAGCTCGGATTCCCTCCCCAAGACTACTTTGGTGGGGTTCTTCGACGATCACTCTTCATCCGGGTATGAAACAGATAATTGGGTGGTAAAGAGTTGGAGGCTAACACGGACATGTAGCTCAGACAATGGCTTCGTCGGACGTCCCCAAGACCTGCAAGGTCATTACCGCAGAGACCATTGCTAAGAACCTCTTGACTGAAGTCAAGGACACGCTGGCCAAGGTCCAAGGAGATAGCCCCAAAGCCCCAACGCTGGTTGCCTTCCTGGCAAATGGTGATCCTGCTGCGGTCCAGTACGCCCAGTGGTCAAAGAAGACTTGCGAAGACAAGTGAGTAGAGCAGGGTGGACGGGGCGTTTTGCAACTCAAAGCAGACAATCGTAGGAGCTGACAGTCTCCAACAGTGGCTTCAACTTTGACCTCCGTACTGTCGACAAGGATCTTCTCGAGGAGGAGATCACGAAAGCCAACGAGGATGACCTTGTCGACGGTATCATTGTATACTATCCCATCTTCCCCCAGAACCCCACGCATGACAAGTACGTCCAGGAGACTGTAGAGCTTGCCAAAGACGTCGAGGGCATGCGCCACAAGTATCTTTACAACATGTACCACAATGTCCGATTCCTGGATCCTCCGGAGAACCGAAAGAAGTCTATTTTGCCGTGCACGCCACTTGCCGTTGTCAAGATTTTGGAATATCTTCAGATTTACAACCCCATATTGGCAGCGGGAAATCGTCTATTTGGCAAAACCGTCACCGTCATCAACCGCTCCGAAGTAAACGGCCGACCTCTGGCTGCTTTGCTAGCCAATGATGGTGCTACTGTGTACTCTGTTGACATCACTGGAGTCCAGCTGTTCACCCGTGGCCAGGGTATCAAGAACCCGCGACACCAGGTCGAGGACAAGGAGGGCTGGGGCTTGAAGGACTGCCTGCCCCTCAGCGACGTTGTTATTGGCGGCGTTCCTGTGGAATCATTCAAGGTTCCTACAGATCTGATACGAGATGGCGCTGTATGCATCAACTTTTCTTCATACAGGAACTTTGACGGGCCCGCCATTAAAGAGAAGGCCTCCATCTATGTTCCGTCTGTTGGCAAGGTGACGATTGCCATCTTGCTCCGCAACCTCGTGGTAAGCACTTTTTTTTTTGTAAATAAAATTTGACAATGCAGCCTGAGCTAATCTCCGTAGCGTTTGGTTGCCAATCGTCCCTCCAAGGACGACGCCGACAAGATTTTGATTCAAGCCAAGACCGAGGCGTTTGCTGATGATTAGTCTGGTATCCTATTTGAGATTGGAGTGGGCCAAGAGAAGAAAAGAAATAATTCACAAGAGGGATGATGGGCCGCTTACATTCCTAGGGCAGATACGGCAAAAAAGAAAAAAAAAAAGAGAAAAGAAGACACTAGACTCTACGACACCTCGACCGACATACAGCCCGAAGACATGCTACTATGAAGTCGACGTTTGCGAAGCATTATGTAAAAATACAAGGATGAAGGACCCAACATCGCAGTCATGTGAAACAATTGGCCAAGATGGATGATGGATGTTTCTTCCATGCCGCAATGTACCTCGGCCACGTATTGCAGTAGGTGTCCGTCGTCGCTGTTGAGCGAGACGGGAGGCAAGAATGTATCCGGTTGCAGCGGTACATGTTTGTGTCCCGTGGATGGAACATGGCCACTCTTTTTGTTTAGCTGTTTCTGCCTACCGAGTCATTGGGCTTGAGCCTCACATGGCAAACAACACCACTACGGTCGCGCCGGTGCCTGGACACGGTCACATGGGTCGGCATCTTGCGGAAGACGGGGTCGTGGTCGCGGGGGGCAAACTTCAGGATAGATAATGCGTCGAGTCCTCGTGTACGGATACTTGCGGATGACCTGGGAACGCACGCACCGACAAATTTGATGAAAGGCGGCAATTGGTGGTGGGGACGGAGCTGGGACTGGGAGCGTACAAGGAGTACACGTCTCCGTACTCGATACTAATAATAAATGGCACCCGGACGGCAGCGGTGATGTGGATGCGCAAATCAAAACGGTCGGTGGTGACTGGTGACGAGGGCCACTTGCGGGCGCAACCTGAGAGAGAGTCGAGTTTTTTGGCTTTTGGCATCGGCGCGCTTTGGCACTTGTCGAGGCTACTGAAGTACCTCACACTCTAGTACTTGCTTACATTGGTTACTTACCTGAATAGGTAAGTAAGTAAAGTACTTATCTAGGTACTCAAGTAAGTACAGGTACTCAAGGTGCTTCATGTACGGGGGAGGTAGCTGTGGGTTCCGGTGGAGGACAAAGCTGCAGGCGGGCGGCAAGGATGGGAGCTTGAGGACTAGATTTGTAAATTGTGACGGCAGCGATAAGTACGTAATGATAGCAGCGACCGATATTGTTGTTGCTCGAGTGTTTGCGTGTGCAACACGGATGCATCATGGCCATTGAACCTGTGGCCTCGTCGGCAGGTCATGGATGCGTCTTGTCTCTGCCTGTGCCTCGGGCGCTTCTGCCGTGACCCGTCTTCCGGTACGTGCTTTTGTGGGTGCCAGGAGCCGTGAGTGACACCCAATCAATTGCCTCCCCTGGGCCCTACACGCCCCCCTTCCCCCGGACGCTTCCAGACGTCCGCGTCCCAGGTGCCCCTTTCCGTTCCTCCCAGAACGAGCAAGGACTAGTTACTAACTAATACCTCGTGGGAAAGTAACTACCTTGGTAGTTTGGAGACCCGCCGTCGTCTCGTCTCCGGCGGAGACGAACAAACGCTTGCAGGTGGCAGAAATCATGTTTGTGGACCAGGCACACACACGCCACTCACGACGGGCCAAGTCGACCTGAGTGAGTTTGCTACTAGTCCTCTCTGTTGTTAGTCTTGTTCGTGCGTCTACCTAGCCAGCAAGTACAATCGGAATAACTTGGTGCGTGGTGCTCCCACGCCCTGGGCGGCTAGGCTCCAGATGATTTAAACTGGGGGTGGGAGAAAACAGAGAAAAAGAAGCACGAAGCCCCGTGACGTTCTTGTTGCGCATCCGCCTTTCAACAACCTCAGCAAACAACCGCCCGCGACCGTTTCCTTCGACGAGGCTTCATCATGGTTATTCGCATCGGCTACTTCTACCCACAGACGTGACACTTGCGAGGACGGACTTTGGTCATTCATTGACCACCTTTTTTTTTCTTTTTTCCTTCGGCATCAACTGGGGACACGACTTGAGGGGAGACCCGTGGCCCGGGACGAAGCGCATTCTGTGTCGCGCCTGCCGCAAATCGCACATCGCACATCGCAAACCGCAAACCGCAAACCGCAAACCGCAAACCACGAAACGCTCCTCAGGCTTGAGAAGACGAAAAAGACAAAAGAAAAGAGAACGTCCTTGCCCTCCACCCAACTTGCTGCGACTGCGCATTCGAACCCTCAACGACGCCTGTGCGATTCCTCCTCATTCATGGTGTCCGTGTCTGCCATTTAACCACAGACGTTGTGCCCGAGGCCAATGTAACCGGCCCTGGTGCAGGTTCTGGACCTCGCAGGCTCTCCCGGCAATTTGCCAACCATTGAACCATTGACCTCTCGTCCCGTCTTTGGGTAACGCTTAAATTTTGACACGTTTGGCTTGCTTTGGGCTCATCCTTCGAGGTACCTGCGTGACTCGGGCGCCTGGCTGCGGTGCTGATGCCCGGCCGAGGACCTCAAAATTCCAAACCCATTTAGACTTCGTCCGCCTTGGAACCCAACCGACTCAACCGACTCAACCGACGCCACTCCTCGTCGCGCAACCACCCCGCGTCTACCTTACCTGGCTACTTAGGTGTCTAGGCTTGCCCGGTATGGCCGCCCGCACCATGGTCCACGGTGGCCGTGATACCCGCCACGATGCCTTCGCATCGACAAACTTGTCCTACCGTCCTCAGACAGCATCACCAACCTTGACGAACCCTGACATGATTCTGCCAGACTACGACGAACCTGAACATGTCGACGGCCGCTCCCATCCACTGTCGGGCCCTTGGCATAATGCGCATCCCCCCCGTGACCTGGACGGCTTCTCCCAACCTGGCTACGTCCCTGGACCACTTGCTCCCACGACGCCCATCATATACGGTAATGGCACCATGCTCTCGGATATTGGTGAGGTGACTGAGGTCGAGAGCACTGCCGGCCACCCGCCGAGTCGCAATTCCTCCGGCTTTTCTGGTACTCCTGGTACCGGCAGCGGCACACCTGTACGCTCCTCGCCGACGATTGGAGAGAGGTCGCCCAAGAAGAAGCCGCATGCTGCGAAGCGCGAACGCCGGCTCTCATCTGAATCCACGAGCACCATTCAAACCATCGACGATGGCCCACTGGCTGCCTTTCGTGACTTTGATGACTCGGTCAGTGTAGATGACAGCAATTTCCAAGGAGATGACGAGGAGAGTTTGGCAAGCGAATACGTCGATGAAACGTCCGTTCACCCCCCTAGTGCTGCGGTTATGCTACCTGGTCACGGGCTGAACGAGCATAGACTTTCCTCCAACTCGATCAGCAAACGAGCCGAGCAGATTCTTGCCAATGCCAAGCATCGCCTTCTGGTACGTAAACCTGAGCAGAGGAGGACGAATACGAAAATAAATGTCGCCATAATAGCGAGCCCCTCCCTTGCAGGGGCACCGCCCGCCAAAGACTGTAAGGACATCTTGCTAACCCGGGGTCTCTAGACTATGGAAGGCAATCTTAATAGCGCCAGGACGTTTAGCTATTCAACCTTGTCTGAATGTTCCACACCGTCCCCCGGTCCTCGTCCGAATAGCTCGACTCACGAAAAATTCCAGACCAACACCTCGAGCCACTCGAGGAATGTGAGCGAAAATGGCTTGCAAGGCTCTGCGCGCAAGGCTGTACTCCCTCAACGATCTGCCAGTGCTCTTGGTGCAGCTGGTGGCTATCGCCAACACTTGACCCCTTCCAGGGGTACCGACGGTTCACAGTGGAGGCTCGGTCCAAGTTCCCTCAAGTCTTCTCTGACCTCTATTGACTCGGCTCTAGAGCGGCTCGACGAAGATGGAAGCCAACGAGACGAGGACCACCATCGCCCTTGCAGTCAGGTTGCAGCCCTGGGCAGTCCAACCTTTGGATTGCCTACCCAGGTCGGTATGACGCGGTCCCCCTCCGCTGCGCAGGTGCGAGACCTGCAGGGTCAAATGCAAGGGCTCAAAGGCAAGATCTCCTCGCTGAGGCAGCAGGCGCAGGCAGATAGCATGAAAAGGCGTAGCCTACAGAGCATCAGGGCGCCCAGTCCTTTTACGCATGCTAGGTGGGATCAGGGATATACAAGCCCGAAACAAAGCGATACGCCAGAGACTGGAAGCCCTGACTCGGCTAACCGATTGAACGGAACCAAGCCAGGTTTCAAGAACGACAAGTCTCCAGAAGAGGTGGGAGAGGAAGAGTCGGAAGCACAACTGAAGGGTGATGTGGAGGCTGGTTCTCTCCCCGGTGTATTTCAGAAAGGCGACGAAACGCAGGACACGGTCCACTTTCAAGCGGCTCGGTCAGCAGACGAAGCTGCATTGAATGGCGAACCAAAAGCCTCCCGCCGCATTGACTATGAGCAGGATAAGAGTCATCCTCAAAATGACCGAGTGACCGAGAATGACCAGGAGGACCGAGGTGTGGAAGAGTTTGCGGACTACGGCAGCGAAAGCGGCGAATCACTCTATCACGATACCCATCAGGAGCCCACTGACATCTCGCACGAAGATCGAGAGGACGCGTTTGATTATGAACATTTCTTCTTGCACTCTGCCATGGGCACCCTTAGCCGGCAGCGGATGTCCAGAAGTGACAGCGTGGGCAGCGAGGGATCTCAAGATTCTGTGGAAACCACGCGCGGTCCGGCCGCGAAGCCTGCCCGACGACCCAGCATTGATACCTTGGCTTCCGTCGATTCCTTTGCGACTGCCATGGAGGGTAGGGAGAGCCGTAGCACCGTGTCTCGCTCGGCGAGAAGCGGCGATGGGTTCGTGACACCTGCGGCCAATCACGAGGACGGAGACAGCTCATCGATAACAACCAAGCGGTCGACCTTTGGCCGGTCCAGCCATGACAGTCCAAGTGGTGGCGGCAGTGGTAGTGGAAGCGGCAGCGATTCTGCCGAGTACTACCGAAAACACGCCCGCTACAGCTCAGTCATTTATCGACCCATCAGTGCGAGCACGACATCCACGCTGCACCGCCCGTCCGTCTCGTCGTTCGAGTCGACAGGGACAAACAGAAGTTTTCCCCTCGTCAACAAAGCCAGACTGAGCCAGGGAACCTTGACTCCGAGCGAATCACCCGACAACCAGCTCAAGCAAGTCGCCGAGTCACTCATGAACGAGACAAGGAGCATATGTGACCAGGACAGCGCGGGGGCGGGGAGCGGACCACAGTCTCCTGCAATACAGACCCTGTCACGAGAAGACCAAATGTTGGTGGAACAGGTCGTGACAAGTCTGGGACGATGCGTCTTGGGTCTAAGTGAGGCTTCGCGCCTGGGTACCGGGAACCACGACGAATACAGGGAGAGAATAGAAGCGGCCAGAAAGCTTCTCGAGAATATTGGTGACTGAATAGTGTCTCGATGAATACTAATCTTGTGTGTGTTTCTGGACCTACGACGCTGATGACACGACTTTGCGGGAGTTGGGGGGGCGGGACAAGGACCACGGGGCGGCAGGTGATTATACGCATCTACCCTTTTTTCTTTCTCATATTTTCCTTTCTTCGAAACGGCCGGCTGGACCTCGGGTTGCTTATTTCTCCGACGACGGACACATGCTTCCTTTTTGCCCAAGTACAAACATTTTCGATACCCTGTATTTGCCTGGCTGTGGGACAGCAGTCGTGGCTTATTTGCTTACAGTTGGCAGTCGTGCACATTAGTACATAGTGACGGAACAAAATATAATAAAGACATCAAGTTTACAAGGAACACGTGAGGTCAACACGAAAGCACAGCTTCAAAAGTGCGTGATTGGCCATTGACGCGCCAACGGCCGGGAGTCGGGACAGCAGCCCGTGAACTCCGTGACTGTCCGTCTGAGCCGAACCTGCGGCAGCGACGCGGGGAAGGGAAGCTTCCCGTGGTCGCGCCCCACTCCCACAACCCACCCAATCACACTCTTATCGATCGCGGCAAAGGGTACCAAAAAAAAAAAAAAAACGACATCCCCAGAATACACACACCGCCAAGCCTTTCCCTTTCCTCCCAAGGGCGTCGAAAACCGCGCTCCCCGGCCGGCGACGCACTCCCCCCCTTCTCCCTTCTCCGGCTCGTCGTCGAGCAAGCAAGTCCAACAGAAGACAGAAGAAAACGTCGGCATGCACGCGTCGCTGACGTCGCGCCTCCTCACGGAACTGCTGCCGCCCGAGGTCGCGGTCTCGGTGCGCACGCACCTGCTCGACCCGCGCGCCCTCGCGTCGCTGGGGCCGGTGGTCCAGCCGCTGGCGGACAGGACGGCCGCCGCCGTCGCGGACAACCAGGGCGTGACGGGGCTCGTGGCGCTGCTGTGCGCGGTGACGGCCGTGGTGGTGGTCATGAACTGGATACGGAGGCTGATACTGTGGTGGGCGCGGCTGGTGGCGAGGGTCGTGTTTTGGAGCGCCGCCGCCGCGCTGCTGGCCTGGGTGTGCAACAGGGGCGTCGTGGAGAGCCTGAGGGATGCCGCTGTCGTGGGGGGCAGGGTCGCCGGGTACCTGGCGGTTTTGAAGGACTTCTGGTGGCAGGAGTATGAGCGCTACGAGGCGCGCGAGGGGAGGGCCGCGGCGAGGGGGCGGTGACGGAGCGCGCGGAGGGACGGCATGGGCGCGGGGACCTGGCGGGTTCTATTGGTGTCTTGCTTTTGTAAATACATTGGGGATGATGTGTGCTGGGCTGCTTGTTGTTGTGGCTGCGTCTTGGTATGGGCATTCTGGGGCTTTGGTCACGCATACGGTTTCGTGCTGGCGCGGATACTATCACGATTTCTCGTCATCAAGTTGGTATTTGCTTCTCGAGTTATGGACCGAAACGCCGTCGCAATGCTGATATTCCACAAGAACAAAAGGGGGGTTGGCACGTGCACCGGTCACTCTGCGTCTTGGATTCCGTCCTCGTCGTAGGGTTCGTGGGGGTCCTGGGCCTCGTGGAACTGGATACAGTCGTCGATGTAGCTTAGAATGGCACCCACGCTGTCCTCGTTTGTCACGTCTAGCTTGAGGTAGTTGATCATGCTGAAGCTCTCTATCAAGCCTGCCACGGCACGGTTCAGGCGGCGGAAGCTGGCGCCCTTCATGATCTGTTCAGTCTCGTCTGGGCGCCGCGGTTCGACGCCGTTGTCGTCGCCTTCGGGGCCCTCGGCGGCGCGGCCCACGGGGTCGTCGTCCAGCAGGCCCATGTCGGGGGTCAGGAAGCGCTTCAGATCCTTCTTCTTGACTTGGTCCTTGACGAGGTCCATTTTGGAGAGGACGTTGATGTGGGGGACCTCGAGCATCAGCATGGCACTCATGGCGCTCAGAGTTCCGGCAAAGAATTTCGCCCGGTCGACGACAAAGGTGGATTCGACGAGGTACACGGCGGCCATGCGGATGTCCAGCGACCCAGGTTGCGACAGGTACCTGACTAGAGCCGGCAGGATGGGTATGTGCGTGTAGAGCTCAATCTGGCCGGGCATGTCGATGATGATGAGATACTCTTCCGTCAGGTTGTCCAGCGCCTCGGTGAGCCAGTCCAGATTCTCCATGAGAAACTCGAAGCAGTAGACTAGACCGCCGTTGGGGCCGAGGCCGACTTCCTCCATGGCATCCTTGAGCGAGATGAGCTCCTTGATGTCGAGGTCGGGCGTATGCTCGAAAGTCTCGGCCGCGGGGTCGAGGTTGACGTAGAAGGCGGAGCGGCGGTTGAGCTGGAGATGGGTGATGAGGGCGGCGCAAAAGGTGGACTGCGTACGGGTGGAACGTGAGAATGTTGTCACTTGAACAGAGCATGTTGCTTCCTCTTCTTACCTTGCCTGCCCCCGCGGGGCCCATGACGATGGCGCCAAACTTGCTCATGGCGTTGAAGGGTCCAGCCCAGATGGCGGCTTGCCGATGTAGTTTGACGGGCAGGGGACGTAGAGCCGACGAGTGGGAAAGGGGACGAACGAGGATTGTGGCTATAGCAGCGAGCAGCAGGCCGTGGTCGCGAGGCTGGGCTTCTTTTTTTTTTTTTTCCCTTCCGTTCTTCCTGAGCTCCCAGCCGGCAGGGCGTACGGAGTGGAGCAGTATTACTCCGTGCTGTGACTGGCCAGTGGCGGGCGCGCCATCGTGTTTGGCTGACTCCCATGTTCATGTTCCATCCAGGGTGTCCACGCCAGCCTCTAGCTCTCGGGAATCAAAATCCGGCGCCGAAACTAGTTGCTGAGGTCAGAGAAATTTTGCAGATACTAACTTAGTTGACTCACTACTTACAGAGTACCTCGACGCGATCGCAGATGAGATTCCAAAGAGCCTGCAGAACAGAAAGGCGGCGGCGGTCTGTGGGCCGAGGCAGGCAAAAAAGGCAAGACCGGTCCCTACAACAAGCCGGCGAGGCCAGCTCCTAACCCAGCTCAAGCACTAGGAATCGTAGTTTCAAGAACCGGAAGCACATAGTAATGTGATGGTAATAGCGCCCGGGCTGTGAGAGGTCGAACAGGTCGGACAAACCATTGCGCCACAGCTGACCATGACCAGTACGGAGTAGACGACAAGGCTGGCGAGGACCGACCTTGGCCGGGGCCGCAAGGAGACGACTGGCGTTGGTCGGCGTCTCAGAGGTGCGTGCCGGGAACAGAGCAAGAGAGGGGGCCAAATTACGGCGGCCGAGCGAGAATGACGATGGTGCGAACACGTTCAGCCCGTACGACACGACACAATCACAATTGCCTTGCCAGAAAGGAGTAGTGCTTCGTGCTGCCAGATGATGTTGGTTACTGGAGTACCTAGGTACCTAGGTACTTAGTCGGCTCCTTTGTCCACGTTGGAGTGCACAGGTACCTACTCCGTAGTCCGTACGGGAACATGTACATCTTTTCCTGCCCTGTGGTACCGACCACGTAGCGCGTACTGCTCCAAAGTACGACACTCCCGTGCTCTGCTGTCGGCGCTTACTGGCTCCGAGATGGCGCAATCTTGCCCGGAAAGGTGGCGGCCGTCGCCGCCCCTCATCGCTTCCGGCCAGCTCCCCGAAATCTCTGTTAGCTGTCGTACTCCGAGGTACCTGCGTGTGCGACTGCGTCTCGGCAGTGTCTCATGTACTGGGAGTCCCAGACACTATGTCCTTGTTGTGCCGATTACATCCCATCCCGCCCTGCCAATTTTTTTTTTCCTGCTTGGCTGCCCCTCCAACCACCATTCGGGTTCGCGGCGCATGCAACTTTAAGCCGGCCCCCCCCTCAGAAAATTGTCGGCATAAAACCTCTCCGCCTCTTCTTTCTCTTCCTCTCTTCCACTACATTGTCCCCTTACTCCGCCAGCCCTGAGTGCCCATCGTAGTGGTACGCGATCCCGTGAATTGCACCGTTGCCCAACAAACTGCACGAGGCCCTTTTCCCGAGTTGCTAACCAATTGCTGACTTTGAATTTCTCCTGTGCAGTTTATCGCTTTCCAGCCCGTTGCCGAAGCCACACAGACCTTTCTTACTTTGTTTGCCCTCCCATCCTTACCCTCATCTTCTCCTGACACAACATATACACAATGCCTGGCGTCAACGGCACCAACGGATCTGGCCCTCAGGGCACCTTTCTGTTCACCGTAAGCGACTGACCTGCACTCAAATTCGTCGACTCGGGGGGTTCCAGGCCCTCGCAAAGAGATGGGCGGACAGGAGAGACGGCGAATGCATCAAAGGGGGCGCTCAAGGCTGGTCACTAACACATGTCATAGTCCGAGTCTGTCGGCGAGGGTCACCCCGACAAGATCGCTGATCAGGTCTCTGACGCTGTCCTCGATGCCTGCTTGGCTCAGGATCCCCTCTCAAAGGTCGCTTGCGAGACCGCCACCAAGACTGGTATGATCATGATCTTTGGTGAAATCACCACCAAGGCCCAGCTCGACTACCAGAAGATTGTCCGTGACGCCGTCAAGGACATTGGCTACGACGACTCTGCCAAGGGTTTCGATTACAAGACCCTCAACCTGCTCGTCGCCATTGAGCAGCAGTCTCCCGATATCGCTCAGGGCCTGCACTACGAGCAGGCCCTCGAGAAGCTTGGCGCCGGCGACCAGGGAATCATGTTTGGTTATGCCACTGACGAGACCCCCGAGCTCTTCCCCCTCACCCTCCAGCTCGCCCACAAGCTCAACGCTGCCATGTCTGCTGCCCGCCGTGACGGCTCTCTTCCCTGGCTCTGCCCCGATACCAAGACCCAGGTCACTGTTGAGTACAAGCACGACCACGGCGCTGTTGTCCCTATCCGCGTCCACACTGTCGTTGTTTCTGCCCAGCACTCTGCCGACATCACCACTGAGGAGCTTCGCAAGCAGATCCTGGAAAACATCGTCAAGAAGACCATCCCCGCCAAGTATCTCGATGACGACACCATCTACCATGTGAGTCTTTTCTCCTCGGCGCAAATGGTCAACAGTGATGTATTTCGAGTTCGCCAGCTGACCAACTTCGCAAGATCCAACCCTCTGGTCTCTTCATCATCGGTGGTCCTCAGGGTGACGCTGGTTTGACTGGCCGTAAGATCATTGTCGACACCTACGGTGGCTGGGGTGCCCACGGTGGTGGCGCCTTCTCCGGCAAGGATTTCTCCAAGGTCGACCGCTCTGCTGCTTACGTTGGTCGCTGGATCGCCAAGTCCCTTGTCAACGCCGGCCTGGCCCGCCGTGCTCTTGTTCAGCTGTCCTATGCCATTGGGGTTGCCGAGCCTCTCTCCATCTACGTCGATACCTACGGCACGTCGGAGAAGACGTCCGATCAGCTCGTTGAGATTATCCGCAACAATTTCGACCTGCGCCCTGGCGTCATTGTCCGTGAGCTCAACCTGGACCGCCCCATTTACCTGCAGACTGCGAAGAACGGCCACTTTGGTACCAACCAGTCATTCAGCTGGGAGCAACCCAAGCAGCTCAAGTTCTAAGTTTGCGTCCTTTTCATCCTGGGACATGTATGGAGGGAATTCAACAAGCCTTCTATTTATCGCTCATCCAATCTTGCGGTGTGTTATAATCGGCATTTTCGTGCACATTCTGGCGGCGTACGGTTCTCAACGAAACCATATAATCTCCCCACAAAGAACGTGGGGGCGGGTGGTTTCAGGCATGACTATTTTTTCCCAGCTCTTTTTCTGAAAACCATTTTGTTTCCTCATTACGAAGACCACTCTCATGATGCCTATTTTTTTCTTGTATTGGAACGGAGTGGCGGCGTCTTTCAACAAAGACACTTTTGGGACAAACCTGCATTTGTGAGGCGAAAGCAAATCGTCAAAGAGAGACTTGCATTATGATACCCCTACCCAAGGGCAAACTTTTAGAGAAGCGTGCTTACCGGCGTTTGGGGGACCGAAGAAGAACTTCAACATCTTTTTTAATTCCCCGTGTTTCTCTGGCCGAGCTTGTGCAAGTCAGTCAATCAGTCAGTCAGTCAGTCAGTCAGTCGTACGGGAAGCAATGGAAAAGCGAAGCGAGTTAGCTAGTGATTGACCATTGAATCTTGGGGAATATTTTACATTAGATGAGGAAAGGATACTTTCTGCTGCTGTGGTAGATTACAGCTAGAGACCAAAGAGACACCTGATGAGGGAGGCAGTGATTGAATCGTCCAGCTAATGGCTTGTGTGTGACGTGCTGTGCGCAGTTGTATTGTATCTGAACGCGGGCAACCAGTCCGGATGTCTCACGCCTGCAGCTATATCTAGGTAGGTGAATCGGGGGTTGGCTGTACATGAATCACGAAGATCAGGGGCAGACGAGAACTATGGCTCATGAAGGTAGCAAGCATGTGTTGCCATGTCCCGCCGCCGCCGCCGCGGCATCTCCTGCGCGGAGGAGTGCACACAACGACGCCACTCATGAATATGCACGACCAAGCGCATGGGCTACTTGAACAGACGGACAATGGGCGCCGCGGTCCCCATGTCCCACCCACGGCGAGGGGAGGCGGGGGACGCCCCAAGCCGGTGCGCGGTACAATAGGAGAAAGAGCGGCAGAGAGACGAAAGAGGCCGTGGAGAGCCTGAAAGGATGTTGAAACGCTCCTGGGCTGCTTAGCTGTGGGCGTGGTGCTGGCAACAGCAGGCCCGTGTCGCCGGCTCCTGACGAGGGGGCGGCGGCGACGTGATGTCCTGTCCGCCGTGCGGTCCGGTCTCGCGCTCTCCCGTGGCGCGGATGGAGGCAGGCAGGCGGGAGAGAAGCGGGTTGACGAGGGTCTTTCTTTTGCACAATAGCTTCACAATGCTGTGTACGGGGCGGTAGCTACATTGTGCGCTGGTGAAAACCATCATGTGCTTTGTGGGTGCGGATAGATGACGGCGTCGGGTGTCGGGTCCTTGCAGCTGTAACAGACCACGAATGGAAAGAAATGACAAGTATAGATGAAAAAAGACAGAGTGAGGGAGAGAGATGACGAAAACAGGGGAAGAGGAGATGCCGTTTCCTGCGTCTGTTGGTGCAGGGAGTAGCAAATCCACACCAGGTCAAGATGCTCCGATGCCAGCAAGTTGCCGCGACGACTCACTGCTCACGCACTCGACTGCCCGGGAGAAATAAAGTACACGGTAGAACCAGTGTCATTCGGCGGCATTGGCATTATTGCTGCGACAATGACAATGGCCCCGGCGTCGGCTTGGCTTAGCGTACGGAGTACTTTTGCTTGGCTCGAGATTGAGATTGAGGTTGAGATGAGGCGCAAGCTATCGTGTGCTGCTGCCGGTGTCGCCCCTCTTTTTCTCTTTCTCTTTCTTCCTCTCTTTGAATACTTGTTTTATGTGTTTTTTTCCCCTTTTCTCCTCGGGAGTCGGCCCTCTCGTCATAGCACGTGACACGAGCCGGTCTCGCTTCACCTGCATGCGCATATCCAAGGAGCAGGACTCGACTCAAATCGAAGCGTTGGTGATTTGCCCAATCTGGTAGGCCATGTAGATTTCGCCAATTAACCCATGCCAATCGAGCACGGGGGCCCCCCTTTTTTTGCTTCTGGCTGCACCGAGTCTTGGCCCTCCCCCGGGCATGCTCGGATGATAAAGGCGGTTGGTTGCAAGGCGGAAAGGTAACCAACCTACCGAGTACGGAGTACGGTCATGGTAACTACCAACAAGGCAGGGAACAGAAACGTCTGCAATGCAAGCATGCCGTGTGACCGAGATCTGGGTGAGATGCGAGCAGCGCCCCCCCACGGAACACCGTGTGTTGCTGCACCGGTGAAGCTCGCGACGACGAGCTTTTTTTTTTTGGACTTGCCCCTTCTTTTTGATGTTGCTGCTGCTGCTGCTGCTGCTGCTGCTGCTGTTGGTTGGAGACATGCGTTGGCAGCACCCTTGAGACCGGTCAAGGAAAAATGAAAATACAAAACTGCCCAACGGTTCCGTTCCGTTTGGTCCCTGGCGTCGTTGGTGACTGGCAGGGAACTACTAGTTAGTAGCAGCAGCAGCATGAGTAGCAGTACTCCGTAGTGACGCGGCTGATGCCCGTCCCGCGGGTGTACGCCATCCCCGACAGGCAGGACTTTGCCGCTGCGTCGCCTTGAGCTCTGCGTGCTCTGGCCATTTGAAGCCGTAGCGTTTCTCACGATAACTCGGATCCCAGGCCGTGCGTCGAGCGAGGACCGCAAAGATACCCCTGTGTTACATGCATACACATGACGGTCTGATAAGCGACGTGTGTGGTTCCCGGGGTCCCCGCCTCGGTGTGACCAAGGGATGCAGGGGATCCAAGGGTCCGAGGGCCGTCGTTGTGACAGTCGCGGGCTACGGGGTCTTTTGCTGCTGCGGAGGAGCAGTTGGTACTGTTCATGTCATGCCATGTCATGTCGGCGAGGACGCCCCTTCTCTTCCCAACGAGCAGGGGCAGCTATTGTTGCTGATGGCTATTGTTGCGCTGTTTTGCTGGCTGGACGACTCGGCGTTGCGTGCTGCCGACGGAGACGTGGTTCGCTCGCTCGCTCGCTCGGTCGGCCTTGCTGGCCGAGGGGGGAGGGACAGATGGAGATTCTGCGGGGTGCTCTGCAGTCCATTCTCAGTGCTGAGTCCTGACGGCGTCGTTGAATGAATCTCGGCAACGCAATTTCAGCGGGAACGCACTATCGGGTTGCTCGCTCGCTCGCCCGGTGTCGGGACTCCCCATCCCACCTAGCCGCGCCATTCCATTCATTCCTTGTCTGGCAAGCGCTCGAAACGGCTGGGTGCCACTCGTAGCCGAGGAGAAGTTGGAGGCAGTGGATGGCGGATGGCGGATGGAAGTGGCAGAACGGAAAAGAAAAGGGGGGGCCGGATCGCGCACGGATGGACAAGTTGTGTTGAATACACATAACTACTCCGTACGCATCACGCACGCACATGGGCGACAATGACTTTGGGATTTGTGCCATTTGTTCCTCGTGCAATGCAAAGATCGACTCTCCCCCGCAAAAAAGAAAATCAAAAGGCAAAAAATAAAAGGCCCTGTTCATGACGCACGTTCCTCGTCGCCAACACCCAACTCCCACGATGCCGCCGAAGTGCTGCCTCAGGCGACAGCTCACCTCGCCGCGTCTTCGAGATCCCCGTGCATGCATGGCGTGACGGCTCGACAGACTCGTCTGTCCGTGGTGTGGCCACGGAGGCGGACATGGGCAAGATACAATTTGCCATTCGCAATTTACAATACAGCACAATAACTACGGGACAATCGCAGACGTTGGCCGCCGCTCCCTGGATGACATGACGACACCCCTTTCCACACATACAGCCAGCATACTCCGTACGGGACACACACACGTCGTACTCGGTAGCCGCCACCGCGATCCATCAGTCTGGTTCGCACAATCCGACAGTCTGGCCGACTACGCCTCGTGGCCCTCTGTGGCGGCCCACGGGCGCTCAAAAGGAATCCCTCGAACCACCAGCCAGTCCCATTGTCGACTACTGACCACGGCCAGCTTCAACGAGGCGCGCCGCCCGTCAGTGGACGAGACGGCCGGGCCATTTTCTCCGTCCGTCCGTCCGTCCGTCGTCGCGCCCTCGGGAAACGCTCGAGAGCAGCAGCATCGTGGCACGCTCTCACGCGCCTCCCTCGGGCATAAACGGACGCGCCACCGCTTTTCTCCCGCCGGATTCTAGACGGACATGAAACACGGGCCAGCGTGCCCGGGCAGAACTGCTTCAGTTCAACCCTGGGAACCACCAGTCTGCAGCCAAGACAGACACGAGCAGGGCGTAAAACATGGCCCAGGCCAAGGAGGGGTAGGGTTCGCGCATATCGACGACTCGCTTCGTCCCCCGCACGAACAGGCTACAGCTTAGGTTTTCGTCGGTGCAATCTCAGGCCCAAAACCCCTCCCCGCCCGTGTGGATGTGGATGACTGTCGTCCTCGGGTTGCGACTTTTTCGGCAACGAGCAAAGGAACTGGCTCGTCTGGTCGCGAAAGAACGGTGTGTGCTGCCAAAAATAAGACGGTGGTGATATTGTCTCCCTGCCATCTTCAACGAGAAGGGGACCAGACCGAAAGAAAACGTTGTGCGCCGTCGTCCTCGCATGTCCATTGGCGGCCAACGGGGAGGAAATATGTCTCGCCCAACAACCGGTGGGACGAAAATCTTGAACCTTTTTTTTTTTACCCTTTTAAAGTTTTTACTGCCCTTTTTTATTTGATCCCCGATACAGAGCGAAAAGTACTCCGTAAAAAGGCAGACATTTTTCGGGCAACAGCATAGCATGAATAAGTCCTAAAAAATAGCCAACTAGCTGTTCACTAATCACGATGCCCTGGGGGCAGCAAGTTTCTATCATTTTTATTTTTCATCCTTTTTCTCTTTATTATTTATTTATCATTATTATTATTATTATTATCCAAACAAAGACGGGCCAATCCATCCCAGACGTCACCCAGATGTCCTCTACGCACGGAGCGGATCCCTCGTGGAGCGGGTGTCCGGGACCCGGACGCTAAGCCTAATGGGGGCGTCAATTGGCCGACGGGCCAGCCCCGATTTCGACAACAATAGCAAGTGTGTGGAGGCGGACAATAGCAACATGACCACGGGCAACGTGTGACGACTGATGGCCTGGGGAGCCGCGGGAGCAGCTGCCTGGCGAAAAGTTGGCTTACATACATGCCCGTGTCGCACACGCACGCAAACATCACAGAGTTGCAGTTGCACTCGCCCATCAGCTTTCCTTGTCGAGGCAGGCGGCGAGGAAAATATGCGGACGGGTGTCGTCTCTGCACGCCTTTTTGCCGGCGGGCTCGCGCGCGCTCTCCTCATGGCGACTACGTACTTTCTTCCGGCATCTGCTTCTCTGATTATATAAAGTCAACCAATGGGTGGAGAGCGCGGCCCTTGTTGGTCGCACCGTTTCCGCGGTCAATCTCTATACCCCGACATGAGCCGCCGCCAAGGATGTCATCATGATCATCATAATAACACGGACAAGAAGAAGAAAAAAACAAAAAATTCCCCTAGGGAGAGCAAAGCACCGTGCCGGCAGGCTAGCGCAACACCCAGCTGCGAAGGGGAGGAACGAGGCGTCGCTGCCACCGTGGACTTTGTCCCGGCGACAATACCACGGCCGCGCGCCATATCTGTGAATAGCAGCACATGCCGGGGCGTCTGGGCAAAAGAGGCTGACGTGGTGTGCTCCCCGCAGGTCCGCCCGCCGTGGTTGCGCTTCCCATGGAGCCATGGCTTGTCCCGCCGAGCTGGTTACGGGCGGTTGTGCCGTCCAACTAGCCCTGACCCGTCATTCACCACTTGCCGTTGCCAAAGCACAAGGCATCATCATGCCATCCATCGTACCGACTTGCCATCACGACCATCATCACCGCCGGTCCGGAACCTCGCCCCTCTCCACCCACCCCTTGCGAGGAAAGTGGCCGTAATCATCTCAGGGCGGCAACTCGCCTGCCCATTCCCGGTTGGGCCTCCGTGTAAGTCGAGCCATTCAGTGCCGCCGCAACTTGCAAGCACCGCGACAACGGATCGAGGCAGAATCTCCGGTGCGCGATTGGTAGCCATCCAGAGGAGGGAGAAGGCATCACGACGCGCCATGTGCGTCACGGCATCACATGTATCGTACACACAGAGAGCTGCTCGACTGCTAGCTACAGACGCCGGGGCAGTTGTCCCAGCCAGCTCGCTCACCAACGTGACAGCAAGAACAAGCCCACAAGCAAAGCAAGATCAAGACACGACCCGCCAGCCAAGGGGGAAGACGAGGGGAAAACTGGCAAAAAAAAGAAAGAACTGCCATTCCGTTCATCACCATCTCGAGGCCAAGAGGCACGACAGGTTCGTCGGTACGATATGCTCACGGCCCCTGTCGAGCTTGTTTGCCTAGCGGCGGTGGAGGAAGAAGTAGAATCTGTTGCACTCCGTACTGTCTGTGGAGGAAAAAAAAAAAAAAAAAAAAAAAAAAGACCCCCAAGTTGACAGTAGACAATACTCCGTACTCCGTACATGCAGCATCTTTCCAAGGGGGGGGTGTGCGCGCAGTTCACACACACGCACACCCCCTCCCTGGCCGTGGCGAGAGGGGTGCGCGTCCAGGGTCCAGGGCCGGTCTGCAGAAGAATAGGCCGGCCGGCAGACAGAAACGCACACCCCCAGGTCAGAAGCAGAACAAGTCACGACGCCCTACGCCGTGCCGTACCAAGCGCCGATGTCCCTGTTTTACTATTGCTCTCGTCACAATTTTTTTTTCCCCGCCTTGCCATTGATTCTGACGCCCGGGTGACCCGTGCTTCCTGCAGGTCCGTCGGCTGAATGGATTCGAAATGCCATGCAACAAGAAGAATGGAAGAAAGGAGGGAGGGAGGGACGTGATACGACCCAGCTCCGACCATGCCGTGTATCTTTTCAAATTATATTAGACTGCCGCTTTTCCGTCGTCCCTCCAAGCATGCGAGGATCCGCATCTCCGTTGCCCTCTGCTGCATCATCTCCTTGTCGGTATCATCATCGTCCTACCCTTCATCCGTCCGTCTCGGCTGGGCTTTTTGAGCTGCCGTCCACGCCATCATTTTGCCAGTCTTTACGCGGAAGAAAAGCTAAACTTCAGCCATCATCCCAACAGCCCGGGCCTCTTACACCACTTCATCCCGAGACATTGTTTGGAATCCCACACCACGTCGCTCGTTGGCCTCGACATCAGCGCCGCTCCTGTAACAAGGCCGAGGAATCGTGCCATCGTGGCGCCAGACTCGAGCCTGTCAAAACCTCGAGACACCCTTCCCTTTTTTTTTTCCGGGCCTTGCTCAGCGCAATTACTGTTGCACCAAGGACGCCAAACCCAGCGGCGGCGGCGGCTAACAGGACCTTTGGTAACTTGGATGCGACGGGTGCCGCCAACCGCATTGTGTAACCCGGCGTCTTTTGATAGTCGGGATCCCGGTTTTCCGTCAAGGTCGTGTCGGGGCCCCTTGGGATCGGCTATAAACACATTGCTGCTCCCTACTCCCGTCTGTCCCTCCTTGCCCATCTAGCCTCGAGATCACCTGGGAACAGAACAGACACCCTATTTCCCTGGCTCTACTTGTCCAGACATTCCAAGAAACACATCTTGGCGTTGGCAGGCTCTCCGAGCAAGCACCACCAGACACCCATTGCTGCAACACAACACTGCGGATTCTTTCGTCTCTAGCTGGACGCGCAACCACCCCTTGCACAAGACCACCATGGCCACCATGGAAGCTACCATCGCAACAATCCTCGACCCTCGGGGACACCTCTTGAAAGAAGCTGCGAGCGGCGTCTCTCCCCCGCCGGCATACTCGCCCCAGCCGCGACGGCTCAGCAATGCCCAAGTGTCTGCTGAGGAGGCGCGGTATTACCACAGTTCGCCTCGGCAGCCCGTCATGATGGGCCGAGAACCCGTCACCGCCATCATCACCGGCGAGGACGAGGCCGACGCCGAGGAGGGCCAGTCGCCCATCAGCCTGCGGATCAATACCTCTGTCAGGATCTCGAGCAACAACAACCTCGTCTGCTGCAATACCACGCCGGCCGAGAATGCCAAGGCCATTGCTCGTGCTGTCGTCGTTGCGCTCCAGGAGAATAGCTCTGGCCAGTGTGGCATCCCCATGATCGACGAAGACGGCCGGCCTAGACCCGTCAGAATCGAGGTCGACGCCGGCATGGAGGTGCAGGGCATCGGCAACGTCATTGGCAACGAAAAGGTCATCAATGAGGTGTTGAGGCAACGGAGTGAGCTTCGTCGCCGGAGAGACGACGGGGAGGATACCGACCGCCATGATGGACCCGCCAAGCGCAGGAGGACCGAGTGATTTGGCGTTGGGGCTGGTCGAGTCGGCTTCTTGTCTATTGACTTTTTTTTGCATATACATACATACGAGGTTGTGGGATACCCCCTCTGGCCGCTGCTGACGGGAGCGGTGCGAGCCAGATGTCTGTTTTCGGCGTTGGCGAACCTGGGTAAAAATTTCATCATATTCTCTCTCTTTTGGCGTTTCACTCCATAATCGCCTCGGTGAACTTGTTCCGTGCAATAGAGAGGCTCTGCCGCTCTCTGCTCGATTCCGTGACCTGGCTGGACCCCGTGGCCCAAGGTTGGAGCGTAATGCCGTGTGCCAGACACCACACCACACCACGCCAGGCAGCCCAAAGGCGCTCTGGGCTCTCGCTCGCATGTCCGGCTAGTCTTCCTCTTCTCATGCATTCCCAGGAAAATGGGCACGCTTCCCACTTCCCGTAGCCCCTTCCAAGTCGTCGGGACCAGTCAATCGCCTCAACAAGTGCCTTCGTCACGACGGACTAGTTACCGGTGGCTTGGATATGGCTAGCAGCCATCCATCACACCAGCAGCCTCGTCCATTACCGTTCCAGCGGGCTGGAAACGCTAGTGGCCACATCGTGGACGGCACTTTGTATTCATGGCGTCCCGGTGCCAGCCAGTCTTCCCCCAGCGACGTGGCCCTCCTCTGTTCTATTCAGGCTGGAACCCGGTGATATTCTTCCTGGCGCGAGAACTGCCCTAGGCTTCCAACCATTGATGATTGCATCGGCCACCCCCATATCACTGGTAGCAGAGCAGACCCCCTGCACGCAGCGTGGCGACCATCATGGTAAGCCTCAATAGCATTAGCGAAATCACTGCTGTGCCGCCGCCTTCAACGACATGGAGCGACCTTGTTGATCCTGGCTGACTCGTGGGCTGCCCGCTCACCCCATCTATTCGAATCATCTCTCTTTTGCTCATTGGGGACTGCACGCGGCGTCGAGGTGGTCTTGGATTGGTCGGTCCTCTGATTAACATTAGCTGCCCAACGTCACTCACGTCCGCGCAGATGACCGGCCAATCCGGACTCGCCCGTGCTTCCCTTCCAACCAAGGGCTCATCCGCCAGTAAATATTGCTGTCCTCAAAGCTCACGAATGGCGTGCGGGATGCTTCTTCAGCTTGCCCCCATGTTCTGCCCCTCTTTCCCAGGGCTGTCCGCATCCGTGCCATGGCCCACCTCCACAGCCACCATCCGCAATGGAGACTGCAACCTGTCCGGGGTCGCTGTAGATTTTCGATTTTTCCAGACAATCGCGAGCTTTTCTGATGCGCTCAACAACCAACTTCTTCCTCGGTCCTTGTTCGTTCTTTGCAGCGACTTCATCGTGGCTGATACCCCCGAGCCTGTGAGGCCCCATGTCATCCCGCGACAATGGCCAGCTTCACCATTCGCAACCTAACGATTCATCCAATTGACCTCGTTCACGTCCAACGGTTCGAGTGCGACAAAGTCAAGCAGGGAAATGTTCTTAAAAACATGACGAGCGCCATTTCTGGCTTTCTCAATGCTACCGAGACCATTTCTCATGAGATACACCCGAGAGGGAATTCCATCAAAGACGACGATGTTTCCATCCGTGTCGAACCCTTTCAAATTGCTGGGACGGATGTCCGGGCTGCTGACCCAGGAAGGGAAGTGGTTCGTTTGACTTTCAAAACGGAACAGCATTGCTATGAGACCGATGTTCCCAGCCCCAGCGCGAGATCGGCTCTTATGAAGAAGCTGGACGGCGGGCCTCATGATTTGACTGTCGTATATGTTCCGAATGGCGCCCTGATTGCAATCTTCTCGTCCGCCAAACTCCATGCCTGGATGCACGAGCTTCAGGACGAGTGGCCGCTCACCGTCCTTTCCATTCCCGGCACTCATAACTCGCCTACTTGCTACACAGCGCTTCCCTCGGTCCGCTGCCAAGCTGTTGGCGTTCCAGAACAGCTCCAGAATGGTGTCCGATTCCTCGACGTTCGAGTGTCGGCTAATACAGACGACGACGTCCTCACCCTAGTCCACAGCGCTTTTCCGATTTCCCTCAGCGGAAACAAATACTTTTTCGATATGCTTGAGGATATCTACAGCTTCCTAGAGCAAAATCCTAGCGAGGCCATCATCATGAGTGTGAAGCGAGAGGGCACCGGAAAAGGCACTGATGCTCAGATGGGCAAGTACCTCAAAAGTGGCTATGTCGACAAGCGGGCTGACCGCTGGTGGACCGATTCGAGGGCTCCAAACCTTGGCGAGGCCCGTGGCAAGATTGTCCTTGTTCGCCGCTTTGGTCTGGATGATGACATGAGAAACGAGGGCTTTGGTATTGACGCCCAGGAGTGGCCCGACAACTGCGAGGATGGCGTTGGAGGACGCGCTGGCTTTCGCATTCAAGATTTCTATGAAGTCACTGAGAGCCAAAACATTGAAAAAAAGATTGAGTATAGTCGCGGTCACCTTGAACGAGCTGCAGAGCAGGCCTTCGCACTTGCCGGAATGTCCGACTACAATGCCGAAGCTCGCCCTCCACCCTTCTTCATCAACTTCCTTAGTGCGAGCAACTTCTTCAACGCATCATGCTGGCCTGAGAGAATCGCCGCCAAGGTAAATCCAGCTGTGATTGAGTATCTTTGCGGGAAGCATGGCCAAGAAGGTCAGGGCCCGAAGCAGCTCAGAGTTGGCACTGCCGGAACCGGCGTCGTGATTACTGACTGGGTAGGTGCCAATGGTAATTGGGACCTCATCCGCTGCATCGTCGGCATGAACGCTCGCCTTCAGCTTCCAAAGTAGAACCTCATTCAGGACAAAAAAAAAATGTGTGGGCATTACACGTCTTTCACGAATGTAGAAAATAAATGTGGTAGAGCAGTAAAAATTTATATTGGATGTCTTACTATGCGGTCAATCATTCATTTGCATCTGTAAAAATACCAAAGTCAGCACATATACTTGCAATGGTTGCGAAGCAAGATAGATAGGCGAGAGAAGCCAAGGTCAGTTCTCCAAGGTGAAAAGGATGCTCATCATGATCAAGTCAGCTAGAGCTAATAACGTAAAAGTCATCCTGATGGCTGGGCAGTGATACACTTGATATATGAAACATGCTCACCATTAATGATTGACACATCATCGATGTTCATAGACTGTTACGAATACCTAAGAAACAAGTCAGTCCCTGTGTGTGGAAAGAGTCCGCAAAGGTTGAATCAACATATCTGTGCCATGTTAGTACCTTGCGCTGTGCAAAATAGCTTGCTGATACTTACAGAAAACATCAGAAGTTTGGTGTGTTCATGCGCCGACAATCAAAAACGAATGTGGATCAAACAGTGTGAATACTTGATAAACTCATCATAGTGGTCTTATTCAAAGAGGATTCATCTCAATTACCTAATTCAGATACGCGTCAGTTGAGTGCTTTAATGGTAGTCTACACACGAGTTTGTGCAAGCCAAGGTCAGGTGACGAAGTGTCATCCAGAGGTCCTGACCGTCTCCCACCACAAGGGTTGTACGACCTTGCTTTCAAGGGTGAGAGGTGGCAGGGCTCGATATGTCCGCCCGTTCGTTCAAATATTCATCATATGGTGGCAGCTGTCATGGAACCGAGGGGGGATCTTTGAAGTACCTGTTGGGACCAGCATTAGCCACTGCACATTTCATGGAAGCAAAAAGGCATGCAATAAATTCTCCTGTCAGACAAGGCTGAAACTAATACAACAATATCCACATCATGTATTAAGCATGAGGAATCCCTAAGGTGTCGTTTTGATCATCACTTGGAGAGAACTTGAATGCGGGCCAGAAGCTGTGTAGTTTTACCAACCTTTCTAATATTAAGTTGGTCGAGATCGGTGAATGATTTGGGAAAAATCGACGTCTGTTACTTCAGTGGGTTAGCAGAGGCCTTATGAGGCAGTACTGGTAAAGAAGAACTGCGATTCCAAGCTTCTCAGTGTAATTCTAGAGTTTGCTAGTCACCATGGTTTGGTATGAATTGGATTGTTCGTGTAAAGAATTCATCACAGAAAATCGTGGAGCGAGAGGAATAGAGAGGAAGCCTTACCACTTATCGCGGGCACTGCCTTGTGCTAAGCGAAGGAACCGGCGAGCACTTGCTCCCAATTCGAAGCCCTGGATGGTGGATTTTTTGACGAAGGAAAGGGTGGAAGGATTGAAACGAAATGCAGGATTTTTTTTTATGGTGAGAAAGTGAGAATGGAGCATCTAAATGCGCTAACCAAATTAGACTAGCCTTTTTGAACCCGCGACAGTCCAAGAGTGGCTAGGATGTGGCGGTGGCGGTGCATCCGGTCACTCCCGGCCGCGGCATGCGTGGCAAACCACAAGTGAATCTCAGTACCCATCCTAAGAACTAATATAAGTAGGATGTCGCCCAAGGCCAAAAGCCAGGCTCACAGGCCCCTTCAACAAACAAACCGCCCCCCCCGCTTTCATCGGAAGACGAGCAGCAACAACAAACACCAACATGGCGTCCCAAGGGGCAATGTGGGGTCTCACGACCCTGCGATTCCTGAGGTTCGCCGTGGCTAAAACAACAAAGGCGGTTCGCATCAAGATCGCGGACGCTACGAGACCCCTTCAAGGCCAAGTACAAGCCATTCCTGTGCGAAGCGGATATACCGGACGCCAGAGTATTCACCCAGTGGCGCTATCGAAACGGCAGAAACGCGGTTTAAGGTGGTTCTCTGGTACTACTGCCCAAGACATCAATCATCTAGTCCGGCGATATATCAGCTCGGAGCGTACAGGGGCCTCTCGATTCGACAGATCTAAGCTTCCTTCCTCAAACACATCCCGGAGAGTTGCCCAGTTCTCTGGACGTGCTCCATTCGCAAACACGCTACGGCCCAATCTCACTGGTGGTGCCATGCCACGAACCGCCGGAGGATACAGTATTGGTGGCGGAGCGAGATACTTTTCTCACACACCTGCAGCTCCAGCCCAGGTCGTTCAAAATGTTTCTCAAGCAATGAGAGGATTCCTCCTTTCCGGCAAGAAGCTCCGATACGATGGTATCGGACCTCATGGGGAGCGCCGATATCGTGCCGTGTCGATGCTTGAAGACGAAGCTATGAACAAGCTGGCTGCCGTCCCCAGTTTCACTCCTGGCTCCTTCATCGACTTCCAGATGAGTCCCATCATCACAGCCCTGAGCCCCCTCGCCGCCGCTGTCGTTCGTGCCTCCGGCGATTCCATGTTCCGGACTGAGGCAGTTGTTGAGTCCATGGTTCTCGATACGGAAGGGTTCCTCGAAGTCCTGTCTGTAGACTTGCGTCGAGCACGGAAGCATTTGAAGGCAGTCATGTCCGACCTGCAACGGTTAAAAATGTTGGGAGGGCTACCTGTTTCGTTGGAACCAGGCGGCAAGCTTCGTGTTCGCTTCCCAGGTACAGACGCTACATCGGTTGAGCGGCTCTGTGACGACATAGGGATCGAGCGAGGCATCATAGGCCAGGATCCTGGCTTTGATTCCGTCGCCCAAGTCCGGGTAGCTCTCAAATTTCCATTCGCACCAGAATCCGAGCGAACGATCAGCTCACCTGGTGGATCAGCCCGATCGCTGACCGGTTACGAGCTTGATGACGGAGAGTCTTTATTGGAGGACGACTCTTTCGTGAGAGAGGCATTTGCATGCGAAATGGCGGAGAGCCCATGGGCCTCCGAACCCGAAGGCTATGAGAGCATGTCACCACCAATCCAGTCCCCAGAGAGTCTGCCGAACGAACTTTATCGTTATGACGAAATATACCGATTTTTGGAGGAATGTGACCGAGGCAAAGGCAGGCTGGGGTGAGATTTGCGAGACTCATGGACGGAATTAGAGGGTAAAAGGGCTTGTCAATTTGTGACGTGAGCTGGGGCGGATCTACACTCTTTAGTAACGACTATGTGTGTTGTGCTGCAGCACACACAAGATGAGCCTCGCCAGGCGCAGAACTTTTTATGTTTTTATTGAGTCACGTACCTGGAAATGCCAGTGAGTGTTGTAAATGAGCCTGCCTGTTCGGCCGACCCAAGGCTGTGAAAGGTCTGGCCTTCATTGGCTTGGAGAAGGCATCCGATGCCGGCCACTCGCCACGCCATTAGTCCCATTTCGCGGCGGACTTTTCGGAGCGAGCAGGTCGGTTGTGCAAGCAAGATGCTGCAGAAGCATACCGAGTGAGATCAATTCGGCGCACATGACCTGGCAGTGGTTGTCGGAGGGCCGCATGGCTACACGCTCGGGCTGGCTGCGAGCTGGCTGCGAGCTGTACAGACGACATGAGCTGATGCCACCGAGGACGCGCAAGTAAATCTGGTGGGTCGCAGCTGCCGCCAAAGCCCCAACGTCCATCCCCCCCACACACCACCGGTGCCTCGGCTCAAGACAAGCTCCCCCGGAATGCCGCTATATCTAGTGTACATCTCTGGACTCGCGCCCTCTTCGTGATTCATCTACCACTGCATCATCTGGTTGTTAAATTCTTCCCATTTATCTCACAATACAAGCCGTCACTTCCCCATAATGTCTGACCCTGGCGTTGGTTTCGAGTACCCTCCTCAGGAGGTCACTTGGCTGAAGCGGGATGTTTTGCTGTTCGCAAACAGCATCGGTGCAACAGCCGACGAGCTTCACTTCCTCTACGTACGGAAACCTAAATCCTTCAAGACGAGGGATAATCCATGGCTAATTCGACGTCCAGGAACTTCACCCCAAGTTCGCCGTCTTTCCTACATACCCGATTATCCTCAGTTCGTGAGCCCGCAGCCCTCCAATCCGCCACGCAGTACCCCGAGTTTTGTGCTCATTCGTGGCGCGCAGCATTCAAGGGCAAGACCCAAGAAGTCATCGACTTCTACGCCTCTTCTAAAGCCGTCAAGATCCCTGGCGTCCCCGAATTCGATTACCGCCGCGTCGTCGATGGCCAGCGAAAGATGGAATTCCTCAAGGCTCTGCCCACGGCCTCCGAGGGAAGGAAGTTCGAATCCAGAACCAAGGTCCTTGGTGTCTATGACAAGGGCCGCCCAGGCACCGTCCTCGACGTCCAGACCGATCTCGTCGACACCGCTACCGGCGAGACTTACACCCGCGTGACGTCAAGCTCCTTTTTCGTCGGCCAGGGTGGCTGGCACGGCCCAAAAGGTCCTGCGACCAAGAATTTCCCTCCTCCCAAGGATAAGAAGCCCGATGCCGTTCTGGAGCACCAGACTACCGCCGAGTCGGCCCTGCTGTACCGTCTCAACGGTGACTACAATCCTCTCCATGCTACTCCCGAGCCCGGCCAGAAGATGGGCTTCGGAGGCGCCATACTGCACGGCCTGTACTCATGGAACACCACCTGCCATTTGATTCTCAAGGCCTTTGGCGGCAGCGACCCTGCCAATATCAAGGACTACCAGGCTCGTTTTGCAAGCCCTGTCAAGCCTGGCGATAAGCTGGTCACTAGTGTCTGGCGCACCGGCGAGAAGCAGGGCGACTTTGAGGAGCTTCGATTTGTGACCGAGGTCGCAGGCGGCAAGGTGTGCTTGAGCAATGGCCGTGCTTTGGTACAGGTTGTTGGAGGCGCTGGTAGCAAGCTGTGAGACCGAGGTCCGTAGTCACAATAGTCGGCCGTTTGAATGTGTACCATGCAGATGTGTAACGATGAATAATTTCACAATCCACCACACGATTTTTCCACCTTCCACCCTTCTTGGAAGCTGTCGTCGAGAACACGAGCATGTTGCGTTGAGCTCGGCGGCGTCGAGAAGCGGGTTTGCCCAACGGCTGTGGAGCTGGGGCTTCCCAAACTCTGCTGCTGCGCTTTCTTGGCCTGGCCCATGCTCACGGTCTCCGTCATTACAGCATCGAATATTATGACTTTATGGGACACGCTGCGGCACTCAATTCACGGCAGATCAAATGCTGTCCCTCACTAGAGCCCGTCAACAATGAGCAAAGAACCTTACGTGGGCCAGCGAGTTTCCTACGGCGGCGCACTCTGCACTGTCCGCTATGTCGGTGAGGTCGCGGGAACCACGGGCTCATGGCTGGGCGTAGAATGGGACGACCCGACCCGCGGGAAACACGATGGCTCGCACAAGGGCGTGCGCTACTTCACATGTATTCCTCTAATGGCCCTTCCAGGTGGATCATCCTAACAAGGTCAATCTAGGTCTCTCGAGGTCGTCCACGGCTGCGTCCTTTGTCCGCCCTACGCGGCCCAAAGACGATGTCCAGGGCTTCCTATCCGCCCTCAGGGAGAAATATGTCTCTGACCCAGAACAGGACAAAAACGGCCAGCCGGACGCTCAAATCATCATCTCTGGAACAAAGGTTGCAGAAGAAGTGGGCTTTGACAAGATCTGGAAGAAGCTCGCACAGGTCAAAGACCTCAAGGTCGTGATTTTGGACGGCATGCGAATAGCTGTTTCTCGACAGGATGGGGATGATTCCATCGCAGAGTCGTGTCCCAACATCACGCATGTCGATTTGAGCAGAAACCTGTTCGAGACGATTGGGCCAGTGGCGGATATTTGCGCAGAGCTAAAGACGTTGCGGAAGCTGAGCATCGAGTGAGTAGCGCTTCTTTTGCACATGGTCATTCATGCGCGCCCGTTGGCTGACGCTGCCTCAAGCGGCAACCGATTCCAGGGGCTCTTGCAAGACGCGGCCCTGGACAGGCTCAGCTCTGCATTCCGGGGCGTCGCGGAATTATCACTCCAAGAGACGCTGCTCACCTGGGAGGAGGTGTGTGCAATTGCCGTCCGATGCCCCAGCTTGAGGGACTTGAATGCCGGCTCGAATCAACTTACGTCCCTCGCAAAGATGGACTACCTCTCTCTCTCGTCCACATTAACCTCGATAAATCTCGAATTCAACGATTTCACGTGTCTGTCTGACCTTGCGAGCCTCACACGCTTGACCTCCCTGCGAAACCTCAACCTCAAGGGCAACAATATCGCTGCCATCACAGCGCATGGCGTCCCCAGCCCCGTGTTCCCTCCGTCTCTACAATACCTCGACTTGTCGTACAACAACATATCCGCCTGGTCCTTTGTAGACCTTCTGCCCGCTCACTTCCCTGGCCTCAACGCGCTGCGCCTGTCACACAATCCCGTCTACAACGCCGCCGGCAGCGACGACACGAAGGCATCATCCTCGGAAGAATCACACATGCTCACCATAGGAAGGCTCGCCAATCTGCAGAGTCTGAATTACGCACAAGTCAAGGCCGCGGATCGAACAAACGCCGAAATGTTTTACTTGTCGCGGATAGCGAAGCAGCTGGCTGCAGTCCCCGAATCTGCAGAACATACCGTCTTGGCTCAACACCCGCGGTACGGGGAGCTCTGTGCCATCTACGGGGAACCGGACGTTGTTCGCAGGGACGAGATTAACCCTAATTTCTTAGAGGCGCGCCTTATCTCGGTGACGTTTCATCTTGAGGGAGCGGAGAAGAGGACGTGCAGGATACCCAAGTCCTTTGACGTTTATGCCGTCAAGGGCATTGCGGGCAAGTTGTTTGATTTGCCGCCGTTGAAAGTGAAACTGGTCTGGGAGACGGGGGAGTGGGATCCCGTGGCAGGATACGATGACGGCGACGGGGACAGCAGCGATGACGAGGACCTGCGTGGTGGAGAGACCGCGGCCGCGGGGGCGGATGAAGACGTTGACGGGCGGTGGATAGAGAGGGAGGTGGAGCTGAAGGACGGGCCTAAGCAGCTTGGATACTGCGTTGACGGGCTAGACGTGTCTATTCGGATCGAGAGGCGTTGACGTGGGAAACGTCGTGTTCTCAAACGCCTTGAACAGTGGACGACAGGTGAGCGAGCGTTGGCCCGGGTCCCTCGTTCTGGGGGGAAAAGAACTCGGCGCGGATTTTTCACTTGCGGCATTGCTCAACTACATGGTGATGTCATGCTCGGTTCCGTTGAGGGAAGCGGCGTTGTGAGTCTCACGGAGCAATGTCGCTGTAGGACTTTGTCGACACAAACAACGTGCCGTCGTGATTGCACCGTTCAACCTTGCTCGCACGCCTGACGATGCCAGATAACAAGCGGTGTCTTGGAAGGTACGAGACTCCAACCCTGTAGTTCTCATGTCTGCAAGGAAACAGTGGTGCCCGATTCTACGCGTTTCACAGAAAGCAACTTGAGACGATTAAATTCATCAGTCATCAGGAGTACTGTGACGTCATGACAAAGAGCACGGCGAGTTCTCACCAACCCGACTTGTGGCCGGCACACGATTGCACGATCGACTCGCTAGGCAAGAAAAACTGACTACTGCCGCTCAAAGTGCCGATGGGACACTGGGACCTTGTCAAAACAGCACGACGGGAACCCTGTGACAGCGGGGATGAAGATCACCTGGTGTGACGAGGCCATCGGAAGAAGCGTCAGTACGTGGCCTAATTCCGACCAGGCGTCTGGCCGCGGAGGCGCCGGTCCGGGCAACTCAAAGGTCAAAGGTGATGTTGACGGCGACAACGCACAAGGTACGAACGGTGGCGGCCACCCCACTGAAGGACACGTAATGGGCGATGTACATCCATTTTTGCAGGGCAGAAGCTCCGGCAATCGAAAGTAGGGGAAGGGGGGAGGATCTGTCTCTCATCATCGATTTGACACGAGACATTTAGTTCTACCATTACAGAAGAACCTCTCAAGTAGCCCTCCAGCTTCATAGATTCGTAAAACATGCCGCAGGTCATTGGCAAGGAAGTCGGTCCCATTGGGTACGGTCTCATGGGTATGTCACGGTTTCACGCACGTCTGTCCTGGACCGGATGACTGTTTTGCTAAACGTGGACAGGCTTCACCTGGCGCCCTGAACCGACGCCCACTGATCAGGCCATCGAGGCGCTCAAGGCGGCTTTGGAGAGCGGCCTCACCCTGTGGAACGGTGCCGAGTTCTACGGTACTCCCGACTGCAACTCCATGACCTTGATGAGGGCGTACTTTACTAAATATCCCGAGGATGCCGACAAAGTCACCCTCGTTGTCAAGGGGGGCATGGATCTCGCCACGCACAGGCTGGACGGTAGCCCCGAGGGCACTCGTCGCAGTCTGGATAACATTATCAAGCAGCTCGGCGGGACGAAGAAGCTCGACGGGTTTGCTCCTTCACGACGCGACCACAACACGCCGCTTGAAGTCACCTATGGAGTCATCCAGAAGGAGTACATTGACACTGGCAAGCTGGGGGCCGTCTACTTGTCAGAGTGCAGAGCTGAGACTGTTCACGAAGCGGCCAAGCTTGCCAGGATTGGCGCCGCCGAGGTTGAACTGAGCATGTTCAGCCCAGATATTCTTACCAACGGCGTCGCCAAAGCTTGCGCTCAGCATGACATTCCGATCTTGGCCTACTCGCCCATGGGCAGGGGGGTATGTACACACCGAAATCAAATTCGCACCATCCTGGGGGCCAAGTAGGTGGCTAACGGGGCGTCAAGATCCTTACCGGTCGATTCAAGACTGTTGCAGACGTCCAGGATCGCGGCGTCATATCCAGCTTTCCGCGCTTCCAGCCCGGCGCATTCGAGCACAACCTCCAGCTTGTCGATCAGGTCGAGGGCATTGCAAAGGCAAAGGGGTGCACACCCGGCCAGCTGGCTATCGCGTGGGTGCGCAAGCACAGCAACCGCCCCGGGCTGCCTACCATCATTCCCATCCCTGGAGCTACCGCCGCCTCGAGAGTCAGGGAAAATGCAAAGCTGGTGGACATTACCGAGGAGGAATTCGCCACCATGAGCAACTTGGTCGAGAACTTTGAGACCGCGGGAAAGAGATATCCGGATCACATCCCTACCAACACCTGAGCGGGACATCTATCTTGCCGTCAGCATTTGTTGTTGATGACTTGCAGTAGATAGTGGGCGTATATTCTAGTGCCAAGTGACTATGACTCAGGGAAACATTTGTCCGCATATAGGCCATAAATGGCTTTCAGAATTGCAGAATTCAATAAAAATTGAATGCATCATGTCGAGTGAGAAACGGTTTTGCTTCGAGTTGAAACTTACCCATGTGGTGGTGCCTGCAGCGAGCTCGACGCTGTATAGGAACGTGTACGATTGTGCGTGCGCCAGTGCCCAAGTCAACATCCTGCGAGCGACAAGTCAGTCAATACGCCGTACTTTTCGTCGACTCTATTGCGCGCAATGGCATCGCAACTTGGATCAATGTCAAGGGCGAGGTGGAGGTTGCCGAAATATTCTCATTTCTGATTTCCACCCACCCACGTGACCGGGTCTGGCATCATGGCAAGAACAAAATTTTGGCACGGCTTACGGCTGCTGAGGGGTTGCGAAATGGCGAGAATATCATAGGGTCCTCCACTGCGCCTCGGAAATCAAATCAGATTCAGAATGGGGTTCTGCATGTCAACTTTCGTCGGCAATGGGTGCCTCAAATGCCTTGTACTGTAAACATCACGAAACAGGGAACCTCTCTGATCTGTCATCTTGCAAGGCGTTATTGGCGGGGGTATACAGAATACGTCGTTCTCGCCAACGAATGCTAATCCCAACCGAACACTTCCCACTCTGCATGCCTGTTTACACTATGAAAGCCCCATTCAAGCCAACTGCTTCGACTCGATTAACCAACTTTTTGACACTGGTCCATTCCTCACTCTTCAATCCTTCCTTGCCACCAAAGCCGCTACCTACCTCAAAAACGGTCAGTGAACCATCTATTCCGCCGGTGGCCAGCCTCTTGCCATCATTTGGCTCCCATGCCAGCTTGTTCAGGCTCTTGGAGAGCATCGTTCTTCCGTCTTGGCGCTGACTGGGCGAGATTCGTGAAGTGGGCTCTTCGGTTTCGACGGCAATGTCCCAGAGTTCTAACCACCCAGCACCATCAACCAGAGCAAAGACGCTTGGCTTCACTGGCGACCATCGGGCATCATATACAACATCTTCCCGAACAAAATCGATGAGTGGTGCAACACTGCCATCCCCCGCCCCAACTGTAGAAGTGGCCGCCGGCGCGCGAACCTTCCAGAGCTTCACGCTCCAGTCAAGCGAGGATGAAATAATCAAGTCGCCCAAGTCAATAGGGCCACGTGATGGATGGAAATCAACAGACATGACGGGGGCTGTGTGGCCCTTGTAGCTAATTTTCTTGTCCACCCCAGCCTTTGCGCCAGCCCGGTCGTATCTGTGGCATGGAAAGATTGTGCCTTCTTCGCTTCCAACCAAGAAAAACGTAGGGTCTGTCTGAGGGAAAGAAACGCATGTTGGGCTGACATCCTCTACAGCCACTTTGGCCTGGCTAGGATTTTTCAGTTCCAGGAGCTCTTGCGGCTGCGCAAAAACATCCATACTCCACCCACAGACCACGCCGTCCGTTGAGCAGGAAATGATATTGTTCGCATTCTGGGTCCCGACAATATCGACAGAGTAAATAGGATGCGCGTGGCCGTATCCAGTTAGCGGGGTCTTCTGCACGGGAGCAGCTTTCGCTCTCGTATCCCAGAGAAGTACTTGTCCGCTGTAGGATCCGCCAATAATCAAGTTTGGGTGATAGGGAGAGAATTTCGCGGTGAGAATGTCAGACTGTGCGGTAAAAACGTACTCGGGACGGTTATGCATGTGCGTGTTCCAAACTTGGACGATGCCGTCAGGTTCGTGAGGCGCCGTGGGATTTTTGGTATACGACGCGAGCAGGAGCTCACTAAATTTCGGAGAGAAATCGATGCCGCTAATCATGCGCTTTTTGGACCATCGATCATCAAAGAACTGAACCACTTCCTTTATCCGATGGGAGCCACGGCCACCACTGTTTCCGCTTTCTTCGTCGTCGTCATCCTGATCCTTGCCCTGCAAGGCGTAGTCTGTCAAAATATCGTAGGTTTCGTGGTCAATGGCTCGTTCGATAACCTTGGTAGATTGTTCGAGGAAGTCAACAAATGCCTCAGACCGCGTAACAGCTTCCAACTCCTCTGCAGTCAACTCTCTTGATGGATAGTTGGCGGACGCCGCTGGGGGCGCTGTGCTAGTACCGTCTGCGAGGGACTCTTTCGCTGCTCGTAGCTCGGCCTCTACTTCCTCGCGAATCTTTTGACGCAATTGCTCCTCCCTGTCCCTTTCTCTTCTGCTCTGCCTCTTATTTGGCGAGTTGGTGGTCCCCGTCGTCAAATCATCGCTGTCTGATACGGTTGACTGCGCCCGGTTTCTTGCCGGCGAGGGCCATTCGTCTGAAGTCTGAACGCCTTTGCTGTAGGAAAAGACCTCCTTGACGGGAGATGGTGGGCACTCGTACACTGTCGTCAGAGGTGCTGTGCTGAGTTGTGGCGGAGGAGGAGCGGCAACTGAAGCTGCTGCGGACTCGGATGCCTCGTTGCTAAGTTCTCCTGCACTGAGGACACTGTTTGGTCGGCTTGCACGAGGGCCACCAGGAGATGCGGCGCCTCCCGTTGTTGTCGAACCGGGCCGGCTTTCGCCAACTAGGCTGTTGATGAGATATTCGATTTCACGGCGGTTGTCTGCTCTACTCGGCGTCGGCGATATTAACTGAAGATGGCTTCCTGTTAGTTGCATGGCGCAAAAGAGTACGCAGAAGATGGGGGTAGACGAACGTCACCGCCGCCTAGATTTTGGCGGCCAGCACTGGCCTGGCTGGCTCGAATTTCTCTCTGTCGCTTGAGTTCCGCAAGCTTGGCCTTTTTCGCAAGGATTTCATCTCGACGTTGCTGCATCTTGATTGCTTGACCGGCCCATTGCGGGACAGGCAAATCAGGAGAGCGCTCAGGGAGTCGGGCAGCGAAGCAGGAAGGTGAAAAGGGGACAAGAAGAAGCCGCTCGGGTGGTAGTGACGCTTCGAATCAGTCCAGAGGGATGGCAGGAATAAATAAGGGCAGTGAAGGACCAAAGTGTATACGTCTGAGAATCTACCACGCCAGTCGCTGACGATTCGCGGTCCGAAGAGGGTGTCGCATCAAGAACCTGACAACGAAGTCCATGGACGAGTCAGCGGCTACGCAACCCCTGTGCCTGGCACTCAGGGCATTGTGCTCCGTAACGAACCGTACTAGTAACTAACGTTACTCCGTACACCGGGTGCGAACGCTAGTAGCGCCAAGACGCCAGGCGCCTGGCACCAGAACACGGCCCTGTGTCGGGCTCGAGTGCTCAAGTGCTGACACCTGGGGCTCGCTGTTGCTGGCTGCAAGCCGCGCCGAACTCACGCTTCACGTGATAGACCCAGCCTCTTCGGCCGTCAATGTCGCGCGTGGGCCTGGCCATCCTGGCCACGGGCGATGCATGTGCCGTTGAGCTCCCCTGTAGCCTGTAGCCTGTAGCCTGTAGCCTGTAGCCTGTAGCCTCTGGCCTGGACCGTGGCGGGCCATTGCCGCAAGTCCGGCAAAACTGCGACTTTTCCCGACATCTGGAGCAACTGCAAATCTTCTTCACCTTGCCGCCAACGCCTCGTTTCCTCGAACCTCCACGACAGGGCCCCATTGACACCCATTGTCAGCCCTCGAGTTACGTCCTCTCTTCCGGATCGCTTCTCGCATCTGTTGCGCATCTTGCGACCGTCATTCCCAATGGCCTCGACTGGCGTCAACGTTCGTTTCCCGCCCTGTCGTCTCCTATTGTGCAGCCGCCCATGGCCGTCCAGCCATCGTCTGGCAACACCAGCGACATGCAATTGGGACGACAAATTTCAATGAGAAAGATGGCGGGATGCTGATTGGATTCACAATAGGTCCTCCGGTGGTCCGCGCTCGCCGCGGGCGTCTTCTACGGGTTTTCTCACCAGAGAACGATTACCGCGACACAACGAGCCGAGCATGCCAAGCACGAGTGGGAGAGCAAGCAGAAATTGATAGATCAGGCCAAGGCCGAGTACGCCAAGAAGAACAATCCGGCTCCCGCTTCCTCTTCCAAGGATGATGGTACGCAGTCATCGCCCTGGGGCTCCTCTCCCAAGTCTCAAAAAACCGCATGCGTACCGAGTAGAAGATTAACCTCCATGCACAGTTGTCACGGATGTCAATGACCCCAAGTTCGATCTCGAGAAGCTGTTGCTGAAAGCGTCCAAGGAGAGCCCTTAAACGGATTTAAGGGGAAGACAGATTTGACCGGGGAGATGGATAGCTGGTAATAAAATGGATCGGGAGGAAGGACAAATCTGCGCCTGGTAAAGGGCTGATAGACTGTCAATGCCTCTAGAGGGTCCAAATTATGGCAGAGTCGCTGTATGATGGAGGTTACGCGAGACGCTACTGCATAGAGGTTTCCTTGCGTTCCTGTTTACCTAAGTGTACAGGTGTAAAAATATGCACAATTTAGACGGCAACATCGAAACGGTTCCTTACAACAATCGCCTGCATCTGCTTGGAATTCGGCGACGGCTGCCAAGGTTGAAGTGCATAAGAGCAGTCAGGATCGACATGACACTGTTAAGAATTCGAATGAAAAAGCCATCTTGCCCAGCTCGTGCGCAAACCCGCCGATCCTCAGCCAGCCACCGCAAATCGTACTCGTGAGGCCACGGCGGCAATGAACTGCATACCAGGGCATTGCGATATCGATTGGGCTTCTCGTCGAATGCGTGAAATGCTACGGAGTAACTAACTACTCATCCGTTGGTTTGACGATGTGTCGTGGCGGGAAAAATTATGGAGACCAATGGGAAGCACCCAAGCAGCTTGGATGCTGGCGGTGGCCCCACATATTTACGCCTCATGCACGACGTGCCAGAAGCTCCAAACTGTCCTTATGGCAAGTGGTCGTGGTCGCATCAAGACTAGAGTTCTCTCCCATCAACCTTACAGGGCAACAATCGCCAGTAGTCGTCGCCAACATGACGACCGCAGCCCCATCACGCCTTGATGGTGTCAATAAAAAAAGCACAAGGACACTCTTGAGGGTCGTTATCCTTCTGTTCATTGCCGGCGCCGCCATCTCAAGTCGATTGTTCTCTGTGATTCGTAAGTCCCGTCCAAACTGAGAAGCAACTGCTCTGGAGTCTCTCGGCGAGCCAACCTCTTCAATGCCTGTCGTGCTGATAACTAACATGTTCAAACTAGGATTTGAAAGTATTATTCACGAATGTCGGTCACCTCCCTCGTCCCCAGTCAAACCGTAGCCGTTGTCTGGTACTGACTGAATCTAGTCGACCCCTGGTTCAACTTCCGAGCGACCAAGTATCTCGTTGCCAACGGATTCTATAAATTTTGGGATTGGTTCGATGACCGAACATGGCATCCTCTGGGCCGTGTCACCGGGGGTACTCTGTATCCAGGTCTCATGGTTACCAGCGGCGTCATCTACCACGCCCTGAAGGCGCTGGCCATTCCCGTCGATATTCGTAACATTTGTGTCCTGCTTGCTCCTGCTTGCTCAGGTCTTACTGCCTACGCGGCATACCTCCTCACCAATGAGATGACAATATCTCCATCTGCTGGTCTTCTTGCTGCCGTGTTCATGGGCATAGCCCCAGGGTACATCTCGCGATCCGTTGCCGGAAGTTACGACAACGAGGCCATCGCCATTTTCCTTCTCGTCTTTACCTTCTACCTGTGGATCAAGGCACTGAAGCTGGGCTCTATGCTCTGGGGTGCGCTGTGCGCTCTCTTTTACGGCTACATGGTGGCATCATGGGGTGGTTACGCCTTCATCACCTGTCTTTTGCCCCTCCATGCCTTCGTTCTCATCTGTATGGGCCGCTACAGCACTCGGCTTTACGTCAGTTACACCACATGGTATGCTCTGGGAACCATCGCTAGTATGCAGATTCCCTTTGTTGGTTTTCTGCCAGTGAAAACCAGTGAGCACATGCCCGCGCTAGGTATGAACGTCAACACGAAAGCGATTGTCCCTTTAGACTGCATACTGATTTTTGACTAGGCATCTTTGGCTTCCTCCAGTTGATCGCGTTCATTGAATATGTCCGATCCGCTATTCCTAGCCGCCAGTTCCAGACTTTTCTTGTCACCATCCTCATCGCCACTTTTGGCGTTGGCTTGATTGCTCTCGTTGGTCTTACCTCCTTGGGCTATATCGCGCCGTGGAATGGTCGCTTCTATTCCCTTTGGGACACCGGCTATGCTAAAATCCATATCCCCATCATTGCTTCCGTATCCGAGCATCAGCCTACCGCCTGGCCCGCTTTCTTCTTCGATCTCAATTTCCTCATCTGGCTCTTCCCCGCAGGTGTCTACATGTGCTTCCAGGACCTCCGCGATGAGCACGTCTTTGTTGTCGTTTACGCATTGTTTGGCAGCTACTTCGCGGGTGTCATGGTTCGACTCATGCTGACTTTGACTCCTATTGTCTGTGTTGCTGCCGCCATTGCTTTGTCGAGCCTGCTCGACACCTATATCTCAGCCAAGTCTCCTAGCCCCGAGGAAGTAGCAAGTGCCACCGAGGCGGCCTCCAAGAAATCACCGAAGCCATCGGCTGGTCTCAGGGGGAGCGGGAAGCCAATCATTGGCATCTTCCATTCATCCTCCAAGATTGTCGTCGTTGCCTCTGTCATTGTGTATCTTCTCATGTTTGTTATGCACTGCACCTGGGTCACCTCCAACGCCTATTCCTCTCCCTCGGTTGTCCTGGCAAGCCGGCTGCCAGATGGTAGCCAGCATATTATTGATGATTACCGAGAGGCGTACCAGTGGCTGCGACAGAACACCAAAAAGGATGCCAAAATTATGTCTTGGTGGGACTACGGCTACCAGATTGGTGGTATGGCTGATCGACCAACATTGGTTGACAACAACACCTGGAATAATACCCACATCGCCACTGTCGGCAAGGCCATGAGCTCGAGAGAAGAAGTCAGCTATCCCATCATGCGACAGCACGAGGTCGACTATGTTCTTGTCGTCTTTGGTGCCCTCCTGGGTTACTCTGGTGATGATATCAACAAATTTCTCTGGATGGTCCGTATCGCTGAGGGCATCTGGCCCGATGAGGTCAAGGAACGTGATTTCTTTACGGCCCGTGGCGAGTATCGCGTCGACGGAGAGGCGACTGAGACGATGAAGAACAGCTTGATGTGAGTTCCAACACAGATGACACACACACACACACACACACACGAGATGGGCCTCGCTAACAGGTGGAAACCAGGTACAAAATGTCGTACTATAACTACCACTCTTTGTTCCCTCCCGGCCAAGCCGCTGACCGCGTTCGTGGTGTGCGTCTCCCTGACCACGGCCCAGTACTGAACACTCTGGAGGAGGCTTTCACCAGTGAAAACTGGATCATCCGAATCTACAAGGTCAAGGATCTTGACAATTTTGGACGAGAGCACGCCGCTGTTGCGGCATTTGAAAAGGGACAGAAGAAGAAGAAGGCCAGCAAGAGGAGAGGCGCCCGTGCCCTGCGGGTAGAGTGAGTTGCTCGATACCACTATCTAGAGCGTTTGGGAATAGGGGAAACAGTAAATTTGAAAATTGAATGGTCATGTACGTCTGAGGCACGTATGGCATGTGTAATGTATATCACTGTATGAATCGAGGAGAATTTAGAAAAATGACGAGGCGACAGTATTCGTCAGGTACGTACTCTTAACTGCGTGCCCAGCGGTCGACAGGCGTCTGGCGAGTCGACTCGTCAGTGACTCGGCTGGACGCTGCAGAGCTGGCAGCTGCAGCCGTCTGTGGCAGCTGCCGGCCTGGTGCAACTGAAAAGTCCACCGTCTGGCGCAATTTCTTCTCTGCCTGCTGCGTTCATGTCTTATTCCTTTCTAAATTCACGCCGCCTTCACTCCTATGTCTGGGGGCGTCCTCTCGTCTTCTCTACAGCCATGACAATTTGCAGCACTTTCCCCTCGCTCTACAGTCACCAGCGCCGTAGCACTGGTACTGCTGCACCCAGTCCCTCTCTGGCCTGTCATAATGGGTCATAGGTGGAAGCGGTGGTACGCATCGGCCTCGGCTGAGCCAGAGATTGATCTATTATCAGCCGTGTTTGGGCTACCTTCGCGGAGGGATCTCAAGCGTGCCTCTGAAACGACCAGGCGAAAGCACTCACCTCGCTACGACTCGGGCTCTGATGCCACGAAGAACGATGATGATGGTGATGATGATCAGAATGAACAGTCCGATGATAGCTCCGACCAACCATCCATACACGACACCACTAGGAGATCCGATGACCTGAAACTGAGGCATTCAGCCACGTCGATCCGCAAGTCGATGTCTAAGAAGAGACAGCACACCCACAGCCGAAGTTCATCTGCAAAATCTCAACGGAGCACTTTGTCCAAGAAGACCAAGTGTTCCAGCGAGCTCAAAAACAAGACTAGGACTTGTAAGCGGCCTTCTGCCAGCTCGATACGCAGAGACGAAGAATCTAGTTCTGCTTCAGTATCTCCTTCGGCACGTTTTTCGACGGCGAATGTGTTGCAAAAGAGTCAGGAAACAGTCCCTTCCCCCGGCTTGTTCAGTTCAAACATTCAACGCCATGTAGCCAACGATACATCTCGATCGACATTTCCATATATGCTGCAACCCATTCCGACTTTCCTACCGCATTATGCACCAGCCTATCTTGTCCACTCGGGGAAATATCCCCAAGAAACTCAAACTTCGGAGTGGAATCGAGCATCAACATCCTTTTCTATAGGTTCTAATTTCCAGAATCTTCAGAGGCTTCAACTACTGTTGGACCGTCTTCACCGAGAGCTTCTGAAACAGCCTACAGATTCGCAGCTTCACAACGACTATCAAAGTGCCCAGAACCAGCTCAATAGTCTTTTGGACTCAATGGTGGCACGCAAGTCAAACGGCATGAAGCAGACCTCATTGGATAAGGCAAAAACACCTGCTGAGACATTGAAGTCTAGAGAACCACTTGTGGACAAGGAGAATGTGGCCCCAGCCTCAATCTACGATGAAGCCGCAGTAGAGTCCTACATTCCTTCTGAACATCATGACTGCAGAGATCGAACCTTTTCTATTGCCCATTTGAGGGAGAAAAGTCCATCCCGTACCATACGTCACCATTTGTGTTCCGGCTGTGGCAGCGTTCGATCCCAAAAGTTTCATGAAAAACACCCCATTGGCACCTGGCATAAACCTGTCTTGAATTTTTGCTCATTTTGTCGAGAAAAATTACTTAAAAAAGGACGGATTGAAAAGTATCATTTTTGCTTTGGTTGCGGAAAGGTTCGGTCGAAGGCTTTCCAGAAGAAGTACAAACCCAAACCGGGGCATGCGCTTCTCCCCAACTACTGCGGAAACTGTACTGCCGAAGTAAGGGTGAACGAGGAATTGAACGAGATGTCAGTTCTCGAATCTGTAAGTCGAAGTCCAAATGTACCAGCGGATAATCCGTCTCACATTTTGGCAGACGACAGCACACTCGATCAGCCCACCAGAGCAGGGCTGTAGTATTGCAGATACGGGCTCCTCCAACTTGCCTGGCTTATTCAGAGATGGCTTGCCGTCACATTGCGATTCAGACTTACCGATCGAGGAATTCGGCGCCAAAACATCGAGGTCAAGAAATGAAGCGAGGCTTCGCCTCGACCATGTATCAGCTGAAAACACTTCATCGGTTCCAGTCAGCCCTGCTGAGTCGTCGCCCTTTTATCCCGGACGTAGACTAGGCTCGGCCCAGCGTCGTGCACAGAGAGAAGTGGCGAAAAATTTCAAAGAGTACCAAAAGAAACCCCGTGACTCACTGAACCAGGGAGGATATCATGCTCCGTATGTTGAGGAAGAAGACTCTGTTTCTGAACAGAGGATGTCTCTCTCAAACTACGGAAGCACCGTCGAAAGTTCAAATAATGGGGGCTTTTCGGAGGAACGCCAGAAAAATAAGGAGTGTCAGGGGAGCAAAAGAAGAAGTTCCGGGACGGAGGGACAGAATTGGAGTCCGGATTTCATATACGAACGTGCTGCTCCTTTACAATCCACCAATTCCTCGAGTGAGAGAACCCTGCGATACCATCACCTTGACAACCGCGGACAACATCGTGAGAAGATAACAGAGGATCCCCGGCATAATCGACAAGATTTCCCTCGGCCAGACTCCTTTTGTGAACCTTCCAGGTTCCCAACGGGCGTCTTCGGCAAGAGCAACAAGGAGGGTGAAGATGGTCCCGGCCAGGGTCCGAGGCGAAAGTCGCCGCTTGGCAACGGTGAATGGTCCCATTACTCAACAATCAGTAACAAGCAAGAAGATAGGACTGGAAATCGTACCAAACAGCCTGATCCGCCCGCATTTCGAAGTTCCCGAGGGGCTTTTGGGCCAGGCTACAGCCCAAAACAGCCTCACTTCACTATGGATCAACACGACCAGGCACGTTGTAGTCGGTCAGGAATTCGAAGCCCAAACGCACAAGAGGACATGCCAGCCGGCCACAGAAACCCAAGCAGCCCTTCCTTGTCCGGTTCAAACGCCGGCAAGCCCCCAAACAAGTTCAATTCGCACACCCCCAACGAAACAGCATACGCCCGCTCAGTATTCACAGATTACTCCCGATCTACCGACAATCCATACTACAAGCCCCGAGCTCGGCCATTCCGCAATGCCGCCAACAGCGACTTTTGCGACACTTGGGACTGGAGGAGCAACAGGGGGCGGAATACTCAGAATAATCAAAGACCTGGCGACGGCCCCTTTGACGGCCATGTACCGGAACCCATCATTGAGGAGCCAGTCTCGCCGTCTTCCTCACCTGTCCAGCCAACAAAGCTACTCGGTCAGTATCTCTACCTCCTTGCCCCGAACAGCCATCCAACCAGTCTCTTAGAGTTTCACATTCCAAACGACGAGTCATCGGGCGACCCAGATTCCGAAGATGGTGATTGCTCAGCAGAAAGTATCGCTTTGAACTCTACTGTATCGTCTTTGCAAGCCGCCGGGCCCATGAGCGCGACTGCGCAGTGATCACAAGTCCTGGTCGGCGGTGTATTTTATCAGATCTGTTGGATGCTTAGCTCACAGCGCCGCCAAATGTAAGGTGGGGGATCAAGTTGCTTCTGTCGAATGTATAAACCACGAATTGTTTCGGTAGCCTGGCATTTGCACACATACAGCGTGGAGGTGATTCGTAATTTGGCGGGATTCTTTACACGTCGAGTTGGAGCGTTAGTGAAAGACCCGGGCAGGGGAGAGGTTCTTGACATTCAGCATCCAGCTAAGACGCCAAGTTGTTGCCCTAGACTGCTTGTATTCAGTGTTAAACTTCTATAAACCGGTTTTGCCTTTATCCATAAAGCGACTTCATTACCACATCTTTGCATATATCCATGTGACCCTACGTAAAGAAAAAGAGAACAAATGGCCGGAAAAACAAGAAACGATTCGCCATACATGGCCCAGCTCCAACAAAGGTGAGATGACACTGAGCATGAAATGAAAGCAATGGCCGCGCCGACGCCCTCGTCGGGTCCCTTCTCAGCACCACCAGGCCACACACAGGTCCTATCGTCGTCGCCCACCTAATACATTCTCGTCGAGGCACCAGCCGGCCCGGTGGCAGGGGAACCCCTCCGCGAAAGAGCTTGTCTCGCGGCCCAAAACTCAACGGCCGCCAGACGCTTCTGCTCAAACAGTCGACTGCGCTCCCGCTCTCGTCCCACCTGCCGCGCCCGCTCGGAAATGTCCGCACTGGCCTCGTCAGACTTGCGCTTCCGCTCCGCCGCGTCCCGGACTCGCTTCTCGGTCCTTTGGCACACGGCATCTAGCTTGGCTGCTATCTGGGGACTGGCCAGCTCCAACTGTCGCCCATCTGGCGGCCGCGCAGCCGAGGATCCTCCCCAGAAGCACCCGAACGTGAGTTTCGTTTGGTTCCTGGGGTCCTGTCCGCCCCAAATCATGAGAGAGTCGCCGTTGTGAAGCTTGGCCCAGTATTTGGACGGACCGCTTGGGTTTCTGGGATCCGACGACGGCAAGTTGTACCCGTTGATCTTGATGCCTAGAGTGGCCTTTGTGGATATCCAAAAGTGATGGTGCGCATCTTCTTGCGAGGCTTCCTTGCACCACGGCTGATCTCCTGTTGGGCAATGTTTTGACGCATCGAAGCCATCTTTCCACAGCATGATTTTGAAGGCATACTTTGGTACTCGTGGTTCTTGTTTGTCCTTGAAACTTTGAGTATTTTCTGGTCCCCTGCCAAACGAGACGAACGAGTCGGTGATGGGGAATGTGATCCCTTGGACACGAGAAGAGGCGTCAGTGTCCACCAATGCGATCGCCCTGCTGGTTGAGAGGCCCTCTTGGACTGGCACAACAATCTTCGTGTCAGGAGGGCAGGTATCGGGCATTGGAGACGATTGGATTGATGGAGCTGTTGACGGGAGGTCCAGCCTGTCTTCAGTCATCCTGCCATCGTCTCGCCTCAGCCCAGCGGGCGCGGAGGCCGTTGAGCGGCCGCTTCTGCCCCCTGGTCCGGGTCTAGGGCTGGGAGCAAAATATTTCACTGCCAAATCCCAGAGCGGCGTCTTGCCAGGGCCAAACTCCTCGCCTCTATCCCTTGCTGCTCGTCTGAAGGCATCGTGCTGGCGCTGTGTCATTTCGGGATACTGCAAATGCCACGTCTTCTTGTCTTGTTGCCACCACACCATCTTGCTCACAGGATAGTCTATTTGCCTACCAGAGTCAAGTCTCGTTACTTGTGGCATCTTGGCCAGAAGTCTGTACTCCTCGAGGATTTCGGGAGGCGGATCCTCATAGCTTTCTTCCGACTTCAATCTCTTTATTATGGGCTCCCCCGGAGGCGTGTTCTCGTCATGTTCCTCGCCGGTACCAGGTAATGGTGGCTTTCTCTTACTCGAGTTGGGGTCCACAGAAAAGGACAGCCGTTGTGACTCGCTCCGTTCCGGAGCGGCTGACGTATTGCCTCCAAGTTTCTGCGACGCTACATCTTCTACCAGGCTTTGGAGCTGGTCCGCAGACTGGTTAGGGTATATCGATATGGCGTCATGTTGATATGCATGTTGAGTCCTTCCCTTGATTGTGTCCGAGTCTCCTGAATCATAGGCTTCGTCCTCGTGGGAGCCCAGAATATCCCTCGCATCCGTGCTGTTCTCGGCAGGCAGATTGAGGTAATTTTCAGGAATGACACCAGAGGACCCGATGGCAGATACACCAACCTCCCCAAACAAACGTGGTTGCTGTGCGCCATGTTCCATGTAGCTATTTTCCTTGTCTGAGATATCGCTCATTGAGTCGCTCACTCTGTCATCGTCATACGCAACTAGCTTTTCGAGCTGGGAAGGATACTCTTCATCATCCGTGATCTCGTCATACGACTGAGAAGCCTGTATTGCGGAGCCGAAGCCACAAAGCCAGGGATGACTTTCGAGCTCGAGTATAGTTGCGCGACTCTCGGGTCGCCTTTGGAGCATTCGCCGGATGAAATCGATGCCAGACTCGGATACTGAAAATCTCTGGAGGGGAATGGTGTCCAAATCTGTTGTCATAATCTTGTGCAGTAACTCTGAGTAGCTGATGCCGGATTTGACGGGATAAGGTGGTGTGCCAGTCAGCACGTAAAACAGGACACCTCCAAGCGACCAGATGTCCACGGCATGGTTATATCTTTGTCCGGGCACACGGCGCATTTTCTTGCCTCGGTTTCGGACTCCATTATCATCATACTCGGCATACTCTGTGTACACTTCGGGTGCACAATACAGGAGCGTTCCGCAAAACGTGCGCAAGAAGGTCTCTGCTGTGTCAACCATTTTGGATAACCCAAAGTCGGTCAGCTTGACCACCAGGGGATCCATCGACTGGATGAGGATATTGTCTGGTTTAACATCCCGATGCGTAATACTGTTGGCATGTAAATAGCCCAGGGCACTGAGTAGTTGCCTGGACATGGTTTGTGTCATCTCGACGGTAAACGCGCCGTCCTCAGAAATGGTCTTGCCGAGGTCACCGTGAGGCAGATACTCCATGATGATTATCAGGAGGCGGTCCTCCCAGTCAAAATTCTCGATATAACGTACAATATTGGGCTAACAAGTCTTCCGTCAGTTCATTCCCACGAGACGAAGGAGGCGGTGGACTTACGTGATTCACCCGCTGCATAATCCTCATCTCGTTCTCAACCTTTTGATCAAGGACGCCGTTTTTGATAAACAGACGCTTCTCAAGCTCTTTTGCCGCATAAGGTAGTCCGTCATATTTTGACGTCACTTTGTACACCACTGCAAAAGCTCCCTTGCCAATCATGCCTATGCGGTTGTATTTCCCGGAGCCCTTCCACTCATTGCGTACCGCACCATGCGAGTCCTTCCGCTTACCTGGTGACAGGTGAGGCGACGGACTCGTCTCCAGTGCTGCTCTGTTTGCCTGCGGCCCGCCAGGCACCTTGAACAGATCAACGGGCCCGGGGTTGGTGTTGGCATTGGCATGGGTACGGATACTGGGCACTCTGCCGCTCGCAGGGTGCAAGCCATGGCGGGCAAAGTATTCGCTGACCTTGATAATAAATGCCCGGTCATAATGGTCATGCCGACCAGGTATCCTAACACGGAAATGCAAGTCTAGGGCCTCGTTGTGCAAGACAATCCGGATCATATTTCCAGAGCCCAACACCCACTTATTAGCTGATGTTGAGCTGTCCTCGGTGCAGCGCTTGAGGACCCGCCCGTCAACACAGGTGCCATTGGTTGACTGGTCCTCAATCATGACATTTCCATACTCGTTGACGTAGATGCGGAAATGGATGTTGCTGATGCGGCGCAGCGGATCGTTGGTGAAGACAACATCGCACCTGGCGCGGTTTCTGCCAAAAGCGAATCCAGCAGAGGGGTTCTTGACGGGAGACGAAAGCCTCAAGATGATGGCGTGGTCTCCGTGGCTGGCCGGACGGGACTCGAACCGGCTCGCGTGATCCTCCAATTCATAATCGGGCTCAACACTGTCCGCCTCGTCCTTGCCGATGATGTACGGAGAGTTTTCCCCAGCTAATCTCTTGACCTCTTGCCGTGCCGACTTGGAGAGCGGGTACAAGACGCAAATGATGTCGGATACGTCATCGTCGGAGAAGCCAGAGTTCTGCTTCCCTATGCGTCGCGGATCGAGGACATCTTGAGTCGCTGGAAGGAAGAAACAAGTCAAGCTGTCAGCCGAGGCCAATCATGGGCCACCAACTGCCTCGCATCCACCATACCTTGTGTTGGCTCATAGCCATCCATTGGAAGGGGACCCGACTCGAGACCAACGGCAAAAAAACAGCGTCAATGTTTGTTGGGACCGTGGGAAATCGGGCTGTGCAGGGTCGCGCAGCCGCCGGCGACGCGATGTGAAGACGGACAAGGTCAACTCTCTGTCACGTCAAGCCCACGCCGAGTCGGTAGGGCAGGCTTCCGAGGACCCCAAACAGCTGGAGGAACAAGGACTCGGCAACTACAGGCGGAGGGAATGCGTATGCTTGTCGTGGCGAAAGAGAATGACGACGGAGCTCTGCATGGCCAGGCCCTGGGTTTTCGTCGCGAGAACAGGACGCAGCCGGGCCTGAAGAAGAGCGAAAAGAAGGAAAAGAAAACAAAAAAAAACGCGCAGTACGGAGCAGTCGATATGCATGCATACATACATGGAAAATGTTCAAGAGCAGGGATCATCAAAACCCGACCGGACGTTACCAACGCGTCGACGACACATGACAGGCAGGCTGCGAAATACCAACGAGAGTTGGCAGGGCCCTTCGGATGGCTGCCTTTTTTTCCTTGGCGGGGTCAACTGGTCCGCCAGGGCAACCACCCCAGTCGACGGACTCCACAGCGGGGGATGTGCGGTGGAAGGAGCGACTGGACGTGGCCACATGAGGACCGATACCCGTCCATGGATCCAGGGCAACCATCCTCGCAGCTCTCGCCCCAAACGCTCAAGGAGAATAACCCCAAGGCCAAGACAAAACTCCCAGTCCCCTGCAGCGCCCTCAAACCTCCAGCCTGCAGCCCCGGCCGCAATCCCAACTCGCATTCGCACCCTGGCGGCGATTGAGCCCTCCGGTCTCAAATCCCTCCTCCTGAGCCTGAGCCAGAGCCAGAGCCAGAGCCAGAGCCAGATCCCAGGGCCCCAACTAACAAACGCGCCCGGGACCGGGGGTCACCCCACCCCACCCCCGCCAGCCACCAATCCGCACGATGTGCCCTCCGGCCCCGCACCCGCCGTCACCAGTTCTTCGTGGCCAATCCACGTGCTCAGTGCTCACGCTTCATTCAGTTCCCTCGTCGTCGTCACAGACAGACAGCTAGGTATCCGAATTCCCAATGCCAAGTTGTACGTCCGTCACGCCAGTACGCTCTGAAGTGCGACGGGGCTTTTCTCTTCTCCCTACTCTACAACCCAACCCAGCATTATTCGCCGACAGAGAAAGCATTAGCTGTGCGGAGTAGCCACATCTTCTTCTCCCATGGAGAGCGCGGAACACACATGCCCTTGGCGAACATCGTCTTCAGCCAACTGCAAGTTGTCACAACCACGTTTACTCCCGATTATGTGTGAAAAAGAAAAGAGGCGAGTTTTTTTTTGGGAATTTTAAAATTTACTCCGTATCCGGAAAACATCCTCCCCGGGTCAACATCTACTCCAACTAGGTCCTGTAAAAGATGAGATAAAATGCCTGATGAGTGCCAGCTTTGGTCCTCCAAATCTGCGATTTGGACGGTCCGGGCTCTGTTAATACACCACGATTCCCTCCCCTGCCCAGGCGACTCTCGTCTGGCCATGTCAGTCTAGAAATCCCGTCAACAACTCCAATCAAAGCTCTATGCCTCAAAGAATAGACGGGGAAGGGTAAAATTATAGAGACAAGAAAAAGACCGTGTCGATCCCTATACACAGGTCAGACGAGTAAATGCGCTTTTTCCCAGCGCACTAGTTCGCATCGTTGCCGATGCTACAAAAAAAAAAAAAAAAAAACGCCCGTCTTGTGCTATGCTTCCAATGGCGCATTTCGCGTTGGCCATGAATTTTATGTAACACGCTGGACACGGTAGTCACCACCAAGCGACAGAAGCTCAGCGACCTTCTCCATGCAACATTCGTTATTCGGTATCTCTTTCATTGATTAGGTCGGCAACAGTACCCAACTTAAAAAGCTCGACCTTGATATGGAGCAGGATGAGGAACTTGGCCCTGGCTGTATTGTCCCTGGGGAGGAATGCCGGACGACGGAGGGCCGAGAGGTCGAGAGTGGTAGCTTCCAGGAGGACCTCCATATTCGGGGGGGGCCCGGCCACTGCCTCCGCGCCCGGCGCCGCCGGGATACGGCGGCTGAGGGCTGGGAGTCCTGGGACCCATTGATCCGGGACCTCCTACTCCGAGGTTGCCGCCATAGTGCGGCGAGTTTGCTGCGGCTCGATGTTGGACGTACTGTTCTGGTGTCAGCGCTGTTGTTCCCGAGTTTTGTCCCGACCCTGGTCCCGATGTTTTATAGGTACCCACGGGCTGCCAAGCCATAGTTCTTTGGCCGGAGTCCATGGCTTCCTGTCTCCCGTGACCTGGGCGAGGTCCTTGGGCATTCGAGTTCGGCTCCGAGGCATGGTGACCTTGCGGCTGAGCACGCATAACAGGTCCAGCAGGTCCTGGGACTTGCTTTCGCGGTATCGCGGACGAGGCATAATTGATTGTTGGGCCAAAATTTACCTCTGGGATATTGAATCCTGAATTCTTCTGCAATGGGGGTTCCGCACCTCCTACAGTCTTCATGACACCGGCACGAGGTCGATCTCCGTCGCGGTTCCCATTGGGGCCGTAAGGTCCAGGGCCCTGGTTGTGAGGTGGTGGGACTGGCCCTGAGCCGTACCCGGGCGCAGGGCCACGGTACGGGGGGTCAGAGGTGTAGTGGTCAATGATGTGATCGGGGGTGATGCTGTCGGTCTGTCGCGGCGCCGGTTTTCGATGGGGAAGCCCGCCGGGGCCGCCATGCGGCGGCGGCGGTGGTCCACCTGGTCCCGGTCGATAATGACCATACTGGCCAGGAGGTCCGTTTGCTGGTCCTTGACCTGGAGGGGGTCGTCCACGACCATAAGGTCCCGGTGGCCCCGGAGGTCCGGGAGGAGAGCGAGTTTGGTCTGGTCGGACGCCTTGCTGCGGAGCCTTCGCTGGCCGTGGCGGGCCCGATCCTGGGGGATATGGCGATCGACGCCCGTCGGAGGTGCCAGGACGTGAATTGGGATTCTGGCCGTAGGGACTTGGAGGCCCCATGGGGCCTCTGGCGTGTGGGTTTGGTGGAATGTCGACAGTTGGAAGAGCTGGAGCTGACATATTCGTCGCGGGCGATTGTTCCTGGCTTCCTGAATATGGGCCTTCATCAAGGTTACAATTATTAGTCCGACTTCCTAGTGAGAGGTCTTGTGTGTAGACTGCGGGTTCGTGAGACGCACCGTCGTCACCATCTCTGTTGCGGGCTGGTGGACGGCCGCCTTGCGCATTGGTCGCCATACCACCAGCCTTGGCCATTTGGGCAAGCGTCGAGCTTGAGAGCCGACTATTCGCCCTTCGAAGCTCAGGAGATTGATACGCCTTGCTTGTGGGTCTAGCTTGCGGTCCATGGTTGAAGGCTGGAGGACGTGAAACTGGCTCAGGAGTCTGAAGGCTTCTCATAGCTTCCAGATTATACATGGGAGGCGGCGGAGATGCACCTGGTTCCTCATCAGAGCTGCCGGGCTGGGGCATCATTTGATCAGGAGGACCTCCACGGAGAGGAAGTTGGTGCCGTGGTGGTGAGCCACCAACTCTGGCATCACGTCGCTGTGTAGCACCAAGGTTTGGATCTGACATGTTACGCATATGGCTGGGCTCACGACCAGGCGGCAGCTGCTCGACCATGTTAGTATGAAAGAACGGGTGCGGCAGAAGTAGCAATGCGCGTTAACGGCGGCATGTGAGAGTCAAGGCGGCATACCACGTTGCCATCATCAGCAAACCCAACCTTGGGCCTGCCTCCACTGCCAGAGCTGTGCCTTGTACTGGAACGACTCGCGCTACGAGAATGAGATCTGGAACCATCATCCAAAGCATTCATTCGGGTGCCGGTAGCGTCTTTGAGTCGCTTACGCCACTCTCGTTCTGACCAGGCCGTGCTGCCCTCGTCAAGAATGAGCGTCGACACGTCGAGGACCTCAAGATATCCGTAGCGTTTGTGTTTGGGCATGGCGAACATGAGTGACCGCGGGTCAAGGACACTTGCAACCAGTCTACCGGGTCGGCCATACAGACCAAACGAGTCCCAGGTGGGGAATAAGAAGCGCAGCAGCATTTCGAAACCGCTGACGGCGGGATGAACCTCGGGCATGATGAAGATGAAGCCTTCGGTGGATGAGGGAGGATCAGAGTGGACAGTAACGCGACCTTCGACCTTGAGCAATGTCGAAGCGTCAATCAAGGATTTTGCCTGGGGATAAATCGCGTAGGCCGAGTACGCATCGGTAATGGTGGCAATTGGCTGAGCCTTTTTCTGTTTCTTCCCGTCCTTTCTCGAGTCATAGAACTTGATGTCTCCCTTGAGAACGGGGACGTGGGACCGGTCATAGGCAGACCTCTTCTTGAGTTCCTTCTGCTGCTTCTGGTATTCCTTCTCGTCGGGAGGGGATACAACACACCAGCAGCGACGCCACGGCACACCGGCACCGAAACGTACCCTGACCCACTGCTCCGACTTCATCCGCGATCTCTCCATGATGACGTTGATGTTGTTGAGTGACTTTCCCTTGCCCGCGATCAAGGCGCCGGTGTAAGCCTCTTGCAACGTCGAGTGCTCGAATATGGCAAGTCGGATGCCTGCCGTCCATTGAACCAGAGAGTGGTGTGAGTTGAAGTGGAGAAGATACCTATTTCTGCCAGCAGTGGATATGCTCAAAATGTTTTGCAGAGGCTGCTCATCGTTGGAACGAGTCGGGAGTGATTCGATCTGCAAAGGTGCATACCATGTTAGAACAAAGTTGGGTGTCACGTGAATTTGAAACCTGGGGATTCCCACAACCAAAGACCAATGTACGTACCATCTTGATTGAAGCATCCGTGAGATTGATAAACTTGGGCAAGACCTCACCGTCCTCGCCCGCCGCATCGAGTTCCGCCGCATCCCACAACGACAAGACCGTGCCGACAAGCTGTGCGAAGCACTCGGTCCATGTTCGGTCCGCATTCGCCTTGCCCTCTGTGCGACAAGTTGGTTAGTCAAACGATTCCTTGTCTGCGCCAAGGCAGTCCATTCGTGCCGGAGAGCATGGCTACTAGGGGAAGAGCATCGGGATGGGCATGGGGTCTGCCGGGACGAGGGAGGAGGAAAGCGACGGCGCGATGACGTACGTGTATTTTGATCGTCGAGTTTGAGAAAGTATCCTTCTTGGTACAACTTGTTGGAGTGGCTGTTGAGCAGAGTGAAGATGGGCTGGAGCTCGGGAATAGTGTCTTCGTTGATGTCCATGAGGGGCGGCTGATAGGTCTGGACCATGGACAGTGGTCGCGATGAACTGCGCTGACGTCGAGGAGGCGTGTTGCTGGGAGAGGTGTCTAGCGGCGTTCCATAGTCCGGTCGTGATGGCGGCGTGGCAGGTCGGCGCACAGCGTCGATGTCGCGATGCAGTTGGGGGAAAGGGTCGGAGACGTGGTGCTGTTTCTTCTTGAGGCCCACGGCGAGTTCGTTTGGGGGGGATGGTGACGACGATGGAGTCTTTGCGCCGGCGGAGAAATGGGACATGAAAGAGAGAACTGTTGCGAGGCGACGTCGAAGGACGCGATGGGTCAGCACATGTAATGTTGAAACGAAATGACGGCGAGAGTGGTAGAGGCAATGACCCAATAGTAATAATAACCAGGCAGGGGTATGGTTGAAGCCAAGTCCAAGTTTGACTTTATTATTACTAGCAGTGGCACGGCGTCTGGTCTGGTAATACTCTGTGCATCCACTTTGGAAGACGGTCTGGTCACGACTGGTTGCGCGCGCCTTGGTGACGGCACTCGGGCCCCCGTTGTGTGCTGCGGTGCACGCCTGAACGAACGGAGTTGGCATCCATGGCATTGGAGCCGCGTGCTGTCATTGGCCGCCGCTCGCCAACTTGGAGGCGACCAAGCTGACTAGCGGTTGGGGGGTCACTGATGACGGCTCAAGTTGACATGGACCAGCCGCTGCTGCCGGCTGGCTGCCGGCGGTCCGGTGGGACAAGAGGCCAAATCAGGGCGGCAGCACCACAACAACAACAACAACAACAACAACAATAGGACTGAGCCAAAACGCTTCCGTGTTTGCCTGCTCAACGCCAACGTGAACAGAGTGGCCGACACGCGCCAGATTGGGCTTCATGCGTGCGTGGCGCGAAGATGCAGGGGTGAGTGGCGGACAGGACAGCTCGAGGCTGTCGCCGTCCTTGTGCCGCAACCACCACCAGGGGCCGTCGTCGACACCCCCAGATCCGTCGTCATGGCCGCCGTGGCCAGCACCGGCAAGGCGACGTCTGGACCGAGGCGGCCTGTTTGAGCACCAACGTTGGCGTGCCCGGGCGTGCTGGGCGGACAGAGACGGAGACGGACAAGATGGAACAGTGTTGCGGCAGCACGACCAACCAGACCTGCAATTGTTTGCCTGGCACGTCAATGGGTGCTGCGACCAGGCGAGCCCTTGCTTGGCTTGTTGAGAATACCAGACGCCAACTACTAGTCCCTGTCCATGTCCTTGCACGTGCAACGACGATTGACACTAGTAACCGGTGTGGTACATATTGAGTGTCAATCCCATTGTTGGGCCGTGCTTGAACCAGACATGGTGAACCTTCGTTGGGAGGCCGCGGCAGACTGCAGACAGACGAGGCCACTGCGCGCTGCAGATTCCAGATTCCAGCCTGCAGGCAGGGCAGGCCTGACCACTTGGACTTGGTATGGACAAGGAACTTGGAAGGTCATGGCCCCGGGTCTGGGCGCTGTGGGCTCCGCGCATGGGTGCTGTGTGCGCTGGGCTGGGGAGGGGCGGGCGGGGGCTCGGGCTCGGGGCTCGGGGCTCGGGTGCTTGTGGACGGAGGCTGGAATGAATCAACATGGAAGAGAATGTACAAACCTCGATTGCGCCCCATGTTGTTGGTGGACTGATGGATTTGCGGCGATTTTCCTTTGTGCCGGGTTCTGTGTTCCAGGCCAGGTCCTGCCGGGTCTTAGATCGTGGTCTTGGGTCCGTCTGAGTCGTCGTGGGTTGGGAGATGTTAACTTGGAGACGGAGCTCGCGGGCGACGATGACAAGGCAGACGGAGCAGAAAGGAAGAGAAAAGGAAAGGAAAAAATGCCCGACGACGGAGGTGGGTGATTCCTGGGGTAAGCCGTACGCAGCACGGGGCTGTGTTGGAGCAACAGTCTGTTGTCGTCGTTTGAGGCGAAGTACACCACCAGACACACGCCGCCAAGACAGCCGGAAATCCAAGGCTTGGGGACAAGGCAAAAGAGTAAAGTAATCAGCTCACTTGCGTAGATGTGAATGATGGTCGCCAGAGGTCGGAAGGGTGGTGTGCGCGGAACAGTCGGAGGCCACTTGATCAGCTCGCAGGCGCAACAAACCCGAAAGCGACGAAGCCAACCAAACCAAAGCAAGCCTTTGTTGATTCTGCGGCGCCGTCGTCGTATTGTCTGGTCGTCTGGCCGTCTAATCGTCGTCTGGTCGTCGTCTGGTCGTCGTCTGGCGCTCCAGGCAACCGCCGGCTCGCTCGGTATAAGTATTGGCTGCGAAGAAGACGAGGGAGGGGGAAAGAATGATGCAGAAAATATTCGGGGCAACGGGGAGGGGAGTACAGTAACGAGGATGAAATAGCCTCGCACTTGCCAAAGGACAAGATGTGGCTTCGCTTTTTGAAAAGGTTTCCTTTTTTGTTGTAGCGTTTCCCCTTCTACCCAGCTTGCAAGGCAACAAGTGGACGGGGTGAAGCCAAGAAGCTCGGGTTGCAAATAATAAAGGCAGTGTCCAAAATTAGCCGGCGGCTAGACGAAGGACTTTGAATTTCGCTTTGTTCAAGTCCTTGCATCTACAAGTCGACCGTCTTGCACGCTATGCAGCCTTGTTTGGCTCGGGACCACCGGTGCCAAATGCGGTTGTCTATGGCTTGGGCCTTGTGGTCCTCTGGGAAAGAAGTCAAAGACCAAGCTGACTGACTGACTGACTGACTGCCTGACTGCCTGGGAACAGTGGCAGGAAACCGTCAAGGTCCGAGGAAGAGGTTTTTTTTTTCCCACCCAAAAAATATTTGTGTTAAAAAAAAAAAAAAAAAAAAAAAAAAAGTCGTCGACGTCAAACACACGCAGCCGGGGTTGCAACTTGCGTTGCGATGGTATGGTGCTTCCCGCCACAGAAATTCGCCACGCCGACGACGTAATGAGAGGCCCGCCAGGCCTCGCGGGCGTGTGTTGTATTCCACGCGGCTCAATTGTCGATCGTCAGAGTTCGATCCGGCTTCCGAGCGATATAGCCCGCTGATCCTTGGATTCCCCGACTTGAAGCTGGGCCGGAGCTAATTGGTCGATGTGCCAAAAGGCTGGCTGAGAGTGTCTATGACTATGAGCAACGTCACCCGCAACTGGGAGCGAAACTTTTTCAAGATCGGAGGCTGAAGGTGTAAATGGGCGGCTTTTGAATGACGCCAGAGGAGCTGTGTGTGTGCCCAGCAGCAACCAACGGCACGAGTAATGTGTGCTGAGTCGTGCTCTTTGGTCAGCGGTTAATAAAGTGTGCCGGATCGCCCTTTTGTTCATCTCGGCGCACACGCACGGCGGCAACGAGCCGTCATGGTCTCGAAACAAGAAACCGGAAAACAGACATGGCAATCTCTCATCCTCCGTACTGAGGGAGGACGAGGCGCTTCTAAATAAACCCGGCTTGTCCATCTCCAATCCCCGCCGTTCTCATCCCCCATGCGCTTGCGCATCCCATCCATCCATCCTGTGCTGTGTGCCGTGCCTTGCTGTGTGTCCTATTCGCCGTCGCCTGGCGATGCCATCGACCCTGTCGTCGTGTCTGACCGAGGGCGTCTCATGATCGCCTCTGATGAGACGGCAACGGGTCACCACGACCTACTATGCGCCGAGTGGCCAGTGACTCGTCATGCACCGTTGGCTTGTTAGCTACTCCGTACTCCGTACGAGTCCTTCCAAATGCAGTGGGCGGCTGGCTTTCTTTCAGGTGAGCTTCCCTTTTGCGACTACGACACCACCAAGTCTGCCCGGGTCCGCGTGCTCGCTCGTATCAGACGCACCTCGACCCCGGCCGAACCAGGCTCCCGGCGCCAATGGTGCATGACTACATGATACATGGATTCTGCTGCTACAACACAAGACGTCGGGCGATTTGGTGACGGTGGGTTGAGAATAGACAATGGCCAGCCAGCAGCCAAGCCAGTCGACCGCCGTGCAGGTCAGGTTGGCGGTGCGAGTCTCAGTCCCAGTCCCACCGGCCGTTGATTCCATCGCATCCGAACTGATTCATCAGCCAGGGGCAGCCACCAGTCGTACCGTGTACGGAGTAGTGGTGGTAATGCTGAGTGCGGAGCGTGGAGCGTGGAGTGGAGCAGCAGTTCTCAGAAGAAACATGAAGCTTGTTCGTTGTGCGTGGTAGTTACGTACTCCGTACGCAGCTGACTTGGTCCAACGCTCATCTCCTTGGTGCAGGCCACGGATGAGGGATGAGCGCAACTCAGCCACTTCCGCCCACTCCGTGCTTCTCTGTGCGACATTGAACATGTCATCGAGCTGCTCACCGAGCAATCCCGGGCATCGAGTGCGCAAGCGCTCACTGCGGACACCGCCAAGCGCCAGCCATTGCGCACCGAGTCCATGTGGCGCAAATGGGAAACAAACACAGTGTCTGGGGTGTGTGTCTCGACTCTCTACCTGGCCACGGTCTGCAAATGCAATACAAAGTACGACTTGCTAGTCCTCGTGCTATCGAACCTACACTGCCGTGGGCCGGCCAAGCCAAGAAGAACCAGTGCATTTCTGCAGCGCTGGCGTTGCCCCTCGTCATTATCCATCGGCAGCGGTGCTTCAGGTGACGGCAAGTTTTACCTCGTTTTACCTCACCTTGGCGACTCCACAGCCACGGCGCAGAAAAAAAAAAAAGAAAGGAAAAACCTGTCCAAATGGCATGAATGAACTGCCAGGCATCCGGGATACGAGGGGCAGCGGCAGGGGTCAACTGCTCAGTGCTGGCTCGAGGCCCAAGGAAGGGATGCCCAGGCGGTCGTCAAACGTTTTGGCCGAGTCAAGTGTTGCAGAGAGACGTGGAGTCACGGGCGCTCATGTTGAGTTGAGCGGCCACATTCGTCCACAGCGCCGCCGTACATTGGTGCAGGTGCTTATAGGCGGTCTCGAGTTGACAATCCGCTGGCGGGAATGAGAAGCAGGGCTCGTGCGGTTCCACTGAGGCCGATGACGATAGGTTCGCAGGCGCTGCCAATTCTTCGTGCCGCCAGTCACTCGACACAGCCCGACTTTGTGCACGTCTGGTGGCCCACCCGTCGACCCCTGTCCCAAGAGCCCAAGACTCCAGCACTGGGCCGCTGGGAGCTCTCTGGGCGCGTCCTCTGACGCCAACCTGTTGCAGACTGGCCGGGTATCTGGAGACGGCTCACAGACGCCGTGACTTGATTTGCTTTTTCATCCACTCCGTACTCGGCCGCACAGAGTCTGGGGTACTACGGAGCGGACGGGACATCTGCACCTGGAGGCTACCTGGGCGATAGGGGCCGGCGCCTCGTCGGGACGTCTGTGCGCAGAGGCTAGAGCCACCACCGAGTTGACGTCACTGCCCCCAATCCTACGCGCACATCGTCGTCGAGGCTGAGTAACAAATAATTGAGCACGTAGACGACTACGGAGTGTCTTGTGCCAGTTGCCATTTATCGTAGGAGTGCTAGCCGCCGCTGCATGCACAATCTGATCGTCGAGGTTGATGACCAGCCTTGCACCATGCCGACTATGTTTGATACAGGTGGAAAAAAAGAGGGAAGAATTAAGGGGCTACGTGTGCCCAATGAGTGCAGATGCCGGTCGCGACAAGAATCCAGCCCACTTGCAGGCTGAGTGGCCTTGTTTTCACGGCGAATTGGTCAGCATATAGGGTAGGCCAGTCATTTGAAGACCAGACCACGTCGGGCCACGGAAGATTGCCTGTTCAACACCTATCCAGTGTAGGGCTGTGTATATGTGTATGTGTACGGAGTATATATTATATAAATACCTAGGTGTGTGGATTTATGCCTACGTACCTGGTCGTCGGTGGAATCGGTCCTGTGCAATTTGACGACAACTCCGTGCATTTACCATCTGCATCGACTCATTGAAGCTGCGCGCGTCCACAGATGCGGCATACTCCGCTACGATGCGGACACGGTTTAATCTTAGCAGAGCACGCTGGCATCAGTTACGTCAACAAACCCCCCGCGCGGAACGTGCCGTGTTGCCGTGTCCCATGCGATACCGAGTTGCACGCATTCCCAAGACCGTCTGTCTCGACAAGATAAATATATCCAGCGTGTCATCACGTACAGGCATTCCAATACACCCCTCATCGTCAACGAACCACCAGACAAGCACTGGACATTCCCTGGATTCGTCAACACATCGACACCGACCGACAGAGCTTGCTACAGAGGCCGCGGTCAGCGACCCCTACCGGGTCAGCGCTGGACTTTCATAGTTGGAATGCGCACGTCACATTTTCCAACGCCTGCGGCTCTTTCGAGATCTTTATCGCGACAGCGACAGCGACAGCGCCAGCTTCCAGACCCGCCATGGCGGGGCCGTCATGAGCAGCGATACTCGGTAGATTCATCCCCAGAGGCGTCTGGTCGACACAGGAAGCCATCGAAACTGCCTTTCCGATTCGAAACAGGCATTGGCTTGTTTGCGAAGCGTCAGCCGAGACCCTTCCCACCTCCTTTCACGTCGCCTCCGTCCGCTTCCTTCTCCGACCCGCTGAGCACGCATCATCGAAGTCGCCATCGACGGGGGGCATTTGTGAATGGAGAACTCATAAAGGGCCTGACGAATGGAGACGATGCCGTCTACGCGAGCGATTTCTTCATCTGTGTGAATGACGGAGTCGGGGCCTGGGCGATGCGACCACGAGGCCATGCCGGGTAGGCTCACGTGTCCGGTGCTGACAGTCTTCACGAGAGCTAAATGGATTGCCATAGACTCTGGTCGCGATTAATCTTGCACTTTTGGGTATCAGCCGTTGAAGAAGATACCCTTCGATCCTTGTCCGCCAACGCACCACACACTCCCGATCCGAAAGCCAAGCTCCAGAAGGCCTATGAGCAGACGCTCGATGCGACGGTCGCCCACGACTGGCAGGGAACAACCACTGCGTGCGGCGCACAGCTGCACTACCGAGCCCCGGGCGGCGACTCGTCTGGCGGTCCATTACCACTGCTGCTGGTCACCAATCTCGGGGACTGCCAAGTAATGGTCCTCCGCCCGCGGAACAGGGAAGTCATCTTCAAGACCAAGGAACAGTGGCATTGGTTCGACTGCCCGAGGCAGCTTGGCACCAACAGCCCCGATACGCCAAGGAACAATGCTGTCGTGGATACTGTAGACTTGGAAGTTGGGGACGTGGTACTGGCGATGAGCGACGGCGTCATTGACAATTTGTGGGAGCACGAAATCGTTGACTCGGTTGCAAAGAGCATCCAAAGCTGGGAGTCAGGAAAAGGGGGAGGTTCGAATCAAGACAGAAAAGGCGGTCGCAATGGCGGGATGAGGGTGGCAGCAGATGAGCTCGTCGCCGCAGCCAGAGTCATTGCCATGGATCCATTTGCAGAGAGTCCATTTATGGAGCAAGCCATTGAAGAAGGCTTGGCCAGTGAAGGAGGTATGTTCGTTGTTCAGTCTAGTCTTCCGACACCCCCGGAGATGCAGCTTCTTACCGTACTTTACCTACAGGAAAGCTAGATGATATCAGCGTGGTTGCTGCCCTGTGCGTCGAAAACAAGTGAATACGGAGCATATATGCATTGGATTTTGTCTGATTAATACATGTAACCAAATATCAAGTCATGGAGACCAATGCTGGCATCCATCCAGCCAGTCGGCAAGAGTGTCTTGCCTGAAATTATGGATCTAAACTTGAGCGAAATTGCTGCTGCTACTTTTCGAATCCTTCAACGTTAGGCCTGGACTTGCAGCAGAACTTTGTAAGTTGCGCTTTTTCGTTGTTTCGGGGCCTGGCTGTCCCATGATGATCTCGGGTTCGGATGGCTTTCGCGCTTGGCCGAGTGTGGCTAGCGGCCCCTCCCTTATCGCACGTGCAGACCCTGAGTCCGCCTTCGATAAGAAATTTATTTCGACAAGCTCCCCAGCGGTCATCGAAGTAGAGTCTAGACATGCTGCGTGATCTCATCTCACCCGTGACCATTGCCACCTCCCCTTACGACTTTTCTACTTGCCGAGCATGAGGGGCAAACGATCCAAGCAGTATCGCAAGCTCATGGAGCGATACTGCATGACTTTTGGTTTTCGGGAGCCGTACCAAGTTCTCGGTGGGTTTCCGTGGTTCAGCTTCCTGTCTCCATGGCTTGCTGACCCTGCGCCCAGTGGACGCTGAAATGGTCCAAGATGCCAGTCGTTTCAAAATGGAATTGGAACCGGCGCTACAACGGACAGCCCATGGAAAAGTCAAGCCAAGTACGCTCCCTCTTCATCCGTCCCCGGGCTCCTAGTTTTATGCTTCCTAACCAAATCTCAGTGATCACCCAATGCGAAATCAGAAAACTTTACGCGCGCAAGAATGAACCCGGCATCAGCGAAGCTATTGATGTAGCCAAGACTTGCGAAAGACGACGTTGCGGCCATCACCCCGATGAGTACCCAGAGCCGCTGAGCACACTCGAGTGCTTCCAGTCTGTCGTGGATCCCAAGGACACGGGGGAGAACAAGCACCGATATGTCGTGGCAAGTCAGAACGTGGATCTGCGGCGCATGTTACGCGGCGTTCGAGGAGTGCCCTTGATATACATCAAGAGAAGCGTCATGATTCTGGAGCCAATGTCCGACGAGAGCGTCCGACTTCGAGCCCGAGAAGAGCGAAGCAAGTTTAGGGCGGGGCTGAAACCGACAATCAGGAAGAGGAAGAGGGAGGAAAGGGACGACGGTGACGAAGAAGACGACCATGGTAAACCTGACGGCGATGATGGAAACGTCATGGCAAGTGGCGAAGGGGCCCATCCGACACCCCCGTCGAAGAAGAAGTCCAAGCGCCCAGGTCCGAAGGAGCCTAATCCCTTGTCAATAAAGAAGAAAGCCAAGAAGCATACTGAAGGGACAGGCACACCGAGGAAGACGGCCAAGGCGGAGGGTAAGGCTGGCGAAGCGCCAGCCAAGCGCAAGAGAAAGAGAAAAGGCAAGTCGACGAATGCTGCCACTGGAGACGGAAGTGACAAGGGCGGCGAGGGCAGTGCACCCCAGACTCTCTCAAATATCGATCAAGGTTGAAATTATACAAGACATCTGAGGGGGGAATGCATAGTGTGTATCTACAGTTTACGGCGTTGACAAGGAACTTGCGTGTTGATGAAGGCAGTTTCGGGCATTTGGTGTCGGAGATGTGTAAAAAGTGAGCATTTTCAGGCAGGCATGGCCAGGTGGAATCAAAGCCATCTTCTCCTAGGTCCCAAAGCTGATGAAATATCATTATTTTCACCAGGCACCACCTTTTGCCAACGAAGTCGTCTCATGTCCAACGTCGGTCAATCATGGTTGGCTGGTGCGTGTTGAGGGCAAAACCTCACTCACCGTTGGGGCTTCACGACATGAACTACGAATCCGATAGAGGCATGATTGCATTTCAGGTTGTAGTGATGCGCGCAGGCCCTACGAGTCTTGGCTGGCGATGAAGCGGCGGTTCAGTAGTTACTGACTAATTGGACAGGGAAGGGGGAAAACGGGACCTGGAGCAGATCGCATTGACGCCACAGTGCCCATCAGTCAATGGGCGGAGTACTTGGGGCCCTGCCAAGAGGAGGCTCGTTTGAGTGTGCGCCTTGTCTTTGGACCTGCGCTTAAACTCATGTTGTTTTTTTTCCTTTTTTTTTTTTTTTTTTTTTTTTTGATCTTTTTTCATCACAGCCTTGGGCGGCTGGTTTCCAGTATTGTGCTGCGGGCTTGATTATTCAGTTTGGAGGTACTCCGTACTCGGTCCGATGAAACTCTCGCCCATGTTCGCCTCGCGCGGGTGGCTGTTGTTGTTGTGGTGTCACGGCGGTTGAATGCGGCCCTAATTTCCGGCGCCCGCATCGAAAAAATGTCCATCCGATTGCAAAGGATCAACTGCCGCGACGTTGCAGCAAACCGCGCGTTTTTGACAGCGCCGTCAGGTCAATTGGCGACCGCCGACCGCGCTGCCCGCCCACCAACAGTCCGAGACCAGGGTAGCGGCCAACTGGTAACTACAACTACTCCGCAGGCACACTCCTTGATCTGCAGGGCAATGCGAAAAGTCGTCAACGATCCTTTCTGCCGCGGCCCCTTTTCTGTTCTCCCCAACCGCCCGCCACGGTTGGCATCTGTTGCAACGTACCGACCGACCGAGGTGCAGTGCCAAGGCCGTCCCCGAGTTTGACATTGCCCGACGCCTGCCAGTGGCGGCGGTAGCAGTGGCAGTGGCAGTGGCAGTGGCAGTGTGCGTGTAGCGTCGAGTGCATTTTCCGGGTTGGGTTCCCTCTGTGCCCGCCAAATTGACCACCTACCTACTTGGGCAGGCATAGCAGCCAGTCACTGCTAGCTAGCTAGCTAGTACGGAGCAGTTATTTGCCGCCAACGTCTGATCTTGCCCAACTCCGCCACCGCCTTATTTCATAACGGGGTTCATCACACAAAAGACGTCACACCTTACTTAATAAGTCTTGGTCACGTCCCCATCCGTCCCGTCCCCTGAAGAGCCCTGAAGTCGTGGATGTGGACGTGGGAGAGAGACGAACAAGACTCCGTTGCTTTGTTCCGCCTTTTGTTTCTCTCCGCGGGACAACGACACAATGGTCAGCACCAAGGACGCCGAGCCCGACGACGCTGCTGCCAAGAAGTCGCCGCAAGCTTCTGTCCCTGCTCCTGCGGCCGCCCAGCTTGAAACCGACGATTTTGGCCTGCCCATTCGACGTTATGCAACCCCGACTGCCGATGCGGCACTGCCCAAGTCTGGCGTGGGGCCCAGCGACGTGGCGGCGACTTCGAAAACAACAGAGCAAGTGAATTATAAGTCAGACGATTCAGACTCACCAATTACTCATCCCGAACCGAAGGATCAAAAGCCGCCCTCTTCACCTGCGGGCTCAAAAAGCTGCAATCCAGAAGCAAAGAGCGATAGCGAGAGCGACGATGCCCCCTTTGTGGATGCACCGAACGCAATGCCCGCAAATTCGTCTACCGCTGCGCCTGCTTCCAAGTCTGAAGTGTTGACATCGGAAGCACAGGCCTCGAGTCTGAACTCAGAAAAAGAAGGCGAAGAAAAGGAACGTGTCGCGACTTCGATACCTGCTGCGAGTCCGGACGCGATGGCTACTGCACGCGGTCCGCCAACCCCAAATCCGCAATCCGAAAAGGCCGACCCTGTTGCCAATGGCACAAAGACCCCTGTGCAAGATGAGAAACAGCCCGAAGTCACTGCGACTTGCTCGAAGCCGACTGACAAGAAGCCCAAGGTTTCGCATGTCCGCGATGCCAGTGTGGCTAGCATTGGTGGTGGCCCTCACCCTGGCCTCTCGGAATTCTCGCATCAGCAACTTTCCATGCAACATGAAGAGAAAAAGGATGACGATGATGGTGGTTGGCAGACCATGCCAGCGTTCGCTCCGTACGACATTTATGATGACGACAATCGCTTGATTGCGCGAGAGCACCATGAGGAAGACGACGAAAAATATGGTTACAGCGGCCTCGGAGGAGCTGGAAAGGGGTACACCCGTGTTATAATGGACGAGGATGCCGAGTCTGCTACTAGCTTGGACGACAACACACAGTATCTTTTCCAGGAGTCACGGAAAGGCACGGGTCTTGCCGACGACGAGGGTCGTGATGCGGTCTCTCAAATGCAAGCTACAAAGGACCTTTTGACCGAGGGCCAGAGAATAGCTTATGTCGGGGTAGTGCGCCTGGAGATGGCCAAAATGGTCAAGGAGGGAGAAGAACTGGAGGTCACCAAGAAAACGAAAAAGATGGTCAATATAAGTGCCGAATCCCAGAAGATGTGGGGTCAGAAGATGATGATTCGCCTCTACTCTCACATGGATATCAGCGAAGCAGAACAAGTCATGATCGAGCAACTTGCTGAGCATGGCGTTGTGCCCAAGGACCTGACTCCAGCGCTTCATGCCAACTCTAGAGTCCATAATCCCATGGCCCAGGATCGCACATCAGTCGACGAAGGCACCAGCTCATGTTCCGTGTCCTCTGGACCCGCGACTCCCAATGACGAAAAGCCGGCCGAAATGCCGCCACCGTATGAAAGCATCGACCATAGCGAGGTGCCTGACGTCCAGACACCCTCTCAACTCCCAACCACCGATAAAATAGACATCGATTTACGTTGGACCGTTCTGTGCGATTTGTTTCTCATCTTGATTGCTGATTCTATATACGACGCCCGCTCCCGGGTGCTTCTGGAGCGTGTGGCCGACAGTCTGGAAATTTCATGGATCGATATATGCAAATTCGAGAAGAGGGTCACCGACGCTCTGGAAATGCAACAAGCTGCTGAAAAAGAGAACTGGAACGAAGAGGCGCACATGGAGTCTCGGAGAAAACAGGCGCAAAAGAGGAGATATATGATGATGGGCCTCGCAACCGTGGGAGGTGGGTTGGTTATTGGATTGTCAGCTGGGCTACTCGCGCCTGTCATTGGAGCCGGTCTTGCTGCTGGCTTCACCACCATTGGCGTCACCGGCACGAGTAGTTTTCTGGCTGGAGCAGGTGGTGCTGCCATTATTACTTCATCAGCAGCTGCTTCGGGTAGTCTGATTGGCGGTCGAGCTGCCAATCGACGAACAGGTGCGGTAAAGACGTTCGAATACCGGCCGCTGCACAACAACAAGCGAGTCAATCTCATCGTGACGGTATCGGGCTGGCTGACGGGAAAAGTGGATGACGTTCGTTTGCCCTTCAGCACAGTGGATTCTGTCATGGGAGACATATATTCCGTGTTGTGGGAGCCAGAAATGCTGCGAAGTATGGGCGACACCATTAATATTTTAGCTACAGAGGTATTTTTCTCTAATAATTTCTCACGCTTGCCAATGGATCAAGGACGAACCTGCTAATCGAAGCTCCGCAGGCACTCACCCAAGGTTTGCAGCAGATTCTGGGTAGCACCATTCTCATGAGTTTGATGGCCGCCTTGCAACTGCCTATTGTTTTGACAAAGTTGTCATACCTGATCGACAACCCCTGGGCCGTCTCGCTTGACAGGGCCACGGCCGCAGGCCTGATTCTGGCCGACTCCCTCATGGATCGCAGTCTGGGAACGCGACCAATTACTCTTGTTGGATACTCTATAGGCGCGAGAGTCATCTTCTCGTGCCTGCAGGAACTTGCCAAGCGTGGCGCGTACGGGCTGATACAAAACGTTTACCTCTTTGGTTCACCGGTTGTTGTCAAGCAAGATGAATTCCTCCGAGCAAGGACTGTTGTATCGGGACGTTTTGTTAATGCCTATAATCGCAACGACTGGATCCTTGGATATCTTTTCCGGTTAACTAATGGCGGCATTCGCCGAGTCGCCGGACTGGCTCCGGTTGAGGCGCCTTGGGTGGAGAACATGGATGTTACGGAGGAGGTACCGGGCCATATGCAATATCGAACCGCGATGCCTTCCCTCTTGATAAAATGTGGTTGGATAGTAGAAAGCGAAGAATTTACCGAAATAGAGGATCCCGATCCCGATAATCACGAGGAGCGACAGCGAGAACTTATCAGCGAAATCGAAGAAGCTCGGAAGGAGCTAGAAAGGGAGGGCAAGGCCAAAAAGAGCGGTGGTTTCAGTCTCTTTGGACGGCGCAAGAAGGCTGATCGCCAGGAGTGGGAAGTGTACGAGGAGTCTGCTGCCAAGGGGGGCAAGGGAGACAGTAATGGCGGCAAGGTAGAGGATCAGATTGGCAACAATCACGGCGTTCTTTTCGATGTTGATGCTATCCGGGCGGAATTAGCCAAGGAAGCGCACGGAGATTCAGACATGGAAATGGCTCTTCAAGTCAAGGAGATTGAGTCGACCCTACCGCCCATGAAGCTTGACATTCCGCCGACCAGGCGATCTCTCTCATCCCCAATAGCAGATGCGCGAGGCTCTCTGCGGGAGACCAAGAGCGCTGACATTCTCACGGTTGGGGGCATGGGCTTTGGGAGCACCAATAGATCTCGGGAGCCATCCCCGTATCACACGGATGCGCATGAGGAAGAAGTTCAAATGACGTTTGACACGTCATTCAACGACTCGGCACAAGTACATGCGCATGCTGCCCCGTCAGCCAAGGGCGAGAGCAGCCTCGGCAGTCTCGGCCGTCCGGGAATGGAGAGTTCACAAACATTGCCGAATATGCCTATTTCGGACCCATGGGCTGACGCGGAGGACGAGGACTTTGGGAAAGAGAAGGAGATTTCGATGACTTTTGCATAATGCAAGGACAGTGGTCAGGAGGGACCGAAAGCCCTGCGAGGAGTTTTTTGTGTTTTCGTGTCGTGCGTTTGTTTGGGTTTAGGGAGATTTATCGAAGCAACGACGACTGATTACTTGGTTGGCCTGGCGTTGCCTGGACAGACGTGTGACCGTTTTACAATCGGTCCGCGCTTACATGCCAAAGATTTGCTTCTTTATTGTCTCCTTTCTTATTCATTCTCTGGGGCTGCATGGATGAGATGGCATTTGCACATGAGAACATTATGTAATTATTCTGGCGGCCAAGAGGCTCGGTAGACGGAAGAGTCAGGACAGGAAGGAGTAGGACGCTTCCAAGACATGGATGGGACGAGATGAGGATGGGATGAGAGCGTCGATGAATGAGAGCGGCGGGCTCCAACGGCTTTTCTTCTTTCCCTGTAAGAGACAAACAAACATGTACAAGGTTGACGACCATGTCTGGAATCCCAGGCCAAGCCGCAGCGCGCAGAGTCGTAAACGGCGGTCTCTGGGCCGAACAGGCGAGAGGGAGAGAGAGAGAAAGATGACAGGTGGCATGCGATATGTGACACGGCATATTGGGCCGGGACCGCAATGGGTCAGTGTAAGTAGTCGGACCAAGGCGCTGCGTCATGTACGGTAGGGATGCATGATGTATTCACGTCCGCACCTAGGTACTCTGTACTCGGGAGATTGCACGGAGTGCGGAGTCGCCCTCGACCTTATTTTTGGTGTCGGCGGTTGGACGAACCGGGTCGACCACGTGATGCCAGAAATGGCAACTGCTGTTGGCGCCACTCCCGGGTCCCTACTCTGTACTCTGTACTCTGTACTCTGCAGAATACAGAGTTGCAGAGCGGCGAGCCGGGAACCCTGGTGCTCGACTCGGGGGAGCAAAGGTGAGTTCCTCCTTCAATTCCACGCATGGCCCTAGTGTTTCCAAGACGCCGAGGTGACTCGTTTTCAGCACGAGGTTGCGATGAACGCCCTTTTCTTTTCCATTTTGTCGAGGCCACCGTCTCGGCTCCTAGGGCAGATGCCACGCACGCACTGGACACAACTCCCGCCCATGTCTCTCCGAGACGGCGTGCTCATCCTGGCCTGTGGTGGTGGTGGAGCCTGCTGATGCTTTGCTTCGGTGCTGTCCAATCCTGCTGCTTGGAGGAGGCTATCGCCAGGCTCATGGGGCGGCGGGCTTGCTGCGCGCAGATACACAACTTGCATGCCGTCTTGCCATCCGACTTCAGCCGTCCTTTTTTTTTTATTTTTATTTTTTATTATTATTATTTTTTTTTTTTATTTTAGAATTCCTACAGGCCGACACTCGCAGACGACGTTGGGCGATGGCACGAGCACTCGTACTTGGTACTTGTCTCTCATCACAGAGCCGCCGAGTGGTCGGTGCTTTGCAAAGTGAGGAGGAGTGACTCCCTCGTCACATCAATTTCTTTCTTTATTAGAATCCCCAACCACTTATTTCCGGACACATGGATCCCGGACTTGCGAGTGTTGGCTTGGCACCCTGTGCTCCCACTGGAATCAGAGGCGAGTCGACTTTGTGACGAGGACGCACTCCGTACGTACCGAGTGCCCATCGTCGCGATGGGATATCTGGCCCCCCTGAGATACGGGATGCTAGGTCCTTCAGCTCGGCCACGTCCCTCTACCCTGGCGAATCCTCCCTACGCCGGGGCCCTTTTTCGGTCTGGCCAACCAACCGGCCGGTCGCCTCACTCGGACCCCAGGAATGGCATGCTTAATTTGGCATCCCTCTTTGTGGACAAGACGCAAGCCGCCTCTCCCAGAGACAACGAGCACGAACAACACAGCATGATGCCCATGGTGGCTCATACTCGTTCCTCAGCGGGAGTTATTCTTACTCCGTACTTATCTCCACGCATACATCAGCCCAATGGACCGCCTGTGAACAAGGGTTTTGATTGCCCCCGTCTTTCACCGTACGCTTGCACAGGTAGCCCTCCTCTCGGGTGCGCATGCTTTTCAGTGTCTTCTCCCTCCTCTTTCAGTCAGCTGCTGCACATCGTAACTCGCAGCGTGCGTCGCTTCCACGGCAAATCACTTCTGGTGAGTGTTGAAACAACAAAAAAGAACGGCAAGACATTTCATGTACATGTATGATTGGCCCTACAACAGCCAACCACCTTTGCCACTGGCCATAGGCGCCGGACCTGTCACGTACGAACAGAATATCAACAGCTTCGATTTTCGATTGACGAAGCGACTTTTCCTGTCGGCTTCCAAGAGCCTGGAAGATGAACATTATCCCAACCAGTAGAGCACCTCAAAACGGAGGCAGCAATGGCCATCCTGCTTTGCCTGGCGGAACCCCAACAGCGACTGGCGGACCGCCACAGACGAGTTCAGAGTCTGGAGCAGCTCACCGCTCCGACAAGAAGGTTGAGTTCATGGCTTATTTCTTCGAACGGCCTATCGAAAAGCGAGATTTATCCACTCTGGAAGGAAATCCTGGAAACGTACTGATATCATGGACCGTGGTCAATGACAAGGGCAACCGAGCCGACATCGACTGGATTGCGTGGGTTGCCAGGTCTGCGATGATGTCGAACGACGCTGACCAAGTCGTCGTCGACAAAATCATCATCGATCCAAATAGGCCTGCCATGAACAGCGAGCGCGGTTTCCTATCTGACAACTGTAGGTTCTGTTTTGTGCCAACCTGGAGCCTTTCACGGCCATTGTCTGTCATTACATCTTCCTGTCCTCTGTGAGCCTGATAACCATGAGCCACGTCGGCACAACACATCCGACCGCGAAGGAGGGCAATTCAGAGCATGCGCTAACACAGGACTTAGCAGCCATTGCCCCGCAGGGAATCACCCTCAAGTATGGAGAGTGGTTGAAAAAATTACAACAGGGAAAGGACCCGGAGCAAACACAGGAACCCGGCCGACGGCTAGCCTCCGAGACTGACTTCATGAGGTTCCAGATATCGTGGACCGAACACAGCACCGGCGAGAAGGGAGTAGCAAACTCTGGCGTTTTCTTTGTCAGAGCTCCGCCAGGACTGGTCGTTGATCCTTCTTGGGGCAGGAATGTAAGCGGCTATGATGACGTCGGCACGGGAGCAAGCGCAGGCGTGACTGTCGGCACGACGCAAAGCAGCAGCCTGCCCACTTCCACTTCCACTTCCGCCTCAGACGCAGACAGCCAAGCAACATACACGCCCGGCCCAAGCGCCAGCGGACCCGAGCCTGGGGCTACCGCGGGCATAGTCGTCGGCAGTGCCATCGCCGTACTTGTCGTGCCGGGCTCGTATGGTTCTTCCTCCGCCGCCGACGCCGCAAGCAGAGGGAGCAGCTTCCCTTCGATCCCCAGTACAAGACCACCGCCTTCATGGAGGACCAGGCCCTCGGTGCCCCCCAAGCCGCGGGCTCTCATCCGCCCAGCCGATCCCAAGACAGCAGGCGCCAGAATCACACCACGCACCACAAGGCCAACGTTGGCCCTGCTGCCGTCGTCCACGGCGGGCAAGACAAGCGTTGCCAGCCCCCCCCCGACCACGCCGGCAGTTTCACCAATCTCCACGGCGCAGGTGTATTCGACGGCCCGTCAGACTACGCAGACGGCACCCCTGCCCCTGCTGTCGTCGCCGACGCACCCGGCACGCGCCACCACGGCGCAGACATAGACTCGGGCCGAGCGGATCCGCCACATGCTCACATCACGCTGCCCATCCCCCCTCGGATCCGTCACCTCGTGGAGCCACAGCACACAAACGACGATCTCCGCCGCCTCCTCGCCGAGGAAGATCTTCTCGATGAGGAGATTGCTCGCAGGGCCTAGAAGAGCCTCGGGGTCATGGCATCTCCATGAGACGCCCGAGTCGAACATGTTTCGGCACCGTTTTTCTCTCTGCAAAGTCGCAACGGAAAGCCATGTGAAGCGGAGAAGCCCGCTTCCGACGGAACCACAGGATGACATGTCGTCGTCGTCGCCTCGGATAGGTGCAAGCTCGCCACGGGGTCAAAGTCGGAAATGGGGTATGGAAGGACATGTTTGTGGGCGTGGAATCTTCGTCCCGGGCGGTCGGCGCCGTGACCCCATTCGCCAGGGATGTACGTAGCGTAATCTTGTTGGAGCTGGGCTTCCCGCGTCGTTTTGAGATGCTGTCTGGATACGACGCGACGCGACGCGTCCGACTGGACCGGCACGTAACCGGCAGCGGTGTCGGGCTCTTGCTATTGCTGTTCCGTGGCGGTCCGGAGGAATCGAGCCACCAGACTCTGGCCCGGCAAGGTGAGCACAGGTCAAGTGTAGTTTTATTGTAGCGGCAGCGGGCGAAGCCGTTCAACTCAGTCCCTCCCTCAGCCGTCCTTTGTTATACTTGGATTACCGCACAAACAGAGTCTGTATTTCTGCCAGTACAAGAAAATAAAAAGCACCCGCGCGCCAACAAGCGGCGCGGCAACTCCATCCATCGTACGGCCCCAGCAACCAGCCGACTGGCCCAGCTCACGAACCAAGCCACGTCTACGCGGACAGGGCGAGGGGCATGCCGCCCTGCCTCGCCGCACGTCCACCGCGCACGCACGCGCGCGTCGTGCCCAGCTCGTCCCCAAGAAGCCCTAGCTCCGCGAAAACCACCGCCCAGCCAGGTTCGTCGCGATGCTTCCGGCCAAATTGGTGGTGCCCAACGCACTGCCAGCCAAACTAGAAGCCTGGCTGAACTTGTCGCATCTCGAAAAGGCAAGCGTGTTCATGATTGTCAAAACGAGGGCGATGACTATCGTTGGTTCCCCGTCAGCCGTGCCGCACGTCATCCGCGCCATGCGCCATGCGCCATGCCCCTCCTTCCGCCGGCGATGCAGACAGCCAGAAAGACAGACAGACAGATACACAGACGCACGTAGAAGGAAGCAAGAGGGGGGCCGGGAACAAGCGGACAGACAGCACTCACCCACAAGCGGCAGCCAGAGGAACTGCAGCCTCACAATGGCCAGGACGGCCAGCAGGATCCACAGCAGGGGCTGCACGTACAGCGACAGCCAGAAGAACCTGCTGTCGGTGGCATTGACGACCTTGGTGCCGGGCTCGCTCGACTCAAAGACCCATTTGGACTCGCCGGTCTGGGGGTCGACCTCGTTCCACCACCGGAGGCCGACAAGGCGCCGGCCGGCGATGTTCTTGAGGTAGTAGAAGTCTGCGGCGAGGAGGAGGATGGTGATGATGAAGATCATGATCCTGCGGTTGGGATTTTATGACAGTTTCAGCGTCAGCCTTTTTCCACGTCTGGTTGCCGAGGGTTGGAAGGGGGGGGGGCGAGGATAGGGACGCATGTACATGCTTGCCGTGACCCAGAGGCCAAAGAAGTACACCATCACGCTCGCTGCGTATCCGTTAGCCGTGCTCGGGTTTACCGTGTGCTCGTTCGTGGAGCAGAGGCCAGGAGCTGGACGACGGACATATTCTCAAGGCCAGGAAGGCCAGCAGCGTTATGGGGTGCGAACTCAACCGCCAGCTTAGGGTTCCGGGCAACGGCTGCCGCTCCACGTCCATGGCGCCGATGTCTCAACGGATGGCGGATGGAAGATGAAGATGCGCAAGGCGTGGTGGGCGGTTTCGTCACAGCGGCGGGGGGGCCGACGGGTTTGAGTGGCCCCTTCGAGGGCTGCGACGTGGCGACGCGAGGGCAGGCCGGGTGCAGGGCTTGACGGAGGCGAGAAGTCGAAGTCGTGTCTGGTGACGACGCATCCCCGGGCGGTGCGGTGCGTGCGAGTGAGTGTGCGAGGTGGTGGTGGTGGTGTTTGGATGGAGGAGAGAGGCAAGGCGACATGTGGCATCTGGACCCACGTCAGCTTTCAGTGCTCCTTGGACGTGGACGCGCCAGCGCAGATGAGTTGATCCGGCCCGCACCCGCACGTCCAAAAAGGTACAGTCACTCGTCCGGCGTCACGAGAACCTCGTCCGTCTGCCTCCAGCAACTAGAAACCAGCAACCGGTAGAGTTCCGCCGCGCATGCTGCCCTAGCCGCCGTCAATGCGAATCAGGCCCGCGACTTAATCCACGCCATGACATACCAACGTCCAAGCTGCGCGTTGATCTGATCTGGACAGCCATACATCTCATGCCCACCCCTCACTCACATCAAGCAGCAATCGGCCATTCGTGGTCGAAAGCTCGCCACCATGGCCACAGCCGCAGCGGCGTCGACGACCATTCTTCGACGGTCTCTTCTTTATGGTAAGCAGACGCTCCGTCCACCACGCCCGTCATTGTCCTCGCAACTTAAATCTCGCCCAGTCCCCTCCTCTTCGCAAAAGATGCTCGCCAAGTCGCTGGGCCTCGCCTCGGACAATATAACCTACGACCTCGAGGATTCAGTCACACCCTCTCTCAAGCCACAGGCCCGGCAACAGCTCAAGTCGCATCTTTCATCCCTGACGGCTCGCCCGCCATCCATCTCCGAGCTCGCCGTCCGCGTCAACGCCGTCTCCTCCGCCCTCGCCCTCGATGACCTGACGACGCTGTCTCCGGTGCCCCTCGTCGACGCCATTGTCGTGCCCAAAGTTGGGTCGGCCGCCGATTTGACCTTTGTGTCCGACGTCCTGCGCCATGCCGCCCCGGAAAGGCACGCCGCCGCCTCGAGCAGTCCCGTCAAGATCATCGCCCTGATCGAGTCGGCCCGCGCCGTCATGGACCTCTCCAGCATCTGCCGCGCCTCCCCCTACCTGAGCGGCCTGATATTCGCCGCCGAGGACTTCGCCCTCGACTTGTCCATTACGAGGACGCCGTCTCTGAACGAGTTCCTGTATGCCCGTTCCGCAATCGTCACCGCCGCCAGGGCCGCCGGTCTGCCCAGCGCCATCGATCTGGTGTGTACGTCCTACCGTGGCGACGAGGGCATCAGGAGGCTTTCCGAGGAATGCGCCGGCGGCAAGGCAATGGGGTTCAACGGCAAGCAGTGCATACATCCCGACCAGGTGGAAACGGTGCAGAGGTTGTTTGCCCCGAGCCAGGATGAAGTTGCGTGGGCGACGCGGGTGGTGATTGCGGACAAGAAAGCTGCGGCCTCGGGCAGGGGCGCGTGGGCCTTGGATGGCAAGATGATCGACGCTCCGGTTGTTGGCAAGGCGCGAGCCGTCATTGCCAGAGCCGAGCAGTGCGCATTTGACGTTGCTGGTCTGAGGCGCAAGTGGAGCGATCAAGAACCTGAATGAGCAAAACCCGTGAGGCCAGTGCACAAGTTGCAGCCGATGCCAAGGCACACTTTATTTGTACAAGACGGACGAGCCTTGTCGGTCAGGGATAATAGCCGTTGGAGCAGGCACAGATATTGACCCAGGTCCGTGGCGGTCGTCGTCATTGATGATTTGTCCATCCAGGCCTGGACCGGCCAGAGAGGGCAGAGGCCGAGCAAGACCACTGGCATCGAATAACCATTCTAGTCACAGTTTTCGCCCAAGGCCTTCATTCATCACCCCATTCTTCTCGCTGAGACAGGGTCGCTGAATGACCGTCATCTCTTGGCCATGTTACACCTGATTTTACAGCAGCGAGAATGTGGGCGAGTACATGGTTTCTCGAGAAAAGATCTGTCCAAAACCTCCAGGACTTCTGCTCCGGTCAGTCAGATACGTCAATGACAAGCCCAGGAACCCATCCTCCAATGCCATCTCAGCGCACACTACATTATTGCACGCAGAATCGTACAGCACGGCACCGGCACAACCGTCTAGTCATGAGCCATGAGACAGACTTGACAAACGGACAGGTAGCCCAACTGCGTGAAGAAGTGACGGGGTTCCCGACCGTGGCTTCTGAAAACACCTGCACACAATGGTTATTTCGGACGCATCACTCCAACAATAAGAGTAGCATTTTGTTGTAGACTATGCTTGTGAGTGTCAAGGCCATATTCATGGCAAGGCGAACGCCTCGACCAAGACCAACTTGAAAGCGCAACCCGATTTGTCACCTGCCCTTCCAAGATGCCATGCTGGGAAGGCTGATAGGAGAGACTTGATACTAAAGCATGCGGAACCGCAATAGCACTGTATTTTAACAAGGTCAACTCTGTCTGCAAGACTGAGGGGATCCATTTTGTGGCCGAGGTGATGGAATCACATGTTGTCAACAGCCCGTGGATTAAACGGCGCTCGTCGGACCGTCCGCAGTCTGATAAACGTAGAAACGTCTTGTAGACATCTGACTGTTCTCAGCCGGAGCTGAACTCATGCCCTAAAGGTGTGACTGACGGAGTCATCCTTTACGACATGATATCGACATACTGCTCGCCCAGGCTGCGTGCTGTACACGCGCAAGCATCTTGTTTGAGAGAATGCCTAGCGATTTTGCTGGCATGAATGCACAACTTTGTGCATCAACATAGCCTGAAGGCTGAGCTGTACGGCAGCTCATGTGCTTCGTAGAGCGCCGAGTCATGGATGTTTTCCCTTGACGGAGCAAATTTACCTTTTTGCATGCCACTCCCTTGCCTCTGTGTACCCACGTCTCTCCAACGCTCACTGCTAGGATGTTTGTTTGCCTTTTTACCTTGCGCATCGTCTAGGAAGCGCGAGTCTTTGGCCCTGTGAAGATGGTGGAAATCATCGCCAAGACACTGGGCGCAGCTGTCGTGGAAGTCATTGTTGGGGTCGGGTGTGAGAATCGAGTCATCATTTTGTAAAAGCTCTGTTCCATGTTCCAAGCGTCCTCTTGTTAAAGCAAATGTGCCAGAGGCTCGATTCGCTGCACGCCCACGATAAGAATCGCAAGGGGACATCTGCTCATCCGTTCTTGTCTCGAAGCTCTCGAATCCATACAACTCGCGTTCTGTTGTGCGGCAGCCGGGATTACATGTAGTTTGACGGCGCATTCGCCCAATGCATGGGAAAACGCTCTCCGCCCAACCCGTTGGGCTGTTGGGCTTTGTCCGAAACATCGGTGCAGAAACTCTTGCCAAGTCGTACTTGCCGCCACATTGGCTGTCTTCATACGCAAGGTGTCGCGAAGGGTTGAGTGCTTCGTCCACAATGACGCTGTCACGTTGTCTTGGCCCATTCATTGATGGCGAGCGATGGATCCTGGACTGCCGGGAATTTGTGGCGCGCATTATGGGCCTATGTTGATTCTTCTTCCACAAGAACCTGTCTGAATCTTGAGTGGTCTGATTGTCTAATATCAAGGATGCTGTTCCGATTGGGCTGGCTGTATATCCCATATCCATCTCCTCGCCGTGGGAAGTCAGACATGCGTTGGACATGGCAGCGAAGTGTTCTGGTGTACTGAAAAACCGTCCGTGGTTCACTTTCCACCTTTCATCCCAATTTCCTTGTTTCTCTCTCTTCGTGGACACAAATGCATCCGGCTCAGGGAGCCTATTGAATTTTCTACTTGAGTTATCAATATCTGCGGCGCTAAATGTACTCGATTTCGTCTTCGAGAGACTCAAGTCAAAATTGTTGAAGGAGAGGTCTGTCACTTCAAGAGATAGGCAAAGTCAGTTTCAGTTCTAAAAAAAAAAATCAACCACGGGTTTGGGCATACAAGTGATGTTATTCCAACATCTCTCTTCGGGGAGCAAGTGCAGAGCAGAACTGGGAGACAAGTCCTCTGCAACATGAGGTTTCATCTGGTCTCTGGTCAGAAGTGCAAGCAGAATCCTAAGGAGCCAACTTACGATGAGGGGCCCTTTCTTTACTGCATCAGATGTAAAGTTCTTCATTATTTCCTTTCCGGAACGTACCCTACGTTTTTGACGCATTCTAGGACTGTCCTGGCGACGGGCCAGCCCATCTGCATATTCTTGGTCCTCCATCGCCGTGTGTTTGATGTCGTATCTGCTGTCTCGAGTCTTGCGCCGTGTTTGGCGCTGAAATTCATCACAAACATTGCGCTTCTGGGGCCCGGGGGCAGGATTGAAGTAGCGTCTTGACCTTTCGGATCTAAATCTGCCCCCTTTCCGTAACAACTCCAGCTCTGATTGCTCAAGCATCTGTCGATGAGCTGATGAATTCGGGCTGTTCTGAACACAAGGGCTGGCTGGTATAAACAACTCCGAACTGCAAGCTGAGGTCTGTTCCCTTTGCAAACGCTCGTCAGGCTCATGGCCGAATGGGAGATAAGGAGTTCTTTGAGGCCCAGCTTTGTCCCGTGAAATGCCTACGGGATCATTGTTTTGACTTGCTGCACCGAGACATCCCGATCGGACACTCTCCAGCCACGTCTCTACGAGAACCGGTTTTGGGCTTGAGAATGGGACTGATTTCCGACGGCTGGGCAGGCAGAAGCTGCCGTTGTCATGGTTTTGAGACCTTTGCTCACTACCATCTGTTGGAGGCAGGTGAGAGTGATTCGGCATATTGGAGTTCAAACGTCAACTCGTTCGAGGCTGTCGCGAACCAGCAGTTTGACCGTTGTCGTCACGTCGAAAGAGCAAGTACGGTTGAATCTTCAAATCGCTGGCAAGCATGAGCACCTGCGATGTCAGCTATGGCAACTATGACAGCGCAAAGACGAGCTTCTCAACCCTACCTTGCTGAATGAAACCGCAGGAATGTCGCTACAGACAGAGCTCCGAGCGGGGTGCGAGAGAAGGAGAAGGAGACCAAAAAAAAAAAGAAAAGAAAAAAAGGTTGCCCAAGGCTTCCGCATGTTTGCATCGAGTTGATTGTGTTTGATGCTCCAGATATAGAGGCAGCTGCCGACTTCGGAAGGGGAAAAAGTATCAACCTTTGGGCGACATGTCCTGTGCCTGCTTCCAAGACACACCTGATGACGGGGCGCTCCAAGCTTGCGGAAAAGAATGGAAGGAACGAGGGAGTAAACAAGTTCGGAACCGTCTTGGTCCTTCTCGGTGATGTTGTGTCGCCCAAATGGAGATACGCGCAAACGTTTCGAGTTCCATGGCAGCCGCCCAGTCTCGTTTGTCTCAATTACGGGAGCAATGTCTCTTTCGTCTTGCCATGTTGGTGCCGGAAATAGTAGGCGTCCAGCCAAGATACTCCATCCCCGGATTTGCACATGTTGGGCATGGAGCAGCGCCACTGCTACTGATGGCGCCAGAACCCTGCAGCTTCCAAGCTGGAAAAAAAGGAATCTTGTTCCAGGAAACCTGATTTGTTTCGAGCTCGGCCGCATGCACGTAGCACTCCGTTGGGAATCCCTCCCAGATTAACTACTCGGTACAACCACACTAATGCAAATCAAAAGTCCCACAATGCAACGCAGAACCTGGACCCTTGCTTGTTGCCGCCAGACGAGGCTGTTGGAGGCTTGTAGCAGAATATTTTTGGAACCCTCCGATTAGATGGCGCATGAGACGGTGAACACATGACCTGCTGTGTCGGACTACGATTGACCCTCGTCGTCGCGCGCTCCATACAAGTGTTTTGATACTGAAAAGGATCATGGCAGGGAGAATAGCCTCCAACATTATATTGACACAGGAGCATACGATGCTTTCCATCTACTCAGTGCGAGTGACCGGGGCCCATCGGGTGCCAAACCAAGCTGAGTGGTACGGGCCACGTGAAATAGACGAGCCTCGACTTGCGAGACTCCTCAAATCCGTACCTTGCTGCCCTGAAGTGCTACGCTGTTGGACCTGTTGATGGAGATGATTCGTTTCGTCAAGCCGCCATGAGGGACAGACGTTCGTCGACATCAATGATCCAGGCCACCTCACTTCATGGCGGAGTCGTGGAGCCCGTGAACGTCGACAGACACTCGTAGAGACCCCTACCAGCAAGTCGGCTGCCGTCGCAAGGCCACATGCGCTTCGCCCCCCCTCCCCCTCCCCACCACCGACTTCTTATGGGATGGCCGCACGCGTCCTGGGGTTGGTCAATTTGAGCTATATCTTGTGGTGGGCTGCTCGATCTGTTTGGGAATCGACACGCGTCGACGGTGGCTTGCTGCAGGGTCGTGCTCAGAGACAGTCAATCATGCCTCTCCCTCCCTTGAGCTTGTCCTCAAACGAGGACGGACACTGCAGGTGCCTCGGCGGGCGCCTGGGAACTACTAGGTCAGTGAGCATCTGCTGTTTTGACCCTGGCTTTCACCCCTGGACGTGCTGCTTCCTCCAGGGTTTGAGACGCGGGATCGTCCACTGACACGCCCACAGACAACCATTTCCCCCTGAGCAAAAATGACCGTGACGGTCCATTCGAGTGACATGAAATGCCACGAAGCAGCAAGGTGATTGTAAACTGAAGTGAAGAAACATGACGCTTTGCACTTGCCAGCGACTTGTCTCTCCGGATGGTGGCAGAGGGGCTGGCACGTCGTCCTGTCCACGCTGTGCATTTGTATTAGTGAGGGTTCTCGTTTTTAGCTTTTAGAGTATGGGATGTGTGGACCGACTCCTAGTCACTTTTACAAGAGCATTACGAGCCCTTGTCGACAAGGCCGGGCCCTTGTGTGTCGACAGAGGATGTGGGCGAAGCTAGGCAGCTTCCTCCACTTGTCCAGAGTCAGTCGATGCGAAGACGATTTATAACCGTGTGGAAGGCCTCATTCTGACCCTTTTCCCTGTTCGGCTCCGGTCAGCACACGTGTATGCTGAAGTGTCCGTGTCTTGTGAGAATATTGGAACCATTTCGTCTGCCAGTGATTATCTTGGTCCCCAGAGGAGGTCTATGCCGACCAGCAGTCACGGTTCGTTCGTCTGGCTGGCTGGCTGGCTGGCTCGGATTGCCTTGGCCTCGACTTGTGAATGCAGACAGGCCTCTGGTCCTTTGATTAAAACAAGACAAGACACATGCCGCCCTCTGTTGCTGTTTCGACAGCAGGCCGAGCCGCACCATCCGCCCGGCCGCTGCTGCCTGCCCACGCGGGTGCGTCCCCAACTCCCGAAGCGCTTTGGACCCCACGTCGACCCAAACCAGAACCAACCCAACACCAACACCCGACCCGAACCCAACGGCGCGAGTCGAGCCGAGAAGCAACAAGTCAAGTCAAGCAAGCGAGCAAGCGAGCGAGCAAGCAAGCAAGCAAGCAAGCAAGCAAGCAAGCACCAGCCAGTCGCCTGACCGTACGGCGTTTCGAGCCGGCAATCTGCCTCGCCGCTAGTCCGGCCCTCCAACCGCAGACTAGAGGTTTCAGTACTCGTAATTTGCCCTGCAAAGCAACTAGCTGCCTCGTTCTACAAAGGCCGACGGAAGTTGACGCTCCAGAAATGGTACTTCGCCTCGTTGTGGGAACTCGGTCCAGTCAAAAGCCTCGAGGCCGGCGTTAGCGCAGCACATTGTCCCGCTGCATTTCGGCGGCGATCCCTAACGCTGATGAGATCAGCAGAGCAGAGCCCATCATGGACTCTCTGAACACATTGTCCTCTCCTCTCTCTGCACGCCATGGCGACTCGGCAGTGTGCTGTGCGCCGGCCAAGTGGACCTGGGGCTCTTCACCCATTGTTCGCTGCAGTCTGGAGATTAAACTCGCAGCTCGCAGGACTGCAGCAGCGCACTTCATCGACGGCACTTGGCCTTCTCCTTATACCAGCATCGCCCACGCGACTTCGCTGCCGCGCCCACAATTTCGTCCTCGTCCATCCGGCCTCCAACCCGACCGTACGCTGAGGTAGGTTCAAACCGCCGTCCTGCTCCCCGCGACACTTGGCGCAGGGTTCCGAGTGCTGTTCCGAGTGCTAGACCCTGTCCAGCCCTCGGCAAACGCCTCCTCTGAGCCACGGCAGCCGGCAGGCGGGGGAGTCGGCCAATTTTGGCTCATAGCTCAGTCCATATCTCCGACTAGTTGCTAGTCGTTGTCGCATGTCTTCTATTTTCCAAACGGCCAACCTTGCCTAGAGAAAACACGTACCCTTCCTCAGCCGCCTTGGTGTTCGCATCGCCCTCAAGCCTCTCCCCAATATCAATCCCTTCATCCGCAGCCTTGCGTTTACGTCCTTTCAAGAAACACTCACACCACCGCCGTTCCATTTCTACCCTCCCATCCATCGTCTGACCCCGTCGCATAGAACTGAGACGAGAGATAAGCGCAACAACATATTGGCCATGTCGAAGCTATTCATCGGGTAAGCACAGACAGATAACTCATCGGAATTCCCCCCTCGGTCAAAAACCTTCCCCACAGCATCGTGTCACCGCCGCCGCCGCCGAAAAAAAAAGCCACCAACTGACAGCGTAGAAAGCGGCCTCGCATGGCATACCGAAACGGCCACTCTTCGCCAGAAGTTTGAGGAGTTTGGCGCTGTTGAAGAAGCGGTATGTTTGTTCTGTTCCTTTCATTTGTGGTGTTTCAGAGTCTTTTGGCCTGCGCGCGGATCATGATCGCTGTTCCAACCTCTCAATGACACCCTCGTTTGCTTCGTTCAAAGTGCGTCAAGATCGTTTTCTAATTTGAGTTTGTCTCTGCGCGTGAAGGTGGTGGTTAAGGATCGAGATACTCTTCGCAGCCGCGGCTTTGGTTTTGTGCGCTACACCCAAGAGAGTGATGCCCAGAACGCTATAGCTGCCATGAACAACGTCGAGTACGAGCCCCTTTCGCTTCTTCTCTGTCGTCACGGACCGAGTGCTTGATTGGTCGCCCGGTTTGACCCGGTTTCTAATATTGGATTTAGATTTGACGGTCGAACGATTCGCGTGGACAAAGCGTCTGACAATAGCTCTCGCGGCGGTTATGGGGGTGGTCGAGGAGGAGGCGCGGCATTTGGAGGAAGGGGAGGCTACGGGACACCGATGCCTTACGGTCTGCCGCAGCAGCCTCCTGCCTATCCAGTCGTCGCTCCTCAGATGTACGCACCCGCTGCGGTAGCATATGGTCGGCCTTACCCTCAACCTCAGCCGGGCTACGGCATGCCTCCTCAGGGTACGCCTATCCGATCTCCTGACCCTGTATTCCTTCTCGGGCGCATAGGTTAACAATGAGTGCAGCATACGGCGTTCCGCAATACGGATACGCAGACCCCTCTCAGCAGCCAGTTCCCATGTCGCAGCAGCACCAGCCTCCTGCTCAACCGCCTCCTCAGGGTGGGAGGGGGTATTAACGTTGGTGTCTGGGGATAGCGCGTATCATGCCATGCTTCCGACACGAGAGGTTGCCAAGCAGAAGGGCTGAACGGTGTTCCACGCCTTCGACTTCTCTCGACACGCTATCTCCATAAGGCGTTTTGGGGTGTGGTGTAAGGGCAGGGGCTAGGGATGAGGGCTTGGAGAGACGGGGTGAAATTCCGCTCAAATGTCCCGATATCTGGGCTGGCCGGCCATCCTGGCTTTTCCGCTAGTTTTCGGTACATTGGCGCCGGCTCAATTGAAGCTGCATGTTCACTCTGGTGCCCTGTTTTAGTGCATCTCTCCGTCTTATTTGCATAGGGACAATGTCCCTTTCCTGCCTATTTTTTGAGTATCCGAAGAGGGTTGGAATACGTCCACTGAAAAGAAACGGCGGCGATGCGATAATGGTCTATAACTACCTGCCAAATGCGACTTAAACAGAAGTGACGGCCAACAAATTCGATTGCGAAGATGATAAACAAACCACGCTGAGGAGCAGGCTGCATCTATTGGATGGAGGGAGGAGAGAACAGGGTTGCGCGGCAAAAGCTAGTCCACATCACCAGATTGAAGAAAGTAAAAGGATAGGGTTTAAAAAAAAAGGTGTTTCTCGCTCCGTGGGGTTGTCTATAAAAAGCATGCCGTTTTATATGTAAGCGTCTATCCCGAGTCGGCAGGCTTCCTGTATACTAATTGCCGAGGAGGTCGAGATTAAAAAAACACTGAAGTGAGCCCCGCTTGTTCGACCCTAGGATGAAGTTCCGTTGACCGATTGTTCGAGAGCTCGAACGCGTTGTGCCAAGTCGCTGACATGATGATCTCCACTATCCGGAGACAACTCATTGAGGGCAAGCTCAAGGCCGTAAAGATAGTCTTTGTTCAGACCGCTTGGGCCTTTGCTGTTGAAGATATGCCGTGCCAGCGCCTGGGGATCTTGAGGGCCGACGAATTGCTCATTATCTGGCGTGCCAATGTACACCAGAGTCTTCATTGGCGTTGACCCGTCGGCGGGATAAAAAGGTGTGTAGTGGATGGAGTAGCCGTTGATCTCTCTGATATCCAGGTACTCCTTGACTTCAGACACTTTTTCCGGCACGATACGATACGCGACCCCCCAGACCTTTTCTGGCGCCGAATCGTGGTGGTCTGTCAGCTTCTCCCAGTAAGAGCGCTCGATCAGGGTGACAACCCGACCAGGGGCCTCTGGCGTACCACGGTGGTCCTCACTAGAAATGGGTCAAAAGTTGGAAAAGGGGGAAAAAGGGGGAGGGGGGACATCGGACAATTGTCGCCATCATGTAGCCCAAGGAGGAGCGTGAGACCAACCTTGCCTGGCGATGAGGATGTGTAAGTAGAGACTCAAGGCGGGGGCGAGTATGTTTCCTGATTCCTTGTACATACCTGCCAGAATCTCCTGACATAACCATTTACCCAGCCCGGAACTCTTCTATCTGGCGGCACCCAAGAACGAGACGGTCAGTTTACATTGATGCACGTGCACGGGGTCGTCCATGGAAGGACGAAGAGGACATAGCATGTATGTACCAAAGTGTGGCGGCGGTTTCCATATGAGACTCCTGCAGTAGCCGGTGCAATTAGCTATGTGGAAGCAGATCAAGCGGATAGAAGAACAGGATACCAAGGGACTTACCCGTAGCCGAAGAGCCAGAACTCGGATGCAGTCTCGTAATCGGTTGTGTTGGCCGTGGCGGGCATGGTAACTACCTTGTTACAGCCAGAAAGGCAGCCACAGAGTAGATGAGGAACCGTGGTGCTCCTTGCAGCTTGATATCATGGCAGATGTTTTATTAGCCAGGGCCGGGCGGCTTCTCGGAGGCCCCAGACCCATTGATGTGAAGTGGGGCGACAACGTGATTGCCAGGGGAAGGCACGATCGTCATCGTCTCCATAGCCCATACTCAAGTTGCTAGGTACGTCTCTATAGCGCGCGCGGGGGGGTACCGAGGTGTTCTTTGGACCAGCCTCAGCTTCATCAGCCATGACAAGACAGCTTTGAACCAGCATGTAATGATTTTAAAGCACCTTGTAGTAGTTCTGCTGCCGTTGGAAATCGGGGCCGCGCGCGTGGCCCACGCGTCCTACATAGCCTCATGGGCACCTAGGTATCTGGGTAAGTAAGTACCTAGGTATGCGCTCATAGAGTTTAGACGTCCGCCGGTGTCAATGGGAGCGGCATGCCCAACCCATCTGCCGCCTGGTAGTTGAACAAACACGAAACTTCTCGAATCAATGTAGTTCATCGCCGGGCGGACCCGCGACCCGGCTGTCGGCACCCCATGCAGGTGCTGGCCATCTGCGGGCACAGTGGTGGTGGTGGACATGTGGTGTCTCGGGCGTGTCCTGCCAAGTACATGCCCTGCCTAAGAAGTAGGTACTTACCTACTTGTACTTCTTGGGCACTTGGCGCAATGTTGGTGACGCTCGGGCTACAGACTCCATAATTCGGAGCAGCTGGGGCAAACAATGGACCTTGATGCTTGGTTAAGTACGCAGTTGGAACCGAACCGAACGTCTCTTCTCAGCCTCAGTCAAACACAAAGCCTGAATCAGCCCTGCTGCTTGTCCGTCTGTATAAAGCAGTTCGGCACCCTGGCCGTTTCGCTCATTTCTACCCCAGCCTTGGCCATCCCCGCTGTACGTCAGTCAAGCAAAGGACTGCTGCACCATGGCATACAACCGGCCCTTCGATCCAGATGCCTTGCCCAGGTACCAATTCGACCCCTCATCGTTGCTTCGCGATACCGCACATCGAACCCCATGACATGTGTTTGTTAACGCTCTCTCTCCCGTCCACAAGTTTCCCCGAGCCCGAACGAGTAGGTCATTCAATTTCGTCCGGGAGTCAAATTTACATGGCCGCGCGGAGACAAGAGGCGCTCTCGCTCTACACGCGCCTTGGCCGTCCAAAACACACATGTTAACCCAATCTTTCTTCTCAACCTCTCTAGAAGTCTGGCTCCTCGCCGCCGCAGACGCACCAGCAAAGCCGTTACGAAAAGAAACCCCCTCCAGCAATCCCGAGAGCCAGTTACTCCGCGCCCCATCCTCAGCCAGCCCACGGCCAAACCTTTCATTGCGGCTCCAGCCATGCACCCGGACCGGCCGCACCTCGACCTGCTTCCCAGCCTCAAAGTCGCCCAACACCACCACAGAACCACTCGGCACCCCCGCCGACCCCAGATTCCGCGTCTGGCCCCGACTCGACACTGCTGCCGCTCTTCCGGGCTGTAGACAAGGACAGTAAGTTTTTCAGAAACTTGACAACCAGAAGTGCGGCCACCGCGCACACGCAGGCCGGCCGAGGTTGTCATTCCGCCATGTTGAACAAAAACGAGACCCTCTCGGCGTGACATCGCTGACATGCCGCTAGACACCGGCCAGCTCTCCGAAAAGGAACTCTCGGCAGCTCTCGTGAACGGCGACTGGACAGCGTTTGACATTCAAACCGTCCGGATGATGATTCGCATGTTCGACTCTGATCGCAGCGGCACCATCAACTTTGAGGAGTTTTGCGGACTATGGTCCTTCCTTGCCTCTTGGCGTACCCTGTTCGACCGCTTCGACGTCGATCGCAGCGGCAACATCTCTCTCCAGGAGTTCACCGATGCCCTGATCGCGTTCCGCTACCGCCTCAGCCCCCAGTTTGTCGAATTGCTCTTCCGCACTTACGATAAGCGCAACGAGGGCGTCATGAGTTTCGATCTGTTTGTGCAGAGCTGCATCTCGCTCAAGCGCATGACGGATGTTTTCAAGAAGTACGACGACGACCGGGACGGCTTCATCACGCTGAGTTTTGAGGACTTTTTGAGCGAAATCTTGAGACAGCTCAAGTAGGGACTGGAGGGGGGAAAAAAAAAAAAAAAAAATCAAAAAAAAAATCAAAAAATCAAAATTGAGCTGGGTGAATGAGAACATGTCATGAAACACAATGCATGGGAATTAGGACATTCACAGAGGGCAAATGGTTGGGATTGATGACTGGTTGGCTAGTGATCCAAGCTTTTGGGGTGGATGATACCCTTCGAACGGAGATACGAGCCGCTCTGAAGCTTAAAGCAGGAGCTACTCGAGTGGAATGTGTGTTGTGGCGCGATATTGTGGCTCTCTTTAATTTTTTTCGTTTGTTTTTTATATTTTCATTTTTATTATTCTTGTTACCGCAGCAGACAAGACCGACCCCATTTCAAATACTTGGCTGGATTTGGAGCAAGATACGGAGTACATTAACACCATTTCATATCGGAGTATTAAATATCAAGTACTCTGGATGAAGCCAGGCTCAGATGACTTGGAGCTTATGAAACATTAGTGCGGCTGAGCATGCGTGACGTAAAGGGCAAAAAGGTAGAAACGAGTATCATACCATATTTCCCGCCGGCTATGCGACGCGATCGAAGCGCTGACGTCGTATATTGGCGCAACAAGGTGTGAACAACAGGACAGCTCTGAGCCTTTTAAGCCAGAAACATGCTCGGCCAGAGTTGACTGACCCTGAACTGCGAGCCTATGCCCTCCCCGCAGGCATTGGCAGAGAGCAGATAGGGAATACTCAAGTGACGGTTCAGGCAGCCTGGTTCAACGACGGCCGTTTCTTCCGACACCCACAACCCGTCACTCGTCAGGACGATTTCTTCACCAACGTTGAGAGCCATGATTTCAGTGGGCTTGTCCATCTTTCCGCCTCTCTTGGAATCCGCTGTACGGGAGCCGTGGACGCCAGCCGTCACGCCGTGCACAAAGCGACGCACCTCATAAGTCTTGTACTTCTTCCTCCGGGTCAAACGCTTGGCTAGGCCTCTGATAAACTTGTCTCCGTCGTACGTGCTGATCCAGGCTCTTGCACCCAGCTTAGATATAATCTCTTGGCCGTCGTGAAAGCCACTCGTGAGGTTGCCGCCGAGCCACCACGGCTGGGATATGGCATCAAAGCAATGTAGAAGAGCTGTGAGCGGCAGCGTAGCTTCGGAGACAAGGTGTGAGGTTGCGTACCCCTCAATGGCGCTGTAGGAGATGCCGTGGGGAGACAATATCACGGATACCCCAGATGCCCTCCGGTTCCTGGCGTGAAGTGCGGCTAAGGATCGACCTGCCTTGGACGGGTGACTGACGGGGCTTTCAGCAGGTCTAAGTGGTGGCAAAGCTGGGAGCAGTGGTAAAGTAGGCGTGTCGAGGGTCTCGGGAGTATAAAGGTCGGTTGGGCTCGCTGTCCCTGAGGCAAACTTTAACGAAGGAGTTGAGACACGAGTGGAAGCTGTGGGCGGTGGCGATCGAGAGGTTAATAGTCCCGAGGGCGTCGGTCTGTACGTTATTCCTATTGCCGAATCGACCCCTTTCGTATTTCTTCGCCGGGAAATGAAAGAAACAGTCACGAGGCCTCCGTCTCCGCCGGCCACACCAGAGCGTATAGGTATTCTAATGGCAGTGTCTCGGCCAGTGTGTCGAGGGTCCTGCCATCGCTGAAGGGTGACAATTTTCCTCTCATCGAAATATCCCCAGCTTCGAATTAGTTTTGCCGCCGTAGGCTCCGCTAGTATGGTCGTCTTCGTGCCGCAGGGTGCGAGCTGCCGAAGGGTAGCCTCATTGCAGTGGTCGCTGCGGCCATTACTGACGATAACTAGGTCAGGCTCAGGTAGGTCTCGTAACGTTGAGACGCATGCTCCCTGAACATGAGTCGTAGAGGAAAATTTGGAGTGGAAGATGTTTGACGGTCCGACAAGCCACGGATCGAGGAGAATTCGGAACAGCTGGGGCACCCCTACACAACCGATGGGATCAGACCGAACTGGTTCAAACGTAAGTAAGAATGATGCATCCCAATTCAGCTGTCGAATGCTAAGTGCCATTCTGGAGGCTGGTGGGCGCGTTTTGAATGGCCAAAGAGGCTCTTTTTGGGGATGAAAAAGCCGCCTGGCAAAACAACTGCGCACGAGGCAGATGTTATGAGCCGCGGGTTTTGGCTCATGCTGCCTGTCTGGTCAACAAAAGCGTAGCTCGCCGAAACAATGACAAGATGTTGCAGAGTGTTTCACAGTTGGCATTATGCGCAACCAAGACCCTGTGCTTCGGAGCATTTTGTCGACAGTATGTTGGTATGAGAGGGTCGATGAGGCTACTGCAAGAATAAGTCGCGTATGGAACAGCGTCCGGAAGCATATCTAACGCCGTTAGAATGTCCATCCGGCTCATCTATTTGCATGGAATATATGTGCTCAGTGGTGGTTTGATTCCCATCCCCAGTCGTACTGCGAGAAAAAGTTGACTAAAAAGAACCTCTCTTGTTGAGGTCGACGACAGTATGCGCAGGCCGCCCGTCCGAACAGCTGAGGAATTCAACGTGGGAGCTGCAACGGAAGGCTTTGATGAGGAGTACCAACCCCAAATTCCATGGCAACAAATTAACATACCAGTGCTGGTGGTTGCACTTTGGTCAGTTGCATACCAGCCAGCCTCCTAGACAGCCTTAAACTAGTTCCCGAGTCGGAGTCATCCATGGCCGCTCTCGCCCTCCAAGTCGACATGGTGTCAGCAAGCAGACGAACAGGGAACAGGATGAAATAATCTCATGCTGCTGTGTCGCCAGCTTTGGTAGTCTTGTGAGGGCAAGGCTGGCTCGGCTGCATCTAAGTAAGCTGGTTGATGCGATAGTTGATGGCGAGCAGGAATGACGCTCTCTGGAGCTCTCAATGTCGGGAAGGGCGCAACGAATCACTCGGCCTCCCGAGAGACGCCCCACCTGACATGGAAGCGCCCCCGCGCCTATGCAGCCCTCCCACCCACACACACGCGGGGTCACCGCCTGGCAGTTCAAGTTGCGATAAAAGCTGCTGTCAGCTGGGCTTATCTTCAGCAGTCTTTTACTCAAGTACTTAGTACGCAGGCGGTGACAGGCCCCAGTCACGACACCGATAGACCTGCTTACCCACCAGGGCGGGAACTTGAGTTGGTTACTTAGGTACTTACTTAAGTAGGTACTCCGTAAGTACTTCCCAGTAGGCACTGGACCCAGGTCTCCTCCGTGTTGGAGCACCTACCTAGGTACTTACCTAGGTACTTAATACCTAAGTAGCCAAAGTATTCAGGTATTTACCCACGTACTTGGGTGGTTAAGTAAGTACCTTAGGTAAGTACTTAAGTACTTGGTGTGGATGCGACGCCTCGGCAGCGATGGACACCTGCAGAATCCGATTGATGCCTCAAGTACTATTAGAAGGTTACTGGAACATTTCGAGGGCTCAATATTGGCAGTTGGCAGGTACTGGGGACCCTGGCTGGCGCCAAAGCAATCGACTCATGGCCTGTGAGGCCGGCCAGGACGGCCTGGCGGCAACTGTTGGCTGGGGTGCTAAACGATGTCAGCAGTGCAAGGCGGTCAAGTGGCCTTAGCTCTCGTGGTAACATTAAAAGGTCTTCTTTGCAGCTCCAAGTCAACCCGGCCCCTTGCACCGTCCACCCTTCCATCCATCATCCATCCCGACGCCCTGGAACGCCGCGTTAGATGGTCATTGGCGGCTGGGTCGAAGCTCGAGACAAGCCCATCCAGCCCATCCCTCCTTCACAATGATCCAGGGGTAGTACGCGGTAGAAAGTCAAGAGGGCAATGGCTTGGCCATTGTGTCGCGGTGAAACACTGGCTAACAGCAGGCAAGGAAGTGCAGAGTACGTCCGTGTTTGCCTGCGTCGACTGGGCCTTGACCGTCAATACTGTTCTGCGAGGCTTGATACTCTGGGAATCCGGGCTCGACGTCCGAAGAGCCACGGAGCCGATTGCTATCAGCTTGCCACCGTGCACCACCATCCCATCCATCATTAGCCGCCAGCCGGAAGTGCTCTAGTCATTGAGTCGGGGAGTCTGCTTGAGCTTCGGTGGCGGTCGTTGTCTGATCGGACTCGCCGGCCGGTGACCTGCTCCAACCCCAAAGAGGCATGCCATATTGGTCCCATTCGTTTTGTGCCGATGCTTCCACATGCAAATTCTCTGGCCTCTCTGCATGACGGCACAGGCTCCTCTTGCAGGCAAGGCGGACCAGGGGCGACTTCTGTCCACATGAACACTTCTCGCGCATTACGAAAGTTGGCGGGAGCAGTAGGGGGCAACCCGGAAACTAGAGTCCACTCTACTCCGGTTCTTGGACACGGATTGTCGATGCCGGCACCATTTGCCACGTCAGCGGGCCAGAGTCCCGATTCCACGGGAGCCCTCAGTGCTGCGCGCAGTAGCATCAATCACCCGACAAGTCTACCGCGGGCCTTGGGATCTCGAGTTGCGAGTTATTCAGTTATTCTCTCACTCCGGTAATCGGTAATTGTCTCCACGGGGAGCTTTGGGCTGCTCTGGCTGCTGTGCTGCCGGCAATATTTCTCAACTCCCCTTGCCCCACGCGGATCCACCAGTTGTCGCCACCACATAGTAGTCACAGCTCGCAGCATCATTGCTGCACGCCCAAACTTCCTGCGACGTCGAATCTAAACTGACAGGGTACATGATGTACGGAGCCGTCAATTGTCCACATGGCACCGAAACTGACATGGAATTCCGGACAGAAGACTGATGCTGGAGCACTGCAACCACCCCGACCGACGCCGTAGGCGACGGCGCTGGTCAGGAGCTTGGGGGAGCTGGTGGTCAGCTCTTGATCTCGAAGCTAGGGCAAGCTGCGATGGAGCTCGGCAAGCTGGGGAGTATCTCGCCTGTTCATCAGCTCGCTTTCCAAACACTATTCCCCCCCCCTTCCCCCTTTTTACTCATGCAGCTCAGCAGTTAGATATGGCCACCCGCCGATGATGCAAAAGGCAGGAGACGGCGTGGCCAACGGCGTGGCAGGCTACTAGAGAAGCCCGAGAGTACTAGGTAGGGAAAAGTTATTCTTCTGATCGCTTTCGGCGGCTCCAAATGGACTAGCCTTGGAATTCGACATCAGGACCCGCCGCCATCAGCTAGTCCGAGTCAGTCGGAGGGTACGGAGTACGGAGCACGGAGTACATACAACTGTGGATGTATTGTGCCGCTGAATAGCAAACCGGCGGGCTCGTGACGAATGGAGACGGCCCAAGGCTGTTCAATAATACCATGTACACTCAGAGAAGGGAGTAGACACGTTTGCGATCCGCTAGCATTGGTGTTGAAAGTGCTTCAGGTGTTTGTGCCAGACGCCTCCTGAACGCCCCGGCCGCCCATAAGCTTCATCAGAGCGTCGGGAGCGCGAGGAGTGTCCAGGGTTGAGAGTCGCGACAGCTGGAGGTCTTCACTTGCGCCGGCGGGATCTGGCTAGCGTCGAAGGGCCAAGCAAGGCCAAGAGAAACTGAGCTTTGTGGCAGAATTCAGAAACCCATCCGACCTTGTAACTTATTGCGGTGCATTTTACTGGTCTCTTCCAGATGGACTTCTGGTGGCCACATGAGCTCAACGTCCATGTTCAACGTACCTGGAGACTGGAGAGGTCGACCGGCCGCCCGCCTCGGAGACGCAGCTCGCCGCCTGGAGGTGAGGTCCCTGTCATTACTCGAGCACCGGGGGGGCAGACGCATGGAAGGGAAAGTAAAAAGGGGACCTCGAGCCTCCGCCGTCTTGCGCACAAGCTCGGAACCACACGAGTTAATCGGCGCGCTACTCGTCAGGTGGTCAATTGGCGGTGGTCTTTGTCGACCAAGCCGGCCTAGGCTTGATTGACACTGAAAGGCCGCCGGGGCGCTGAGACGAGGCCGCATGGGCGGGCGACATGGACAGCGGCGGCGCAAGCAAGCGATGTCTGCTCGAGTGGCCAGACTGGCGGTGGTGGTGTGCTTTGGTTGGTGCGGAGTACTTAGTACAAGGTCCAAGGTCGACGTTCAAATATTCGACAGCTCGGCCGCTGGCTTTGCCCATTCATTTCATTGCCCGTTGCCCACCTCGGTCGATCCGTGTTGAATTGTCCTCCCACTCTGCGACCTCGACCTCGGAACCGACTTGGCTCCTCCCGCACAACCTCCCTCATTGTCGTCGTCGTCGTCGTTATGGGGTCAGAACTTGGGACCGTCTGAAGTAGCTCGCCCACCACCAGCTCCAGGACTCGGCGCAATTCCTTCATCACTCATCATCAACCGTCAACGCCAATCGACTTCAGCAGCGTCCCCACCCACTTGCTCTCACCTGCTCTCGCTGCTCAGCTGCTCTGCTCCCCCCCTTCTCACGAGCTCGCCTCTGCTCTCAAGCTGCTCTTTTGATTCCAAATATTGGTTCCTCGTCCTTCTCAGCCCCCATCCCGACGTGGTCGTATTGTCGTGGTCGATACGGTTTCTCGGCACCGGCAGGAGCTTCATCGGATCCTCCCAGCAACTCCAGCCTGCAACTGAGAGCCTGGAACCCCGGGGCCCGCGACCTGCGACCTTTGACCCTTTGACCTTCGACCTGCCATCTTCCATCTTCACCTTCTTCTACCAGCTACCACTACTAGTCATCCTCCTGCCTATCCAACCTCGGAGGCGTGTTCGCGACCGCCGACACTCATCTTGCAGCTTGCCAGACTACCGTCGGCCTTCAGACCAAGCTTCGTCTGCAATACTGACTTCCGGCGTTTTCGAAGCTGCGTCGGTTCCTTGGGCCCGACGTCAATACCATTATTATCGCCGACAGCCAGCTGGCAAAGAAGACACTTTGCTTTTTTGCCAATTATCCTCCTCTGTAACCTTTTCCAGCAACATTTGTTTACTTGGCCTGCCTCCCATATTCGCTTCCTCTCGAGACATTCGAATCACGTTCCATCTTCTGCGCCCACCCTTTCTTTTACAAGCTGCAGTCTGGCCAGGGTCAAGCTGGCCGACCCAAGGCTTCCTGCGCGAGTCCTGACTTTTCGAATTCTTTATTGTTTCTATATATTTTCTGCTCGCCTTCCGTCTTCAACATCTGTCTTCGCTACCATTTCCATCAGTTGCAGGACTCTGATCACAAGGCAGATCGCAGTCTTCGGGATTGTCAGCCAGGCGCCCACGTCGTCGCTCAACAAACCCCTTCCTTGCTCGGCCACAGCTTTTTCAACAAGCCGCCATTGGTGCATGCAGCGTCTTGAACCGCCTCATCCAACAAGAGCTTTGTGATGCCAAAGCTTGGCATAGCTCCTTTTTTGTCAATTGGCAGACTCTAGAGCTCTACTCATTCGACTCATCTCGCCAACTTGTTGCTCCCCGCGGCCAGGCGCATGGTGGGGTCAATCAAGATGCCGCCTCGGACGTCCTTGACATCGTCCTTTTCAATCACTGACGCCAATAATGAGGTTGTCTGCCCGCTTCGCAATCAGGATGGCTCAAGTTGTCGCAAGCGATGCATTGGTGTAAGTACTTATTGCCTGCTGTCTTGGTTCCATTCGCGACTTCTCGTTGCAATCCCAAGCCCCGGCGTCCCGTGGTCCTGATCAGCAATCGTTTGTGAGGCACTCTCCGTCCAACGTCTCATCCTCGGCTTTGAACGTGTCCATTTTCGGCTTGTGTATTGCTCCAGGTCTGACTCGTCCCATCTTTGGTTTAGGAGAAGCGTTACCGCTCAATGCAGGAGCACATTCGCCGAGCTCACCCAGAGCATTACATCCCGAAGCTTCCTGCCACAGAAGAAAGCTTTCTGCTCATGATCAATTCCCCTCCCTCAGATCATCGAGCTGATCAAGCTTCCACTTCAACCTCGCAAAGTTTGTCACTTCCGTCTGCCTGGATTACAGGCGACAGGCCGCGTTTTGCTAATAGCCGGTTTCGCACAGGCACAGTTGCCCATGACCGACGAACGTACTACCGCGATGGCTCTAGCAACCCGGGCACCCCTCGCCATAGCGATGAATACACGACAAGCGGTGGTGGCTCACTGCTCGGGGCTGCAAATGCCGCAGTAGCTTTGGCAGAGCTCCACGGCGTCAAGTCAGAACGAGATGTCGATGTGGATGTAAGTCGTCCTGCTACCCGCTGCCAAATGGGCTTTGTCAACTGCGTGTGGCTCCTGGGGAGTGGCTGACATTTTGACTGCTCTGGCATGGTCGTACTAGGGCTACTATTCAGATTCCGATGGCCGCCGCATTCCTCGGACATCAATTGAATTGCCCCCGCTGCATTTATCCAATAACGATGTCACGAGCGATCCGTATACGTCCAACGTGAATCGACAGCGCGAGATACTTCCGTCGCTGCTGGCCCACTCGCCCCCGGGCCGCTCCTCCACCCTCCCTCCTCTTCAGAGGCCGTTGGGTCCCAGTCGTCCACGAAAGCCATCTATAACGAAGCGTGGACGTGAATCCAACCACAAAAAGAAGAGCTCGCGCGGATCCGCTGCTGATTGGTTTCGGCGCTTCCAAAATGAAGATCGTTTCAGACCCGCCAACGACAGGAAAGCCTTGTCAGCAGAGCCATCGGCCGACTTTGGCAAACGATGGGAAGACCTGATCGATGCCGCGGACCAGGCTGCTTCTGCGGCTGGCGACTTGGACGAAGATCGCACTCCAGTAAGGCTCATCAATGTAAATACCTACGTGGACCGGCGAAGCCCGCTAACAGAATCGTAGGTACCGCAGTCTCCAGTATCAATTCATCGAGCTTCCGTACCACCTTTGTCCCATGCTCAATTTCAATCTGGGAACTACCAAGCATCCCCGCTGCAGCAAGCCTTGACACCCCCTTCATATAACCAAGACAGTGTCGATCCCTTTCCCTCGGTCGAGAGCGGCGAAAGCGGCGAGAACTTTCACATCGGATCGCGCGGCCTGTCTGACTCCTCGCCAACCTACTCGTCGCAAAACACGCAGATTTACTGCGCAGCTTGCCAAAAACTATCGCTGCTCAAGAGCTCCTACGCCTGCACCGAATGCATTTGCGGCCTATGTTCGACATGTGTCGAGGTGCTCATGGCAGAACTTGGAGCCCGGAGGAAGTGCCCACGCTGTGCTACCATCGGCGGTCGGTTCAAGCCTTTCCAGCTCGACATCAGATGAATGACTCTGTGACGGTTAAGACCTTTTGGCTATTCTAATGTTTTGTTGCTCTGCCTTGCCCGTCCTCTCCTTTTTATGCCTGCTTCAAAATTGAAGATGGGCTAAATACTTGCACTGATGCCTCGGCGTATTTTGGGAGATCGTAACTACCCTACAGTACAGGTCTTGACTCTCGTATATCAGCATTGATTTTTCCTCTTGGGCGTGTCCATCACTTCTTTTTCATTTTTATTTCTCCACACTGGGTTGCTTGGTTTGCTCACGGCCCATTTGGTTTATCAGCCATCACAAAGTTGTGCCAGGGTACGTCAAATCTTCCGATACAAACGCCGATGATGATTTCAATGGGGTCCCTCTTTTTATTTTATATTCTCGTAGTTTTTTTTTTTTTTTTTTTTTGATGTCGGCGTTAAGCTCGGGATAAACAGACCGTTGGATATAGGAATACCGGCTGGGTGGCTTCTTCTTTGTCTGACGTCTGACGATCATGGTTGGCCCATGCAAGGTCATGGGTGTGATTTTTACTATTAATGCCAAGACGATGATGTCCCAATCCTTTTGTGCTAGGCGCAATGTCCCACTTGAATACACTTTTTTTCCTTTTTGCCATTGGTAAAGACCACCTATTTGCGCGTAGGAATTCGGCTGGATAGACAACACGTGCTTTGAGCGAGTCGCCAACGATGAGTCACATTGTAACTAATTCGTAAATGCACCTGAAACACCAATCACACAGGGTCCGTCTGGGTGTGTCAAACTCGTGCTGCGCCCCCGTGTTAGAACCATTGCACTATCCAAACTCAACTGGACCGCGACACGAGGGGTTCACGGCCACCTCCCAGCCTTCTCCCTCTCCTTCTCCTGCTTCTCCTTGAGCAGTATATTCCTCGCAGCGGCTCTCACGTTCCGACTACCACCCAACTTTGGGCCCTTGAGCACATTGGCTTGCTGCAGCTGCCGCTGCTGCTTCTGCTGCTTCGTCGGCGGCGGGCGTCTCCTGAGCCGCCGTGCCGCAACTTCATCCATGTACCGTCGGCGGAACTCGTCTGCCATGCGGTCGTCGGCGGAGCGGCCGTCTCTCTCGCCGTCGACGTGGCTATTCTGCACGGGGACGTCGTACACATCGACTAGAGGTTTGTTTGCGAGTAGCAAAGGTCAGCACTTGTCGTATGGGACCTGATGGCGTCAAAGAAGAAGAGGAAGAGGGGGGAGAAATGCCCCGTACGTTTATTCTCGTGCAGAAACGCGTCGACGAGCTGGTCGCGCTTCATGTCGTCGCTTCCGCGGCGGTTGCGCCCGCGCTTGGGCCGCGGGGGATCCGTCGAGGCCGGGCGCTTCTGCTTCTGGGCGTCGCGGCGCGTGTCGGCCGGCACCTCTACCTCGAAGAGTTTACCCTGCCGGGTGGGCTGGTGGTGGTGGGAGCGTTGGGGGTCTGCGCCGGCGAGCGGCTCTGGCGATGCGTCTGTTTGGGGGGCGGGTTGTGAGGGCCCTGGGGCGCGGGCGGAGGAGAGGCGGGATTCTATGTATTCGTTCCTGAATGATTAGCTTTTGCTTTTGCCTTTGCTTTTGCGCGCCGCCCCGGTGCTGCTTGGGGGGAGAAGGGGGGGGGGAGGAGCACAGCGTAGATCGAGGTCGCGCGACGTACATGTGTTTGTCGTTGAGTGTGGCGATGAGACCTGTTTGATGGATGAAGCGGTCTGGGATTCCTTTTGCCGGGGCAGCGAGGTCGTGGTCTGTTTGGGGGCGCAGGTCGTGGTCGGGATCGTGGTCGTCGGAGGCGAATCCTACGCCGCGGAGACGGGCTCTGCGGGCGTTGCGGACGCGCATTGCGGCTGTGACGGCGGATTGTGCTTCCTCTTCTTGCTCATCTTGGCTTGACTGCTGTTGGGGGGGATGGGGGTTTGCGAGGTCGTCGGGGCGCTGGCGGTAGGCCTGGCGCTTCTTGGAAGGCCGGAATCTTATGGCGGCAGCGGGGTCCTGGGACGGCTCCATGGGGGTGGGGGGGGGAGGGGGATCGTGTACGGACCGGCGAGGATGAGATGAGGATGATGAGGCCGTCGCGGGTGGGTGGTGGTTGGAGGAGGAGAGGAGGAAGTGGGAGCGAGGGTGGTTTTTCTGAGGTTGAACGAACGGGCCGGCGGGTGAGCCGATATCGATAGCGGTTGTAGCGCTGCGGACGTCATCGAAAGCTGCTCTGTCTGCTCTGATTGGCTTGTCTGCATTTACAAAACACAACCCTCCTTCCTCGCCAGCCCAGAGTCAGAGACGACGACAACTTCATCGCCATCCAGCTCCTGAGGACCATACGCAAGCAACATGGCAAAACGAGTAAGCCGCCACGCAAAGTGCACCAGCGTGCTCCCTTCCCCCTTCTCAAAGTAACCCGCGCGCCGCAGGTTTTTTTCGTCGCACATGGCGGCGTCGTGCAAGGTTGACGCCCAGACCAACTGATGAACTGCTCGAGCGTGGTCCAGAATCTCGCTGACTGTCTGTCGCACGCACAAGGTGTCGGGTTCAGGTACATTCGCCAAGAGTCCAGACGAGCCAGAAATCAAACCTGTCCAGAAGTAAATAACATTCGACGCCAGGTACTTTGCAAGAAAGAGAGCCCAAGAGTGCGGAATCACGGGCTGGTGTAGAAACACGCCGGACAACAAGGTTTGCACCACCCGTCGTCCCAGCCGTCCCTTTTCAACCCTCATGTAACCTGCCTCGAATGGCGTGCCTGATCCGACGATCAATGTAGGTAGAGGGGGAAGCACAGGGCGACGAGGCCACCCTGTCCAAGTTTCTCCAGCATGTCGACGAGGGACCGCGACATGCCAAGGTCGTGCAGCTCACGCAGGAGGATCGCGATGTCGTTGACGGGGAGACAAGTTTCACTATACGTCATTGATACTTGCATTTTGCGTGCGTGCATGTGCGTGTAGTTATTTGGTATCATTTGTATCCAAGGAATCCCCGCCATCCTTTTGCTGTAAACCGTGCATGCGTCTACAGCGTGACAGTATAAAAACACATCAGCTCCAGCTTTTTAAAAGCCTCTACCCCTTCGCTTGACGACAGGTTTCCTGACTGCGCCCTGCGTGACGATCTTTTTGGCGTCGGGGGGCGCCTTCTTCCTCGTCGCCCTCTCTTCCTCTGCTTGCTTGCGCTCTTCGTCTCTGCGCTTGTCCTCTGCCATTTTCGCCTCGATTTCCATCTTACGATTGAACTCAGTTTCCGTGATGCGCTTGCTGCGGATGGAGTAGCCCTTCTCCTTGACCGAGTAGAACACGCCGCCTAGGTCTGCGAGCCAGTGAGGGTCGACCGCCGTGACAGTAGACACGTACACCTTCGACGTGAGGATGAGTTCGTGGTACACCACGTAGTCGGGAGGGTGCCCGGCGTAGAGGGCGCTCGTGGGATGAAGCTGGACGGCCAGATTTGTCCGCAGATTGATGTACTCTCCTGAGCCCTTGTATTTTGCCGCTTGGTGGTAGTAACCCGAGCAGACGCATTTTCGGATAATGTCCCAGTCCATGCCGCAGCTGTTGACTTCCATGCCCTGCGCCTTGATGATGTCCACGATTTGCGCACGCACTTCCTTGGCGCGACGCAGTGATTTCGAGTGCAGGAAGTGCTTGATACACCAGCCGTCGGAGAATCCGTGAGCCTTCCACGCTTGGTACACTTGGAGATATGTCAGATGATCTGATTCGTGCACCCAAAACTTCTCTCGTTGAGCGTCTGCCTCGTCTTGGCGCTCCTTTGGTCGGTAGAACACATTGGGCACCGACAGCATGGACACAATCGTAATCATTTCCTCGCTGCAGCCATACTGCTCTGCCGTGATGAGAAGCTTGGCTAGGGATGGGTCCATGGGGAAGGCACTCATTTTGCGCCCCAGTTCTGTGAGCTCTCCGAGGTTGTCGAGCGCTCCCAGAGCCCAGAGATCGAACATGGACGTGGAAATGGTGTCCTGCGGTGGCGGGTCCATGAAGTCAAAGTCCAGCAGGTCCTTGACACCCAGCGACTTGAGCATGAGAACTGTATTTGAAAGATTGGTACGCTGGACTTCCGGAATCGTTTGCAGGTATAGCTCGTCCTTGAAAGCCTTTTCTGTGTACAAGCGAAAGGCTTTTCCGGGCCCCGTTCGGCCGGCACGACCGGAACGTTGCGAGGCATTGGCTTGAGAGATTGGCGTGATTTGAAGGGTATCCATGCCCATCTTGGGGTTGTACACCTTCATTTTTGAATAACCCGCATCGACTACGTATTTGATACCGTCCACTGTCAAACTCGTCTCTGCAATGTTGGTCGCCACAATACATTTCCGCACCCCGGGCGGGGCCCGGTCAAAGATCTTTGCTTGGAGATCTGCCGGCATTTGACTGTAAATAGGAAGAATGCTCAGCTTTGGGGCATCGTTCAACGCATCCAACCGCTTCTGTACCAGTTCGCAGGTGATTTCAATGTCTTCCTGTCCGGTCATAAACACCAGGATGTCGCCCGGGTCCATGGAAACATGAATAGCTAGTACCTGTTGGACTGCCTGGTCCACATAATCCTCGACTGGCGATCGATGAAACATGACATCAACGGGGAACGTCCGTCCAGGTATAATGAATTCCGGAGCCCCTCCGAAAAAATCCGAGAATCGTTTCGCATTCATGGTCGCCGAGGTCACAATCAGTTTGAGGTCCCGTCGCCGTTGAAGAATCTTCTTGAACAATCCTAGTAGGATGTCAGTGTTCAACGCGCGCTCGTGCGCTTCATCCATGATAATACACGAGTACCTTTCCAAATCAGGCTCGTTAAGAGATTCCCTGAGCAGGATGCCTTCGGTCAGGTACTTAACAACAGTCTCCTTGCTGGTGTGATCTTCAAACCGAATGGCATAGCCACAGGTTGTGCCCAGATCAACTTCCATTTCTTCGGCAACACGCTTCGCTACACTCATGGCAGCAACACGCCGAGGCTGCGTACAGCCGATCATGCCAGTACGCCCATATCCATCCTCGTATAGAAATTGGGTTAGCTGAGTCGTTTTCCCCGAACCCGTCTCGCCAATGACAATGGTGACTTGATTCTCCCCAATGACTCGTAAGAGGTCTTCGCGAACTGCAAATGCCGGCAGATATTGTCGTTGTTCTTGAAGCGTTTTGCTTCTGCTAAAGTCGCTGGCGCCTTTGGATTTGTTAATGTGCTGGCTGAACTTGTTGCCTTTGGATTCACCGTTCTCGACGCCGTCTTCACCGGGTCCAGGTAACGCGCTATCTTCGTCGTTATCTTTGGCGCCCATGATATTGCCAAGTACTGTCCCAGCGATCGAGGTTGCTTGTTGAGCCTGCTTCTGGCGCTCACTCTGCTGGCGGGCCTCTCTCACAACCTTGCTCCCTTTCCTGCTGAACACAGCCATATCACTCTGGTAGTCCCGGACCGCGGGAACGGGCTCGAGTTGTTTTGTAAAGATGGTACGGCCGTCGAGAAATGGTGGTCGTAGGTCGTGAACCAGTAAATGTACTCGGGTCGCCTCGTCATCGTCAAAGTCTGATATCATGTCTCTTCGCTGAGCAACACCTGAGACCAGCATTCTGTTTGTCTCCCATGCGTCGTTTTCTTTGCGACGTTGTTCTTGTCTTGCGTCGTATCGACTCGCCATCTTTTCGGCCTTGGCAGACTCCTGTTGTTGGCTCTCCCAGGCGGAGATCTCGTAAGATGCAAAAGGATTGTGTGTATCATCTCCAAAGGCATGGCCTCCCAACTCGTCACCTCCGTACCAATCTCGATCAAGTGCTAGAATGTCTTCTTCGTCTGGCCCCTGGTTTTCGGATTCTCTTGACGGGGTAGCACCGTAGGTAGATTGAGCCCGAGGTGTCGAGACACGAGACCCATCCTGAAGTCTGTGTGGTGGCCGCGACGAGTCCAATCTTCTCCTCTTCGGATTGTATCCGTCAAAACTTCTTTCCCCGGCCATGTCGTCGCTGTGCTGCCCCGGGCAGCTAATCTTGCGTTGGGAAAACCAGTTCTGCGCGTGACGCGGTCAGCACCGTAGTTCGTGGTCACCATCGAAATAGTCGCGAAGATTTCCCGACCAGTTAGTTGTCTGGCCAAGACAGACAAGCTTCCTTATCGATAAACCCCACAACCAAAATTTTTGGACTTGACGCTGCCAGGCGGATATTTGTTCCAGGTCGGCGTGCATTTCTATGTGCATCGCTGGCAAAGTCCGGAAAATATTCTTGTTAGTCGGTCAAGATGTCTATGATAACGGCCGCTCAATGGGTTCCTCGAGGCTTTGCGGCTCCGTTTCCCAAAAAGTATACCTTGGACGAAAGTGAGTTCGAGCGCATAGCTGAACTCGCCAAGCTCCAACTGGACGATGCCGAGGAGGACTTGAAGGATGCGCAAGGAGAAGAAGAGGGCTCCGAGGGAGACAATAACAAGGCAGATAACGATGAGAGTATGGATGTGGAGGGCGCAAAGTCAACGACCGAAGCCAAGTCTGCCGACCTTTTCTTTTTCTTAATTTTTTTTTAAAGAAAAGAAAGACCAAAGTCGGATTGCTAACCCCGGCATAGATATGACGACGACGACGACGACCTGAAAGAGTATGATTTAGAGCACTACGATGACGATGACGACGGAGCCGAAGCACATGCAGACGGAACGGGGATGGGTATGTTTGGGAACCTCAAAGCACTGGCGTACCACGACTCCAACAAGGACGATCCATACATTACTCTGGAAGACGAGGATGACGACGACGAAGAGAAAGAAGACCTCCAGATTCTCGCCACTGATAACCTAATCCTCTCTGCCAAGGTGGAGGACGAGCTCGCCCACCTTGAAGTCTACGTATTCGAAGACGAGGGCGACAACCTCTATGTGCATCACGACATTATGTTGCCCGCCATTCCTCTTGCGCTTGAGTGGCTCGACATGCCCGTCAGCAATTCCGGCGGCGACAAAAATGGCAAGGGAAACTACGTCGCAATCGGAACTTTGGACCCAGACATTGAGATTTGGGATCTCGACACCATCGACTGCATGTACCCGAACGCGATTCTCGGACAGGGCGCAAACGTAGAGTCGGGCGAAGAGAAGAAGGAGAAGAAGAAGAAGAAGAAGAAGAAAGGAAAGAAGTCGAAAAAGGCCAAGGCCAACGATGCCTACCACGTAGATGCAGTACTTTCACTCGCTGCCAACAGGCAACATCGCAATCTGCTGGCGTCGGCGTCGGCCGACAAGACGGTCAAACTATGGGATCTCAACACGACGCAATGCGCAAAGTCGTACTCTTATCACACGGACAAGGTGTGCTCCCTGGCATGGCACAAGACCGAGGCCACGGTTCTGCTGAGCGGTAGCTACGACCGCACCGTCTTGGCTGCGGACATGCGAGCCCCCGACGCCAAAGCACCGCGTTGGGGTGTGGAAAGCGACGTCGAGAACGTACGCTGGGATCCGCATGACTCGAATTACTTCTTCGTCTCCACGGAGAAGGGCTGCATACACTACCACGACGTCCGAAATGCGCCCTCAAACCCTACCGCCACCAAATCAGTCTGGACGCTCCAAGCCCACGACGAGTCTGTGTCGTCATTTGATATCAACACCGTCATCCCGGGCTTCATGGCCACCGGGTCAACAGACAGAAGCGTCAAGCTGTGGAACATTCAATCTACCGGACCCTCAATGGTTGTCTCTCGCAACCTGGACGTCGGCAAAGTCTTTGCCACAACATTCGCACCGGACGCTGAAGTCGGCTTCCGGCTCGCCGTGGCGGGTAGCAACGGTAACATGCAGGTCTGGGACACCAGCACCAACGCCGCGGTTCGCAAGGTCTTTGCACAGAGGATACCGGCTCAGAAAGATGGCGCCACTGAGGACCGTTTGGTTGGTGTCGAGGAGGACGAGAGCAGCTCATCTGAGGAAGACGGGGATGGTGAAGGCGATTCCATGGACGAGGATTAAAGAAAGTGGAGTCGGAACACGGGGTTAAATTCATCCTTTTTTTTTTCTTTTTTTTGATACTGTATCAACGCACGGCTGTGGTATGTCCGTGTGAGCCAGATGATTAGTGTTTTGATATCGACAAATATCTACATGATCGATGCCCATGTTCCGTTATAGATTAGCAAGAGACAAAATATTGTTCAATATGTAAACACATAAGCCGTTCAATTAGTAATTACACCGTAGTAACTAGAATCACCGTCGGTCTCTGGCTTTTTCGTCGGGCTACATTGTATCAAGCCGAAAGACACATCATCCCATCAGACGACTAATAATAGCATCAAGTCAAGGATAACAACGCGCCGTCTGGCATTGCTAAGACGTGTCAAATCCAGCCAGGGTCCTGGCACAATTTCCAGTCCCAAAGTCCGTAGGGCGTCATCGTCTTCACCAAGCACAGGCCCCGGCAAAGTGGAACATTGAAGCCGTCTGCGCTCCCGGGGTCATGGTAGTAGTTCCGGCGTGGTCTTTCTGTAGTATAATAAAGTCGACGCCTTGCCCGAGATTTAACATAAGCAAGGGCCCGCGGGCAGTCTCGTCGACACCAGACCGGGCGATTGAGTGGCACGACGAGTCTACGACTATCCAACCCCATATGGGGGAGGGGGGTTCCCCCTCAGTGTGCTCCGTAGGGGTGCCGAAATGAAGAGGATGTGGCGATACTCAAGCCCGCCGTGGCTGGTGGACCAAGAGGCAGCGGACTGCCCACGTGCGCGGGCAAGAGGTGATGTTGGGCGGGCACGATATTGCGCACATGCCGGCATATGAGAAGCGCATGCATCTACTGGGCAGCTGGCTCGCTGTACGACGCATTCGTGGCCGGCGCGTGGCTCGCTCACGCTCACGTCGGTTGCAATTCAAGGAGCAGTTGATACCACGGCTCGCAGGGAGCAGCAGGAGGGATTATGAAATTGAATTTATGCAGAGAAGGACCTTCTGCCTCGTCTTTGCTCGTTCCTTGCTCGTCGCTGAGTCCGACCTTCCCATCCAAGTTAGGGATGGCATGGACCTGTCGTACGGCAACCCGGGCGAGATGAAACGCGGGTTTGGTGGATCGCCCGTGGTCGGTCGCTGTATAAGTAACTACTAGTAGGGACGAAACGCAGACTGGCGGGGGATCATGGAGTCGAAGAGTCTGGGTGGTCTGTTCCTCTGCCTTTTCGTAAGATCTCCACGGCGTTATTTCCCGGGTAACTTATGACCCCCCACTCTTTCAGTGAGCAGACTCCTTTCGACGGTGGCTATGTTGTGTATCGCGCGCGAAATTGTTCTAGTCTCTGGCGGACACAACGTGGTGTTGAAGTCTGGACCGAGGTTGCGTTGGGATAGCCTTCGTCACTGGTTCCGGTGCGGGTGCTGTATTGTATGTAACTACGGAGTACGTGTCATTGACTTGTGACTTTTGGCTTAGGTACGTAGGCACCGTCAACACCTGGCCGACCCGTGCCAGCTGGCTGGCTGGCCGCAAGCCGACGGAAGCACCCACCTCCGTGCTATTTCGGCATTGTCATTGGCGGGCTGATTTGCAGAGGCAAACAACGCTTGTGCAGGCACCGCGCGCCACACAAACTCTGAAACGTGGATCGACATGCCAATCCAACGGCTGGCCGCGTTTGCAGTGCTCGATGGCTGAGAAAGGGTTCGCAGCTCCAGCTTTCCAAGGCACGGGGCAAGAATCCGAGCAAGACTACTCCGTACGCAGTGGCAGTGGCAGTATTAACGGCGCTTGTTGGAGAAGGCTGAATGGAAGTGGATTCTCGACCTGCACCCCGAGATAGGGAGTGCGGCACTTCCTAGTCTCGCCAGCGGTTCTGCGCATGTTACGGCGTGTCTGCTGACCTCCGAGGCACCTGTTAGTTCCCTACTCCCCCTTTTATGTGTTGCAGTAGTACCGTGTAATGGCTACTCTGGACCAAACTCGACAGCTTTTGTACATATGCCCTTGGGCCGGAGTGAACCAAGACGCCACGCGACGAGTGGACCGGCTTCGAGTCGTCGGCCGAGCAATGATGACCGGGTAATAGACGACGATTCACGGGGAAATGCTTCGTCACAAAATTTCAATGTCGTGCTGCCCGAACCGAGGCATGACGCCGCATTTGCAGCCGTGTTTCGCCCAACAGCAAGGTGGAAATCCAGGGAGTGCATACTTGTATACTTGACCAAAACCAATGCCTCCATCCAATACTTGTAATGGTTGCCCTCAGGTAGTTATCAAGTAGGGGAGGTAAAAAGGGAGAGTGGGCCGAAAAAAATAAAAAATAGAGCAGCACCAATGGTCAAAAGCCCAAACGACTCTCCTGGCCCTCCAAGCACAGAGTATTTATTCCCTTCAAGGTTTCCCCTGGCTAGCCAGAGTCGTTCCTCGAGCTTCATTGGTCAGGCCCGCATCATCGATCCTCGAGGATCCACACAGCCTGTCCGACAAGGGCGCCTCGGCGCAGGTGAGCAAATCTTCACTGGCCGGGTTCGCGGGCAATTGGTGACTAGGCAAGCGGTGATGCAGGGGTGAGCCAGCCATGTCGTCCGTGCGGCGAGAGGGCGTCAAATCTGGCAAAGCCTAAAAACCAAAAAAATAAGGGAACAATTTATTGTCAATACTACTAAAGGTGGTGAGGGCAACCGATCACCTAAAGTATGTGGGGCAGGCATGATTAGTGGTAGCCGCGCGGACTACTCCGTTCTGGATGGAGCCTACAAACAAGCCAGCGGGGCTAGGAGGGGTCAACATTTTGAACGGATGAGGAGCCGGATGAGAACAAAAAGCTGAGGAGGGGGTGGGGAAGGGAGGGAGTCACGTCGCTCGTGCCCCTTTGTGCCTTTTTCTGGTTTTCTGCTCGTGCTGTGCTTGTGTTTGCTTGTACATACTTACACACAAGTTGTGCCTGCGTCTCCCCCCGTCTGTGCTGCGCAGTATTGTGGCCCGATACCTGGCAGCAGTACCTGAGTACTCGGGTGCCTTGTAGTTGGGGCTCTAGCACCCCCTTGTACTAGTACTAGCACTGTTACTATTACTAGTACCTGTACTATTATTGTACTCGGGTGTGTTGTACTTGCGACTTATGACTTATGTGTTCGCGCTAAAATGCTGGTGGTGTCGGGAGAATATCTTTCCATCGCCTGCCGCATCCCCCGTCACCTTCCCGTCGACTTCCCGTCGCCTTCATATTTCCTGCCGTCGACAGCCTCGCATCCTTGATTTCATCTTCGCTTCTTCGTCCGCGCGCCCGGTTCTCCGCCCGTCTCTCTCTGTCTTGACGTGATTTGATTCCGCGCTGTTTCTTCGTTCCTTTCACAGCTCCGAAGCTCACGTTGATTCTTGGGTCCTTCGAATTTCGCTCCCTAGCCGCCAAGTGCGAAGTCGGCTTTATATCCGCAGCCCAGTTCACAATAGTCACGCCTTTGCATGCATTCGGACGCGACAAAAGAATCGCCAAACTGCTTTGCATGACAAGTACAACGTTGACCGTTCCTTTCGCACCAGCACCGCACCATCAACGGCGCCGTTTCTAGCTCTTTTTAACCTCCCTGTCTCTCTCGACAAACAAAACTAGCCGGCCTTGGTCTCTCTCACTTGCAGCTTCACTTTCGTCTCATCATTCCTCCTTTTCTTCTCACCTCGCCGTCACACAGTTTCCACCACACTAGGACTGGATTTCCCAGTGTGTGAAACCCACCAAACCGGCTATCGCACTCGAGTTTCGCCGAGGAATCGCTTCATCTTGCCCGTCACTGCGCCTCCGTGCCAATCAGCATTGACGAGCAGCCTCGACTTGTCCTTTCGCATCCTTTGTACCCTGGCAGTCAGCGTCATCAGCCAGCCGTCGCACGGCGCCCCGTCTCACCGTCGATCCTCAGGACCAAGCATCTATCTAGTCACCGTCCTGTTGTCGACCACGGCACCTGTGGCCGACCCGACCAACTTGACCTCTTTTGTTTCTTGGCGGCCTGGTTCTCAAGCCAGATCTTGTATTTCGCATCACGAGGAGCCTCTTCACCGGCCTGGCGACCGCGGCCTATCGCAGCCCGCAACAACCACCTTCCCCCTTCAGCCACTGATCAGTCCATCGCATCGCACTCTTGAGCTACACCGTCTAGCATCGTGCGCTCAAGTGCTGCCCACCATTGCTCGAGTGGCCCCCAATAGACTGTGATCCTCTGCAACGTTCCTCAGTCAGGCCCGTTTGGGAAAGTGTGGTTCGTGGTCACTCGTGGCAGCCGCATTCCACAGTTTGGCCGCTTACGGATCCGAGTCACACGTAAACAGTCTGCACTGGCCGGCCAGGGTCTCATACGCGAGCCGAAGGTCCCTTCCCACCATATCGAGTCTCTTCTTCCACCTTTGCTCTTTGCAAGTCCAGCTAAAAACATGTCCTTGTCGCGCGCTTTTACGACTCGTCTGCGAGGTGGCAGCGACCAAGCCGACGCGGCCAAGATGCCTCAACGAAGCAACACTACCAAGGTTGCCTACAACATCCGCGACAAGATTTCGGCTCCGGTACAGCTCCTTCACACCACCAACATGCTGTCCTACAACGCTCCCGACATTCCTCGTTCATCACGCAGCAGCTCGACCGCCAGCAAGTCCAGTTCAGACGTTGAATTGCAGAGCAACGCGGATTCCACGCCCCCCACCAGTCCCGATGTATCGTCTCCAGAGCCGAATCATCTGTCCTGCTATTTCAAAGCTGCCTCATCGGCATCCACGACCGTGCCCGTCGAGGGGAAGCCTCCCGCAATCCCCAAGCGCTCTCCCTCCCACACCAAGAAGAACTCATACGAAGCTCTGGCCCGCCAGAGATCTGTCTCGCGCATGTCTCGAGATTCCGACCACTCCTTTTCCACCAAAGCTGGCCAGCCTTTTTCTCGCTCCCATTCAACTTCCACAAGGGCGTCATCGGTTTCGCACGCCTCATTGCCGCTCGTCCAGAAGCAGGCCACCCCGGCGCTTCGACCAGCACCCACCACGACGGTCGTGACCCAAGTGCAGACCAAGGAGTCCCATCCCTTTGGGCAGGAGTTGGCTCAAGTCAATGAGCTCGCAGAGGAGTACAGCGTCAGCAGTCACCTCGAATCCATCGACGAGGAACAGCAGTATCTCCATCACCGAGGCCTACAGAAGCTCAGCCCTGATGAATATCTGAGTGCTGTTCAGGGACTTTCTGCAATGTTCTTTCCCCCCGAAGGAAACCACACAAAGTCAGTCGCACCTCTTTGGATTTGAAGCCGGTCATTCCTCGACATGCCCCGAGGCAAGGGCACAAATTTGTTCATGTGACACTTCTTCGTCCTTCGCTGTACATATTCAAGGCACACTCACTGGACTGTATGAACGAACTGGCTGGTACGCTTCGCTCTACGCGCTTTTTAACTTGTCACACACTCTCTCCATCCTCTGTCTTGTGTCAAGCGGTGGAATCTCACGGGAGAAGGAATTCAAGTCGGGACTAGTACAGATACCAGCCACTTGGAGGCTGGGCTCCTCGGGCAAGAAGGGGAAAATCTTGTTGGTATATGGCGTTTTATAAGAGATCGGACACGGGTTGATTTGAATGCTACGGATGTGGATATACATCTCGAGCCAGCTATGGAAGTTGGCAGTACATAGCCCCGGAGGCCGACTTGCGGTGTCTCCCTGCACACTCATTCAGGACACTGATGAATGGATTTCTTTTTTCAAAGCCCCTTCGCAAAGATGGCCCTCCACGACACGTAGCGTGATGCGTTTGGTGCCTGTCGTGGCCGTGCATGTCATGGAGCGCGTGGTTCTGCCGTCCCGGTTTTTTTTTTTTTTTTGTTTTTTTTTTTTCTGTTTGTCCCTGTGGAACGTAGAGGCTGCGGCCACTTTTGCCGCTTACTCATCCTGTCTGTGGCGGTTGGCCAGGTGGGCGAGGGCCACGACTGGTATGGAGGGGGAGGGGCGGTACACGCTGGAGCACCTGACTGACGCTCGGGGCTTGGTGGTGGGTGGGGGAGCTGGCTGGCTGGCTGGCTGGTAGGCAGCAGGAAACGGGCAACACGGAAGGAGGGAGGGCGCAGCGCGCAGGGCCAGGTCCGCCCCCAAACGCGGCGCGCATCAATCACCTCCGGCCGAGCCGAGCCCGGCGCATGTGCCGTCGACTGCCGGCCAATTATGGTGATGAATGGTGCGCGGTGCACAGTGAACACTGTGTCTCGCGCTGGAGCCGCCCTTTCCTTGTTCACCCGACCGGACACACTTGTACTTCTTAGTAGCCTCGGGCGGCGGGCGTCGGCCGTCGGTGCAGCCTGGTCCGGTTGCCGTCTTACGTCATGGGGTAGGTGGCCACCGGCGGTGGACGGCATCATCTCGCTCTTTAGGAAAAGAAATGATAAATAAACGGAGTATTCTCCGTCATGTTCTGCAACACGCTACGGAGCTGGTACTACATGGGGGAGGAAAAAGCATCGCTGGTCTCCCTTGTTTGCGCTCTCCTCGACAGCCTCTATGCGCCTGTGGTTGTGCTCCGACAATGCTTCGCCAGTCAGCTGCGCTCCTCTCTCCCGCGTCCGCTCCGGCCCGCCCGTGCGGGTGCCAAAAAGTGAAGAATGATGCAGATCCTGCCCTGCCCTCTTGCCGGCAGACGTGTAGAGTGTCACCCGTAGGCTGTGTGCACGTACGCGATGTGATGCACGCGGAAAAACGCGACCTCAGACGGAGTCCGACGGGCCCCCAGTATCAGCGGTCCTTTTTTCCCCCTTGACTTGCACGCCGTGAATGTGAAGACACCCAAGAGATGCAGGGACGCCAGGTGAGCAGGGGACGAAAAAAAAAGGGAAAATCCACGACCTGCGGCGCAGCAAACTACCGCCGGTCCAACGGCTCGGCCCTCCTGACGAGGTCGCTTATGGTGACGACCTCGTACCCCCTGTCCCTCAGCTCGGGCAGGATCATCCTCAGCATGGGCGCCGTCCACTCCCGGCGGTCGTGGCAGATGATGATGGCGCCCGGGTGCACCATGCTCAGGATGTGCTTGGCGTTCCTCTTGGGGTACGGGATCTGCGGGTCGTGAGGGTACACGCTGCCCAGGGCGATGCGGTAGCCCCGGCTGCCCAGGACGTCGCGCATCTTGTAGTTGAAGAAGCCGGAGCCGGGGCGGTAGTAGTTGTTGGGCAGGACCCGGCCCTCGGCCTCGTAGGCGGCCGCCAGCGTGGCCTTGACCTCGGCCGCCTGGCTCTCGAGCTCGTCGACGCCCAGCCGCGACGCGGGCTCGTCGTGCATACCGTGGTTGGCGAGCTCGTGGCCGTCGCGGATCAGCGAGCGCAGCGTCTCGGCGCGGCCGTCGGCCTGCGCGCCGATGACGAAGAAGGTCGCGTGGGCTCCGTGGTCGCGGAGCGCGTCCATGATGTCGGCCGTGTGCGCGGACGGCGCGTCGTCGAGCGAGAGCGCCACCACCCTGGCGTCCGTCGTCACCTCGAAGAGCACGTCGGGGTACCTTTGGCGCAGGTAGCCTATGAGCGCCTTGGGCGGCTTGTATATGCAGTAGATCGAGTAGATGGGGAAGATGAGGAGGAGCGCGAGGGTGCCCAGCAGCGTGAGCGTGGCCATCCTATTGCGGCGTACTTTGCGCCGGAGCTTGGTCGGCAGCCGGAACAGGGCGAGGCGCGGCATCACGGCATCTGGGAGGTGCCGTGGCTCGTCGCTCGTTGTGTGTATGTCGTCGGGGATGGTGTGCGCGCAGACACCGTTTGATGGGTCGAACCGGGTGAGCCTTTACCTCATGGGAACCGGAGCTGGTGTGGCTTTGTGCCGGGGACGCAGATGGGTTGGAGAAGGGCTGTCGATGTCGATGCCGATGCCGATGTCGCTTCCAATGCCAATGTCGATGTCGATGTCAATGTCAATGTCAATGTCAATGTCAATGTCAGTGTCAGTGTCAGTGTCAGTGCCAATGTCGATGCGTCGTGCCCCTGCGAGGAAGGTAGGTCAAGGTCCGTTGCTAGCACAATCTAATTGGACGCCGGCCGCGCGCGAGCGAGCCGTTGAGCAGGGGGCGGAAGCGATTGGCGGGTCTTGCAGATGGCGCCCGAATGCTCCATGGGGATTCAGACTTGCAAGACACATGGAAACGGGCCTCGACGCACGAGTGAATCACATACCGGCACGTCAACCACGTGCTGCCACTGCTACAACGATGACGCGACTTTCCTCTTGGACACTCGACTTTCCTCTTGGACACTGACACCAACCCGGACGGCGACGCCGGCTCGTAAAAGTCCTCCTCGCACGGGGCTCACCATGACCACCCACGCCGTGACGCCTTCTCCTCGCCCAGCAACACGCAGGTTCGCTCGTCCCGAGGAACAACCCAGCCCCCGCCAGCGTGGCTTCAGCCCGAACCGGCCGTCTTCAAACTCTCCAGAGCCTGCTCGATATCGCACCTCAAGTCCTCGAACCCCTCCACCCCGACACTCACCCGCAGCAGCCGCTGGTCCACGCACGGATCCGTCATGGCCCGCCACTCGATGAGGCTCTCGACGCCCCCCAGGCTGGTCGCGTGGTGGAACAATCTCAGCCTGCCAGGCAGCTCCCTGGCAAGGCCCACGTCCCTCATGACGACGGCGAAGACGGGCCCGTACCCGACGGGCATCTGTCTCCTCAGCCAGCTGCCCTCCTCCGCCGCCTCGGGCTGCAGACTCGCGTGGTGAAGCCTCTCGACGAGCTGTCCGGCGGCGGTGGACGGGTCGCCAAGCTGGCCCGCGAGCCAGGCGACGAGCGCCGCCGCCGTGCGGCTCTGCCGGCCGACGCGCAGCTCGAGCGTCCGGAGGGACCGGAGCCCCAGCCAGCCCTCCATGCTGCCCATGACGGAGCCGAGGACCAGCCGCTCCTCGCGGAGCTCCCGGGCCCAGCTGCTCCCCGGCCGCACCGTCAGCACGCCGCACAGCATGTCCGAGTGCCCCCCGAGGTACTTTGTTCCGCTGTGCATGATGACGTCGGCCCCGAGGTCGAACGGGCTCTGCAGCGGGGGCGGCGCAAATGTCGCGTCCACGGTCAGCACGGCGCCGGCCCCGTGCGCCCGGTCAGCGTAGTGCCGGAGGTTGCGCGCCTCGCCCGTCGGGTTCAGCGGCGTCTCTACGTGCACGACGTCCCCGGGCCCCAGCTCCGACGGGTCGCAGTCCAGAGGGAGCTCCCGGAGCCCGCTGAGGCGGGAGACGAGCCTGATGACGCCGCGGCACCCGTGGTACCCTTGGCCGATGGCGATGCGCCGGGGATTCAGGCGGACGAGCATGGCGTGGAACGCAGCCAGGCCCGAGGCGTACGTGACCGAGGGCCCGCCGAGGATGCTCGACAGCACAGCCTCGAGCCGGGTCGTGTTGGGACTCGAGTCCCGCGAGTAGATGTGCGAGTCTAGCGGCGCGCAGGGCTGCTCAAGTCGCCGTCAGTCAGTCAGTCAGTCAGTCAGTCAGTCAGTCAGTGCTCCGGTACGGCGCATCGCGCCCTCGCCTCGTGTTTGTCTTCGCCGAGACTGCCGGGCCGCCCGGCGTCATCGGGGACACTCACATCGGCATTGTTCCAGTCCCCCGGCTTGGCGGGGTCCGAGGCGTGCCTCAGCTGCGCCGGGTCGTCGCTATATCGAAACGTCGTGCTGACGTGCATGGCGGGCGCTACCGCTCGATGCGCGGAAATGGCGTCGTCTGCGTGGACGGCCTTGGACGATAGGGACAGGCGGGCCATTTCCTCGGCCGGAACCCCGGTGCGTGCTGCCATGTCGCGCAACTACGGGCGTGCCGACGGTCGGATGATCGGATGAGGTCGAGGTCAAGGTCTTCAGGTGGTCCGGGGCTTTCTGGAGAGCGCTTTTGTACTCCCACGACCTGACGATCCGAGGCCAGGAACGGAGCCGCGTGCAGAGCATGTGTGTGGGAGGGCAAAGGGCGTGGATGGCAAGCCACGCTGTTGAATCACGTCAATCTGCGTTGGAGAGGCCGGCAAGGGTGGGGCAGCACGGATGCTGCGTTGGCGGGGTCCGGGACTCGGGACTCGGGACTCCGGACGGCGCCAACTGCCAACGGCAAATTGCCTTTTCTTGCCTGAGTCGACTTGGTGTCTCGGGGCAGAATGCCGTTCCAAGGCCTCAGCAGAAAAGTCCTGGTGCCTCAGTTGTTCAGTGCTGTTGCCGCCCATCTCGAGTCACGCAGACCCTTCCTTTGGGCTTTCAACATGTACAACCTCTTGCTCCCCAGCGCGGGACCACCGGATGATGAGTAAATAAATCATCATTGATATTATCGTCAAGTCATTGCACCATGGCAAAAAGCCAGTTCCAGCACATGCCTATTTCACTCGCAATTCTCCCGCGAACTGCTACACTATTATATTACGCCCCAAGGCCCACCCAAAGCGCGCTGTTCGATGCGTAGTTCCGTCAATGCAACCGAAGCAGAACCTCTCCGTTTCCCGGAAAGATGACACCAGCCTGCGCTTGCACCCGTCCCAAATTGCGACAGATCCAGGCGTCAACAAACGAAATGTTCAGCCACGGTCCGTGTGGACTAATTTCGTGCCTCATCAGATGTCCTGGGATAGTTCATGGTTCCGAGCTCCGAGCCCTGGCCACTTTGGCCGCGCTTCCGTCCCGGGATCAAGAATCGGGGTACGGTCGGTTGACCGTTTGCATCTTGCGACTCGGTCAGCTTGGCGAAGAAGCCGCGCTTGCGGGGCTGCTGTTTGTGATCGTCCAGGCCGACGTCCTCAAACCCTTCCTCGGCGGTGGGTGGCTCGCACTCAAACTTGCGGTCAATGGCCGATCTGGGGAGACGACGGAAACGAGCAGAGTCGAGGCTCTGCCGTCCGAGACCATCGTGGGAGATGACGGGGGACCGCGCTGTGATATCCTAGAGCCAACAGTCGCGTCAGCAGGCAGCGGCGCCGAGTGTGCAGGGGCCGGGGCCAAGCCATCAATCATGTCTTGGGTCTGAGTGCAAGATGAGCAACTGGGAGACGAACAAATGATCTTCGGTAGGAATCAAATGACTCCCGGGAGATGGGAAAGTGCTCAATGTCGCCCAGGCTGCTCCCTGTTTCCGTCGACGCCCTGGAGGACAGGTACTTGCGAGGCCATTGACCCTTGTCCTGTGTCGGCGAGGGCTGGTTCGTGCGGATTAGTTTGATGTCGCGGTGAAGCAGGACACGGCGCACGCTCAATGCTGGCACATACCGGAAGATATACGCCGCTGTCATTCACAACTAGGGTTGCAAACAGGCGAAAGTTAGTTGGTTACAAACAGTCCTTTGATGAAGAGCGCCGGGGCCAGCGCCAACCCGAGACCATGCAAGCGTGGTCGGATGATCTGACGGTCTGGTGGCATCATGTCGCAGGCGGGTGTGGCGGGTGAGAAAGAGATCAGGTCACGCACCGCTCATCTTGTATTCGCCGGTGTCGTGGCTCCTGTTGCTTCGAATGCTGAGGGCCGACGAGGCCTTGGACCCTATGGTGTCAACACGCTCGAAGCCCGGATGGGAAGCGTCCTGCTCGGGGTACAGGCTCTCGTCGTGCGCGGTGGCCGTGGCGGTGCGACGAGCAAAAGGATTGCGAATTGGCATCGTGGTTGACGGAGCAAAGGACGACAGTGCCCGACTTGAGATGATGCGACGAGCAAAGTCGGGAAGAAACACGAAAAAAAAATTTAAAAAAAAATCAAAAAATCGAAACGTCACGGGCAGAGGACTACACGCAAGTCTGGAACAATGCCGACAAGGAAAAAGGCTATAGACGGTGAAAAACTGTCGGGTGAAGTGGTTGATGCAAAGGACTGCGGCGCAGCATCGGCAAGGCGACGGATGAGGATGGTGATGGGCATTGGCGGCCCTGAGGACCGCACAGTGCAGCCGCCGAGCGAATTGACCAGACATGGACTTGCCGAAATCGAACCGTCGAACCACTCAAGTGCATGTGACGCTAAAGTCTGGCGGTGCTCACTCAGCGCTCCATGACGGAGTTGCGGGGGCCCATCAACACTAAATTGACATTGAGCAGGGGGTCTTGTCGGACCTGGCCCCCGATGCGACGCCCACTTGAGCACACTGTCGAGCGACTGAGACGCAAGTACTCCGTGCCTGGAAGTACCTACTACCCGGTACATGGTAGCCACACAACAGGCTGTAAACACAGAGGCAAACAGTGCGCCGTCCCATCAGACGGCCCGGGAGCAACCATTGGGGAGTCCGGGGCAGCATAATCTCTCCAGATCTAAACCCTGTACCCTGCCAGAAGGGGGTAAAGCTACCAACTCTTACTAGTGGGCAGTGGGAGGCCGCTCCGGGTTCGCTCTAGCAGCGTCAATGACGAAATGAAGCTTGCCGGCCGGTCCATCGTCGCTGCATCTTGGCCAACGAGGAAATTTCTATGGCGCCATGAGCACTGTGCAATACCGTGCAGACAGCGGAATTCCGCGCATCGATTACAGTGCATGGTAAGAAATTGGAAGTTCGTAAACGTCGCTTGTGGCTGCGGTACCTACCTAGGTATTCAGGCGGCAACTGCCCGATTCGGACTGGACAGCCAGGGTCCGTCCAGTCACGATGACGGACAGGAGGAAGAAGAACGTGGAGGCTTGCCCTGGGAAAAGAAACTACAAAAAAATTAAAAAGCAAGAAATCTCTTGATTCCTCTCGCGAGCACATATGTTGACTTGCTGCCTCGACCGAGTCTTTTTTTTTTTTTTCGTAGCCGTGACTGGACAGTCGTCGTTGTGAGCACAGTCTCAGCCCTACCGAGTTATAGCTCCCGTGATATTGTACAGGATGCCGCCAGATGGCTTGGTTGACCAGGGACTCAGCTGGTCTCCGCTGGTCGTAGCTCCTTTGGACCCCTAAAAAAAGAAAAAACAAAATCCTTCCGTCAATAGAGTAACCGTCACTGTCCCGTCTGCCCGCATTTCTAATTTCCGATCTTGTCCGGTCGGCGAGTGCCTCTTTTGAGTCGCTGGCGGGTCTCGCCGAAAAGGAGGATTTATATCCAGTCCATCCCTTCCGCCTCCTTGGCGAGACGTTCGTCTGCGAAACCTTTGGGTCTGTAACACACACTCTCGAGCTCAAGGACAACAAGATATTCCTTGTTTCTTCGCTGCCCTAATCCTCTTGTCCCGTTGGCGTCACCATGGCCAAGACAGCGCTCTCCGTCCTTTTGCCTCTTCTGCTAACGGGAGGCGCTGCTGCGTTTGGCTGCCAGTACATTAGCTACACCACTTGCGCAGACCACATTGTTCACTGGTACGACCCGGATGACGGCCGGGTCTGTGATCCGCACGACTGCGGTGGCGGCCGAGCCCCCCCGAGAAAGGATGTTCCCGGATGTGCGTTCTACACGGGGACCGAGTCGTTGAGGACGGAGCCGTCGTATCTCCCCTGCTGGACGCCTTCGACGGCTGCCGTGGCTGTCTCGACGGACCGCGAGAGCAGCGTCGGATCGTGGGCAGAGTCGACACCCACAAACACCGACGTTGATGCCCCGTCGAAAGAGATGTCGACCGGCTCTTCCGCTCCCGCTTCGACTGCGGTTTCTGTTGTTCCCCTGACCAGGACAACAGCGTCATCTTCTTCAGTTGGCTCCGTTTCCGATGGCGTCGCTGCGCCTCCGTCGACGACGACTCTGCCGGCTGCGTTGTCGACGACGCCTCCTGCCAGTGGTGCCACCACACCGAGAAACGGCACGGGGAACAACACTGCGCTCACGGCCACGGGCGACGCTGGAAGTCTGGTTGGTGGATCCAAGATGGCTCTTGTTGCTGGTGTCATTGGTGGTTTTGCCGTGCTGCGATGGGCATGAGGTGGTCGAGAAGACGAGAAAGCGGCGCGCCCCATGCGACGATGCAACAATGCAACGCCCGAGCACGCACGCACGCGTACGGGGGGACTCGGTAGGTCAGTATCAGTAGGCATGCAAAGAGAAGATTGACGGAACAATACAAATCCAACCGTACCAAGCCCGAAGCACCGAGTACGCGTCGTCAGCCTCAGGCCCCAACTGGCCGTCAACTCATCTCATCAGCCGTCAACGTAATCTGTGACACCTGACAAGTCGCAATGAAGCGGCCGACATGCGTGTGTGTCCCGTCGTTGCACAAGAAACCCCCATTTCCTGGTGATCTTGACCATTTCGGAGCTTTCCAACTCCAGCATGTCTGAGCTGCGGAGTACATATACCGAGTATGGTTGCCTCTTGTGGTCGCCCAAACATCCAACATCCTTGCCAACCGATGCACGTGCGGGAATTTCGTCTTTTTTTTTCCCATTTTCCCATTTTTCCCCGGCATTTTCAGCTCTTGATCTTTGCTCTGCTCTGCTCTGCTCTGCTCTTCCGCCGCGCCTCCTCCCATCGACGCTGCTCGCCGCGCACACCACGCCACGCCACCGGGCACGAAGCAGGCCCTTGTTTTGGGGGGGAAAAGAGGAAAAAAAATCAAAATTCCCCCATCTGATTCGCAGTCAGACGAAAGAGTGCAAAATTAGCACAATCGGGCGTGTTTGGTTAAAGTTTCGTCAGGTACACGGGCTGCTCGCTGGCTCTTGCTGATTTTTGCTCTCTTTCACCCGGAACTACGCCTGGGCCCTGCCCTCACTCACTCGCTCACTCACTTCTCGTCGCGGGCCCTCGAATTCCATCCGTCCCAACCATGCTCGCATAAATAATGTCGCTCTCCCAGGACGTTTTGCCGAATGCGGTCTCTGATTCTCGTTTTCGCCTGCACTTGAACGAAAGCCGATGGGGGAGGGGAGGCCTCAAGCATGACTTCCTTCTTTGTCCAATGGCAGCTATGGCAACAGATGACGTTTGTAAGTCCTCCCGGCACATACACGCCCGTCCACTGCCCTGCGAGGCATCGTGGGACTTGGCGGAGGCGGCACTGCTGACTTTGACCCGATGTGATTGCCCTGCAGGTTCTGGCGTGCTGCATAGCCATAGTCTTTCTCATCGGCCTCGTGAAACTGTGGCAGAACAATCGAGAACTCCGAAAGTACGAGGTGCTTGACGAGGAACGACGCTCGCGGATGACGGACATGAAGCACTGCGGGATCCGCCACTTGAGCTACTCCAATGTTCCGTTTGGCGTGCGAGCCATCGAACGCGGCGTCGAGGTGGAGGGCATATGGATAGCCGGCTCCGGTCCAGCCGTGGCTGGTCGGGATGCCTCCTCTGCGTCTGCAGCCTCGGCCTCGGCGGTCCAGGACTCGATCCCGGCGGTTCCTGGTGGACGGGGAACTGTGTATTACAGCTTGGAAGATGCCCAGCACAAGGTTGGAGAGTCGTCAAGCTCGCCATTGACTCGAACGAGTGCACCGTCGCAACCACCCAGCGCGCATCCCGTGGCCGGGTGTTCCGACTACGCCGTGGAACGCAAAGACGAGAACAGGTGTGTGCCGGCAACGACGGACGGCACGGCATACAGACCATCCGGGTCGGAGAGGCTTTCTTTGCAGGGATCAGAGAGAAGCTTCACGCTGTCGCCTCAACAGGTTGCCAGGCACAGACCAAGATCGAGGGCGGTATCACTGGACTCGAGCGTCGTCGACAACCTGCAGAACACGAGACAGGTCTACGGCTCTGCTCAGGTATTCGTCAACAGGACGCATCGCAGGCTGAAAGCTGGGTTTGAGGTCCTGCCGGCGGGGACATTTGGCGCTCGCTCCGAATTTGCAGCCGCCAGGCTTGCTTCAAGGCCGCAACGCCATAGCATAGAATTGCAGACCCGGCCAACGCCGTCGAAACTACAAAAGCAAAGGCGGTAGGTAATGGCACCTGCCACGGCGTTTTAATGATGATTTAGATTTTGGGGGGGAGGGGCTTTCTGCGACGTCCGATCTCGGCTAGGGTACATATCATTGCATGTAAATCTGGTACACGGAATATAACTACCTTCCATTTGCCACAACTGCCGCGGTGGGATACCGGGCGCTCGTGACGGATTCGTTGGGGCCGCAACTTTTTTACATTGCGTCTTCCATGGGGTCTGACTAGCCAGGTCGTACCCAGGACATTGCCTACTTGAGTACCTAGGTACGTCCTTCCGTCGCAGGAATTGGCGTCTCGTATTTCGATCGGGTCCTCGGCGATGACGTGAACAGCTAACTAAGTAGTGCCAAGTTAGCCACCTCCTGGTTCGACCACTCCGCCAACCGCTGAGAGGCTTGAAGGGGTCGGGCGACGAATACTTATCGCGACCCGATTGTCGGTACTTAAATAGGGAGTCAGTCGCTGGGAAACGACCATGATCGAATTGGCCGAAGCAACGACCTGACCTGCCTCTGACCCGACTGCAAGTTCTGAAAAATCGACACGACACGCGCCTCACGCCTGCAATACTCACAATAAGCGCATCAGCCCACACGAGGCCATCTCACAATGCCGCCCCAACAAGTCGCCGACGCCGCGATAAACGGCTTCGACAACGCCTCAGCATATGACGCCCATCGCCCGTCGTACCCGGCCCCGGCAGTCCAGGCCCTACTGCACAACCTCGAGCTGGTCAAGAAGCCTAATGCGAAGATAGTCGACCTTGCGGGCGGGACGGGCAAATTTACAGAGCTACTGGCGGCCCGGGAGGAGCACTTTGAAATTGTGGCAGTGGAGCCGTTGGCCAGGATGCGACAGAGTCTCGTAGACAAGCGATTAGAAAACGTTGAGGCGATGGATGGATTAGCCACGCGTATGAATCTGGATGATGGGTGGGCTGATGCCGTCGTTGCCGCGCAGGTACGTTTTACACCATTGCAGTCTGTATATCGGACGGGTGCTGATGAGTACGCCCCGCAGTCTTTCCACTGGTGAGCATACTTTCCGGCGTGACGGAGCCCTTGCAAGCACTGATAGCAGTGTAGGTTTGCCAACGACGAAGCGTTGAGGGAGATCCGCCGCGTGCTTAGGCCCGGCGGCCACTTTGGCTTCGTTTGGAACATTGAGGATTGCACGTCTCCGAGAGCAACCCCCTCCCCAGGCTTGTTTCTTGGCCGGAGTACTGACCATGGTGCAGATAACCAGCCTGCGGCTTGGGCTGCTTCTACTGCCTGGGAGGGAAAATTGAAGCACCTCATCATGACACTCCCACCGGACGGGACTCATCGATTCCGCGACGATACATGGCGAGACGTGTTTGAGCGCCAGGCTCGTGATCCGGCGCCGTTATTCACCACGCCTGTTGGGCGGGACAAGATTCCGTTTACGGTCTGGCTGACCAAGGAGTTGCTGTGGGAGCGGATCCAGACGTTGAGCCAGGTTGCGGTGCTTCGAGATGCTGACAGGGACGCCTTCAGGGCCAGTTTTGATGGAATTATGAGCGAGGGAGATCAGGTCTGGAACGACAAGGGGGAGGTTGAGTTTCATGGGTTCACGGTGTACGGGTGGACGAGCAGGCTGTAGGCTATGGCGTATATTCAATTGAGAAGCAGATTCAAAGGCGTGGCGTTGATAGGCGGCCAGAAGAACGGGTGTGTTGGCCATGGCGCTTTGCGGTGGGCGCATCACGATGATTTATTCACGTCACGTCCCTGGCGTGCTTCATGAGTCCGCCGAGATGTACATTACTGCACGCGAGTTAGCCGCTCCGTCAAAGTTGCCGAAGAAAAGGGGGGAAGAAGCAGAGGACGTGCTCACCATTGTTTCCTCGCACAAAAGCATCTCCGTAATCCCGCCTCTTCTTGCCATTGACGTACTCTTCCGTCTTTTCCAGCGCGATGTTCATGTAGCCGTCCACCGATTGCAACTCGCCTACATGCTCGCATCCAGTCAGTCATACATGCCACTCGCGTCTGGCACTGCGCAGGCGGCGTCACGCGCGGCGCTGCGGCAACACGTTTTCGAGGGAGCGCCTCACCCTTGTAGACTACGCCCGAGTTGAGCTTCACGATGACAGGGTTGCCGATGATGTCGCTCAGGAAGCTGGAGGGATCCTTGCCCTCGCCCTGCGAAATGCTGCCGTTCTCTGCAGAGGACATGGTGTGAGGGATGGCGATGAGGGTGCTTGGATGCGGGACGCATGTATCGTGAGGTTGCTTGGCGGCAGCCAAGGGAACAACAAACTTGCCCGCCAGCAGCACCAATCACGAGTCGAGGCGGCACTTGCCGTGGTTGTCGAACGCACGTGCGTGCTGTTCTCTCTATATTCTGGGTGCCGGTGCGGGGGCGTGCCCGTAGGCCTCGTGTACTGACTGATGTTGACACCTGTAGAGCCTGAAAATGCACCTGGCGGCAGCTGCCTGGCCCCGGGCGGCGGCAAGTGACACCTCCTTCCCCATAAAGCTTAAAGTCTACGCGATCCAGTCTTCACCTCGCGATCCCTTGCTTACTGCGTAGCACGCGCGCATAGGCGCCCGGCCTTTCAACCAGCGTCTTTGGCAACCCGTTCCGTCATTTGCACCGTCGACACCATGAGCGAAGACGTCACCCCGCCTCGCCCCAAGGTGAAGAAGCTCCCCTTCAAGCCGACTGCTCTGCGCCTCGCCACGCCGTCTGATGACACCGGTCTTGATGATGGGCTCGACCTGTTTCGCAGGTGCAAGGAGATGGAGCCGATCAAGGCTGCCGATCGCAAGAGGAGAATGAGGAGGAAGCAGAAGCAGAAGCAGAAGCAGGAAGAGGAAGAGGAAGCGCGACGAAAGTCGGCTGAGTCCGCCAAGAGGCCGTTGGACGACCATGACGACGGCGAATTCGAGGCCGCCGTGGGTGCGCAACCACACAAGTCCCCTCGGATAGACAGGAGAGGCACACCTGCTACTTATCCGTCCAAGGATGGAGATGTCTCGGTCAGGTTTGTTTGCGCATCTCATTCGAGCTTTTCTCACGTAGGCTAACTGGAGATTCAAAAATGAAAACAGTGACTTGGTTACGCCGCCGGCGTCGAAACGCACACGCCCAGACTTGACCCCGTCAAAGGGTGCGAAGCTCCACGTGGAAAATATAGACTCGTCGCCGGGCGACTCACCCTCCGCTCGACTTTTGCGCTCTCATACCAAAACCGCCCCGCCGGCCAGCTTGCACCGGGTGGCGCGCATGCCAAAGGCGGCACCGGCACCAGTCGTGCTCATCGAGTCGGATGATGACGACGTTGAGGCGATGCCGGGCAGTAAACAGCGAGGAGATGGCATAGAAATCCTAGAGTCAAGCCTCGCGGCCACCGCCTCCGACGAGGACGACAGCGACGGCGACGAATTTTCCGAATATGTTCGCAAGGCAGAGGAGCAGCGCGCACGGGACCAGATGCTTAGCGTCGGCGCGGATGGAGAAGCGACAAAGAAGCCCATTGACATTCTCGTCACGTCGGTTGTCCGAGGCACCAAGCCCTGCTGCTTCAAGTTTCTCTTCGACAAACAGCTGCGCATCGCTCGCAACACATGGCTGACGCTGCAGCATCGCAAAGGCATCCTCCTGGACGTACAAAGGGAAGACGACATTGTGCTCACATGGCGGAGGCAAAGAGTCTATACCTTCTCTACATTGCTGACGCTGGGTATCCGGCCTCAGGGCAATGGGCGGGCCGTCGTGGACGGGAATGGCTCAGAGGGCCTGGCTGACGGTCAGACACGAGTGCACATGGAGGCGTGGACGTTGGACCTCTTCCGCGAGATGGAGCGCGAGGAAGAGCTACGCAAGAAACGAGAAGCAGGTGAATTATCGGACGAGGACGACGCGGCAGCACCAGAAGAGCCGTCGGCCGAAGAGGTCAAGATTCGCGTCATCCTCAAGGCGCGGAACTTGGAAGACGTCAACTTGACAGTGCGGCCAGAAACGACAGTCGAGACGCTCATCACCGGATTCCGCGCGCAGCGGTCGATAGGGTCCGAAAAGGACGTGGGCCTTTGGTTCGACGGCGAGAGGTTAGAAGAGCACGTCACCATGGACGAGGCCGAGATTGACGACATGGACACGTTTGAAGTCCACGTCAGGCAGGGCATAGTGGCGTGTCAGCACGAATGACGGACGGACATACATATGACTTGGCGTTTTTGCGTATCAGTTTTTTCTATATTTCCTTTTCTGAAGAAAACCAAAAGACGATACCCCGATCAACTGCCGCTTCGCCACCTGCCCAGAACCCCGTGACCGCGAAGCACATCCGTTCCGCCAGTCTCGCATGAGTCTTGTCCGTGCCGACGACACCCTCCCTCGTTCGAGAACATGTCCCCGTGAATGCCGTTGCACCCGGGTTCCCACACGGCGGTAGCTACACCCTCGACCTCGAGACCAGGCACACAGCAGCAGCAGTCCTCACGTCCGAGGCTTTGGTTCAACAACGTGCTGCGAAGAGAGAGAGACGCCCTGTCTCCGAGGGCCTGGACGGGGCCAAATCTACCGGTGACGCGTCTGCATTCTGAATTCCGTCGTCTCCTCTGACCGTTGCCACACGGCGTGTCGAGCCCTATTCGAACAGTCCGGCTCGGCCCTGGTCCGCGAACCACACAAGGGGTTTATTTGTTTTTTTACATCATTTTTCCCTCCTCTCGTCGGCCCCGCGAGTGACATCCAGGCCCGCCAAGCAGGTGTTGTGAGTGACATGGATGGGAAACCTCCGAGTCCGAGGTCCAAAAAGGGTGCCCTACTCTTGGGAGACGCGTGCGCTTCCATCAATGCTTCTCCAGCACTAGGCCATGGTACACTCTTCTCATCCGGACAACCAGGGGGCGGGACCGAGTCCTATCACTGCAAAGGCACATATAAGCATCAAAGACCGTCAATGTAATCCCTCGCACCAAGTAAACACTAGCGCATGGTGGGCAGGCGCAGACAGCCAAGCCAGCTCCTCGAGTATGGTAATGTACAATCAACGACGACGGGCACTCCGTCATCCACGCTGTGCGGTCCAGCATCCCAATCAACGACAAACGCCCAATGAGCCTCCCGCCGCCTATGAGATATCGACTCCAAAATCAAGATTATCTATCCACAAGACCCCAGTCTTATAAAACTATATTTTGAAACCCCCACCCCCTCCCTCCGCGGTGTCAGGACACGTGTATTAGATTTTGCATGTTTTTAGGGACGGATTTCGGCGGAATCGTCTCGCCGATTTGGTGCGCCAGCTTCGTTGGAGTCGTAGGGGTCGTAGGAATGGCCTCACCTGGCAGGCTGATGCTCGCCGGGGTCTTTGGCATCGTGGCTAGGAGACGGCAGGGAGACCACCAGGTTCGGCTCCTCTTTAAAAGGCTTGCGATCCGGCAGCGGCGAACGAGTTCCCGGTTTCTTGCCCGAGACAGCATCTGACACAACTTTGGAGGCTTTGAAAGTCTGCAAGAGACCATTTATGGGCGCTGGTTGTGGAGCCTTGGTAAGCTGCTTTGGTTTTCTGCCACGAGGTTTGGCAATCTTTCCCGCCTTGGTCAGCGCAGGAGGCTTTGGGGCGCCAAAGGGGAGCTTGCTCTGTTTTGCTTCTGGCAGAGGCTTTCTCCCTGAGGAAGGAGGAGGCGGCGGCGGCGGCGGGCTTGCGCGGGGGGTCGGCATCGCCTGAATGTCCTCAGCAGAGGGCGTTCTTGTACCATCAAGCCGGACTTCCAACTTGGCCGGTGGCGACGACAATCTTTCTCGTTCCTGTTCTTTGGATACCAAGTAGTCGTTCCCAATCTCGCAATCCCACGGCGGCAGAGACACCAATCTGGCAATATTGTCGCACGTGGACTTGACGACGAGATCCCAGCAGTCCTTGAAATCGGGAATCTTTGGCTCCGAGTCTATGTTGAGCCAGGCGGTGAGACCATCTTTGCGACCTCGCGCAACCTGGCACAACTGCTTCACAAGCCGTCGTGTCCCCGGCACTTTGAGTGTCGTGCCCACCACCAAAACTGCATCCGGTCGAGCCCTCAGGTCTGCTCGCATAACATTGCCGATGGCGTCCTCGTCGGGGTTGAACTCGTTGTACAGCACAAATCGCGGCCTCAGACGTCCAATTCCATGGCTCCGCTTGCCTGCGTGAGCCGTACGCACTTCATCAAGATTTCTACAAGATTCACAGAGAGGGGCCTCGGGCCCGTCGAAAATGTCGCCCTTGAAGGGCTGGATGTCGCCGCACTTGGTGCACACCATCTTGTCCAGGCTTCCATGCAGCTGAATAGTAGTTGGCCAGGGGGCTTTTGGCTCGAGTGGGATCTGGGTGTGCAGAGGCTTCATTGACGTGTCGATGCAGTCGATGTTTTGGGAGTAGAGCCGCAGTAAACGGCCTTCTTGAGCCAAGGAAGCGAGGAGGTGATGGAAAGGCGTGGGTTGGGCATTCTTGGTCATGTCACTCATTTCCCGGACCATGGTGTGAAATGACGACGTGGACGACTCGTGTTTGTAGACGGATGCATCAAACAGGTGCTTGCCCGAGGCCTTGAGCTTGTGCTGGTTGCGTTGGGTCGCAAAGAGTCCAGTCGACGAACGAAAGTCGGGAATGCCAGCCGAGACGGAAATACCAGCACCGGCCACCACGACAATCTTCTTCTTCCTGCGCAGCGCATTGAGCAATCTCTCCATGTGAAAGTTGTCTTCGTGGCTGAATTCGTCATGCGACTTCATCAAGTTGAGGTACGTGGTGATGCGCTCGCGGGGCGGCGTGATTCGTCTCTTCTTGGCAGGCCTAGGACTGTCGTCGACGGCGTCACCCAACTTGATGGGCGATTGCGTTCCCGAGGTCGAGGTGGGCGACGGCGAGGGATAACGGGTGCCAGCGTCCGGTTCCATATCGGGCGAGCTGGTCAGAGACGGGGTTTTGGAGAGACTTGACAGAGGCGACGACGCCGTCACACTTGACAGCGGACTCGACGTCATTTCTTCCACGGCTGGTCAGCTGGCAGTTCCTGGGCAGAATGGGTGACGCGGTTCCGCGAGTGATCGGAGGTGACGAGAGGCGAAGAGGTCAAGAGGAAACACGAAACCCGGCACAAGACAGAGATCCCAGCTTAAATCATGGCGGTGCAACGGGGCGTGGGCGTTGGCAAGTCCAGCAGGGGAGATTGGTTGAATGTCGGAGAATGTCCTGAAGCCGAAGAGACGAGGTGCTCGCGAAGAGCCAGGCAACGGACAGGTGGACGCGGACGACAGACGGCGTTCCGATTCAATTTTGCAAGAAGAGATGCTGTTGAATGAATGTCGCGTCTCCCAGTCGTGGACAAGGAGGCAGTGAGTGATTTGGAGGAAGTAGGGAAGTCGTCGACGACGGCCAACCAAGCGGAGTCGGTCGGAAACGGGAGAAGCGGGCGAGGGCGTGGGCGTGGGCCGGCCAAGCGATGAACTGATTGGGGGGGAAGGCGAGCTTCACCTCGAGGCGCAAGAATGCAAAAGGGCCAAGGGAAGGAGCGAAGAAGAGGCTAAGCGGCCCAGTGGGTTTTGTCATTTGTTTGGCGTCAATGCGGCTGGGATGCACTGTGCTGACCTGACGGGCGGCAAGACGAGATTTTTAAAGTTGCCGTCAGGATCGTCACTTGTCACCTTCAGGCAGGCTCACACACACAAACACAAGAGGACAGGCGACAAGGACAAGGACTGCAAATGCTGCCAACCGACTACGTGCAGCTGGGCGGGCGAGCGGAGGACCAAATGTCAAACACTCCACGACTCAATCCATCGCCGCCGCCGCCGCCATCGCCATCGCCATCGCCAGTGCGTGGAGGAAGGGGGCAGGAGCGAGCAAGACCAGATCCAGGTGGAACAAGGAAGGTGCCCGCAAGCCCGCTCCACACACCCATCAGTCGGCACCTGACAGTCGACCACTTCCCTCCCCTTCAAAGCCGCCCGCCGCGAGTCCATGACTGACTTGCTGACCGACCGGTGATTGACCACCTCACATACCAGAGCGGCCCCCGGGACATGGTGCGGAATTGGCGTAACAACAAGTGCAGCTACGCCGTAGCCGTAGAGGCCCATAGTCCTGTTGCAAAATCCCCGTTGCCCAGGAGACGCGCCTGGCCTCCGTTTCAGCCCCACCAACTTCCAGAAGTCGTAGCCGAGTCTCCGCCGATTCGCCAGCCCCACCTTCTGGCAAGTCGCATTTTCGGCAATCCTGATTCCTGGCCGAGGCCTCGCTCTGTCGCTTCAAGCTTGAGAGTCAACGGCACGGCACCGCATGCGTGGCACTGCTGCGTGGCATCGTCTTTCCTCGAACGCTTCAACCATGCGATTACATCCTCTCCATATGGCCTTTGCTTGTACGCGCGGCCCAGCGCTTGCCGACGTGTGTAATGGTAATGCAATGCTCGCTCCGCTCACAATCCTCGTCCCAATATCGAATTTGGCGCGGCCACACTTGGAACAGTACTGCGGTCGATATGTTCGCATGTACATGGCGAGGAGATGAGCAGGTCTATACATGCATGGACAAGTCTATTAATACACAGATTCATCAACCCTCACCCTCGGCCAACCCTGGGCCTGCCACTCCCCCCGGCCGCCTTCACGCCGCCGCCTCCCCGGCCATCAGCACCCCAGACATCAATGAGCTCCTTTTCCGCGTCTTCTCCCTTCCTGCTCCTCCTCTTCCCCGTCCTGCTCAGCATCTCAATGCCCACAATGCCGGCCGCCATCCCCGACAGGTGCGAGGCAATGTCCACCTTGAGCGTCCTGGTCCTGCCAAACGCCGCCATCTGCAGCGCCGCCATCAGGGCCAGGAACACGATGCCGTGGACCCCATCCCCTTGCCGCGGCAGCCCAAACACCTTGAAGCCGTCGTTCCTGTGCGCCCAAAAGTACGCCGAGCAAAGGCCCAGCGTCGCGCCCGAGGCCCCCAGCGACGTCACCGTCAACCACCCCCTTAGTGTGTACGTGACCAGGCTGCCGAGGAAGCCCACGGCGCCGCAGCCCAGGTACAGCGTGAGGAAATCCGCCCGCCCGAGCTCCTCGTGCAGCGCCGTGCCGACGAACCACAGCGGCACCATGTTGACCAGCATGTGGCTCAGCTTGGTGTGGGAGAAGACGGCGGTAAACAGCGTCGGCGGCTTGACCGTGGCCACGACGAAAATCATGTACTTGTTGAACAGGGACCACAGCGGCGGCACGCGCCAGCCCAGGAAGACGAGGGCGTTGATGGCGATCAAGGTGCCGACGGTGGCGTGGGCGGTGGAAACGTCGCGCAGCAGCCGGTACCGCGGCATGGGTTCCTCGTAGACCATGGCCACGGCGGCCATGAAGCCCAACGCCAGCGCGACGAGCGTCAAGGACGGCAGCACGCGCTCCCACGTCTTCATCTCGGGCGGCGCCTCCAGCCCCGACTGTGCCTTTTCGTAGTACTCTGCAACTTTGGGGTTGCTGATGGCCCGGCTGCCGTCCGGCCGTCTGGCCAGGGGCCCCGAGACCCCAACTTGCTCCTCGGCGTCCTTGGCCGCACGCTCCTCCTCGGCGGCCCTGTCCCGGGCCTTTTGCCTGGAAATGTTGCGCGCTCGGATGCGGTCAAAGGCGCCTCGGCCGTACACCGGGTCGTCCGCCTCGGAGGCTGCGTCCTCGCCCTCGGTCGCGTCGTCTCGCCCGGGCGCCGCGGCCCCCTCTCGCGCCGCTCGCTCCTCCGCCTCGCGGTCCATCTGGTTCAGCTCGTCCTCCGCCCTCAGCCCGGCATTCATGACCTCGTCCACCGGGACATGCTGCCGCAGGTACTCCAGCCCCCTGGCAACCAGCGCCTCCGGAAACTGCGCCGTGTGAATGGCAAACGCCGGGTCGTCCAAGGTGCCCGCCACCCGCCGCCCGTGCAGTATGCGCAGCAATCGATTCCCCGCCGCGGCCGAGAATCCCGCCCCGAATATCCTGCCAATCTCCTCCTCGGAGAGGTCGCCGGCGCGGAACTGCAGCCCTTGCTGGTCGCGGTAGTCGCGCGGGAGGTCCTCGTAGTTCCGGACGACCTTGGACGAGGAGCTGAAGAGCGTACGCCGGCCCTGAAGCAAATCAAGCGGGCTTGCGCGCACACACACCCTCGGCGGCCGCCACGACCCGGGGTACACGAGGACGGCCGACCGCGAACACATGGCGCGCGACACGAGTCGTGGCCCGTCCGCCGTGGACAGTCGCAGTCCCCTCGCAGCGGCCGCCACGGCGCGCGCGCAACGCCCCGGACAAGCGGTAAGCACGTTCATCTCGCAGCAGCAGCAAGGCCGCAGGAAACGCCTCCTGCGCGCGTCGTGCCCTCGGAGCCGCACGTCGCAGGGTCGTCCAAGCATCCAGCCGGAAGCGGGATGCTGGATGCTGGATGCTGGAAGCGGGATGCTGGATGCGGATGTTGGGTGTCGGCAGTTGGCAGTTGGCAGTTGGAGGTTCGGAAAAAAAAAAAAAGACAGAGAGAAAGCAAGACAGACAGACCGGCTCGGCACGGCAGAACCCGGCCGACACCCCCACCAGTCAGCCACTCCATCAGCACCCCAGACCGCCTCGCAACTCCGCATGCATCGACGTCGGTCCTCCAAGACGCCGACACAACGCCCAACCATCCATCCGCCATGTCGGCAGACACGCGGCCCATATCGCCGGCCCGCTTCGCCACGGCCCTCAAAGACCTCTCCGTCCCCATGCTGCACGTCAAGGTGCTCGAGATCCGCAACTCCATCGCCCACCTGCACTACTCAAACGACCAGCTGAAGCCCTTCGCCGAGGGGTCGGCCACCGCGCCGGGCGACGGCGCCGCCCCCGGCCCGGACCAGGACTGCATCGACGCCATCCGGGAGAACGAGGTGGTGATAGACCGCATGGCCCAGCGGATGGCCCTCATCCGGGCCGAGTTGGAGGGCCGCGGCCTCGGCTGGACCGAGTTCCGGAGCAAGGAGGAGGCAGAGGCCGCTGCCGGCGAGGCGAGAGCGGGCGCGGGCGCGGGCGCGGACGCGGACGCGGGATCCCGGCCCAACGGCCACGAGCACGAGCACGAGCACGAGCACGAGCACGAGCACGCGACGCACTCGGCGTGGACGGACGGCACTTTTCAGACCGGCACGATACGCGACGGGCAGGTTCGTACGGATCCGAGGCCTGCTCCTCCAACAGGGCCTGGGAACCATCCCGGTGGGAGGCTGACTGATGAGGAGCTGAGGCGGGCAATGGAGGAGAGGATGCGGGACTTGGGCGGCAGCGACGGCGAAGACGATGGTGGCATGCACCTGTGAATGGGGTGTCGCCCCATGTTCAGAGTTTGCGTTGCGGCGTCGTTGTTTGACAGAGGGAAACAAGTCGCAGTTTTTTGTACCCAAAAAGGGGAAAGAAAAGGAAAAAGGACAAGAATTGTACACGTGGGAATTGTTGGGCATGGACGCACACTCAAGTCGATTCAAGGGCGTGAGGCATCTTCAAGAGTCAAGGCAATCAGGTTTTCTTGTCGCGTGGTCAATGAAACTTGATTGTCAGCTGCACAGTTCTGATGCAGCAGCCATCAAGATTACGGACACAAGGTACTGTGTCACGTGTGCACAGTGTCGTGGACCTTTGTAATGATGTATATATACATATACACATATGACTACCTAGTCCCCCTCGTTCAAAAGATAATAAATCCAAGCTGGACGCGTGCCGATCCCATGAGAGTCCCAATGCTATACAAGATGAAAACAGTGTAATAAACAAACGCCTCGCAATTCGCTGTCTAATGCGGTCAACGCAACTCGAAATGTGAATGCTATGAAACTCCAATATGGTGCAGAACGAGCGTCGGAAGACGCCGCAAAACTCAAATGTGTCGGCGGCAATGCCTCTAGTCTGTGTCATCTCCCACTGGAGAATCTACCCAGACGTTGGCCTTAGTTCTGGCAGACTTTTGTCGCCTTGACTTTTTTGACAGCGTGCGAGAGCCCCCACTCCCGTCTGTGCTGTGTATTGTTTCCAGCTTGGGTCTCTGGGCAACATGTCCCATGGCGCTGCTGGTGTGACTAAACGTTTTTGATATCTGCAGTGGCGGAACAGTGTCCGCATCGGCGTCAGATTCGATCCCGGGAGGCACCGCCACAGGCACACGTCGACGACTGCGGCGTCGCTCGGACGGCTTGTCAATGGAATCGTCCGACCCGTTGAAGGACAGGCTGCGACTCCGGGTATGGCCTACTGACAGATTGCTGCGGGTGATGAAGAGAGACTCGATAAGTTCGACCTCAGTTGGGTTGCTCTCCTTCCTTGTCCTCCTCTCCTTGGCCATCTTCTCGTGCAACTTGCGACCCAAGCTGCCGTCGTCTCCTATCAATGTCCCGCCACTCGACTTGCTTCCGGAGCTGACGGCACGCAAGACAGGAACTTTACCTTCCATTATCTTGGCCGGCGGAGGCGGCTGCAGCATCCATTTACGGGCATCCCTGTGAGGAGGTCTGCTGCTGACCACGGGTGGGTGATAATCATTCACCGGTGGGTTCTTGGGGGTTAGATAAAAGTCGCGGCGTTCCTGTTCCGTCACTTCCTTTTCGATTCCCAAGGTAGACTCGATTAATCTCCCCGCGGAGTCGCGAGCTTTTGAGAAGGCGTCCATCAACTTGTGTCCTGATCCGACATATCCCGGGTCGGTCAACTGTCCCCAAAGTTCCTCGTCTTCGCGTTGATAACCTCGTCGCCGGTTCCAATCCCCGGACAAAGTGTCATCTGGCGGCATGGCCGTCATACTGTCACTGAAACGCGTTCGACTGTCACCAATGTTTGTGTGTTCAGACATGCTAGGTGTCACACTGTCCCGCCCTGAGCTGCTAGTCAAACCACGTTGACTGGAATTCTTGCTCACGGACTTTTTGGGCAAACTCGGACCCATGCTGATTTCCTCCTGCCAGTAGGGATTCGTGTTGAACGGCGAAGGATGCCGGTACAAGCCGGGCTGTTCCGCCACCAACTTGGCCCTGTCCTCCCTCTCTTTCCTCGCCTGGGCCTTGGCTTTTTGTCGATGACGAACTTTTGCGCATGGTGTGCAGGCAAGGAAGTAGAAGACGGCCGACTGGAAAGCGACGGGCAAAGACATGACGTTGATAAATCAGGGGATCCCCTTCATCAAGCCTGTTGTGAAGTTGCTGCCTGGTGTTGCGTGTACATGGGAGGCCGCACAATCCGTATGGAGAGGAGGAAAAATCGAATCGCGGCGAGGACGATGCAATTGTAAAATGTCCTGTGATGCCCAAGTAGTCGAAAGGAAAGACAATGGAGTGCAACAGGTGTTGGTTATAAGCGGCAAGCTCGGTTACGGAGTCGGGAGATGGCGTGAGGAAACAGAAGACGGAATCGAGAGCAGTTGCACTATGGTCGGAGCAGACGGCGTTGCGGGCTTTTGGCTTGGCTGGAGTGGGATTGCAAGCGGCCAAATGTCTTGCAGGGGGGGTGAATGGCTCTCCAAGTCGAGGGTTGAGAGGGTCGAGGGTCGACGTCGACGTCGAGAGGGCGGCGGTCTTTTGACGGGCAAAGGGGGCGAGACAGGCAGTTGAGGCCCAGACCAGACTGGACTAGCCACGTCAGGAAATAGCGCAGGCAAAGATGGGTACAAATGGAAGAGATTTTTCAACAAAGCAGAGGAGATTGGACTTGTTAGGCGGCGAATTGAAGACAAGAATTGGGCAGAGGGAAACGGAGGATAGACATGAGGGGGAAGTGCCGGCGGAGAGATGCGATGAGAGACTGGAAACAGGCAGACGGAGGGAAATGGGAGGATGGAAAGACGTACCCGCCGCCGCATCAGCACGCACTTGGGGGTCGTTTCGGGTGGGCGATGGAGTGGGCAGGCACAGGAACCGCCAAGCGGCAGTGAGACAGTCGACCAGTCACAGCAGGCCCACGGGCACCGGCACGCCTGGAGCGCCTGGAGGAGGGGGAAAGGGGGGGGGGGCGTGGGTGAGTGGGTGAGTGGTGAGTGGGATGGCTGAGAGCCCTGGTGCCAGTGCCAGTGCCCGTTGCCCAAACTGAGCGGCGGCGGTTGATGGTCCGGCACTGACTGGCATTGGCCACGCAAGGGCAAAGGCCAGGCCCACGCCGCTCCCCTCCTTGCGGCAAGCCTCCGCGCAAGCTGGTCATGGAGCCAGGGAGCCGTGGAGTCATGGAGCGATGACGGTGTCGGCGTGAGGGCAGCGTCAGCTCGACTCAATTGCTGCGTCAAACGCAGCCGACGTCAACGAGACGCCGGCGCCATGGCGAGCCTAGGCCCGACTGGGGAATCGATTCTGCAGGCAGGGTGCGGGCGAGACGGCGTCTGAGATGAACTGGTCCATCGTGGCCGTTTTGAGCCGAGGACAAGGGCAAGGGTGCGTGCGGAAACGGCCCTGCAACGGAGCCTCGTGGGCCTGGGGTCGGTTGACGGGTTGGCATGCAAGCCGGGAGCGGCAGTGTTGTACTGTATGCACAAGACATGCAACAACTCATCATCATGACAATTACAACTGTCAACGGTCAGTGTCCATGTGTTGTTGTTGGGCCGGCGCCGGGCGTCTGGAGGATCCGGTGTGATGGCGATATGTGCGTAGTAATATTAATGGAAGTGTGGCCCAGTCCGAGCAATATGAAGTGCAGTACGGAGTACATGCATAGTACTATACTCCGTACTATGTGTACGGACTATGTACTTAACGGAGTATGTCCTTGACTTTGGTGGCTGCCGACGGCGGGGCGCCCAACTGTGAGCACCGTCGCACGAACCGTCAACTCGGGAACCAGCCTGCGTCCACCAAATACGTTCGCCTCCGTACTGCATCATGTGTAGAAAATTTCAGGGGGGCGGCACCGAGGAGAGGGGAAGATGTCGAGAAGGAGAAGAAAAAAGAAGAAAAGAAGAGAAACCCCCATCCTTCTGCAACAGTGTGCATGCAATCTTGCCCAACCAACCAACATTCAGCTCAGCGTGATTGTGATTGGCTGAGCGCAGGCCGTCGAAGCCGTAGACGCCACCACCAGACACGATCAAGTGCGTCCCATGCGAGATGCAGCGCCCCCGTCCAGACGCCCGCGGCAAAAGCAGCTAGCGCACAGATGGTTTCCGGTAAGCTGGCACCTTCGAGATTACGGAGCACTAGTACGGGGTACGGAGTACGGGGTCCTAGTATGTATAAGTACGCAGTTGCTCAAGTTCCCAGACATGGGGCAGCAAGCGCCCAATGCGCCCGATGAAGAAGAGGAGGAGGAGGAGACGTGCCCCCCGCGCCTCGGGATCCAAAGCAACGACCAAACCGCGAGTACCATCTATCCACCTAGCTGTTGACCGAAGTATGCGTCCGCGTAATAATGTATCCAAGGAAATTCAATTTCATGCTGCCGCTCTACCAGGCCCTAGAATCGCGACATACACAGCAATGCCATTGCCATGGACAGCCAACAACTCATCATCTCAAATTCCATATTCAACCCCATCACCTTTTCTTTTTTTTGTTTTTCCCCCTGGCTTGTACTTTGAGCAGGGCCAATCAAAGCAGACTCGAAGTCGTCAGAATTCCAATCACAGCATCGATTGGACATGAGCTGCCCTGCCGGAACACCGTTTGTGCTGGACGGGCATTTTCCCCGACACACCACCCCCCTCCCCTTCTTTAATGCAGCGCCCGTCTCCCCTGTGCTACAGATATCAGTTACACTTTTTTTGCGATCAACCATGTTTCGCCGGTCTGCGGAGAAAATAAAGTTCCAAACTAAACAATAAAAACATGTGAATTGAAAAAGATGACAGCTTCGCGTCAACTTGCGGTAGTTATACAGGGTCAGAGTGCATCTCATGATACCCCAGGCCCAAGGTCGAAGCGAAAAACTTTATAGGCGGGCTTGTGCTACAGCACTGCATTAGTATTGAAATCCTGCCAATCATTTAGACGTCCCACTCCTCCTCTACCTCTTCGGCTGCACCGTCATCGAGTGCTGAGAACGCACCGAAGCTCTGAGGAGCACCAGACTTGGATGTCGGTTTTGGCGCTGGTGCAGGTGTAGGCGTGGGTTTGTCGGTTTGAGCAGCTGGCTGCTTGGGCGCCTCGTCCCCAGAGCCGCCAGAGCTTTTCTTGCTCTTCCGAGAGGATTTGGCTGGGACAGTGCTCCACTCGTCAGCGTCGTTCTTGAGCATCTCGAGCTGTTCCTCCTCAGAGGGAAGAGAGGTAATCCACGAATTCTCGGACCGTGCTTGGGCCTGTTGGCTCTTGACTTCACCTGCCGCCTTGTCCACGGTATCCAGAGGCTGGTGCAAGGACTTTTCACCGTTCTCGACGGGCTTGGCACCAGTTCCATTGGGACCGCCTTTGGCCCAGGAGCTGTCGCCGTTGGTGGGCTTGAACTGGGAGCCATCTTTGGCCGGCCGTCCCTCAGCTATGCGTGCAGTTCGTCGCTGCTTCTCCTCCAAGACCCTGCGCTCCTTCTCTGCCTCTTCACGTGCTTGCTTGGCAGCTTCCGCCTTCTTTCTATTTTGCCGTTGTTTCTTGGATTCCGTCTTTTGAGGTGCCTTGGTTGTCTTGAGCTTCTCCTTTTGCTTGTCCGCGTCGGTAATCCGCAGGACAGAAGGGCCAGCAGCGGCAGGCTCAAGCATATCACTGATGCCCGAGGCATCCACGGGGCGAGCTTCTGGAGACTCCTGAGGAGACTCGACTGGGGACTCGACTGAGGACCGATCATCATCGGCCTCGGCACCGGTATCCGTCGGCTTCTCCTGGACAACGTTGCTATACAGCTGGTTCGCCCGGGACTGCTTGACAGACTTTTCCTTGTGCTTGCCTCCCTCCGTATTGTGGCTAAACTTCTTGCCTTCCTTGGCCTTTGCCAACAGCTTGGCGAATTCGCGATTGTCCACCCCATCGTCTGGCGTATCGTCTACAGAGGATTGAGCCGGAGGGGGCCCAGCGGCAGCATTGGTTCGAGCTTTGGCCTTGGAGGCTTCCTGGGCCTCAGAGGTGAAGGTCTCTAGGCGTTGCTTTTTCTTTCTATCCTCCCTGCGTGGCTCATTTTGTCGGGTCCTTGCAATGCGTGGGGGATTGGCCGCAGTTCTTCCGTTGGCTTTTTTGGTGGAAACATGATAGATGGCAAAGCCAAGGCCCAGCAGGGCGGCATAAGCCGTGGCAGTGTACATGTAGCTCATGTTCGAGTCGGCCATGGTGGTGTGCGGTGTGAAACCAAGGGTTTCAGAGAAGCACTGCAGGAGCCACAAAGTGCAGCAAGCGAGACGGTTTCGGCTCGATAAACGATGGCCAAGGATCAGCGAGGCCCGGAAGAGGCGCCCAGAGGAAAGGCCAAGGACCGAGCAAACGTTGTAAAGTCGGCCGGCTCTAGATTGTCGACGCAACAATCGCTCGGGCCCAAGTATGGCGATGCTTTGCCAATCGAGGCCGTCGACGCGGTACCGACGAGGTAGTTGACTGAAGGCGGAGGGTGATCTCAAAACGGGGTCGGGAAAGGAGGTCAGGGGCGGTGGGATGAGGCAGGGCGCTGGCGAATAGACAGAAAACCAACAGGCTATGGATGACAGGAATGTAAGACGGAGAAGCAGTAACAAGAGGATGGAAAGGAGAGGGCGGGAGAGACTGAGTAGAAATTGAGAGGTGGTGAAGAGTGAAGAGAGACCAGAGGCAGGTCGAGAAGGGAAGGCAGTGAGTTGAGGTGGGACAGGTGATTTTGGAATGGCCAGATGTCAATTAAGTACGGAGTACTCCGTAGCCACTCCAGACTTTTAGTTGGCCTGCATGTGGATTGGACCGGCCGACCACTAATAATACGCACCGGACTTTGACCTCGACAGCAAGTACCAAAGCACTCGTGCGGCTTGCGTGCAGCTGGAGTCGTGCGTGCGACACTGCAGGTGCTGGGTGCTGGGTGCCCTGGTGCCCTGGTGCCCGGGTGCCTGGCTTCAAAGACTGTGCACGGGAGGCCGTACATGATACATACTCCGTACTGGGACGGCACATGCATCCCGAGTTGTGGCGACGTCGCCAGATGGTCTTGGCACTAGGCAGGTGTCAAACCAGCTGCCAGCCGGCCACACGCGGCTGCCCGCTTGTAAGGGCAGCAGAGCTCTAACGGGACAGCTGGGAAAATGCCACATACTTCTTTATGCTAGCAGCAAACTCTAATGGAAGCTGTCTTGACGTAAGCTCAGGAGGCACATGTTAGTCACCCCAAGTACTTAAGTACCTTGAATGCCCACTGGTGCGCTCAGGTACCCAAGTGCCGTCACGGGTTCCTTCGTACTGCCTTGGTACTTGCACGTGGCTCGTGGTCCTTCAGAATGACATTTTGTCGGCAGACATGAACACGTATATATTTATTTGTGCGATGTTTACAAACCAAAAGCCAGCTTCGACAAAGCCCGCCGTCAACCAAGTCGATCATAGAATCCACCAATCCTTGCCACTTGACAGATACCACATCAAAGTCGAGTGGGCGGATCTAGCAGGCAGACGGACAGCCTCGACATCAACCATCAATTCGCCAAGTTTACAAGCGCTGTCGAGATCTGCCGTCCTCGTTCTTCCAATCTAAGATACGGCTGCAGTGGAGGGCATCGAGAGCACCACTGACTGGCTCAGAAATGGATTCTGACCGACCACGAATGGCGTCGAAATCGTGTGCAGAGCCTTACCGCTAACCTGTACGCTTTGTATCGCGTCCCGGTCTTGGTTGCCGCGCCGCTCTACCACTTTCACAGACGACCGAGCAGGATCTCGAGCAGTCGTCCATCACATCCAATATCCGCCATCGAGAAGGCGACAGTGGTACTTGTGTCCTCTGGGAGGCGACAAGCAGACGCCGATGCGTTGGCTACAATGTCTTCGCGTGAAAGGGCCGCCACGCCAGGCTAACCTGCACGTCTTGATCACTTTATATCATGTACTTGTCGGCCCGCACCCATCTCAGACCCACATACTGGCTCGCCAGCCTGTTTGTTTCGTTCTGTCGCTTCTACCACGATTATCAAGATTCATCCTCTTCTATTCTTCTTCTTTTCTAGTAGTATGCACAAGCGCTGGACGTGGGGCCGACGGCCTGTCCGGTGCCGGATCAGCAGCGGCCGCTCCCGGCAGACTGACGGCCCCACTCTCACCAGCTTGCAGACTTGTTTAGGCGGTGAGGAGCCACAGATTGCTGGCTACCAGCCACCCACGATGGTGCGCGAAGCATATTTGATCCGTCATGGCTTGCACCGGTGTGCGGAGGGCGTCTACGCTTGTATTGTTTCTGCACTTTTTAAATACTAGCTGGCTGTCGCACGCGTGGGAAGCCCGACACTACTATGCGTCATCCAGGCTGTCGCGTGCGAGACCATGATACACCACGGTGTATTCGTGTATACTGTATATATACTTGTAGGTTGACACAGTTCCGAGTCCCCATCAGTGAGTGCCTGACTCGTGGCCACGGCGTCTTCCGCCGGCCTCCGCCGCAACCAAGGGCCGAGCGTGTCCCCCTCCCTCCTCTCCACCACCAACTAAGTACGGAGTACTTGGTACTTGCTAATAAGTACTAGCAGGTAGCCAAGTACCCAGGTACGTACCGGACTATCAATCTCACGAGGGGTCGCCACGACCCGGCTGGCTTGGAGAAGAAAAAAGAGCCCTCGCTCCTCGTCCCGTCAGCATCGTGGCGAGTCTCTGTCTCCCCAGCCCGCGACATACATTACCTTGCCCCTCGGGCGCGGCTATTCAGCCAGGAACTTTCGAATCCGCCCTCCAGCTGCCAGGATTCTGCTTACTGCTGCAAGACCAGCAAGGGGCTGTCCGCACGACACCCAGGGCTCAGTTCGCAGGCGCCTTGTTCTTCCTCTGCCACGCGGTCCTTTTCTTGCCTGTAGCGGTGGTCTGCATTGCAACCTTGGACATGAGATAAAGTCCACCCTGCAAGCTCACGCTCCCTCACATCATAGCCATAGCCGCCGTTGTGTGATTTCCCGTCAGCAAAGATGGCGCCGCAAAAGATCATCATTGACACCGACCCCGGTAGGTATATTGCGGTACAACACCAGGAGACGCAGAGTAGGTGTAACTATCGGCGGCGGGCTAACCGGAGGCACGTCTAGGCGTCGACGACGTCATGGCCATGCTTTTGGCCCTGAGCGCCTCCCCCGAGGAGCTCGAGGTCGCCATGCTATCCGTCACGTACGGAAATGTTCCTCTGCAGAGGTGAGACATTCATCATGCACATGCACTCTTGTTCCCGGCCATGACCTCGTGCCTTTCAAGAGAAAAGGGGGGGAACTGGGGGAGAGACATGTCAGACACCAAGGCTGACCGACGCTAGCTGCCTTCGCAACGTCGTCACCATGTTTCACGTCTTGGAAAAGGAGTTGCAATGGAGAAAATCCACCGGTAGGGCCGAGGGATTTGAGGCCATGAAGAGGAGCAAGCCCATTGTCGCCGTCGGACCTGAGCACTCTCTCGAGGACAACTGCTTGATGGCCGATTACTTTCGTGAGTGCCGCACCCGTCCAGGGACAAGAGACGGGCCAGGGAAGGGGAAGGGCTTCGCCCCCCGGAAGTTCCGGTGCCTCTACGACTGCGTATCCGGTCCTGTCCAAGCTGACCCGAGCCGTACACGACAGACGGTCTGGATGGCCTGCACAACGTCCACGAAGCGCATCCTCACCTCTGCCCAGCCGACACTTGGAAAGCCCTCTTCCAAGCAGACGCGGCGGCCGAGGCGCACGCGCACTCGCCCTTCTTCACGCCGTCCAGAGAGCCCGCGCACGAGGAGATTCTGCGGATCCTCAGGGAGAACCCCGTCGACACCGTCTCCATCTGCGCCGTAGGCCCCCTGACAAACGTCGCCCTCGCAGCCGCCGAGGACCCCGAAACCTTCCTCCGAGTCAAGGAGCTGGTCGTCATGGGCGGGGCCGTCAACGTCGAGGGCAACATCACCCCCGTCGCCGAGTTCAACTGCTACGCCGACACGGTTGCCGCCGCCCGCGTCTACGCGCTGACCTCGTACAACCCGGCATCCACCATGCCCCCGGCCCCCGAGGGCGAGTTCGCTCTGCGCGCGTACCCGGAGAAGCTCTCGCGCCAGCTGAGGCTGACCCTTGCCCCCCTCGACATCACCACCCCCCACCTCATCAAGAAGCATTTCTTCGCCGAGCGCATTCAGCCCTACATCGACGCAGGCAGCCCCCTGGCCACGTGGACGTCGCACTTCATCAAGGGAGCCTTGAGCCAGATCGAGAAGATGCGCGGCGACGGGAGCGAGCCCGGGCTCTCCCTGCACGACCCCCTCACGATATGGTACATGCTGACCCACGACGACCCCAAGTGGAAGTTCCCCGCCAAGCTCGAGGACATTCGCGTCGAAACCTCGGGCCAATGGACCCGCGGCATGCACGTCGTCGACAAGCGGCTCCGAAGCCGGCCCGCCGAGCTGGCGGCCCTGGCATCCCCCGACCCCCGAGACGATCCCAGCGTCGTCGACCAGGACGAAGCCCCGGGCGACACGCTCGGCTGGCTGAGCGTCCTCAAGGGCAACAGAGTCAATCGTCTCATCGGGTCCCCCGGCGAGGACATCTTCAAGGATGTTTGGATGGAGCGCGTGTTTGCGTGAAGCAACGCCAACCACGTACTACATAGAACATAGAACTCCCATAGCCGACGCGTAACCATGACCACGGTGCCAAGCACGGCCCCCAGCACCAGACGTACGTAGCCGTCGGGGCAAACTTGGCCCAACCAGAAAGCAAGTAGTTCAAGCAAAGAGACCAAAGAGAAAAGCCAACATGTATTTTCAAAAGAAGGCCGCCGTCAACCCCAAAACGCCCCCCCGTCCCTGCAAGCCCCCGTTCCCCAGGGTCAGCCAGCCAGCCAGCCAGCCAGTCAGCCTCCCAGCAAGTAACCAACCGCCCGCGCCGAGCCCGCCCGGCCCGGTCTAGACGTGCTTGATGCCGCCGATTTCCGACCCCTTGACCTCGGTCCAGTTGATGCTCCCGTCCAGGCTCTCGTCCACCAGGCCCACGGAGCACACGTTGTCGCCGCGCACGAGGTACAAGCCGAGCGGGTGGACTTCGGACGGCTCCTGGTCATCCGCCTCGTGGATGACGCGCTCCTCCGTCCCGGTCAGGACCTAGATGGGCCGCGGGGAAACGGGAGACGTTAGCGACTGCCGCCATTTATTTGCTGTTCCACAGCGACGACACCGTCAAGGGGTAGATTGGTAGGGCACCGCGCACCAGGTTGGTCGATTGGTCGCAGGCTGCGAGGGTGCCGACGAGGATTCGCGAGTCCGCCGTCACCACGAGCACCTTTTCTGCGAGTGCGTCAGTCGGGACTCGAGCGCGCCCGGCGGCCGGGCACGGCGACGAGGTCCAAGGCACACTTACTGTTGAGGTATCCCCCTAGAGTTGCCATGCTTGCAGGATCCCCCCGGCTGGCGCGGAACGAAAACGGGCGCGGAGGCGGCAGGCAGTCAGGCAGGCCGGGAGTGCCGACGACAAAGGATTGTTTTTGTTTTCCTGGAAGGTTGACGAGGCGGGGGAGGAAAAACCGCAAATACTATGCCGTTTGAAGCTTCATTTGCTGTTGGGACAGGGCAGGTCTGCTCTCCAGCAGGCGGAGGCGCGCTAAGCCACGTTGGGCGTTGGGCTACGTTGTCGCCGCACAAAAAATTCAGGCACCAGGCTCCAAAGTGCGTGCGACGGAGGGAGGCGAGGACACAAGCGACGGAACGCAAGAAGGCGACGCATTCTTTGCTGTCCAATATCGTCGAGCCATGGCATCGCTCCGACGGCGGTTATCCGGTGGGCGCCGGCTCATAATTGTACGCGGGATGCAATGGTAACAACGTGGGTAGACACTTTACCATGCACCGTCAAAAGAGCACCGTCAAAATCACAAAATCACAGCCCTCTCTGCCAGAAACGACTCTGCAAGTTCGGCCGCTGCTAGGACATGTACATTCACAAAAGATCCTTCTCAAGCTCAATCCTTTGCCAGTACGCGTGTTCATTCGATATAATTCCATCTGCCAGTCCACATCTCCCCCACATGGCTACTTTGAAAAGCTACCTTCAAAATGCCGTTTCATAGCATCAGGCCAATCACTCCGCTAAACGTCTCTTCTTCACTACGCCAGCCAAGCCAGCGGGAGCAATGAAAAGACATGAGTTCGCGTCACCTGGAGGCAGTGTAATACCAGGGACACTGTGGGCAGGATCGTGTGCAAGCACAGAGGAAACTGCCCGCGAGCCAAAAATAAGAATAATCACGATTGGTCTCAATAGAGACCTTTCAGAGATTAAACTGAAAAGAACAGATACTACACTTGATCTAAGCCAAAAGGCAAAGAGAGCTAAGGAGAAAGGAAAGAAAAATTCGAAAAAGCAGGCGGGCGGGCGCGAATTTTATAGCTGCTCGTGTGGGCGGTGTGAGCTGGCGAGCGGCAAAATAGTGTCCAATCAGCGGGGAGCGTCTTGACTTGCGGTGTGGCTGCCTGGAATTTCTTGGCAAGTGCGGGTCTGGCCGACGTGCCTTGCGGCCTTGCGAATGGTCATTGGCTGCTTGGACAGCCGCGCCGAAATTGTTCAGCAATTGCTCACTTTTGATTCACATTTTGGTCAACCACGACCACCAGCGGTTCAATACCTGGTACTTGGGCATTTTTGGTCGTGACTCGTCCGTGACGGTACAGATAATATGCTTGGTGGTTTTTTGTGGCTACCCAAGTGCCCCCGACAGTCAAGAAGAGCGCCCATAACCATCCGGGACGCCGTCTGATGCTTGGTTCCTACATACAAAAAGAAGACGCGAGGAACCCTGTAGCTCGCTTCTGATGGTATCTCCTGTGGTCAAAGCCAACAAGGTCCGAGATTCAATTCTGCCCATAACGCCACACGGGTTAAAAGGAAAAGGAGAAGAAAAGAGAAGAAAAGAAAACCTATACGAAAACGCTTGGCCTCATCGAACAATCCAACGAGGCCGTCTAGTCCTCCACCAACTCGCCTTCGTCTTCCGACACCTTGGCACGCTTTTCAGACCTTCCGTGCTCGGCCCCGCCGTCAGGATCGGCGTCTTTTCTTTTCACCGGTGACCTTGGCATGCTTCCATCCCCTCTGTCAGCGCCATTAGCTCTCGGTGCAGGGCTTCTGCTGCGGCTAGCCCTGTCCAATTCCGTGGGCGTGCCATTCGAAGACAGCGTGTCAGGCTGGCTCGGCAGTGTTTCTGCACGCCTCCGCGTGTTCTCCAAGTCGAATGCGGGCGATGGCAGCGACGGGTTCTGCTTCCTCAGCGGATTCTCCGTGTAGAACTGGCGCATCACCTCGATGGCGCTGGTACAACGCTCCTCGTCTCCATTCAAGTATCTCCACCACGGCTCGCCATTGATATCGTCAATCTGGTGACGGGTATGGACACTGGCGAAGAAGATGGCACTTATCGCCACATCCCGTGCTTCGATTAATAGAGGAATTGCCGTCAAACAGGCGTCGTTGCAGAATGCCCAGGCGGCCTGTCGAAGATTCTTGTTGTGGACAATGTCGAGCTGGCCGAGAAGTTCAAAAAGTTGCCGATACGGATTGTCAATCATGAGGTCGAAGGTAAGCTGCTCGAGCATGATCTCTTCGTAGGTCAGTATGCTGTCTCGCCACCTCCAGTATTCTTTGCTCTGCTCGTCGATTTCAAGCTTTGCGTTCTTCTGAGCCACCTTGGCCACGGCGATGATGATTTCCTTTGTCTTTCGACAGTTTTCCTCGACTTTGTTGGCCAGGAACAGCGCCGTGGCGGCAATATTCTACAAACCCCCCAAAAAAACACGACCCCGGGGTTAGCAAGACAGTCTCCTCAAAAGGCCATGACGGTCTGCCGCTGGAACTTGGGCGGACAGACACGGGACTTACATAGTGGTGTATGCCGCCTTTGTCCTGCACCATGCTGAAGCGCATGAAAAATCTGTGAAAGAAGACGCCGGCAACCCACAGGGTGATCTGGGGCAAGTCCAGCATGACGCCAGCCTGGTAGATAAAATTGACGCCTTTTGCTCGTCGGAGCCGTTCCTCTGACGGCGGTATCCCATCGATGATGCTGGGCGTGCTCAGAACCTCGGCTGACGTGAACGACCATTGATTCGCCACAGTGCCTTGGCCATTGTGGCCAGACTGCGCGGGCGACTGTTGGTCGGACTGCGGCTGCGGCTGCGTCTGAGGGCGCGGGGGAGACGTCCGCGCACTATTCTGAGGAGGCGTTGGGGCGGCAGGTGGGATTTCTCGTGGAGGCACGGGAGACCGCGATGGTCCGTCTGCTCGCGAGCTCCCAGGGAGGGCGGGCGGCTGATAACCCTCGCGGGGCGGACGGTAGCGGTCTATGCTCGCCATTTCCGGCGGATATTATGTCGGATGGCGATCCAGGAGAGAAGGCGACCTTGAAACAGCATGGAGGAGGGGCTATGTCGTGCTTGTGGTCGAGATGAGGCTCGCGTGACGGAAGAGGTGGGATTCGGCTTTTTGAAGTTTGGTGGAGTGACGAGACGCCTCTTCCAATGGGCCGGGCCAGGCCAGGCTGACGAGAGACTAGCCGGACTGAAACTAGCAAGTCGCCAAATTAAGAACGTCAACTGGTGGCAGGAGGTCACCTGACCCACCGCACCCTGCACAGGCCCAACGTCCCAGGGTTGCAACGCTTGCACGGCTGCAGCACATTTGACAGCGTCTTGTGCAAGAAGCGTTCGAGTCTTGTCAGTGCAGGGAACGCAGCTCGCTGCTCACGACGTTGGCATTCGATGCTTCAATGGAACTCTGCCGGCACATCACGGTGCCGTGGATCCTGTACGAGTTATGGACGCGACATGTATAACGTTCCCGTCCAACCAGAAAAAGTCAAGCCAGAACAGAACTCCTCCACAACGAACCCACGCAATGGAGCCATCCGTCGAGGCCCGTCAGCCGTGAGTCGCCGTGGCCATCTGGCGGTACCTACACGGGGGAATGGGAGGAGGAGATTCTCGTGGCTTTCCACATGTCGTTGGTCATACCATGGCGAGATGACTCTTGGAGTAGACACAGCCCGAGGAGAGTGACGAGGGTACCGTGGACACGTGGAGCTCAGTGGAGGGTATCACATGGTCTATTATTTCTTTATATCTGCAGCATGGCGACTCTTTCACAGTGGCTCGGTGTTGTTCCGACCCCAAAGCTTGACTGTCCGATCGTGACCGCCGCTCACTATCCATCTGCCGTCTCTGCTATAATCCACACTTGCAACGGGACCCGTGTGCCCGCTCAGAGTTTGTATCAGGGTCCAGTCGTCTGCCGAGAAGATCTTGACGGTCTTGTCGAACCCGCACGATAGGAGGAAAGTCCCCGACGTCTTGGGAATCTGGTTTCCCTTCTCGTCCACACCGGGCGGAGTTCCTTCGAGGATGTCGTCCGTGCCCCTGAACCACCGCATGTCTGCCACGGCACTGTTGTGGGCGCCGACGCCCCCGGTTCTCTGGACCTTGCGGACGTCCCAGCATTTGATCCAGCCGTCGGCGGACCCAGACAAGACACGGTGGCCGTCTGAGCCCCAGTCGAGCGCATGGATAGCCTTGATGTGGCCGTCCAAGTGACCGTCCAGAATCATGACTGTCCTGCCGGATCGCAAGTCCCAAATTCGGCCGATGCTGTCCAGACCAGCCGTCGCCAAGAGCGAACCGTCGGTGTTGAAGCTCAGCGCGTAGACACCTCTCGAGTGGCCTTCTTGCAGAAGCACCTCGGTGGTGCTCTCAACGTCCCAGAGCCTCCACGATGTGTCCTCCGACGCCGAGGCGAGGTAGCGGCCGCAAGGGTGAAACTCGACACGGCAGACACGCCGAGTGTGTCCTTGCAACGTCGACAGGGGAGTGTCCTGATTCAGCGACCACAGCTGTACCAGCCCCTCGGCACCGCCAGAAGCCAGGTTCACAGTGTCTGGTGATACTGCCCTCTCCGGGAGAGTGGCGCCTGGAAACCAAGACAGACCGCTGATCTTGTTGGTGTGGCCGCGAAAATTCATCTTCTCGGTCAGGTTGGGGACCTCTACCAACTTGACCTGGCCGCCCCAGTTGCCCACGGCCACCAGCTCTCCGCTTGGCGACATTCTCGTCATGCTAATGTGCCTCTGCCCCACGGTCTGGCTGCCTTGCAGCTCGAACTCTTGCAACTTCTCCTTGATCTGTTTGCGAAATCTGACGTGGGTTCGCAACGGAATGGTGGCCTCCAGCTTTTGATAGGCGACCCTTTGTTTGGCTCGAGGCAGCGAGTATTCTGCGATATTTATTCTCGCATTTAGGAGTCGCTCGCCTCCTCTGGAATAGAATTCTTCCTCCTGCTCCTCGGTCTCTTCTTCGGCCGGGGCGTCTGCCATGTCAACGTCGGCATTTTCCAGACCTGCCAGTTCGGCCTGAATGGTCATCAACTCTCGTAATCGGTCACGACGATCGCCTGGCCCCTCCCCGAAGAAGGTCACGGGCTCCCCCATCTCCCTGAGCTTCGCTCGAACGCGGCCATCATCCGTGGGCACGGCGATGGCAGCGGCAAGTCGCTTTCGATTGAACTGGTTCAGGATGGCTGAGGTTTTCTCGGGAGGTGCGCCCGGCTCCACGGGCATGTCGTAGTCGGTGTCATCCTTCAAGTCTTCTAGCGCAATGCCGGCAGGCGAATCAGCCTCCTCGACATATGCCTGACGCGACGGATGCATCATGGCGTGTGTGAGTTGATGCCGGCGGGGACGAAGCCGTTTGGAGGTCGGATGGGTCAAGAAACGGGCCACCAAGCTGTTGTAGAAGCGTCAATATAAGTTGTCGCATGGACGGGGGGTTGATATTTGGTCTCAGTGGGAGGTTGTGCGACGGGTGGATGGAGAGCTCTCTCTCTTTCGATGAAGCTTTTTTGTCTGGACGCGATTGCCAGCGGCTCTGGAAAGATGGAGGGCCGCCTGAGCTGCGTGGGGCTTCCTCTGCCAACATTGGAAGACCCGCTGTCGCAAACCTGTGGCGTCGGCCCGGGGAGTCTTTTGGCGGTAGCAGGTGCAAGTACCAAGTACCACTACATAAGTACGACCTACAGGAGTACTCCTCAGTCAACCTATCTGCTGTCAGTTCAACACATCAGCACGCGGTCCACTGTGTCGCGCTTTCATTAGCCGTCCCACGCGCTGGCCGCTCCATTACTAATAATAGCGGGGAATTGCCCAATAAAAAAAGGGAAACCCAAGAAAGAAAGTCCATGGGAACTCGGGATTCCCCAGGGCAATTTTTTTTTTTAATTTTACGCCGCTGGCCTCGCGGCTTGCCATAGGCCATGAGTGGAGGGCTATTTGCCCTGGGCCCATGTGTCCATGTCATGGCCGTGCCATGTCCGCCCGTGTGCGCCTCGTTGCTTCGATGAATTAAATTAGCACTACGGAGTACTAGTACAAACATAGTACGCTTACGGAGTACATGGCCACTAGACAAACGCGGACGTCCAGTCCGTTCACGAGTCGTCCGTTCACGAGTCGTCCTTGGACTCTTTTTTCTCCTTCCTCTCCTTCTCCCCTTGCCCAGTACACCATCCGGTGAACATCACGACCGCTTTACGAAACCACCGCACAAACTCACCCTGCAAGCTATTGCCAAATGCATATACAGGAGCCCTCCCACATGCCAACCTCATTCTTCAAGTACCAGATGCGCTTTGTGAGCCACTACGAGATCGACCTTCCACTCATCACGGAGGAGCGCGCAGATCCGGAGCGACGCCGGGGCACCACCTGAGTGAGCGTGCCGTCAATTTGACCTGCACGGCACGATTCAAAACCGTCTCCGGGCCTAGACGACCCTTGCACGACGAGGCCCTGCCGCCCTCCCAGGTTCCAACATGATAAGCCCTGCCAACCCGGCCCGCACTGTTGTGCGTGGCTTCAACGGCACTCCCGTCACCTCTGGAGATGAAGATTCCGACCACGGTGCCCCGGAGACTCCGACATTGGCTTCCCCGAGAGGTCGAACTCGAATTGACGACTTTGTCAGCGCAAACTGCAGCCCCGTTCTGAAGGCTGAGCCGTCTCCAACCATGTCCGGTATTGCGAAGCTGCGAATGCAGACGGACCACTTCAGCCTCGACACGATTTCACGCTCAAGCTCTCTGGCCCGAAACGGAGACCGTCCCCAAGCGAGGTCCGGAATCACCACAGAACTGAACAGCCGCGCCCAGAGCCGAGACGGAGCACGCAGTGAAACCGGCAGCGACAGCTCAGAGTGCGGATCCGCCAGCTATGAAGTCAACCTGGAGAGCGACTTCGTCAGCGACAGCGTCAGGGAGCGGTGCGGATTCGTCGAGGGCGGCTTGAACCCCAAGCGCAAGATGACTTCGGAGGAATTCGAGCCCCTCCGTTGCCTGGGCAAGGGAACCTACGGCACCGTCCTCCTCGTCAAGCAGCGAGCAACCGGGAGGCTCTATGCGCAGAAGCAGCTCAGGAAGGCGTCGCTGGTCGTGCACAGAAAGCTCATTGAGCAGACCAAGACGGAGCGTCAAATACTCGAATCCGTGAACCGGCACCCTTTTGTCGTGAAGCTCTACTATGCCTTCCAGGACCTCGAGAAGCTCTATCTCATTCTGGAGTACGGGCAAGGCGGAGAACTGTTCACTCACCTCAGCACGGAGAAGATGTTTTCCGAGACGGTGGCCGCCTTTTACATGGCGGAAATGGTGCTCGCAATCTCTCACCTCCACAACGACCTCGGAGTTGTCTATCGTGATCTCAAGCCGGAGAACTGCCTCCTGGACGCCGACGGTCATTTGCTCCTCACGGACTTTGGCCTTTCCAAGGTGGCGGTGGAGAAGTCCGAAGACAGCTGCAATTCGATTCTCGGGACGGTCGAGTACATGGCGCCCGAGGTTATCCTTGGCAAACGGTACGGGAGAGCCGTGGACTGGTGGTCTTTCGGTGCGCTGGGCTACGACCTCATGACGGGCAACCCGCCGTTTCGGGGCCAGAACCACGCCAAGATCCAAGACAACATCGTCAAGCAGAGGCTCGTCATGCCGTACTTTCTCAGCCCCGATGCGAAGGACCTGCTCACCCGCCTCTTGAGAAAGGACCCCCACAAGAGACTGGGGTACTGCATGCCCAAAGACCTACTGACTCTCAAGAAGCACCGCTTCTTTCGCAAGATTGACTGGAAGAAGCTCGAGGCGCGCGAGCTAGAACCGCCCATTCAGCCCATGATCACTGACCCGGAGCTTGCCGAGAACTTTGCTCCCGAATTCACAGACCTGGCCATCAGCCCGCTGGTCACGTCAGCAAAAGACGCTTGGTCTATGAGCGGATCGTCCAAGGACGATGTGTTTGGCGGCTTCAGCTTTGTGGCTTCACCGAGCCTACTCGAGAGCAGCATGCTCTCCGTGGCCAACCGTGTGTGATGCGACTGCTGGCTGGCTATACGTCGCCTTCCGAAGCATTGCAGTCGACCAAATTTCAAACGTGAAAGGATTTATTCTGTTTCCGTTTTTTTTTTCCGGATCCGACATGACGGGTAATGCTACACGTGCGTCTTTGGTGGTGGAAAAGCATGTAGGGGCTGGAATTACGAACACGTTTCCCCGTATCGTGATCCGCGGACGTTTTGTGGAGTGGGATGGCTCTGCGCACCGTCTTCTTTAATGGCTTTCTTGGTATTGTCATGACATGGACGCCGCCATGGTTTTGATTTTTATGCATTCATTCAGCCTACGCGTTTAGAGTAGAAGTGGCCACGGGCAGAGCGTTGGAGGGAGGTGTGGCCAGGCTGAATGCCGATCAGAGCGTTTCGTCGTCGCGGGGAAATGCTTGATGCACTTTGAATTTACATGGCTAGCGAATGTGAAGATTTTACACTTTGGCGTTGGCCGCAAGAAGTCTGCCAATAGCACCGAGTCGTATGTGACAGTCGATGAGACGCACCTCGAGGCAAGTCCGTGCTAGTCAGTGCTACGCGCTGTCTCTTGTACCCCAGCCATGTCAAGGGGCTGCCGACTGGCAAACTGACTAGTAGATGGATTTGCTGGGATGCGTGCCGAGTCCCGATACGACGGCAGTGTTCAGTGTCTGGATTCGCCTGGTGCGGCGGGCGTGAAACTGGCAATAGGAAGCTGACGGAGTCGTCTGACGCGCATTTGCCTCGTCGGCCTGTCTGTCTGCAAGCGCAAAGCGCAAAGCGACGCTGTTCCAAGTTTTCGACTGCCAAGCCAAGGCAGAGACGGCGACTGGGCTGTGTCCGACAGCAGTCAAGTTTAAGTGTTGCGCATCTTGACTCCCCGCGTACTTGTTTAGTACCTATGGACATGGATGGACATGCCCAAGTTCCTTGACGCCCGAAACACGCCTAAAACCCGGGGGGGGGGAAGAGGCGCCTCTACGCGGCACTAATCGGCGCCACCCAGTTGACAGAATCGAGCGTGGACAATCTTCGTTGGTGGAGGGCTTGTGCTCGCGCATCCATGGACGCTCAGATATGGTCATCAGCGTACGTTGGCAGATCAAGCACAAGGCAAAAGTATCTGCAGCCGCAAAAAAAAAAAAAAAAAAAAAACCAAGGCTCTCCATCGCAACGCATCGGAGTGTTGCGGCCAAAGATGTAGCAGATGCGATACCCGTCATGCTGTTGGCATGTTACACTGTGGTTGCGATGCCATTCGCCGACGACGTCTCTCCTTGGGCCGCGTCCTCCTCGTCTTGGCCTTGACCTTGCTGGAGGTCACGCCGGCTGCATGGCAAAGGCTTGTGTCAAGTGTCGCTCGCTCGCCTCTCTGCCTGCCTTTTCTCGGTCCGGGGACTATGTGGGATGGGGGATGGGGGGGGTGCAAGTGTTTGAAACCGTGCCATGGAGCGAGCATCCAACTCGTGACGCGTGGCGCCTCCATTTTCCCGGGGTTTCCTGGGTTTCCTTCCCGCAACCTTGGTGGCCGTGATGTTGGTGGATATATTATGGCCCTGCCTGTCCATTCTTGCCGTGAGGTTGAAGCGCTTTGACCGCGAGGGGAAACGTCCGGTTGATTGATTTTGTACCGTAAAGATCCTTGTATTACAGGCCGGCCTGCATTCAAGGACCTGCTGGTGAATGTCCAACATCATTCCTCTCCGCGTACTTGAAAATTCCATCTTGTGGTGGTAAAGACCTTGGAAAGCGCATATTCGCTTGCACATTATTCAAGGGACCAACATGAGGCTTTCGACGAGAGCAGCCGTTGGCATTAGTATTGCAGCCTGTGAGTGCCGTCCGTGCCGTCCGTTCCTCCAGCAAAGAATGGAATTCATGCCCCGATCTCAATGAGAGTACTGACGAGAAAACATGTTCCCGCCAACAGATGCGTCCAGAACAGATGCTGCCCTGGCAGCCGTCTGTCCAGATAATGGAGAAATGTGTTTCCAATGGGGTTCGCCCGCGGGCGCCAACGGGGCGAGTCCAGGTGTTCTCTACTTCCAGCTTCGAGCCCCTGCCTCGCTATCGTGGTTTGCGCTGGGCACAGGGTCTTCCATGGCGGGCTCGAGCATGTTTGTCGTCTATCGCAATGGAAGCGGCGTGACCCTTAGCACCAGACAAGGCACAGGGCACAGCATGCCTCAGTTCGAGGCTCGATCAGACGTTCAGCTGCTTCCTGGATCGGGCGTCGTCAACGGCAACCTCGTCGCCAATGTGCGGTGTGCGCAATGTTCCGATATTCCCATAACCAGCTCCTCGAAGTGGATTTCCGCCTGGGCCAAGAAGGGACCAGCCACCGACTCGTCAAGTGCTTCCGAGCCAATTTCGATCCACGACGCTTTTTCAAGCTTCTCGGTCAACCTGCAACAAGCTACCATTACCTCCGACTCGAATCCTTTTCTTACCCCGGCCACGAATGGCGGTACCAAACCCATCGTCAACGGAGTCGAGACTGGCGCGGACAATAGTAAAATGATGTTGTACGCGCATGGCATTATCATGGCCGGTGCTTTCCTTTTGGGGTACCCAATCGGATCAGCAGTCATGCCTCTGCTTTCCAAATGGATTGTCCACGCTAGCTGGCAGCTCCTCGCATTTACCGGAATGTGGGTTGGGTTTGCTCTCGGCTATATCATCTCTTCAAAGGCCGGCTCGGTAAGGCTCCCATACTTGATTTCACCCACAGCTTCATGCGGGTCACCTATGGTTTTGAGGTTGCTAATAGCCGATCCCTAGCTTTTTCAAGATGCACACACGCAAATCGGTCTTGTCGTCTCCATCCTAATGACGATCCAGCCAGTCCTCGGCTGGTTGCACCACGAGCGATTTCTCAAACACAGACGGCGTGGTCCTGTCAGTCACGTTCACATCTGGCTAGGACGTGTCGTAATGCTTTTCGGTATTATTGATGGAGGTATTGGGCTTCAATCTGCTGGAGCGTCTTCACGATTCATCACTACCTACTCCGTAGTAGCGGCCTTGGTCTCGGTTATGTATCTTGTCGGAGTGACTTTCGGCAGGGTCAAGAAGAAGTGGCAACGGAATCAAAACCTCGGATCGTCATCCCTAACCGAGCTAGGGAAACTGTAAAGGTTGGCCGTATGTCCAGACGGCGAGGAGGCTTGCAGCTGGGAGTCCAGTCGTTTGCGTAGCGTGTCGACCAGTCCTTTTGCAGCGCTGTTTCCAAGATGCGACATGAGCTGGGATTTGTTCCGCCCGGGCAACGGGATGGCAGTAGAGTCAAGTGGGAAACAAGCCACCCTCCTTTTGCTAAGAAATCTAGTAATCCATATTAGCCCATTGGCAGCATTTTCGGAGCAGGGAATGGCGCCGTCACACGATCGTTTGGCACAAGTCAGTTACGTCACCGGTGGTCCTAGTAGACTCACTGCGTGCTTGGTGTTGCATGTTGCACAAAACTAGTGCGCCATGTTGTCCGGCCTAAGCTTCCAAGCTCCCAATGTCTTCGGGTTTCGCTGCACTGGTGACTGCTCCATCTCCACCCGTTGCAAGCTCGAGATCTATTCGCAAACAGCCAAGAATCATTGGGAGAAGGAAAATAAAAAAAATACAATCAAATCAAGTCTTGGCCGTTTCAGCCCAATCCCAGATTGTATCCGTCAAATGGCCGACAGTGATAAAAGTCCAAGCCAGAAACACTCCGACGCAACTGAGAAGTGAAGCCTAACAAAATCATAGTCACGTGCCGCGAGCTTCGGCTGGCCGGCAAGGCAAGCTCGGCCTCAGGCAGAAATTCACGCGGCCGGCCGACTCAGCCGGGGTGGGGGGGGGATCGAACATCACGATTTTCACAACAGCCTCAGTCCACACTTTCACCCCAGTAGTCAGGGTTCCCAGTTGAGCGACACACCGTCATTCACAATGCTCAGCCAACTTTCCAGGGTCACGGTAAGTCGACATTTACCACTTTGGAAACGGTCTCGATGCCCGCATCGCCCGCAGAACCCGACGCAGCGTCGACGGGAGGTAGATAGCTCGGAACTGACGTTGAACAGCGCGCCACCTCGGCCGTCCGCGCCGTCACTCGAGTTGCCAGAGGCAATACCGTCCAGGTTCGAGGCTTCATCGCCCCAACCGTCTCAAGGAAAGGTAAGGAACTATCTACCCGCCCGCCTCGCCCAACCCACGTCTACACGCGCACAGCTCGAGCGGAGTAGCGTGCACGGCTAACATTCCCGTCCTCCTCGCCTCCCCGACAGCCGATTTCGTCCAGGATCTCTACCTGAAGGAGCTCAAGGCCTACAAGACCCCCGCCGTCAAGGAGTCCGACGCCGAAGGCCAAGTCCAGGCGTTCACGATGCCCAAGACCCCCGCGTCGCCCGAAGAGGCCGACCTCGCCAGCAACCTGAAGGATTACGAGAGCATGGCCGTCGAGATCGAGGGCCAGGATGCCGCCCAGGCCGGCCAGGGTGATGCCGCCGCCCTCCCCGACTGGCTCGAGGCCGAGGAGGACGACGAGCCCGCTCACTAAGCAATATCACACAACACACATCCTCGGACACTGATGATAAGAAACTCGACGATTTCGACATTTCTAAAGAGGAAGCGCAAGGGGTGTCCTCAGACACGGGGACATGCAGCAGAGAAAAAAGGTTTCCTTTTTTGTGTAACACACCGACGACACTGTCTCGTCTCCGCGAAAAGGCAGAGCCGGGCACGGAGGACAAGACGTCCAGGTGGTGGGTGTGGTGGTGGATCAGGGTCGATAATCCTATTGTACTTTTTTTTTTTGTTTTTTTCCCTCTAGAACCTCGATACTTTGGTGTAAAATTTTGACCGTTTCTGACAAGGCGAGAAAGAAGCAAAGATATCAAATCACCCATATACCAATAACAGCTTGTCAAGGCTCGTCTCCCGTGAAAAAGATGTCAAGTCAAGCCTGACAGTAAAAAGGGGCCGCATTGCGGAACGGCAGCTTGCCAGGATTTTATTAACTTGTTTTGGTGAAACAGGCCGCTCCCTCCTGTTGCCCCAGAGAGCATGACCACACAGTGTATGCATTGATACTGCGCGTCCCGCCTTGCAACGGCCTCCCTGCATCCCTCGCGTCGGCAACCGCCGTTTTCGGGCTTCTCTTTTGCCAATCCATTAGTCCACCTCGCCGATTATCCCAACATCATGTGCACAAATCGACATGGAAGCCAGTTTCCCTTCTCGCTCTGGGCGTTTTTCTTTTCCTTTTCCTTTCTCTTTTCCTTTCACTCTCGCCTCTTGACACAATATGTATAGCGCGTCAGACAGTCAAAAAGCCCCTTATTATTCCCGTTTTTTAGACTTGGTCGACTTTCAACAATGGGGCCTGGATCCCAGTATTTACAAGACAGAAAGAGCAGCAAAAACCGGGTGCCAGCTCCGTCATCCCACCTCACAACCATAAAACGCCGATCCTCCAGCTCGTTGAGGTCTCATGAGAAGATGCCAATGCAAAAAAAAGGACAGGAATAAAAAACCAATATAAAAAACACATGGTCAAAGCGACTAACAGGCAAGGGGGAAAAAGCAGAGAGCCAAACCGTCCCCATATGCAGTATGACCTTATAAACCCATTTCATGCTCAAGAAAAAGTCATCATAGACATGGGGCGACAACAAAATAGAACGTACTGGGTAAACTAATTACCAGCGCTGGATTTTTTTTTCTTCTCCCCTAGCCTTCCTCCTTTGGTCTGAAGGCTGTGGAAAATTTGGTTACACTTCAAAGTGAGCGCCACCCACCATGTGATCGTCTGCAGTTGACGTCTTCACAATGCCGCTCATGCGGTTTGCTTTACGGGGATCAATGTCTTCCAGATTGTCCCAATCATCCTCGTCGTACTGTGCGTGCGCATCATCCATGTCCTCGTCGTCGTTTCGGAATCGATCCCTCATGTGGTCGTCCAGAGCACTCTCGTCGACAAAGGTGAAGCCTTGGAAATTTGCCTGGACAGACGGAGACAGGGGTGTAGAGGCGGCGTAACCACGGGCGAGTGCAGCGGCCCGCTCGTTGAGAGAGCCGTTCTGTTCCAGGGCAGTGGTGAACTCGGGGTCAAAGTAGGAGACGTCGGTTTCAGACTTCAACTTTGGTTTAAAAGGGGGTGTAATGAGCTTCTTTGCGAGAATGTCCCAGCTAATGTCCGCAAAGAACGGGTGGCGCTTCAGCTCTTCGGCATCATCCGTCGCGCCGAGTCGGTGCTTTGGATTTCTATTAAGCAATCCCTTGACAAAATTTCGGCCTTCGTGCGACAGGGTATCGCGGGGGAATCGAACCTTGCCGAAAGCAATGTTCTTGTACATTTGTTGGGTGTCTTCTGCGTAAAAAGGGCTCCACCCGCAGCACATCTCAAATACCAAGACGCCCAGAGACCAGAAGTCTACCATCTTGGTATAGCCAGATTCGTCTAAAAGAACTTCGGGGGCGAGATATTCTGTCGTGCCGCAAAATGTATTGGTAGTGTCATTCTTGGTCAGGTTAGCCTTGGATAGCCCAAAGTCGCACAAGGCAATATGACCATTGGCGTCGAGGAGGATATTTTCCGGTTTGAGATCACGATATACGATATCGTTGTTGTGCAAATGCTGAATGGCTAAAATCAACTCGGCAATGTAAAATTTGGCTCGCCTTTCGTCAAATCGACCCTCTTTTTGCAAGTGCCAGAACAGCTCCCCTCCTGACATGTAATCGGTAACCAGGTACAGTTCAGAGGGAGTTTGAAAGGAGAATTTGAGGCCAACGATGAAGGGCGAGTCCGAGGTAGCTGTCCGAACAAGAATATTGCGTTCGCCAACCGTATGAGCTACCTCTTTTTTCTGGACAATTACCTTCTTTTGAAGCACCTTCATGGCATAAATTCGTTGTGTATCTCGCTTTCGTACCTGATAGACCTGTCCAAAAGTGCCCTTGCCAATGAGCTTCAGGATTTCGAAATCATTAGGTCCAAAATGTTTCTTCTCGGAACTTTGATAAAAGGCTTCCACGTAAAGCTCGCCAGTCGGTGCGTTTTCCGCGATTGTATCCGCATGGCCGCGTAAAGCGAACCATCCTCTCACGGGACCCTCGCCGTCTTTACCGGCCTGGAAATCGACGTGGCCGAGAAACTCCTCTCCGGTAGCAGTGTGATCGTAGACCGAAACATCGACCAACATGTCGGTATCCACAACGTCGCTATTTACACACGTTAGCACGTTGAACTGGGGAGGGGAGGGGGAGGGAAAGCTCCATTAGCAAGAGATGAGCCCCCCCTCCCGCGAATACAAAGACCACATACAAGACTGCTTCGGCGTCCCATTTGGGATTGCTTGATGGTGCACGCGTAGTTCGATTGCGGAAGGTATTGTAGTCGTGGATGCTGGTATTGCTGCTCTGACGACTTCTCATGGGGATGGCCATTGGAGGGCGACCTGAGTCGCTACCTTGCCGTTGTATGGGAATGCCACCCAGCCCGGCCGGGGCGGCACTAAGGGGCTCCTCCTCCTCATTAGGCCGTGGACCACCCGAGATGAGTTCGCTTCGTTGAAATACTGCGACAACATAGGGATCCCGGCACCTCCGCAGCCCGCGTGCTTCGGCGATTTTGATAGTCAGCTTGCCCTTTTGTGCAGGAGGTTGAACGCCGGCGGTGCGTGGGGTCTGTGTTCCGCTCGCCGTTTCTGCTCCATCATTGCTCGTTCTGCTTGGAGTGTCTCTGCCGTCAGACTGAGAAGAGTGGGCAGCAGACAGGGCTCTTGTGGGAGTCGGCGGACCACTCTTGAAGATGACACCACGAGTTAGCTCTTTGAGTCCCTCGAGCGAGAACCACTTGCTTGGGGCAGAAGTTTGGGGTAACCTGGGGGGAGTTTTGGAGGGTGACGATACGGGGGGTGTTTGTGACGTGGCAGGGGGCACAAGCTCAGCGCCTACGCCCACCATCGTCTCCGGCTTCGATGAGACTGGGAGTGCGGGAGCGCTTGTCCGGTGGCAGCTTTCATGTATTGTTGACGTTCCATTAGAAACCGTCTTGATAGCGTCTCCGTCTGGGGAGTCTGCGCCTTTACATGAAGAGGTTTCGGAACTTGACGGCTGTGAGGGAGGAGGAGTAGGGTATGAATGTGAGGCCATGGCTGGTTGTACGACATGACTTGAATCAGAAGCGTGCTTATCCAAAGACATTGGGAGACGACAACCTGATGTCCTTGGGGCGCAGCGCGACGAATTATGGCAAAGGCTCTGCGGCTGCTTCTCCAAAGTGGTGGAAGAGTGAAACTGGACCTTGGCGTGCAAATCTGGCTCTTGATGCAAAGATGAGGATGTGGAGCCGGAGCCGGAGCCAGAGCCAGAGCCAGAGCCGACAGGCATCATGATGACAGGAACAGAAGAGGCACAAGCAGAGGTGTCGGCGGCATAAGGGTCTTGACGAACCTGGCTGAAGTAGCTCATGATTCCCGGCAGACGTTTGTCGTGGAGGTCGGGTTGAGGGGTGGCTACGCCAGACCGTGGTGTGTCAGAGCCGATGTGATCCGCTCCATCTTCGTCGGTAGCGGCGGTCCTGTTCGATGATGATGATGGGTCAACAACCGGCATTGTCGATTCAGGCACTGGCACTCCGGAGGGAAGTGCCAATTGTGGAAACAATGACTGAACGGAGGAGAAAAGGCTAAGGGAAAAGATGAAATGACCCAAGGACAAAGGCGGAGGGGGAGGGAGAACGGTGAGAGATTTGGTGGGAACACTAGTTCATGACGGCGGCCAAGAGCCTTCTGTGGTTTTTCCAAGGAGGGGCCACAAAGCCAAGTGTGAATCCCGCGATGCACAAGAGTGGCTGCGAGGAAAACACGGAACCAGAGAACCAGAGCGGACCAGCCAGGGCCTGTGTAAAAGAAGGGGGAAAAAAGGATGAATGTGTTTGGCTGCGTGCAAAGAAAACAGAACAAAACAAGCAAGCAACAGTATGAGTAAGAAGAAGGAAAGGGGAAAAAAACGAAGTCTGCACACAAAGGGGAGGCGTGTGTGGAAGCAATTCCGATAGCGGGTGCGCGGCCAAAGTCCAGGCTGCTTAAACTCTGCGCCGCGCCTGCGCCTGCGCCTGACGGGAAGGGGCCAAAGAGATGACGAGTTTTTTTTTTTTTTTTTTTTTTTTTTTTTTGGCACCGGAGCCACCACGCTGGAGCCACGCTGGAGCCAAGCCACGCTGGATCCCTAGAGTGCGCGACGCTGATAAAGGAGTGGAGATGTTGGAGGCTTGATATGAGCTGCCCGAGCGGGGGAAAAAATAAAAGGGTAAACGAGGGCAGGCAATTGTGGCTGGCCGGCCGCCTACTGGGTGTGGCGCGGCAGCCCGAAAATCCTAGGGCCTGGCGCACTCTGCACAATGCACAATGCACAATGCACTCGCTGCTCTGGTCTGGTACGTAGCCTGTACGCCGGACCCTGTTGCATCTGAGAGGCCTTCGATGTTGGCCATTCCAGGCTCTGTCCGATCTCACTCCCGGGCTCCGAAAGGCCCATCAGGAAAGACTACTCCGTAGAGTGATGGACTTGAGGGAAGGCCAACAAGGTTGGTTGTGTTTTTCCTTTAAAAAAAAAAAGTTGTCCTCTTTGATCCAACCTAGCGGCTGTCAATTGGCAGACAGACAGACTTGGGTTGAATCTCGTCAATTTCAGTGCGCTTGGTGACGGGGCAGCAGAGAAGGTCAACAGCTCAAGCGCGAATCCACGGCGCATCGCATGGACACCTAGACGCCTGAGCCTCCAATGGCGTCGTCATTCCATGCGCCCTATTACTCTCCATGGTTGTGTCCTGAACGAGTCAAGACATTTTGGAAAAAAAAAAAAGGTCCAAAACATGTCTGGAACTTGCGACACTGGCGCAGCAGCCGGCGTTGTGGCGCCGTCTGTTCAGGTCAATGCCCCCCAATGTACATGTCCGTGGTTGTCAGCCAGATGGCAGTCAACGTGAACGTCTCCGCCGTGGCTGGGGGCGATAGTAGCCCTTGCCGACGGCAATGCCGACGGCCCAAGTTCAGCACAAGGGATAGTTCCGGCATCTGCCATGTGCCAGATGAGCGGTCGCAGTGTCGGCATAGCCCGGTCACCTTATCTGAACACAACAGTGTGTTCGGGTTCAGGCAGCAGGATAGTAGCCCGGTAACGCATGCATGAGCACCATGCAGGCAGGCCGCCGTGCTGCGTCTCAGGTCAACTACCTTGGCAACGGCAGGATGCGGCACCGCCGGCTCAAGGTGTGGATGGGATGCGGTACTCGGTGTCCGTACGGAGTACTTGGTGTCAGGACTCGATCCTGATGCAAAACAGAGGCCATGCCCACGGATCTGGCGGCTTGGACACCACAAACTTCAAAGTGCCAAGGTACTCGCTGTTGCGACCGCAGCTTCTCAGAGGCCTGCGATGCGGCCCTGATCAGCGATGGCGGACACGCGATATGTTCATCTCCATCGCTCCGTGCGAGGCAGCCTCAAGTCTGCAACGGCCATGGGAATAGCGACCAAGATGACAAATGGCGATGACGTAATAAATAGTTGATGGGCCAGGAATCATTTTCTCCAAGATTCCATTCCACCATGGGAGAGCGAGGGGCCGATGTGCCGAGCCCTGCACCTGGTGCAGGCAGATGCTCTTGACGACGCTCGTCGTGATGCAGACGCAACGACGTAATAGTGCACATCCTGTTTGACTGGACGGTCGGTCCGGCGTCACGCGGCATGGCTGAGATGAGAGCGAGTTTGGTCCGACTTGATGCTGCGAGGCCTCTTGGCTCCAGACTCCAGAGCCAGGCAACAGGACCGAGCTGACGGAATCAGGCCAGGCGAGGAGCATCCATTGAAGGGGCCCAACTCGACAGCCGCAGGGGATAAGACGAGTGGCACTTGCCATCAGTCGTCACCATCACCAACCATACGAGCAGCAACTTCAGCAGGTGGCGATTGCCTGTCAAGCAAGCACAAGCATTCGAGCACAAGGACTTGACTCACGGTAAAAACGTGGCAAATCGTGCATGGATACGCATAGCAGGACCGGACAAAGAAATCAATGGTGGCAACGTACCTTGACATCATAGCCTGGGTGGCTCGCCTCAGCAGGTCGAAGCCGCCAGCGGAGCTGCCATGGCCGGCGTGGGCATGGGCGTGGACTTGGGCGTGGACTTGGGCGTGGGCGTGGGCGTGGACTTGGACTTGGACTTGGGCGTGAGTGTGAGCGTGAGCGTGAGCGTGAGCGTGGACATGGGTGCTGTCGGTGCCGGACATGGCTGGCGAGGTATGATTATTCTTGTGTGTACGGAGTAGTATCTCAAGATTCCCAGGACCGGTTGGACCGCACGATGTGTCTGGCCAAAGGCGACAGACGGTCTGGTGCCTCCTTGGACGCGAGAAAGCTGACGCGGCGGACAGGCGGAGAGAGACGGATTGACAGAGAGGCTATGGTTCGCGCACGCCACGCGTTCAGGTCGGTGGTCGCTCGAGGGGTTTTCGAGGCGGTGCTGGAGGCCCCAAGATGTACGGTTCAGGATTCGCAAGACGAGGCCGAGTTGTTTGCAAAATGTGCTTCGCTCAAGATGGACGGGCGGCATGGAGGAAGGACATGGAAAACGGGCAACGGAAAAAGGGCAAAATAGCCTGCCGGGCTCTTCATTCCCCGAGTCTCTGGATGACCCGACCGACACCAGACTTCTCCAAGCCTCGCACCCGGGCGAGGAGGGGAGGGGCAAAGGGCAATCGGTCACTTGAGCTTATGCCCTTCCTTGGTGATGGATCTGAGATGGAGCTCCGGCCAAGCGCCGCCTCCAATCGAAGGAAGCGCTCCACGGGACCCAACGCCCATACCAGCGCCTCACACTGCTCACAGTGCCGCGGGGTCAGTGCATCAGTGCCTCGACTCCTCAACTCTTGCGGCCTCGTCCTCGTGCGAAACCGCATAGTGTCTGTCTGGGTAACATTTGCCGTCTTTGCAAACGTGGGGAACCGGGGCAAAGGACGATGTGACCATCTTGAACCGGATGTATCCCGAGAGAGAGCCTCCAGAGTCCAGAATCCAGATGTCCATTCCGCCTTTCCCATGCGCATGGACGGGCAGGCAGCCACCCTGCCGCTTAAAGTCTAGTACGGGGCAGGCAGTTGGCAGCTTGCTGTTCTTGATTCCTCTTCCTTTTTTTTTAAAAAAAAAAATTAGATTTGCTCCGTCTTGTCTTGTCTAGTCTTGTCTTGTCTTGTCTTGTTGTTTTGTTTTTATCCCGCCTCATCATTACAAACCAAACGCTCATGTACGCATGTGCGCGCGCGCATGTGCATGTGCATGTGCTGTGTCCATCGAAACCATGACCGCCAGCTCGTCTTCCAGGCCTATTGCTTGCTCCGGCGAATTCGTTGTCGAGGGCATGGTCATTTTTACTAACGCATGTCTACGGAGCACTTGGTGAGCATCGACTTCTTCTCAGCGCCGTGGGCAGCCAAGACTATTCGCAAACCTGGCCTTTTCAGACGGGTGCCATTGTTCCAGACAAGACAGCACAGCACAGCGCGACAATGCCAAAAATGAACAGACGACGCGACGCCGTGCTCGTCTGCACCACTGGACAGCCCCTGCGGTTGGTCGTTGGGCACCCTGGGCCACGGGCCACGGCCGTCGGAAGCCACCAGTGCAAGCGCAACCCAACCAGTCCCACGGGCTGAGCTGGAGCTGGAGCTGCAGCTGGGGCAGGAGCTGCTGATGGTGGCAGATGCAGCACGTCTGCTCAAAGGCTGATGTCATGGTCTGGTTTGTATCGCTATCTATCGCACATGCTGCTGACCTTCACTCGCCCTCGTTTTTCTTCCCTGCACATGCGGTCAGAGTTTGCATTTCAGCACATGCATGCACGGCCTTGCACCGCTAAGTATTACTGTACTCGAGGGCACCAGTCCTGATCCGTGGCCAAGGCCGCCGTGCCAGCCATGTCTTTGCATCCCCCCCAAAAGCTTCATGAGACTGGTCATCTGTGCTTCCCTCTCCCCAACCATAACTCGCGAGAGCCTCACTTGGGACTGGAAACGCTGCCAGACCAGACCAGACCAGGCCAACCAGGCTTTGCCGTCTTTTGCCACCTCGAGCTGCCCGGGTTGCGCGCGTGCCCCCCGTCTCCGTTGTCAACCTGCCATTGCCAATATACGGAGCTATGGAGCACCATCCATATTAATATGAATCTACGGAGTAGCCGACGCTTCCCCCGAACCGCACTGAAGCGTTGCAGCCGTTGCAGGCAGCCGACCAGCATTCGCCGTGTCGAAACTTGGGGAATCCACTTGATCAACTCTGTCCCGCCATGTAACTACTAATTAAAGGTTCCTGGGGGGTTCGCAAACAGAGACGAGAGACGGGGCTGTGAGGTTGATGCGCTCCCGCCCCCCTTCCCCCGGTCATCGCCTCACCGGCTTCCACAGATCTCGGGGCGGGGGACGACGACGATTCGCCTCTTCTTAAGCTTTAGCTCGTGTGCGGCCGCTGCGGCACTTCAGTCTCCCCGAGTCGTGGAAGAACCTGTCCGGCTTCTGGCACGGCACCACGAGCGAGCGAGCGAGCGCGTGCGTCACGTACGTACACGTATGTGCGAATGTAACTACTTTTTCTGTACACGACGAACCGAGACCGCCGATTAAGGACGCTTGGCACCACAGTCGATGGAACTCGGCATTTTGGCCCTCCCGGCTTCGGGGGGGGGGGGGGGGTAAATAGTCATCATGCGGGCTGAGACGTTCGTCGTGGAATGAGCATTGAGATCTGATCTGCGCAACTGAAACAGACGTCATTGTCAGCGCCAGGGATAATAATATCATGTCTTGATGCTGGGCGCGTCGCGCGTCATTAGAAACACCCATGTGGGCGTGGATGTCATTGTTAAAATAGTACTACGTACTGGAAGGTATAGTTTCATTAGTTGTCTATGCCTTAACCCGCAACACTCAGGTTGGGAGATATTCTCTGTGCCCACTGCAGAATACCCTACAACAGGTCATTTTTCGGCGCGCCCCGTACACTCAGACGGTCTGCTCATGGCCGAGAACAAATGGTCTTGACTCTCCATCGCAGCCTTGCATCGCCCCGAAAATAGAGCGCAATCGCTCAGCATGGCCCGGCTACCAGAGCCAGCAAAATACAATGGTCAATAGCAGGGCCGCCACTCAACATCCGGCCGTGTAGCTCAATGGCAGAGCGTCTGACTACGATGAGTAGCCTACTACTTCTCCGAAATCAGAAGGTCGCAGGTTCGACCCCTGTCTCGGTCATCTTTTTGCTCCCACGTTCGGTTCAGAACGCTCGAAGAGGAACAGTGGCCCGCTAGGAAGACGCCGTGCGTGTAACCTGACCGAAGGGCTGAGGCATCAAGCGGTGGATGCCTCATGCCCTTGTGCATCGCAAGCTAGTCATGTGGTCGGAACTTGTTGACCGCGAGTTCCGTGCAACAGCGGGGAATGAGGCTGACAACAGCTGAACCATCTATAATCTATTCCCCCTTCTCCGTCTCAATGTTTTGCGGCATCTTGTCAGAGTTCATCTTTCGCACCAGGTGGCACGGCCGACGAAGAGCTGTAGCATCCAAGTCCGGCGGCAACATGCGTCTTGCTACCGTCCTGAACGCTACCTGTGTAGGTACCCCGTACGCTCGATGGATCTCAGGAGGCGTAAGACGCGTCTTGCCTGCATTATGGCTGGTCCGGCTGTCATTCGGACGGACTTACGGCTGCTCTCCACAGCCAGGGGCTATTCAATAGGGGGGCATGTTGTCACCATATGTACAGGCGGCGACTTTATTGAGACCATTGCTCAGCGACGTGACCTGACGTGAACCATACATTCATTTATCTTGCCGTGTCAAGGTAGCCCATATCCCAGATAACACCGACTCTAAACCTAATCAGGGCCTTTTCAAATTAGGTCTTCACGAATAGGTCCATGGCCAGGTCAGGTCAGGTCAAGTCAAGTCGCGGAGTGATGGTCGGGTCATCTACACCCTCATTTCCCAATAGCCACGTGGGAATACTCCGTGTTTGGACCGGGATCGAGCCATCGTGGTGCGTTCTTTGCAGATGTTTGTGACGAGGGCTCAATGGAGGGCTCGAACGAAGGCGTTCAAATTCCATCGAATCATCAGCTTTGAAGTCTTGGTTCCCTCTAGAAAACATGGGCTCCAAGGCCTCTGTATACACACGAGCGATGGACCCTGATATGCCCCTTCGATAGGGTCGTCATCATGTTGTGTCATCGTTGTGTTGTGTTGCCTCGGTTCGGTGGTCGGAGGTCGACCCTGTGACGATGTCGGCGAGTAACCTATGACGGACTGGCTGAGTGGATGAATAAGTCGAAAGATCTTATTCTCTTTATCCTATTCGGCTCGGCCTCTTTACATGATTATTACGCTTGGAAACCAAGAAGCAGGGTCCCTTAGCAAAAGGGATCCGAAGCGCCAGAGAGTAAAAGTTTCAGGTCGAAAAGATGAGGTTAACTCGGACACTTTATGCTTTCCGATAGCCTTCCCGCCCTAGGAGCTGAACAGTGTTACACTGCAGCGTAGGACGGAGAACTGCCATTTGCATTTGTCGTAATTCATGCATATACCCAACCCAGGATATTTCATGAAATGCCGAGAGGGCAGAACGCAGCCATGTACCGTCATCGCTATTCGCCACGGCTAAACTCATGCCATCAGTGTACGAAATGGAACAGTACGGAGATGAGGTATGGACAGATTTGATTGCAATAATCCATCATATCAGCAACTGCAAATATTCATCTAGTTCCCTGTCTCCCTGGCGGCCTTGATTCTTGCCAGCCATTTCTTCTCCATGTCTGGCGTCACACCTGGCGGATAGAGCTGCGGATCGACACCTTGACGGGCTACCAAGGGATCAGGATACTTTTCTACCAAGGCAGTCAGCAAGTCCAGTACCATCTGCGGCGCAACTCTATCACCATTCCCCCGCCGTCTCGCGCGACAAGAACGTCAATGAAGGACCAGGATCACTGGGACTAACTCGGGTGGAACGCCTGGTCCGACAATCTAGCCATGACCTTGTCGTATTCCTCTTTTCTTCTGGAACTGGTTCCTGCGGGAGTGACTGGTTCGGCAGCCCCATAGTGAGGCAGAGAGGACACGGGCACGCCAGCCATACGGGAGTCTGATGGTCGTCGCAGCGCAGCGAGAGGGGGGGGGAAGCCGGGTGTTGGCGAACTTGAGTTGTGTGATTGTGTGTTATTGAGCATGTACAAGAGAGAGAATCACAAGCCATGTACGGAGTAATGTGAAGACGGACCCCAGCGGTGCTCGGGCATCAAAACCACCACGGTTAGATGCATAATCTCAAAGAGTTCCGATGCGGCCCCCACGAACAAGAGGACGGACCAGCTAACCCCCCGAACCCCACCTCCGGCGTGACTTTGTGGCAACTTGGCCGCTGCACTAAAATAGCACTGAGCGGCAAGTACTCAAGTGTCCGCGCGAACATGCCAGGGCCCAGGGCACAAAGTCGCGACGAATAGCCGACACCGAAAAAAAGCGGTTCCGTATTGCTGCGCTTGGCTCTCGTCTTGGAATCGTTTGACCACGCTCCTTTCGTGTTTCCCACGACTCAGCTTTCATCCCCACCGGACGGCTGTGTCTGTTTGCAAGCAAAGACTTCTTTGCGGTCCTGCTTGATGCTTCCCTCCTGAGGGAATTGGCGTGGCCTGATTGTTGTGCTGGACGCATTGTCCGCAGTCGTGGCGCTGCTCAAAATGAACAGGTCCGGTATCCCGGACGCCTGGGACGACGATTGGGAGGCCCAGGCAGACAGAGCCGCCGTGGAAGACGACGAGAACCACCAGCAGGGCGGCGTTTCCCTCCACGCGGCGCAGTCCTTGACCAAAGCCGAGCGCATCACGCAGCATGAAGAGGCGAATCGGAAGATGTGGGAGTCTGCGTACGTCTGCCTTGGCCTCCGGCCCTTGCTCGGCCGTGCGTTTCTTCTCCTTGCTCCTGCTGACAATACTGCCGTCTAGGGATGCAACTCCCCAGACATTCCACTACCTCGAGGCCAGCAACACGGTTCCCTTGACATCCGCGTTCAAACCACAAGTCAAAGTCCTCAGCCGCAAACCCGTGATTGCCAAACGCGATGCCACAACAGGCATGTCCCGGCTCTCGATGGACGATGACGACAGTGAAATGGAACGGCCGCAGCGTACCGCCGAGGAGATACGGGCCAAGCAGAAGCGTGACCTGGAGGAGAAGCAGAGACGCTACGATGAGGCGCGAGCCAAGATCTTTGGGCAGTCGAATCCTTCAAGCAGGGGCTCCTCTCCGGGCACAGTGACGCCACCCCGGGGGGAGAGTAGACATTCCGGCAGGGGCCGTGGCAGAGGGGGAGGAGGGCAGCGGAACAACGGCGCCAACACCAATGATGGCGGGAGACAGCCGGACATGAGGAGGGCGAATAACCAAGCCTCATCCGGGAGGGAGCTATACGATCCCAAGTTCTCGCCAAAGCCGGACCTCACGGCTCAGCGGCGTGCAGGAGGGGACATCGACTGCGGACCGGGCAGAGCCACGACGTTGAGAGACGAGCACCACCTACTTCAAGCACAGCAGCCACAGCAAGCTATTCGAATGCCGAGAGGACCGGATGGAACCGGCCGGGGCGGATTTGGATTTGCACGCCGCGGTGGGAAAGAGAGCTGATATTTGCCATTCATGCTCGGGGAACAACAAACAAACGAGGATGCTGATATTTCTTGGTTCTCTCTTCATCTTGAGAAAGAGTCAAGACGAGCATGACTACCACCCCCCGCCAACCTTACCAGCCAACTGAACCACGTTTTCGGCTCCAGTCCCCTTTCCGACGTCGCTTATGACCTCGCGATACGTCGTGAATGCAAGTCTATCTATGCTAATGCCCGTTGCCTCACACCAGTACGCCAGGGTATCATGTATATACGAGTGAGAGATGCCGCCCACCACATCCTCGCTGTTTCGAGCACCATCATCATTACCATTTACTTTAACCGCGCCGTCCACTTCCTCACCTGAGAAGTACGCCTCGTCGACTTCCGCCAGCCACTCCTTTTGTTCCTGAGGGCCCGGTTTGTCCGCAGATTTCTTCCTCCCCCGAACGACGAGATCATCAGCCTTGAGCTGACCCCCGCCGTTGGTGCAACCTCCCGGGCACGCCATGACCTCGACGTAGCCGTAGTCAAGAGACGCTGACTTGCCCGTCGGTCGTCGGGCGCTGCCAAACGGTCTGCCGCCGGGCATCCGGGACGGACGAGCAGGTTTCAGCCTCCGAACCAAGTTTTGAATGTTCCTGAATCCGTAGTAGCGGGCGGCTTTGAACACGGGCTCGCCGTCGACGGCCACCACAAACTCAACAACATCTGCATTACGACCGCGCGTCGCTTGGATTTCAGAGCCAGGAATTTGTGCAGCTTTGCACTGCAAGATGTGATGGAGCAGGCCGCCCGAGGAACCTGCCATGCGCGGGACTCTGCGGGCGGCTCGAGCGGGGAACAGGAAGTTATGTATTCGCGCGTCGGGAAACGGGATCGCAGGTTCAGCTAGAGAGCCGGCGGTGTCGTCGTCTTCGGCGCACGGGATATCGAAGAAATTGAGTCCCCTTGATTCGGCCAGCATGATGATCTCCCTGCTCGTGATGACGCAGTCCACGTCCCTCACACCTCGTCCCGGAAGTCCCGATGCCGCCCACACCTCGTCCGTAAGCTCCTCCCGGCTGGCCTCGAGTTTCTTGTCGAAACATGGCATGACGGCCAGGTGCCATATCCGACTGGGTGGGATGCCCAGTTTCCTACTCAGCGTCGTCTTGAGCAAGGTGCCCATGAGCGCCTGCGGCGACTTGACCCTGGACAAGTGCGGCAGGACATGAGGATGCGTCTTCTCCGCGTAGCACACCCAGCCAGGACACGCAGACGACAGGACGGGCGGCGCGGGCGCGGGCGCACCGCTCCCAGGGGCGGCCGGGGCCCCGAGAGCCTCGTCGGCGCCCAGAACAAGCGCCGCCTCCCTCGCGACGTCGGTGTCAACGACCCAGGTGAAGCCGTTCCTCCACCTCCCGCCGCCCGCGAGCCCCCAGCGCTCGGTGCGCAACAACCGCTCCAGCATGCGCCCTGCCTGGGCCTCGGACACGCGCCCCCCACAGGCGGCCGCCAGGTTCGCCCTCGTCTGCGGGCTCACGCTCGCGACAAACAGCCGCGCGCCCTCTCAGCGCCGGCGCCGCGTCGAGCGTCGCCAGCACCTCCGCGTGGCTCTGGAGGCTGACGAGCACCGCCTCCGCGGACGTGACGCACCCCGAGCACGCGAGGCAGTCCGTCAGCGATATCTGCGCTGCCGGAGCACCGCCCACCTGCGGCTGCTGCCCGTCGAGAATGACGCCCGTCTCGTGCTGCCCCTGCTCCTGCTCCCGCGCCGCCGGCAGCGTCTCGATGGGCTTTATGCACGCCACCCCCGGGGAGATGAAGTCGTTTAGGTCGTCGACGGAAAGAATCGCGCTCATGGTTGCGTCGCGGTCGTGCGCATCTCTTGTCGGTGGCGATGCGACCTTTTCCGCCTGCTCGCGGTATCCTGTGCTGCTGATCTAGCCAAGGCAAGGGGGACGAATGATGAGTAGTGAGGGCGAATTTGCTGAAGAATACGAGTCGAGTCGAGACGTGGCCGCGCTGTGGCAAACTTGATGCTTACGAGTGTGTCGGGGCAATGAAAGGTCGAGGATTGGAAATGCAGCTGTTCGGTCGGTCAGCCTGCCGATGGAGCCGCAGGAAAACCCCCCCCCCCTTCTTCCCCACCACCCACCAGTGCCACCACCCACGGGCCCCGGCGACGGCGACGGCGACAGCGACATCGGCGGATCGAGGATCGACTTGACGGGGCGCCGACCGACGCCGTGGCCGGAGATGGGCGTCGTGTAGGCACAATGAATGACGGGCCTCGTTTCAGCTGGTATTGCGGCTGCGACGACCGCAAGCATCCCGAGGAACCGCATTTGTGCTTGTTCACCCAGGCATTCGGATACTTGGATGCTTTTTGTACATGTACATGTATCCCGTCATAAACGCTCGTCCGAGACAATTCAATTCCATTCCTACGTGCCTGATTCCAACTCCTCAACTCCTGTCCCGGCTGATGCGCCCTTCCACCTCGTCGTGCCTAGCGCTCGTGCCACTCATTAACCACCCGAGGGGAAGACACGAGTAAACGACTTTCTTCCCTCGTGCCATCCATGCGCTGGCTAAAACCAGCGGCCTCATGACCTGACGGCCTGTGCCTTCTTGGAGGGCATGGCTCCCCCCTTTCCATGGCCGTTGGTCTGCTCGCCGTTCTTGGATTCCACGACGCCAGGGACCTGAACGTCGGCGGTCCCGTCGAGGATGGCCTGACGTCGGCCGTGCCAGTCAATTTCGCTCTTGATGACTTGGGACAGCAGCACTTCCTTCTCCAGCCACTCCTTGTAGTAGACCCTTTCCCACTCCTTGCACTCCTTGCGGAGGGCCTCGCCGACCTCGTCGGCCCATTTCGACTCCCAGTAGCACTTGCGGTACAGCTTGTCCACGGGGAAGGAGAGCTCCTCCGACGAAAACAGGTCGTTGGGCAGGGCGGTAAAGAAGTCCGAGTTGGCAGACTCGCCGTTCACGGCGTCGCCGGCTTCGTCGTCGCCGGTACCGCCGTGTGACTGCGGCGTCTTGATTATAATCTTGAGCTTGTTCGACTTGCCAGCCGTGCCGGACTGCATCGACTTGGGCACTGGGTCCGAAGGCCGCAGGGCCTCGGTCTCGTGGACGGTTCGCATGTGCTTGGCCAGGGCGTCGGACCTCGTGAAGGAGCGGTCGCACTCTACATGGCGCAGTGTCAGCAACAAGTGGTTCGGATCGTGGCAGTAGGACGGGCCGGGCACGAGCAGAGGATGGGATTCCGTCGTACCAGGCAGGTAACAATAGAAGGGCTTTTCCCTGGTGTGGCTGCGCATGTGCGCCTTGAGCGCGTATCCGCTGGCATGAGGAAGACCCTTCCTGCTGCACGTCTTCCACTCGCACGTGTACTTCTTCTGCCGATTCTCAATGTGCGAGTTGTGGATGTGCTCAACCAGCTTGTCCATGTCGCCCTGGTCGCCGGCGGGGCAGCCGTCCCAGTCGCAGACAGTCACCTGGTCCTGGAAGTCGTCTTCCTCGAGGCGTGCATTCACGGGCGAGCTGGGGATGTCGCCCGAGGTGTCCGAGGACACGTCCGACATGCCTTCGAGGGTATCTGGAACGGGCACGGCCTCGTGCTCGACCTCGGGGACCACAGCAGACGACGTGTTGGATTGCGCATCGACTCTCTGCCGCTTGGACGGGCGGAGGGAGCCGTCGTCTTCTTCATGGCCATCCTCGTCGTAGGCCTCGGAACCGGAACCCATTGATGAGAGAGGCGAGTCGGGCGGCGAGTACCGTCGTGCCATGGCTTCTTGCGCCGCGGATGGACGTCGCGACAGCTCGGGAACCGGTGTGACGAGGAATTTTGAGGGGGTTTGACTCGGGCGGATCGCGGTGAGTGTCGTTGGGAATCGCGCAGTCGTCGGGGTATGATGGTGACTGCGAAGGATTGAGAGTTGTGGCCCCGAGGCTGATGAATGAAACGAACCAGACGAAGCTCGTCGTAGCCGAAAATTGACTGAACTTGCGTGCCAGGGGAACAAGGCGACGCACAGTGCGGATGCACGATGAGCCTCGCTTCTCCGCGGGCGTCTGGTCGGCCCCCAGTGGTCCCGGTAGCCGTGATGGCTGGACAGGTTGCTGCCAAGTGACGGGGGCAGTGCACAGTATGAGAACTCATCGTCCTCGTCACGCACTATTGCTCGTCCGAGTTTGTATTTCCACGACAGTCGAGCAATCTCTTGCGAGGCGACGCGGAGTGCGACAGAACCGTGTCCGAACACGGGAAAATCAATCCCCAAGCCCGTCACAAACATGTCGAGCGTTCGTCATACCCGAACTGTTTGCCACGCCCTGTACGGACCACGGAGTCTGCCGGCTTCACACGAACCACAGCCAAAAACCCCTTGTTGCTTGGCCGTGCGATGGCGCAGGTAGGATGCTGGATTGCGTTGCACGACTGATGATGGGGTTTCCTGTTCCAGAGCCCGGCTCCAGTACGGAGCAACGACGAGTAAACATTGAAGCCGTCAAAGTGAACAAGTTGGAAAGCTGAAGTGGACAGCAAGCTGGGGGAAGCTGCCAAAAGTCACTCGTGCGCCGCGTTCTCGAGCATTTTATACACGCCATGTGGAAAGTTCCCATTCAAACGCATCCTCGCAATCATCGTGCTGAAGAACTCTAGATGCCTCTGATACTGGATTTTTCCGGCCAAATGCTACCGTTTCGAAACACCAAAGGTCTACGTAGCTCTTGCCGATGTGACAGTCTCGCTCTGTATCTCCGGACAAGTCTCCAATAACGCCTCCAATCTGCACCCGTCTCAAACGAGCACTGTGAGAAACGATGCAGACTCCAGCAGTTGTTTCCCTCGTTCATCGTCTTGTCGGTATTGCGGCTTCACAATTGGACCGACGACTTGACCCTCGCCGACTTTGTACGAGGTCAGCACATCGACTTATCAGGATAACAGGAACGTATGGCAAGAAGTGCAGTTCAAAACTGTGTATAAATACATGCCTCATCTCACTCGAGAGCCCTCTCGGTTCAAAGGACTGCCGGACCAAATCGCTTCTCTGCCCAAAACACCATGCTTACCACCTTTGTTCTCGTCGCCCTCGCGGGTCTCACGGGTGCCAACCCGCTCGATTTGCAAGCCCCGGAAGGCGTCAAGGGAGACCGGTTTGACCTTTGTAGTTTTCTGGGATGCAATATACCGCCCATCGTCACCAGAACATTGGTTTGGACCGTTACCATTACTTCCACAACCGTGTCTTCAGCCGCAGCCACGTCTACGGCAACCGTGACCACCACTGTAGACTGCTCATCATCTGCCACCACTCTGGAGACTTTGACATCTGACTCTACTTCTACCGGGACCACGGCTGCTACCACGAGTTCAACTGAAGCCACGGCCTCGACTGGTGCTACTTCTACCGCCTCTGCAGCGTTGCCCGACACCACGACTCCTACCACGACGGTGGCTTCAACTGATGTCTCTACGTCGGCGGACATCACCACGTCGACTGCCATCGCCACGTCCACCGATACCACCGCGTCGACTGAAACAACTTCGGCCGACACCACATCCCCTCTCTCGACTCCCAGTGACGCTACCTCAACTGACATGGTCACTCCCACCGAGACAACCACCTCAACTAGTCCCGTCATTCCAACTGACACTTCCTCAAGCCATGTCACGACATCAAGTGACATGTCCACCTCAACTGGCATGACCGTCATCATTCCAACCGACACCACTTCGACCGAGACCTCTCCCCCAGCAGACACAACCACTTCCACCACAGCCGCGGCTCCAGACACCACGACAGCAGAAGCCACAGCTCCCACCACGACCTCAGCCGAAGCCTCTTCTCCCGCCAACGCCACGACTACAACCGCTCCCACGGCCCGTGCCTCCTCCTCCTCCTCCTCCTCCTTTCCCTCCCCTTCAAACGACACCACCACGCCCGCCGTCCCAGCCTCAACAACAGACACCACCACTCCCGCCAGCGACACCGCCACCCACCCAGCAGGAAGCACCGCGTCCCCAACAACCCTCCGCACATCGTCATCGGCCACGGGAGGCCCATCGCCCCTATCCACACTGACACCCCTCGACTGCTCCGCAAACGCCTACTTCATCCAAGACCGCACCCTCCTCAGCGTCAACCTCCAGACGGGTGCCAACGAGACGCTCTCCACCAGCCTCGGCAGCCGCAACTCCAAAATCAACGCCATAGGCTTCAACGTCCTCGACAACTTCATCTACGGGCTCCACGGCGAGGAGGTAGTCCGGGTCGGACGCGACGGGGCCTTCCAGTCGCTCCTTCGAGGCGACACGGCCGCCAACGCAGGCGACATCGACGACGACGGGCAGTTCTACTACACCGCCGGCGGCAGGGCCTGGGGCCAGGTGGACCTGAAGCCCGGGTCCGCGCGGTACGGCCGCCTCGTGGCCCGGGGGACCTCCGACTCGGCCGGGCTGCCGGGCCACCTGGCGCCCGCGGACTGGGCCTTCACGCCCGCCGCGCCGGGGTTCCTGCACAGCGTTGTCATCGACGCCACCGGCGTCGTGTACCTGGTCAGGTGGGGCGTGCGCTCGCACAGGTGGGAGGTGAGCTACAAGGGCGTGCCGAGCTTCGACATGCGCGGCGGCGCGTTCGGCGCCGTCGTCGCCACGAGCGACGGCGTCCTGTACGCCTCGCACAGCGGCACCGGCGCCATCTTGCGCATCCCGCTCGACTATCCTGAGGGCACGACGCGGATGAAGGCCCGGGGGCCGAGGGCCGGCAACACCGACGGCTGTAGGTGTGCCGCGAGGCCGGACGTAGCTCTCTAGGTTGATTGGGGTGGGAAGAGGAAGAGGAAGAGGAAGAAGGGGGAGAAGAAGAAGAGACAACACGGGAGACATGGATGGAGAGACGTAGGCTTTTCCCAGATAATAGTTCTTGATTCATCTAGCGCTCGTCACCTCTGCATCTCCTCCATACGTGACAAAAGGGGAAAAAAAGGACTTCCAAACTGCCCAAGTTCCGTTTCATTCATGGCGGCGGTTTCCTTCATCCACCAAACAATGGACAAAAGCATGAATTACGGGCCGGCTTTCCTTGTTGCAAGACGCTTGTCGGGGGGAGACTCTTGAGCCGGAAAATGGGACGGACGACTATTTTTGGTGCCGGATATTCTATGCGTGTCCGTTGGCACCGAGGACCTGGCGTCTTTGCTTGACGGCGTCGGCGAGCATGTCAAGGACAGACTCGGTGTCTTGCCAGTTGATGCAGGCGTCGGTGATGCTGACGCCGTACTTGAGGGCAGATTTGCCCTCGGCTGGGACTTTTTGGTTGCCTTTTTTTTGTGGAAGATGTTAGTGTCGTGCCCTCTGCATGGTTGATCTGGATCTCTACCATGTCGCAAAGAGAGAGAGGGAGAGAGAGAGAGAGAGAGAGAGAGAAAGTCAAGACTAGACCAAACAGAAACGTACCCTCGTTGTGATTGCTCTCAATCATGACACCCATGATGCAATTCTCGCCCTTGGCGATTTGCTCAGCAACATTAGCAGCAACCTTGGGCTGGTTTCTGTGGTCCTTGAGCGAGTTGCCGTGGCTACAGTCAACCATGAGTCTCGGCGAAAGGCCCTTCTTCTCCAGGGCAGCCTTGGCGTCAGCAATGCTATCAGCGTCGTAGTTGGTGCCCCTGGTGCCGCCTCGCAGGATGACGAAGCAGTCCTCGTTTCCGGTGGTGCCGACAATGGCGACGACACCGGGCTTGGTGACGGACAGGAAGTGGTGAGGGTGCTTGACGGCGCCGATGGCATCAATGGCCACGCCGAGCGAGCCGTCGGTGCCGTTCTTGAAGCCCACGGGGAAGCTCAGGCCGCTGGCCAGCTCGCGGTGCAGCTGGCTCTCGGTGGTCCGCGCGCCAATGGCACCGACGGAGAGCAGGTCGGCCAGGAACTGGGGGGAGATGGTGTCGAGCATCTCGCTGGCAATGGGCATGCCCCTGGCGGTCAGGTCGACAAAGAGCCGGCGGGCCAGGCGCAGGCCCTTGTTGATGTTGAAGCTGCCGTCAATGTCGGGGTCGTTGATGAGGCCCTTCCAGCCGACGGTTGTGCGGGGCTTCTCGAGGTACGAGCGCATGACGATGAGCAGTTCGTCCTGGTGCTTCTGGCGAGCCTGCAGCAGGAGGTCGCAGTAGGCGAGGGCGGCTTCGGGGTCGTGGATGGAGCAGGGGCCGACGACGACAAGCAGGCGCTTCCGCTCGTCGGCGTCCTTTACGACGGCGGCGACTTCATCTCTTGACTCGAGGACGGTCCTTTTTGACGCTGCGGTCTGGGCGATTTCGTGCTGCAGCAGATCGGGTGGCGTGAGAGGGTTGTAGCCGCGAACTTGGGGACGGAGTCAGCCGGCACGGCACGGCACGGTGGGTGAGCTTGAGGCGCGGCGAGGGGCGAGCCAACAGACACGTACTTCTCCAATCTTCAGAGTCGGCCTTGTTGCCAACATTCTTGTTTTCAATGTAGAACTGCTGCCCAAACGGCGGTTGTGAGTCACCCCAGAACGCGGAACACTCGAGACTTGCAACTTGAAGGAGGCGAGGGGCAGGGCAAGCGTCAACCCAACGTACCGACATTGCGGAACAAGGAAAGCCTGTGCAAGACGTTGTACACACAGTGGGATGGGAAGCAGAGGTCAACGGCCTGCTACTACGATTGGGGCCAGCCGAACCGTGTAAATCGCAGCGGCAGAGGAGCGTTCTGTGCAGATGGAAATCGTCGACACGGCGTGGGCGTGTCTGGGAGAAATAAGTTAAAAAAATCAAATCCGGGCCGCCGGCGTCGGCGACGGCGGGGCAGATCCGTCCCGATCCATCCAACGGGCCAACTGGCCAGTAACGTTAGTATCATTCATTACTCCGTGCCCAGGCAACGTGGCACCTGCTGACCTGCACCAAATGCACCGACTCCCGCAGTACACAGGTACCTAGGTTCCCCGTACCTAGGATTACCGCGTGCGGAGAACCCAGCGGCGAGTGCTCTGTACGTGCCCCCCTGAATCATCATCAATTGCCTCGACTGCTTATTGGCGGCCCCGATGCCAAGTCAACAGACAAATCCTCCATCATCTGACCATCAACGCGCATTTGACGACGTGGAAATGTTGAAACCACCAACCAACCGCTCATCCTTCTTCCCAGACCGTGTGAGACCAAGGCCGACGGCGGCCATGACGGTCAGGTGTCGAAACTGATGATACTAGCTGTGCATCCCCATTCCACGACTCCGTCGCACACTTTGCCCTCGCCGCATTGTTGCGGAGTCCCAAGTTCCAACTCAACGAATTAGCCCCACACGAGGGAAATAAAGATGCAAGATAAAGATGCAAAACGGAAAGAAAAGAACAGAAACCACGTCAAGTTGTTCTGTATCCGGTGAGCTACAGAGAATCTATCCTAGTCTATCATGTGTGTATGTATATGATGTAACCGTCGTGCCAAGAAAGCATGCATATAAAGACAACTTCACGCCACAAACTCGTTGCAAATGAGCTCCTCCCATGTCTTGCCGGTTGCCCAGACCTGCTGAAGCAGCAGTCGAGTTGAGTGTACCTACAGCCACCGCCCCCGTCCTTGGTCAACGACTTCTTCGACGCTCCTAAACGGACACCAAGGGAGAGGGACCCGAAACCAGACAGCTCACGTACCTGTTTCATGCCAATCTTCTCTGCGCTGGCTAAACGGCTCAAAAGTCTCGCCCGCTGACGCTCCGTGAGTGCCTCGCAGCCGGCCGTGAATATGGGGAAAAGATAGCGCGTCTTGGCCACTCCCTCAGTCCCAATCTGCTCTAGGCATTGCATAATCTTGCGCACATTTCCCTGCACGTCTGCGTGGTTCGTCGGCTTTCCGAGGACTCTGCGATGCAGGTGTATCAAGCCAGCCCAGTGGAAGGCCTCGTTCACACCAGCCATTTCCGCCAGGTCCTTCATGCGAATACTGCCTGCCCTCACATGAGGACAAGGCCTGGAGGAGCGCCTCAGACTCTCCATCAGGTTGTCTTCCAGCAATCGTGCTTGTCTCACCATGGCAGGCCGAGGATACCAGCCCCGTAACATTTGGCCGTCCACTCCGAACCGTTCGCCTTGACATTGCTGCGCCAACTCTGCCACTTGGCTGAGCAGCCGAGCGCATCGGACCGATATGCCCATCATGCAATCAATCTCGTCCAAGTCTTTGCCATATTCATGCGGCTCAGACAATGGGAAGTAGACCTGTGACTGGCAACTCAAGCCCAGCCCGGGCCGTGTCACAAGACCGCCCATGATGTCTACGTAGCCCAGCCAACTCTGGATGAACCATAGTCCCTCCACCGACGCGTCTTGGGGAGCTTGCTCCAAACGTTTGGCAAGAAGACGCCTCGCATGGGCAACGTGCTCGCGCCACGAAACGCCCCGGCCGAATGCACTGGGCGACATTATTTCCAAGGCAATGAGCAGCACCGTCATGGCTAGTGTGACATTGGACATTGGACCAAAGTCACCCAGAAACGGCTTCCAGAGCGCTGGGAAAATAGACTGGGCCCACTCTGCCATTCGCATCTGAGGCAAGCCTGTATCCAGGAATTGCGATCGATGCGAAGCTTCACCGCATCAGTCCACCTGTGTGTACCAGGGATGAAGATGAGAAGGCATAGGGCGGCCATACCGGAGTATGCAAGTATGAGACTCATCAACGGTTCGCTCTCGAGAGCCATAACTGCAAGTTCTGTCTGCAGGGGGTTTGCACTGTCATCATGGTAGGGCACCAAGGCTATATTAAACGGCCATTAGGACGGCAACACAATGGAAGGCATCAGAGTGCGTCATACCGCGAGAAGTATGATTTAGAAAGTGGTGCTGTTGGCGTGTTTAGTGTTGCACAAATAAAATGCAAGGGTTTGAGTCGTCTTACAAAGTACTGGAATGTCCCAAAACTTGTTAGACTGTAAAGATTCACGGGGAGAAGGACGTCAAGAACTCACCAGCAAGTTCATCTTGTTTCGTTTCAGACTGAGTGTGCCATTTGATTAATCTTTTTGGGTGGGGGGGGGGGGCGCCTTCTTGGGCAATTCGCTCACATGTCTGGCAATGGTAGCAAAGCCCAGGGTATCACTACTGGAACCGCGTTTTTATAGTAGTGTTGACCAAAGCCACTCGCCCTGTCACGGCTCTGCTGGGACATGGCCTCCTCCCCAAAGTCTACGACCCCCCCTGCGGAATTGTACGATGTCGAGCCAAAGTCTACGGTATGAGCATCGTCGCTTTGCAGGAGATCTTCATCGGCAGCCCCTGTATCGAAACCGTAGAATGCACCATCTCTGCAAGGATATGCATCCGAGTTGCCTAGAGTCTCCTGATGACCATACGCACCTAGTTCTTTCGATAGATGCCCAGAAGGAGGTCCGACTTCGTCTGAACGACTCAAAAAGCTGTCACCGTACGACGAAAGCGTTGGAAGAGGCATGATGTCAAGTTCATCAGGAAAGTCTGCCCACCAGGTCGACGTGCTTTGCTGTGTGTATGCCGGACAAGGAATTGCTTGCGAGTGTCCAATATCGAGTACCGCAAGCTCGGTAAAAGACTTGGCTTTCTCATGTCTCGTAGCTTCTCCTGCAGGAGAACCCGTCACCAAGCCTCTGCATGGAGAACTTGCCGACGCAGTCCCTTCCAAGTGTCCAAGGCGCTGCTGTGTCAAATAGCCCTCTGATGGTCCAACACACTTCAGGTGTTGCTGGGATTCGTCGATAAAGACCAGAGCGTCGCTATATGAGTTTCCTTGGCAAGAATTGTTGGCTGTTGTCACTTTTTGAAAGGCCGTTGCCGTAGCAAGGGATTGCTGAATTCTGCTGTCACAACGAGCGTCCGCGCCGTCCAGTGTCTGGCCCGAGCCTGGAGAGTGACCTGGGAGGTGGTTAGTCTCGGTCGACAGAATTCATGGATTGGGTCAGCTTGTTGCCGGGCCAGGATTTGCCTTCGCTGTTTTTCTCAGTGAATGGTCTCTTGGTAAGGGTCGTAAGACGGACAGTCCACTTCAGCCGGACTTTGTAGTCGCACATGTGGCCAATTTTGAGACAGCTTTTGATTTAAAACAAGAATAGAGAAGTCAGCCTCGGCACATCACCAATGCGCACATCTGGCAGCTCCAAGGCTCTCCAGGCGGAACTGTTGGACGTGATGACTTTACACTTACTTCCTGCAATGGGGATGCTCCTCGCCGCATTTGACTTTTCGGTGTCTGCACGGCCTAGACAAAGCCCAGTCAGTCACTGCGCATACTCTTGCGCATGCCGAAAGCATTGGAAGTACTGACCAGCACCCTTTGCGGCTCCTTCGCTTTGGCTCTCGAGCTCCAGGTATCTTTTGTTGTGTCATGGTTTAACATATTATGCATGTCTGAGAGAATGCTGGACTGGTTCCGGCTGGAGTAGGCAAGGTAGAAATCACGACGAGGGTGGCAGAGTCTGATGATTATGTGCTGACGTATCCAAAGGGAGCAACGGCAATCGCGGCTGGGAAGACAAGCAGGCCCCGTGTAATGGCCGGAGAGAAGAGGCGGCGAGGGCCAGCATCCAGGCGAGCCAAGTTTCAAAACAAGAAAACAGATGAAGCACAATATGGACGAGACCCAAAGACGGAGGTATAGAATCATATACGCACCATCTTCAGCTATGCTGGGGAGTCGGGACAGGCAGTACCGCGAAAAGGTCGACGCGGGCACCCTTGTGCAAGACCCGCAGCCAGCGGTATGTATGGCCTGAAAGGTTGACTTGGTCCATCAAATTAATATACTTTGCCCCTGAAGTTTAAGGATTTCGATAGATCGAAAGGCTGGGGAGCAGCATCTTGCATATCACGGGCAGCGTTCAAAGGTTTTGCGGCTTGGCGACGACGAGATGACATGTCCCAAACTTGGCAGCGGTGAGATTCGGCCATGGAATTTGCTTCTACATGATATCAATATTGACAATTTTGATGTCCTCTTCGGGTCTTTCCTTGTAGGTCCTGACGTTTTCGATATTCTGAATAACATCGAAGCCTTGGGTAGCTCGTCCGAAGATGGTATGTTTGCCATCCAGCCAGGGCTGTCAATGGTTAGTTGAAACCGACAAGGGCCATAGCCTGGGGTGGTGGAGGGCAACGTGCCCACTGACCGTCTTTTCAGTAGTGATGAAGAATTGGCTTCCGTTGGTGTTGGGCCCAGCGTTCGCCATGCTTACGGTGAAGGGCTTGTCGTGCTTCAGGCTGCTAAATTCATCCTCAAACTCCTTGCCCCAAATACTTTCGCCGCCCGTCCCGTCACCTAGCGGATCACCACCCTGGATCATGAATTTCTTGATGACTCGATGGAATATCGTGTTGTTGTAATAGCCGTTCTTCGCGTGGGTGACAAAATTTTCCACCGTTTTCGGTGCCGCTTCAGGAAAGAGGCGTATGTGGATGTCCCCATAATTGGTATGCAGGACTGCAGCACTCCCTGTCGCTGTCGCCTTCGCATTGCCCTCCTTCTTGTTCCCCAACATGGTTGGTCGCTCGTTGTGTATGTCTCTGCTGGCCTTGTGTATGTCCTCTGCATTGGTAAACATGTAGAAACGAACCTTACCGGCGCTAGTGGCAACGAGGATAGGGTCTCGGGCTTCTGCTTCTTGTAATAGGGGATTGCTCGACGCCCCCATCTCGACCGACACAATGCCCTTTTTCTGCGGCTGGCCCTGGTACAAAGCGAGGTTGATTGCTCGAAGGTTCTCATCCTTGCCATAGACTTTGACAACTTGATTCGTATACGTGTTCAGGACCTTGATGCCCAGCATCGACCCATACACAATGAAGTTTCCAGATTCGTCATATATGATATTTGACTTGTGCCGTAGCAGTTGCGAGTCCACCTCTCGCTCCTGGGCGAGCCTCCTGCCGAATTCGACACTGTCTAGTTTTTGGGACGATGAGCCGGTCTGCTGCATATCTTCGACGGCCTGCAGAGATTCGTCGTACGTGCGATGCAGCTTGCCGGAGCCGAAGTCGAATATTCGTATTTTCCGATCCGGGAGCGAAAAAGCGGCAAAGCTGTTGCCATTTGGGGACACCGTGAGGCATGTTGGTACCGACTTGGCCTTTTTGAAATCAAACAAGTTTGTCGAACTTTTGTACTGGAAGACATTGTCCGGCTTTTCGTAGTTTCCGCCAGGTCGCCAGTATTCAACCATGCCACTTTCGTCAGCCGACACCACGCAGTCGTAGGAATCATTGAACGCCATGACGTGAACTGGACTCCGGTGCAGGCCCTTGATGGTATGTACCGGTTGCTCGCTCTCGCCACGGCCGTCGTAGATGTGCACCAGGGGCCTGGATTCCTCTGAAACTGCCAGTAGTGGAAATGATGCTCCCTTCTGGTGAACCCAACAGACGCATTGTGGCACGTAGTTCAGTGGCAACATAGACAGCAGATCAAAAGTAATCACATCAAAGATTTTGACCGTCTCGTCGACACCGGCAGTTGCAAAACTCCGGCCGTCCTTGCTCACGGATACGGATTTAACCTCGCCGTTGTGCGCCTTGAACTCCTTGACAAACTCAATACCCTGGGCAATCTTTTTCCAGAACTTGACAACGCCATCAACCGAGGCTGTAATGAGGAATTCAGTCAATGGCGTCCACGTGACGAAGAGCAACTGCTCTTTATGCATCAGCGACTTTGAATACCGCGCCGACTTGGGTAGGGCGGAGACGTATAGCTTCTCGTAGGGCAGGACGCGACGCTTCTTTTTGGCTGTTTCGGACGGGAGCTGGGGTCCCATATCCTCGTCGGACGAGAAGTCTGTGCCTCTGTTAGCTACGCGGGAGGAAATCAAAAGGCTTCCAAGCTGTCCTACCAGTTCCATGCTGCTCTGCAAAGTCGGCATGGCTGCGCTTTTGGGAGCGACCATCGTCGTCGCCAGTAACAGAGTCAAGCATTTCCACTCGGGGGAGGTTTGCCAATGCAAAGCGGTAGTTCCCCAGGCAGGACGAGACAAGGTCGACAGTGGGCGGCGACGAGCTTTTTCTGAGCAGACAAGTTCAATGCCGGGTTGGTCATGCCGTCCTCAGGGTTGAACGCTTTGAGGGCTACGGGTTTAAAGGTCGCGCGTGCACTTGCCCGAAAAGCTTGGATGTCAGCAGAGAGCACCTTCCTTACCACGGCCGCCCCCACCACGGGCAGCCACGACTCATGAGTCACGACCACATGCTACATACAGGCTACAGCCGTCGCACCGGTCTGCCTTGCCTGGCGCCTTGCCGGCCAGCCATTGAACATTGAAACCATGTCTCCAACAAATGACAAATGCCGCCGGCGGTTCAATGTTCCTCCTACTCGACAGTGGCATCATCACCGACATGCGTCTCGAGCATTCCGTCGCCACAATACAGCGCGTAGGCCTCATAGTTGCTTCCAGCTTGGATGTTGACTCTCCGGCCAAGCACACTGTTCATTTTCATTTGCTAGTGTGCGGCGTGCCGTAGCTCGGGTCAGTTCCGCTAGCCATAACGCACAAGTACAAGTCTCGGAACGCACCCGCACATAATACAACCAGAATGCTACCCCAGCTTTTTTTTCTCAGCATCTTGTCATGTCACTACTTGCAGCATCCTGCTGGACTGGGCTAATCGAGTTGCTGCTTCCCTCTTCGCATACAAGTGACCATGGCTCGGCATCATCTCCAGCGTTTTGCATCCCCGTCGCCCTCAGTCTCCTTGGTCATCCACCTTGCTGGCGTCGCAACTCTGGCCAAGACGTTCCAGTTCTTGTTCGACTGGGACACGCCCTTGGCCGAGTCGCATGGGTGGTACTTCCAGTTCCTGACCATCATTGGTCTGACGCTGTCTCTGTCCGTCTTTACGCTGGCTTCTGTCGCTGATATCACGGGGAGCACGGCATTGTTCGACCTCAAGAATTTCGTATCCATCGTCGCCACACCTCTCGAGGTCCTCGTGTCCACCTTGTACTGGGGCATTTGCGCAATTGACACTGCTCTAATTGTCCCGCCTGGCTATGAACTGCCGATCTGGACAGACATTGGCTTTCACCTGGCCCCTGCTGTGCTTTTGACTCTAGACTTGATCTTGTTCAGTCCGCCGTGGACAATCTCGGGCTACGCCGTCATGTCGTTGAGCACCGCATTCGCCTTTTCGTACTGGTACTGGGTTGAGATGTGCTTTAGCAAAAATGGCTGGTAAGTATCCTCGGACGAGCGGAATTTCAAGGCATCTGTTGTAGAGCTGCTTTACTAACCATTTTTCAAGGTACCCCTACCCCATGTTCGAGCTGCTTACTACTAGCCAGCGCGTTTTGCTCTTTACCGTCTCGGCTGGCCTTGTAACGGCCTTTTCTAGCATTTTGAAATGGGTCTATGGTGTCGTCAATGGCAATGAGCAAGCTCGGAGAGAAGCCCTCAAACCCCTAAAAAGGGTTCAGTAAATGGCGTCCTCTGCGGATCACGAGCAGCAGTGCGACAAGCATCCTGCGGTGAGCAGCTGCGGCTGGCCTCCCCAACGGGTCCAGACGGACAGTGTTGCCATCATGGTTTATTTCCATGCTTGCACTTGGGTTGAATGGACATGTACAATGCGTTCTATACTAGCGACACACATAAAGCTTTATACATGTGTATATAAATATGCCCCTTGACAGGGTCACCATCACAAATTGGACTTGACAGCACCAGCATACGAGGCTTTTCTCAACAAGGACCTACTGATGTCGCCGATAGTCTTTGCCCCCGCAAACCCCATGGTAAGATCGAAATCTGCCAAAATACCGGCGATAACCGCCTCGGCACCGGCAGCACCATCGATACCCAGCCCATACACGACAGGCCGCCCGAGAAACACGCCCCTTGCGCCCAGCGCAATGGCCTTGAGCACATCCGCGCCCGTCCGAATGCCGGAATCGACCATGACGGTAATCCTGTCGCCCACGGCATCTGCAATATCCGGAAGAACGTCCAGGGTCCCCACGGCGCCATCGAGCTGTCGGCCGCCATGCGTGCTGACAATCAAGCCGTCCATGCCATGCTCCACGGCCAACTTGGCGTCCTCGACGCTCAGGATGCCCTTCAAAACAATCGGCCCGTCCCAGTACCTCCTCAGAATCTTGAGGTCCTCCCAGCTGCGGCTCACGCCCGGGAACACCTCGCTGCACCAGAACATGCCGGCCTGGACCCTGCTCTCCTCGGGCGTCTCCCCGCCGGTGCGCTGGGCAAACTTTCGGCGGAAAACGGGGTCGTTGAAGCCCACGTCGTCGCCCTCTCCCACGATGAAGGGAACGGAAGCGGGGTCCAGGTCGTACGGCCGCCACGCGAGCGTCCACGTGTCGAGGGTGACGACGAGGACGTCGAAGCCGCTGGACCTGGCGCGCGCGAGGATGGAGGCGGTGATTTCCTCGTCGAGCGGCCAGTAGAGCTGGAACCACTTGGGGCCCCGGGGGACCTTTGCCACGAGCTCTTCAATGTTTGTGGAGGCCGCGGTGCTGAGGGTGAAGGGCACGCGGAGGTTGGCGCAGGCGGTTGCGGTCCCGACTTCCTTGTCCTCGTGGTACCACGACTGGACGCCTATCGGGGCCATGAGAACGGGCGAGTCTGCGGCAAAGTCGGTCAGCAAGCCCGGTGCCACTGTCCGCGGGTGAAGACGGAGACATCAGGTTTTCGCGGTAAGCGAGCGGGACAGCCGGCATACCGTACTTGTGCCCGAAAAGAGTCGTGCTCAAATCCCTGGGCGTGGTGGGCGCCAAGACCCTGGGCACAATCTTCCACTGGCGAAAGGCCAGTCTATCGGCGTCCATTGTCGAGGCCTCCCCCGCGCCGCCCTTGATGTACTCCCAGCCCTTCTTGGGCATGAGCTTCTTAGCCTGCGCCTCGAGACGGTTCGGATCGGTGGTGACAGTGGGCAGGGTGCCCAGAAGGAGGCCCTTCTCGAGGATGGACCTGAGATAGTGGGCGTAGGGAGCCGGGCCAGGGTCGTCGTCGTTTCCAGACATGTTTCGGCCGTGCTTGCTCTGGGCGCTTGGTTTGGACTATGCTCCGTGCTGGTGAAATCGGCTCGCTCTGCTGCACGGCATGTCAGGGTGCCATGGGCACGGGCGGACGTGAGGTGCGACGACGGCGTTGCGTGATGTATCCATGGCGGGTGGTTGTACGTGTTGAGCCTCGGCCCAAACGGACTTTTGAGGGGCGCCGATCCGGGGGGAGTCTGGAGGTTCAGTGCAGCTGCCTACCCTAGGTACTCCAAGTACTCCGTACGTCAATGACAAACACGATCGAAAACTGCACAGAGTAACGACGCTGCGCACGACGCCAGGTACGCATCGCTTCCATACCCAGGTGGGCGGTACAGTACTTGAGTACTCTGCAGTGTACACTAACAATATTACAACAACATGCGGATCAGTATCCATCAAACCCCGTCGCACATGTGAGGTCCCGCGGCAACAGGTGGTAGGCATCGCAGCCCAAGTAGGCGGCTCTTGTCTCTGGCCCCGGTTCGGGATGTGGTCGTATCAAAGTTAGCCGACGGTAACGGCAACGACATCTCTCGGCGACCACTCCGAGAAGAAAGAAACCGGGCAAATGCAGGATCTGGGACTTGGCCGGGAATTGCGGTCAACATGGGGGCAGTCATCTCGCGTGGGGTGTCTGGTGCCTGCAACTGCCACCCTTGGCCACAAAGTTGACAGATCAACTCGAACAATGATGGAAACCCGGCCGTGGTTGACAGATCGACCCGACCATTGATTCAACCCTGGCCACACTTACAGATCCCATTGGAACCCCTTTGGGACCTGGTTTAAAAGCATGTCCCAGGCTCCTAGTACAAGGTGGTGCATGGCACTTGACGCAACCGCCTTTTATACCCAGCCAATGAGCACATGTTGGACGCATTTGCAACCAGAATTGATGACTTATATTGTGAGAGAGACATACTCAAGGGCGCAAAATATTTCAGGTTCGCGCCAAGCTGGTCATCCAGCCCGTACTTGCTGGTCCCTGGGCAACGGCACTCCTATGTAGTCCTACCACTATGTTATAGTTTCAGATGAGTCAACGCGCAGCCTGTTCCACTCCAATCGTCCAATTCTGCGTACAAGTTGCCTCGATGGCCTTGTTCGCTTCCGAACAGACAAAACGAGAGCTCCGCTGGTCGCTGGTCGTGCTGCCGCCAATGTCGGAGCAGGCGTCGGCCGCATCGGCGGCTCACCTGTCGGACTTTTCCACGTCGTGAGCCTCTTGGAACGTATAGATAGAGCCAAAGACTCCCGCTCGACTGCGCCGACCCCGACAGAGAAGTAGACTCGCTCACAGCCCCCAAGAGGAAAGCGCTCATTTTTGACTCTTCTCAGCCTCGTTGCAAAATCAACCAAGTCTGCCAATATGCGGTTCCTCAAAGCAGTGGCTCTTGCCGCCATCTACTGCCGACAAGTCACTTGTATACCCGCAAGCACCGAGGACCTGGATGCGGAATGCGGCGCCCTAGGGGTCATGAAGCTCGACAAAGACGCGCTCCCCCCAGGCGTGAACCCCGACAACGTCCGCAAGTGCCTCGGCCATCCGGAGAGCCTGGTCCGCGAAAAGGACGAGCAAGGACCAGTCCACCGAGACGTGTTTCGACGTACTTGCTGGAAAGGTAGACAGTATGGATGTAGTTACAACGGCTACTGCTGGAGACTCTGCGGCGGCTTCATCGGCGAGTGGTGCTGGGCAGCGGAGGAACGCGGATATGGCCCGTGGATTCGTTGCTCGGAGGACAACGACTGCGGCGAGGGCCTGCCCTGTGGTCAAGGCGATTGCCTTGCCTGCGGATGTCGGTGCACCTAGACGCCTGACGGCGAGAAACGCTGGCGTCGACGCGGGGAGATGAAGAGGACCGGATGGATATACTCCGTTCGCACGCACTAGATCTCTAGACTCCTCGGAGCGCTGTTGCTGATGAATCGAACGAATGACTCGCCCCAGGGGCCCTTGGGGAGCCACACAGCGGTCTCTCTGGCCTGTCGTCACAGACATACATGACGCGTTGGTGCTGCGATGCTCTGCGCCGTACTGTTTCCTAGACAATCGTCGCGTGCAAGGCCCACGCTCCACAGCCACAGCGGTTCGGAACTTGGCAAGGGACATGCGGGCGGCAAACTCCAGTTCAACCCCACCCGTCGTCGGCATGCTCGACTTCTCGACTCCCTCGCCTCGGCCTCGGCTGCCGTCTGTCCTGCGTTCCCCTCCAGGTCTCACGTCAACCATGGACATCGACGACATCCTCCGCCAAGTCGACCCTGCCAGCCACTCCATCCCCTCCGGCACAAGCGATCTCCAGGCCCTGACGCGACGATGGGTGGCGGAGCGCTCAGCGCCCGAGCTGTTAGGGTAAGTCCGGCAACGTTCCCGCCATGCTCCATGCACTGCTCTGGTCTGAGTATTGTCCCTCTCCTGACACAGAGAGCGACCGAGCGAACGAGCAGTTGGCCGTCCGACGGGCTCTTTGAACGAGTCAACGACCGCATCAAGGCGCAGATTGAAAAAGTCCAAGACATGACGGGCGACATGGATCCCAAGACCAACTTTGCCCTCATTGTCCTGCAGACAGAGCTGGAGCGGTACAAATTCCTCGTGAGAAGCTACCTGCGCGCCCGAATCTCCAAGGTACGTGGTTCCCCTTTCCTCGCCGGGATGTTTCAAATCCAGCCAAAAAAAGCAAAAAAGCAAAAACAAGCCCCATGCTCATCTCGACCCGGACAGATTGACAAACACACGCTCCATTACCTGTCTACCCGAGAGCTCAGAGATAGATTGTCCCCGACCGAACTGGCCTACGCGACGAGACACCAGGCCCTCCTGCACAGTCACTACCTCTCCTCGTTTCTGGGCACTTTCCCACAGCAGCTGCAGAACTTGAACGACACAGCGGGGAACATCAGCATGATTGACGCGCCAGACTTGGATACCGCAGTCTTCATCCGCATGCTGAGGGGGGCCGACGTCCACGGCGTCGGGACGGACGCCGACGTCACGCTGCCCGCAGAGGAGGGCGACGTCTTGATCCTGAGGTGGTCCAGCGCCAGCCCGTTGGTGCAGCACGGGGATGCGGAGCTAGTGTGAGGAGGGGGAAAGTTCATAGAAGAGGAGGACAAGGGGACGAGGAGAAATGGAGCACGCGTGTTCATCTGCACCGGTTTTGAGAGAACCGAACTATTCGAGGCGCATCGTGCGCAGGGTAAAACATTTCAGGGATCGGTGCCGCTGCGGGGAATGCCAGCAAATGACGGCTGTGCGAAACGACACGGAGACGTTGATTCACACGGACGATGAGCTCTGGGCATCTTGACGAATAATTTAATGCCCGGGGTGAAGCATGAACATGGCGGATGGCATGGAGCCCGTCTCTCAGTTTAAACTACGTACAGTGAAGCAAATGGGAAAATGAAAGTTCCAAGGACACACATCAACACGTTAATCGAACAGTTAGCCTAACTCCTAATGTGCCATAATCTAATCTTGCCAGAGTCGTTGGCCACAGCCAAAAGGTCACTGTCCCTTCCAAACGCCACGCAGGTGATTCGACCCAGCGGCGTCTGCTCCGTCGGCCAATTTCGATACACGGTGCAGCTCGGTAGGTGCACCAGCCTCAGGGCGTCCTTCTTCGCGCGACTGCCAAACGCGAGCAGTTGGCCGTCGGGCGAGAAAGCCAAAACGGTAATGGGCGTGACGAGCTGCTCGAGGGTCCTGGTCGGCGTGGGGCGCTCCTTGACGGCGACCTCGCCGTCCCTCTGCGAAGCCACCAGCACGCTTCTGTCGTAGATGTTTGCGATGCCGCTGTTCGACCCGACGGCCACCCAGCGGTCTTCCCCGAGGGCCCGGGGGCCGCCGTGCCCGCCGAGCCCGACGACGACGCCGCCGATGCAGCCCTGGTCGTGCCAGATGCCGACGAAGCCCCTCGACTCCATGCTGTACTCGCCGACTTGGCCGTCCCGGCCGAGGATCGTCATGCCGTCCCCGTTGCTCCACCACGCGAAATCAGCGACGCCGTGTCGGCTGCACAGTCTGGCGGCGGCGATCCACTGCGTGGAAGCCACGCTGACGACGTTGACTACGCCGCCGCCCTTTTTCGTCGACGCGACGATGCCCATGTACCGCCCGCAGGGGCTCAGCTTGAACCGCTCCATGGTCTTGTGCTCCAGGCGATGGCCCGTGACTTGCGTCGTCTTCTGGACCGTGCCGGACGGCAGGTCCCAGTGGTGAAAGTACTTTCTGCGGCCGCCAAAGAAGATCTTGTCGCCCTGCGGGTGGAGGAATTCCGCCCTCCGCACGTCCACCTGCTTCACTTGGACAGACGTGAGCCGCGGGTTCGGCGTCGGCTGCGCGTCGGGCGCGACGTGGTGCAGGAACAGGACCGACGCTGCGCTGGCCGACAGCAGCACGGGGTACTCCGGGTGGAAGGAAAGACACTCGACGGGGGCCCTGTGCTTGTCCGGGATCTCCCTCGTCCTCTGGATGTCCACCACTTCCGGCCGCAGCCTGCGCTTCCTGGCGGCCCCCAAACCAGCTAGCTGTTTGACGTCCCGCAGGAACGCGTCCAGCGGCTGCGCCGACACTTCCGCGTCCGAGTCCGAGTCCGAGTCCCCGACAGAGCCGCTGGACGAGTCTGACGCTGCCGAGGCGCGCCTCCGTCTCTTGCACGCCCGCCCGGCAGTCTGGTTGGCCCACGCCGGCGCAGGGTTCAACCGCAGGAACTGTTGGCGCAGCCGCCTCGAGTACTCTGAGCCGCTGACGAGGTCGTCCGCCGGTGCCAGCCGCAATTTTCGCAACCGGTTTGTGCCGCACAAGGAGACGACCAGTCGCTCGTCGTCGCTGTCCTCCCAGGCGGGTGCATCGCCTGCCTCTGTCTTTGCAGCGGGTGCCTGTGGCAGCCGAGCACCGCCTGTGCCGGTATCCAGGACGAACAGGTCGGCGTCGTCTACGTCTTCCAGGCCGAAGGCATCGGTGGCGCCTATTTCAGCGTCGTCGTCGTCGACATCATCTTCGTCGGTGATGGTTCCATTTTTGAAGAGGTTTTCCCTGAACCCCGTCTTGTTTCCGAGAACTAATCGCTCGAGCTCTTCCTCGCCCGAGTCTTTGTCGAAAATACTGGCTCTCTTGTTGCCGGTGGGCGGAGTGTCAGCTTCGTGGTCCGAGGACAACTCACTTTCGAGGCTCTCTTGGTCGGAGGCCAGATCGTCCTCTGTGTTCGCCATTTTACTGTGATGTGGTCGTTGTCGTGGAATTTTTTTTTTTTTTTTTGGGATGATCAACTCAGCCTCGCGTGGGACCCACGCCTACATGTGGGTCAAGAAAGCTACTCACCAATGGAGGTTTGGTAAAGCCGCGAGGCTGAGATAGCCTGTGGTCCTTGAATGCGAGGTCGTTTCGAAAATATAAAGTGACCGTCTCTGAGAAACACCATGACTGCATCTAGGGATGTATTTTTTGCATAGACAACCATTGATACACAAGCGGTTCGTGGAAGCAACTTGGGCAATGACAGTCCATGATGTACGCCTAGCACATCAACACCACAGAAACTGGCGATGAATGAGTCAAACTTTGATTTATTACCCAGTCAGATAATCGTCTTCAAGACATGGCCTTGACAAGTCCATCCTCCAATGTCATCAACTTTGGGCTAACAGACCGATGACTCTTCAATGTCAACACCGCTCCCTTCTGAGCCACATCAATCAACCTCTCCACACTGCCGCCCAGCGCCAACCCAGAAATAAGAACGCCTAAAAATGTATCTCCAACGCCATTAACTGACACAATCTTCTCAACTTTTTCCACGGGTGGAAAAAGCCGCATGTAAATTCCACCCACAGTGGGGTGGTTCGGTGAGGCCCTCGCCAGTATGTACTCTTCTGCATCTCTATCTCGAAGACGCGGGTCGTCACGGCCGAGGATAGCTGTTAACAGAACGCCATTTGGTCCGAGTTTTGTAAGTAAAGTGGGGACATAAGGTAGCAGATTAACACATTGCACAGGGACTCCTGCGTCCGTCAGCTCCGCGGACGTGAGCCTTACGAATCGGTCTCTTGCTCCCGTCATTCCAAACGCGTCAATGACTTTGAACCAATCTTGGGAGTCGAGGTGTCCATTCTCCTTTGCGGCTTCGTACATGCCTGCCAGCTCATACGTGTTAGGAGATGCCATATCGACACTGGCGTGGGGGAAAATGCCGAGTTTGGGAATGCCTCGCTGGCTCGTGAACAAGCCCTTTGATTTGGCAACGGATACGGGCTCAAATGCGACTTTGGCCCTGTGTTCTTTGCCTATGCGGACCCATTCTCTGACGCTGCTGGCACCCCAGTTGCCATCAACTACGAGCCACTTTGGTGAAGCTGCCTTCACTGTTGACCGCCATTCCTCGGGGAAAGCGTATTGAGTGAATATGCCCATATCGGCCATGGCCACGACAAGGTTCCGGTTCGCATCGTTGACGGCGATATACTGGGCCGTCCGGCTACCTGTGTGCTCGGCGCTTTGAAGCCTCTTGACATGTGTCGTGTCCAGTCCGGACTGCTGTAATGAAGAAATCACTGTTGCGCCCGCGCTATACAACGCAGTCAGAGCTAATCATCTGGAGCGCCGAAGAGGGTTGGACTTACATATCATCGGCGACCATGCTGCAGAGGCTTACTTTCGTCCTGGTACTCGCCAGACGAGCAGCCAAAGCCACATTATGGCCAACACCGCCAATTGACTGAGTGATTGAGGCGGGATTAGAGGTATGCGCTTGTGGTGAGGCATGGCCGGATTTGGAGCCGGTGTAATCACAGCTTAGGTCAATAGCCACGCCGCCAGCAACGAGAACATCAGCCTTGCTTTTGGCAGAATCCTGCGTTATATGAAAGACTCGGCGCGGTGGAGGCATTACTGTCTTTTCGCTATCAAAATTAGAGCTAATGCCTTTCTCATTGTAATATCAACTCTACTTACGAACTTGTCGCCGGCCGAGGCTCGTTCGCGAGCAAACGCGACAACTCGACGGCGATGTTAGTAGCTCGCGTAATATTTGCAGTTGCCAAATTCTTGTTTGCCGAGACAACCTTGCCACCACACAATTCCCGGAGTCTTTGCAGGATATACGGCGTATTGGTATTTCCTGTAAAGCCTTTCTCATTGGCTTCCGTCAGTGCTTGCTCGATTGCTGCATGCATTTCGTCCGAAGGCACGGCAAATTTCTCAGGAATTGGATTGGCAAATAGAAGGCCTGACTCGATTCCGAGTCGTTCTTGTGCCAATATCATTGACGCTGCCTCCTTCTCCGTGTCGACAACCAACGGACTTTTGACGCCACTGTCCCTGGCCCAGAAAGCGGGGAAATCAATTTTGCCGTGTCGACCATCGGCAAATGTTGAAACAACACAGCCCTGAGTCTCTAGATATTCCAAGGTTCGGGGGATATCCAAGAATCCCTTGCAGCCGCTGCTGATAACAGCCACGCGTGTACGTCCCAACTCGGTGAGGTCTGCAGATATATCCATTGAATTTTCACCTCCCCTATGAACACCACCAAGACCGCCAGTACCAAAAACCCTGATACCAGCTAGTCTTGCGAGTAACATCGTTCCCGATATGGTAGTCCCGCCATGCATTCTGCGGCCAGCAATACCCTGCACAAGCTGTCAGTAAAAGGCCACACCATATACACATGTCAATATCAAAATGTATCGCCCCACCATGCCAACGAGATATGAAATATCTCGACGGGAAACTTTAGCGGCGTTTCCACTCTCAACCACGCGAATCATCTCCTTGCCTGACACACCTACTGTCGGCACCCCATCTACAATGGCAACGATTGCCGGTATGCCACCAAGGCTCCGAACAAGGTCTTCATGTTCCAGCGGAAGGTCTTTTGACAGTGCGCCATGTGTGTAAATGGTAGATTCCAGAGCCACCACTGGCTTGTTCTCGGCCACGGCGTCGGCAACTTCATCCGAGACGCGTAGCCAGTCCCCAAGAGCCAGTGAAGTGTTTGATGAAGCGTTGCTCGCAAAGCCTCGTCTACGCATAGAATTCAACGTGCCATTGCGTCCCCGCGAGCGTATCAACTGGATGCGAAAAGTTCCTGAAAAACAAAGACGCCTCGCCTGATTTGGTCCATGTTTGCATAGGATAGCGGTGGGCCGAACAGCCCTCACTGCAGTGCTTGCCATGGTAAGCAGTGAGCGCCGGCTCACGCGGCCGTTGCTGACGGTTGAAGGCAGCGGAAACAGGGGGAGCGTCAGATGACTTTGCCTTGTCGTCGCCGTCGATTTCATTTCCCCTCTAATGCCCGTGTGGGGAGAGGAAAGGGAGAAGCAATTGCAGCTGATAGTCAACTTTGGCCCAGTGACAGCATTTTGGGCATTGAGATGCTCAAAGGGGACCTCAGACTCAGAGCTTGGGAGGAGCCCGGGAAGCTGGCGGGCCGGGTCAATTGATTCAACTTACACAGGCAAATTGAGTTGAAGTGCTCAAACGTCAACCAGAGGCGATCGTCAGCGTGCGGGGCAGAAGAATAAACGACTTACGTAAGGTACTCGAGCAAGGTACCTAGGGACCTAGGACCTAGGCCAGCCACCCAGGGGGCGACCTACCGAGGTGCCTACAGGTAAGTAGGTACGTACTTAAGTAGTTATTCGGAACAGTCGCCTGCCGCCCCTGTTCCTGGTCGGAGATGCAGAGTAACTGGAATGCGGCCTGAGTATGTTTCAAGTCTCGCATCGCTCTCATAGGCTGCACTTGAATGTCCATTTCGGATATGTCCCGGAAACAAATACGCGTGTCAAAAGAGCACGAGATGGTGATATGTAAGTACGTACCTGGAAACTTGGTCTCGCCTTCGCAGCCACAGGCCAAATTTTTAGCCCAGCAGTTCTTGGTGTTACGCGGTGCTGCTCCTTCCCCGCACGAACGGCCGGCAGGGACCTCGGCTCTAGTCAGCTCTCCGCCGGAGAAATTGGATACATGTAGTGTCCAGGCACGAGGCTTTGTTACATATAAAGCATCAAACGCTTAGGACTTGTCATGGCGCGAAGTGCCTGTTTGTTGAGTCGAGGTCCACTTCGCCCGGACTTCTCTACGCCCTTCATATGCAGTTTGCACCCATTTTCCTCGCCTCTTGTCACGCCGAATCGAATTCGCGTCCGCCCACGCGACTCAACCTGATATTGCTTAAGGCTTACCTGCCTTAGGAACCCACGGTGTCCCAGATTCGCAAACATGCCGATGCATCAGGGATTCCTACCCCGCGAGGGTTTCTGCCTCGATGTCGTTCTCAAGCTCTTCCGCAGAACCGCTGGGAACCCGGTCCTTCTCCTCCCCCTCGTCTTGCTCGCAAGATTCTCCAAGAGAGGCCGAGACTGGGCAATCTTGCACCCCAAGACAGCCCGACGCCTGAGAATGCTATTCTGCTTTGCCGTCTTGCGACGTCTGAGCGCTTGGTATTCGGACAAAATGCGCAACAATTGGGTCCACGACCAATATGTCTGGTCCAAGGAAATTGTCCTTGTTACTGGCGGGGCTGCCGGTATTGGAGCAAGCATGGTGCGGCTCTTTGCCGAGAAAGGCATCACTGTTGTTGTGCTGGATGTTCAGCCCATGACTATGAAAACCAGTACGTTTGGCCAAGCGGTACTTGTGATTTCCATGTCATTTTAAAGCGGGAGCTCAGGGTAACATTAAGATACAAAAAGGCTCGAGGGTCCATCACTATCAATGCGACCTCAGATCGCCCGATGCCGTTATTGCGGTGGCAGACCGAATTCGAGCCGAAGTCGGCCATCCTTCTGTGCTAATCCACAACGCCGGCGTTGCCAGAGGTAAGACTATTATGGACGCTGAGCCAGCAGATGTCCGGTTCACCTTTGATGTCAACGCTCTGTGTCACTACTGGGTCACCAAGGCATTCTTGCCCAACATGGTTTCTACAAATCACGGCATCATTGTTACCGTGTCATCGATTGCTGCATGGACTGGTCTTCCCGACTTGGTCGACTATGGTGCTTCGAAGGCTGCCGCTCTGGCTTTCCACGAGGGCCTCTCAGGAGAACTCAAGTTTCGCTACAACGCCTCCAGGGTTCGGACGATTACGGTCCACCCTGGACACACCCAAACCGCGCTGTTTGCAGGTTTCAACCAGGGCAACTCATTCGTCCTTCCCATGTTGCACCCTGACTCTATTGCCGAAGCTGTGGTCAAGCAGGTGCTCACTGGACGCAGTGGGACGGTTGTTCTGCCCGAGACCGGATCGATGCTGTCATGGCTCCGAGCGCTGCCCGACTGGTATGGCATCCGTGTGAGATCCAAGGCTCAGGGGAGTATGAAGAACTGGTCAGGGCGGCAAGTGATACAAGATGTCGGTGCTGTGCATCAACGTGCCGAGAGCCAGCATGACGAGCCGAGCGAGAGCACGGTGCTGGTATCATAGGAACATCAGGTCGAAATGATGAGCTAAGTTTATAGATGAGTTTTGGGTTCTCTCTGGCAAGTTCTGGGTACACGAGCTCGGTGTCGAACGGAGCGGTGTAACAACGTAGGCGACTGCATATTGAAGAGATTAAACTCTTGGAACCAGTGGGAACTTATGTGCGAAGTATCCGTAGCTATATCGGGATTGTACACAGTCTCCTGTGACAGCCGGTGTGGGTTGTTGGTGATGACCTCGTGTGCTGAAAAGGCCCTCTTTCTTTCTGTACCGTCACACACAAGCAGACACATACGCACACGAAATGCCACGTATAAATCCATCCGCGCCTCGAAGAAGGGCCCGAGGTAGTAATCGTGCCCGCCCCACTTTATGTTGTTCGGCTAGCAAAAGCCCTCACCACCAAAGGTGGTGCTCGACAGCAAGGCGGGCCGGACACCAAGGCGGGCCAATTTTCAACCTAGACGCGTTGAACCGCGAAAATGGCTGCAACTAGCGTCCAAACGGCAAAAAGCGATGTCGAATTACGTGTCAACGAGGCTCTTGAGTATATTGAGGAAAATCCAGGTGCAAAAATTCGCTCTGTGGCGAAGAAATTCAACGTGCCTCGTAGCCGGCTTCAACGACGTGCTAACGGCGTTCCTGCTAGGAAAGGCCATCCAGCAAGAAATACAATGCTTTCACGAGAAGAGGAAGTTGCTTTATGTAACTATATCGATCGCCTTGATAAGGCCAACTTCGCTGTACGACCTGAATTCATTACAGATGCTGCAAATTACATCCTAAAAGAGAGGGCATCGTCAACTGCCCCGCCTAGGCAAGTTGGAACGCGATGGACTACACGCTTTATCCAGCGGCATCACTATCATAAAGGTCTTCAAAAAAAGATTGATTCAAGTCGAAAAGCTTCAGAAGATGTGACAAGAGCTCTTTCTTATTACAACAAGCTTAAAGAGGCTATTCAGCAGTACGGAGTCCCTCCTGAAGATATCTGGAATATGGATGAGACTGGCTTTCGTATTGGAATGGGAAAGGACCATTTAGTTGTTACAAAGCGAAGAAGAGCGCATCTATTTTCAATGCCAGAAAACAGGGAGACTGCAACAGCAATAGAATGCATTTCTGCTGGCGGCAAAGTTATTCCTGCCTTTCTTATCCTTACAGGGCAAAAACACATGGAGTCCTGGTATCGGATAAAGGAGCTTGAAGCTAATACCAAAATAACAGTCTCACCAACCGGCTTTACGAATGACGAAATTGCAGTTGCTTGGATACAGCATTTTCAGGAATTTGCAACGCCAATAGGCAGATATCGCCTTTTAATCCTAGATGGCCACGGATCACACCATACAATTGAATTCGTTGAATACTGCGAACAGCACGATATAATTCCCTTTGCGTTGCCCTCGCACCTTACACACATCCTTCAACCTCTTGATGTTGTGATATTTCAGCCACTAAAGCATTATCATGCAAAGGCGTTGGATATCATTGTTCGAGACGGCGTGTTGAATATTACAAAGATTGAATTCCTTGCTTGCATTCAAGCTGTACGAAAACAAGCTTTCAAGACTACTACTATTCTCACAGCCTTTCGAAAAACTGGAATTTCACCCTACAATCCACAGCCTGTAATTGAGGCCCTTGAACAACGAGCTGCAATTTACACATCAACACCATCGCCGCCGCCGTTATATCACAACAACTCTTCCGACTTTGAGACGCCCACAACACTCAGGCAGATAAATAAGGTTGCCAACAAGCTAGGGGAGGTATTAGAAGACGATACATCCCTTGAGCCTGAGTTTGCACGCAATATCAGTCGTTTTATCCGCGGCTCTCTTATTGCAGCTACTGAGCTTATACAGACGAAGAGAGACCTTGGGCGTACAAAAGCAGCTCAATTACTATCACAGCGACGTAGAGCTCATAAATATCACGCCCTACAAACTGGTGGCGTTCTTTCTGTGGATAACGCGCGTGAGATGGTCAAGCAAAACGAGAATGACCGCCTTGATACTGCTCGTCGGGTTGTTGAGGCAGCCGACAAAAGGCGCCACAACCACGCCAAGAGGACGTTTTTTGAAGCAGCTAAAAAGGCACGTAAATGGCGTCTGGATTCTGTACTAGATCTACTAGAAATTTGGGACGAGAAGGGTGTACATTATAGGCGAAGAGGTTAATAGCGTTATTAGGTTGAAAATTGGCCCGCCTTGGTGTCCGGCCCGCCTTGCTGTCGAGCACCACCTTTGGTGGTGAGGGCTTTTGCTAGCCGAACCACATAAAGTGGGGCGGGCACGATTATAGCAGCACTTGCTGGTTTTCCGTAATTTTGGGCTGATGTTTGGTCTGGCTTTCCCCGGGCATATCGGCCATGCGTTTGGCTTAGCGTAACATTGACGCCCGGTGCACGCATGTGGACGAAATCCAGGGCGGTGCGGTGGTCTGATGCGTCATGCAGTTGCAACGTCTTCGTCCGGCTTGTCCCGTAGGAACCCCTTGCCGTCGCATAACAGTATCAAGGCTGACGACTGCTCTGCATGGCCTGGGTGAGTCTGGTTGTTGGTGTCCGCACAAACGATTGATAGTTCAGCCTGGTACTCCGTGCAAGAGTAACAAGACAGGGCTGCGGTTCCCGTTCCTGCTGTCAACGGTGAACGCGGGCATGGATTGCAAGGTCTGAACAGTGACACGCAAGGATGTCGAGAGATACGTTGCACGGACGCTGCGAGTAGTAGTATTGCGCGATGCAAAATCAAAGGGACTTGGTTGCTCATATCGTCAGGGATCATTTTGTGGACCAATCGTTCTAGTTGCTTACTAGAAGGAAGTTTGTCGCATGATGTAGCTTGGGGGAAGCGCAATTTTCGCAGAGCCAAGATGTATGTATGTACTATGTATGCGAAAGAAGAGAGATTGGAAGATCGATTACGGATAGATATGGCGGGGCGGGACGGCACTTTGGGCACTTTCGGCTTTGAGCTCTTCGTGATATAATAAACAGGAGAGCTTTCCTCTCAGGAGAACGACGGGAAGGGGAACATTTCGCGAGAAAGTAACTACTTAAGTAAGGCACCTAAGTTAGGTAGGTCTCTAGGCAGGGTCCGGCGTGCTAGCAGCCGTATGTACCCAGCCAGGTTCCAAGTACTTAAGTAGATACTTGCTCATAATTAGGTGTCTGCCGCGGCGCGCGGAGGGTCAGTCTGAGGCACGTCCTGGGAATGCCCCTCCGCGGATAGGAGAGTGAGTACGGAGTACTCCGTACCTACTCAAGTACCTACCTAACTTATCAGTAGGTAAGTACTTAAGTACCTACGTGCCAAGGTCGGTGCCCGAGGGCATGCCTCCCTGGGTGAGCACATAACACGATTGATAAAGCTGCCATCTGAAACCAGGCAGGCCGATGGTTCGACATGGCTCAATGGCTGCTTTCGATGGTGCATCGATGGCACCACTTTGCAACCTCAAGACCTCGAGATGACCAAGAACCAATCAGAAAAAGTGTTTCTACAAGCTTCTGCCAAATGGAGAAGGAGCGGATCAACAGCTGGACAACCAAACACATACAAACTGTACTGTCTCCTTTTCCAAATACAAATATTGAGTTAGTCCTCATCTATATAAATACCGTACTTTAGAAATCACACACTCGTTCCTTTCTTGCTATCTTACTAGGCGCAGTTACAGAAAATCAGAAGGCATCGGCCATTATGGAGCAGCAAAAGACAAACAAGCACCAACCTGGCAGGCGACATGGAGCTTGGTAACAATTTGGAAGTGGCACAGTCGACGACTGCCTGGGTTGATGGATGGGTTGATGCACAAGCTTGAGCAGGGCAAGTGGCACCCGATGAGCACTTGCCACTCTGCCAGTACAACCACTCAAGTTGGGCGAAGTTGAACTCTCTGGCGCTAGGGGCGGGAGCCCCACCGATTTGGTCAGCCAGATCAGCCCATTTTTGCTTCACAAATTCCTAGATCTCACTCAGCACGCCATCAAGTCATGCCACTTTTTGCTGCAACGTTGAGACCAGGTGGCAGATGATGCCCGCTGCCTCCGCTCCTCGTCAGCCTCAGCGCTCTGGCCCACGATGCCTCTGGCGTCTCTCACTGACGCCTGGACATTGCCGCAGTTCCCCTCGTTCCACGACTCGAATTGTGCCGGGGCTGTCGGATGAGCCGTCGACCGGCTTATCATGTCTTCCCATGGTCATAGACACCAATTGACCTTGTGACGGCCTGTCGAGACGGCCATGGGCAGCCGTGGTACTGGTTCTGAGTGGAACAAGAAGAACAAAGGCAAAAGCCAGGTCATCCTCATTTCCGTACCGAGTATGGCCATTGACAGTGCGTCATCAAGCTTCCAGCCGTGTGGAATCCGACCGTTGCCACACTCTGTCAATTGAAATACTTTTACTCTGACGCCGCCCTGCCACGACTGCCCATCCCCGGTCGCGATTCTCTTTCTTTTCCTGGGACGACTGCCAAGACCACGGATCCAAGTCTATCGTACCACCCATATTCTGCATTGTCTCCGAACCATCTGCCCCGTGCTGCTGTATGACGAGGTACATAACTAGTACTAGTAGTACTACTCGGAGCCATCGTTCGCTTCCCAGCATCAGTTGGCCCACCCAACCTTTGTGGGTTTTGGGCTGTGAGTCGTACGTATTCGCCCGCTCTTCGACATCACATCTCTGATACGTGGTGGCGTTGATAGAGGGCTAAACTCCGCAATAGTTGTGGCAAGTGCCTTGACGTTGGGGGGTGAGCAGACGTTCATTTTCCTCCCAACATCCCGAGAAGCTCAGGGAAACCGAATTCCGTGCCGTCTAGTAGACGACGGACCCCACAGACACGCCTGCATCTCGGATTCAACACCCCCTTCAACAAAGGCAAGGCTAGGAATTCCGCTTATAATTTGGACCTCTTGTTATAAGTCAAGTTCAATACAAACTACCACAGAGGCATGGCACCGGGAATTTTATCCGGTCCACAGCGTTCAGCGGATGCGACTCCAACCACAGATATGGACATTGAAACTGCGGTAGAACGGCAGATGGAGCCGGTAGATGAGGATGCTGAAGACACCACCATCGCCGATCTCTCCCAGCTACGAAGCTTTCCCGAGCCGCCGTCCGATTGTCAAGTGTGCGTTGTCGGCGCAGGCCCGGCCGGCCTCATGATGGCCGCGACTCTGACGAGATACGGAATCCATACCGAAGTGGTTGATGATAGAGCCGACCAGACACCAGTGGGAAGGTAAGGAGTGGATGGCCCGTCTTGCTGGTGATTTGAAGGTGGCAATGGTTTCCGAATGAAGAAGCTCACGTATTGGTTGCGCAGGGCGGACGGTTTACAACCCAAAACAATTGAGACCTTCAGACAGCTACGACTAGCCGACCCTTTACTCCAACGAGGAGTCCGTGTCTATGATATTTCATTCTGGAGGGCCACGCAAGATAAGCCGCTTCACAGACTGGGCCGAGAAATTCACTATCCACCCGTGATTGATGTCCTCGATCCGTACATTTTGCTGGTTCACCAAGGCATCGTAGAGAGCTTGTTTATTGAGGATTTAGCCAAGAGAGGCAAAAAGGTGCGCAGAAACGCCGCCTTTGAGTCTTATGAGAGCATCGCCAAGACTGGTCTGTTGCAAATAAACTGCCGCACGAATGTAACACAGGATAAGAAGACTTATACTGCGCAATATTTGGTTGGATGTATGTTTCCTCTCAAATGGACTTATAGGTGTCACCCTCTTGCTGACAAAAGTGCAGGCGATGGAGCGCACTCCAAGGTCCGCAAGAGTATTCCCGATGTAGCAGCCATCGGAATGTCCCAGGCCTCTATTTGGGGAGTCTTGGATGGAGAACTCATTACAGACTTCCCAGACATCTGGTCAAAGACACTAGTATACTCGGAGGAGCACGGTTCGATTCTCATCATTCCCCGTGAGAGAAACATGACTAGGTTCTACATCGAGCTCAAGACATGGGCCACCGAGGATCGACGGCAGCTCGGCCAGCAATTCGTCATGGAGCAAGCCAGAAAGATCATGGCTCCATTCTCCGTGGATTGGAAGTATATTGAGTGGTTTGGACGGTATCAAGTCGGCCAGCGTGTAGCCAGCCGGTTCTCAGACGCTCACACCAGGGTATTCCTCGCCGGTGATGCCAGCCACACACACTCACCCAAGGCTGCCCAGGGAATGAACACATCCATGCATGATTCTTGGAATCTTTCGTGGAAGCTCAACCTGGCCGTCCGTGGACTCGCAAAGCCAGTCTTGCTCGAAAGCTATGAAGAAGAGAGACGCAAGATTGCGCTTGACCTGGTCAACTTTGACTACGAACACGCCAACCAAATTGCCGGAGGCGATGCGGTTGCACTGGCCAAGAACTTCAAAGCAAACGTACGCTTCATCTCTGGAATCGGCGTCGAATATTCCAACAGCCCCATAAACCGCATCGAGACGGACAGCTTTGCCATCCCTACTGGCGATGCCCGGCCGGGATGCCTCTTGCCTCCGGCGAGGGTCACGCGATACATTGACTCGAACCCCGTGGATATCCAGCTGGACATACCCATGTTGGGCCAGTTCAGAATCTTCCTCCTCACGTGGGACGTCCAGCAGGCTGCTCCTTTCCTGTCAACGTTTTGCCAAGCCATTGCTGAGAATGCGTCGTTTGTAAGCCAACTCTCGGCCGCGGCGAGCAAATCCTACGCCGAGCAACCCAGAAAGGGCTCCGCAGAGGACATCTACATCCGCCCGGAGCGCTACACGGCCGTCAGCCACCTCTTTACTTTTGCACTAATCAGTACGTTTCCCAGTCCACAAAGCACCGCCCTGCTGCATGTCACACACCGTCTTGCCAGGATCGCTAACGGAGCAATAGCAACCATGCCCAAGGCGGAGATTGAGATTTCCGACCTCCCGGCCATGTTGCAGGACAGCCGCTGGACGTTCTACCTCGACAACATCCCCGAGCAAGATACCCGCGGCGCCCTATGCACAAACAAGTGGCTGGGCAACCTCGAGCCGGGCGAGGTGGCCATTGTCAACGTCCGTCCAGACGGGTACGTCGGCTGCCTCGGACGATGGGACACGAGCAACGACGACTCGGGCGAGAGGGCGGCCGAGTGGTTGGACGACTATTTTGGCGGATTTTTGCAGGTCCCCCCAGCCGTGCAGAGCTAGGGGATATGATATGCCCGACTCATGGGACATTGGGCGGATCAACAGGAATTGAAATGCAGAGCGGGGGAGTTTGCCCTGTCCTCGCGTCTTTCACGTACGTACGCACAGTGAGGCAATAATATTCCCGCGAGTGTAGCGGGGCGTATGACATGGCAAGGCGTTATTATCTAGGCGATCATACACACACACACAAACACACATGTACATACATACATATGCATACAAGAATCCTCGCTACCGGATATACAAAAGGATCCCATCCACGCCGTCCCAGGGGGTCGTGTATGCACGTCGACAAAAAACTCCATCGCCCCGAATCACAGTCACGCTCACGGCAAGAGGTTCAAGGCCAAGGCATAGACCGTCGCGTCCGCGGCCTTGTCCTTGTGTGCCATCGCGCCGCAACTCATTCATTCACAAACAAGAACAACATCTGTGGGAACAAACTTCTTCCTTGACATGGTTTGCATTGCTCAGGCCGTGCCGGAAACCGTACTGATACTACGGAGTACATGGACTCACAATTACCAACAAATCTTGAACCGAGAATCAATGCCCGTCTTCAATCTCTCGTCACCCCAACTTGAGTCCCGTCTCCCTCTCCGCGCCTCTCCCTCTGTCCTCCTCACCCCACACGCCTTCATTGCAGGGTAGGCATGTGAACCGAAGCCTTCTTGGCAACGGCATCTTGGCTCTGCCACAGCGCGGTGACAGTCTTCAGCTGCGTGTAAAAGTTGATGCCCGGCTTCCCGTAGAAAGTGCTAGCGCCGCCGCCCGCAACGCTCTTCTTGTTGCCAGTGAAGGAGAACATGGGCAGCGGCACAGGGATGGGCACGTTGATGCCGACCTGGCCCGACTCGATGTTTCGGCGGAACGTCTCGGCAGTGGGACCAGAGCGGGTGAAGATGGCCACGCCGTTGCCGTACTCGTTCTTGTTGATCAGGTCAATGGCGTCGTCAATGGTGTCGACGTTGAGGCAAACCAGCACAGGGCCAAAGATCTCCTCCTTGTAACACGTCATGTCAGGGGTGACGTTGGTGATGATGGTGGGACCGACAAAGTTTCCCTTGGGGTACTTAGCGTTCTTGTAGTTGCGTCCGTCGAGGAGGATCGTCGCACCCTCCTCCTCGGCACTGTCAATGAGGCTCAGGATGCGCGCCTTGCTCTGGGGAGAAATGACGGGTCCAAGGTCAGCACCCGCCTCGAAGCCCCCGTCAATCTTGAGCTTCTTGGCGCTCTCGGCAATGTCAGCCAGCCACTCCTTGGTCTCGCCGACCATGACCAGGGTGCTGAGGGCCATGCAGCGCTGTCCGGCAGCACCAAAGGCAGCCCCGACCACGCTGTTGACAAAGTGGTTCTTGTTGCAGTCGGGCAGGACAGCGGCGTGGTTCTTGGCGCCCAGATTGGCCTGGACACGCTTGCCATTGGCGGAGCCACGGCTGAAGATGTACTCTCCGGCCTTGTTGCCACCAACAAAGCTGACGGCCTTGATGGCGGGCTCGTCGAGGATAAAGTCGACAGTCTTGTGGGCGCCGTGGATGATGTTGACGACACCGTCGGGGAAGCCGGCCTTCTGGACCAGCTCGGCGAGAATCATGGCAGCGCCGGGGTCACGCTCGGAGGGCTTGACGATGATTGTGTTCCCAGTAATGGTGGCGATGGGGATGCACCACAGAGGGATCATGGCCGGAAAGTCTACGGAGAAGGGTCAGCAGGCAGATCCACAGCGCATGGCAAAGTCAAGGCGCTCCGCAGCAACGTACTAAAGGGGCAAATGGCAGCCACAACACCCAACGGCTCGCGATAGGTGCGAGTCTCCATATCCTTTGACACCTCGAGAACTTCGCCCTTTAGCAACTCGGGCGCGGCTATGGCCGCCTCGGCGACTTGCAGGCCACGCAAGACATCACCCTTGGCATCGGCAAAGGTCTTGCCCTGCTCCAGCGTGATGCTGGCAGCCAGTCTGTCCCAGTTGTCGCGAATCAGTTGTACAAATCGGAACATGATTTGCTGGCGAGCCAGGACGGTCGTATTCTTCCACGACTCGAAAGCTTTCTCGGCGCTGGCCACGGCAGCCTGCATCTCCTCGACCGTCATCTGTGGGACGCGAGTGACGAGATTGTTGGTGGCCGGGTCAGGCAGGTCAATGAACTTGTCCGTCGTCGAGCTCACAAACTTGTTGTCGATGAAGTAGGGCGTGTTCTCGACCGTCTGGATCTTCTCATGCGTGTTGGGGTAGCTGGTGGCCGTGGAGGCCAGAGCTGCCACGGGCTTGAGCTGCTGCGCAGTGGCGTGTATTCTTCTCGCCGCCGTGGCCGAGGAAGAGGAGCCGTTGGAAGCCATGCGGGAGGTGGCGATGGTAGGTCGGGCTACGGCGGAGGTCGCGGGAGGGCGGGCGGTGCTGGCAGAGACGCTTCGTGAGATGAGCCGCCGCATAACTGATGAAGCGAGGGGGGCTTGTAGAAATGATTGAGAGAACCAAGATACCGCTGGCGATGGCGGTGACGAGCAGGCGCAGGGGAAGAAGGGAAGGAGAAAGGGCAAAAACCTACGGTGTTGGCTACGGAAGTGCCCACGCCGCCTCCGTCTCGGTCAGATGGTTTGCCGCCTTCTTATTCAGACAACGGCTACGAGCGGATGCAGATGTGGGGAGGGGGGCCTCGAGCTCTTATGCCGGGGGCGGGAGGGCCTGTCAGCAATCGGATGGGCCAAACCCCAGCCTCAGTCCTCAGTCGTGCTCCGTACTCCGTCACGATGCTGGGACGTGCACGGCCGCTCTCCGTGGACTCGGGCCGCCCAATTCCGTCATTGCCGACCATTCCCGCCGCCTCCGACTCGCGGAGCCAGGACATCTGGCAATATTGCCTACGCCCGCACTCGCCATTACATCCACCACCGCACCGACGCGGGCCACAAACCTACCCCGTACTGATAATCCGCACATGTCCTGCCCAACTGGCTCGTTCGCGCTCCACGCCCCACAGGAACGTCAAACATGTAATCAGATTCATGTCGCCTATCTGTTGTACATGGCACGGTCCGGTCCTCCTGTCCCCCCAAGGCCGGGGACGCCCCCCATCTAAATGCACGCACGCCATGTCCTACAGACCGCTATGGCTCCCAGCTTCCGTGGGAACATCATGGGGGGCAGATGTAGACCGAATTCACAACCAAAGTATGTCAGAGCAAAACAACGACTAGCAATTAGCAAAGCTTCCTCCTCGAACCCGTTTTTTTTGGTTTGTGCTCCAAAACCTGTCGCATACTGTTGTCGAGATCGCTGATCCATCAAAGACGCCCGAGTTCTAGCTTTGTCATGTCCAGAATTCAGTCACCCCTTTTGCCACTCCATCATCCCATATCCTTTCCTTCACGCCACTTTTGGCAATCAGCCTACGACTGGCTGCGGGTGGCTCGCTTGCTGGCCTCACCCTTGGCCTTCTCGGCACCAGTGGCAACAGCCTGGGCGACCTTGTCCTTGGCCGCTTTAGCTTCGTCCTTGGCAGCCGCGGCAGCGTCCTTGACAGCGGGAGAGGATCCGCCGAGGCCAATCAGTCCAACGACAATGGCAACAAGAGTAACGACAATGGCGCCAATGCCGCCGGCAACCTCGGGAACAAATTTGATAGCCTGAACAGGATCGTCCTTGGCGATAGTGAGGAAGAGATCCAGCTTCTCCTTGACGTAGTGGACAGGGTGGTCGAGGAACTTGAGATCAGAAGGAGACTTGGGCTTATCATCCTCCTTGGGCTTGTCAGCTTCAGCCAGGGCCTTCTCAACGGGGTGCTTGAGTTTGAAGGACTCAGCAGCGAGCTTCTCCGCATCCTCAATGGAGTGGCCAATGTAGATGTTGTCGAAGAGGATATCGTTCTGCATGGTCCAAATCTCGAAACCAATCTACAGTCGGGTTTAGTATACGCTCTCCTGGCATGTCTCATGCGGATTAAAAATTACTCACAGCGCCCATGGGTTCAAAGTTGGAGGGGGTCTTGTCCTCGAAGAAGGCAGGGTTCTTGATCTTGCGAGGAGCCCAAGGTCCCTTGTAGGCAGGGTTGTCGATGAAGGGGGCAGTCCACTTGCCCTTATAGTCGGGGTTGTTCTTCATGGGCTTGGTCCAGGGACCACAACCAGAGACGTCGGCACACTTGGGGTTAGGGACAGTGGGAGCGATCCAATCGCCATCCTCTTCTTCGTCCCAATCCTCTGGTTTCTGGGCGTCAGGGTCGGGGACGGTGGTGGGCTCGTTCTCTAGCCAGTCCTCGGGAATGGTGGCCTCCTCGTCAACAATCTCATAGGGAGCGTCCTCGTCCCAATCCTCGGGCTTCTTGGCTTTAGGGTCAGGAATACGGGCCTCGTCAACCCAGGTCTCAGGTTTGGAGTCCTTGGGATCGTCGATCTCGGCCGGGGGGTTAACGGCGGGAGTGAAGTCCTCGAGGAGAGAGCCGGACTTGACCTCTTCACCATTCTGTTTGATGGCATAGGTGTTGTTGGGGTGTACGATCAGGGTGTATAGCTCCGTGGTCTTGACGATCTTGGCGGTGGGAGGAGATGACAGGTGCTTCTCCTCGTACTCGCCAGTCTTGGGATTCTTGTGGTTGAAGATGAAGTGGACCTTGTTGGTGTGGCCGCACTTGTCAGGACCAAACATGATGACATAGGGAGTCGTGTTGCTGAATTCCTCCTGGTGGAGGGCTTTGTTGTCGCGGAGCAACTTCATGTACGCCCCACCGCACTCGAGGCCTTTTTGAAGCTTAACTTCGTACTGAACGACAAGAGTCTTGCCCTTGTTGTCAATTTTCTTGGGGAACTTGGCAGAGATGGCGTGGTGGGCAGCAGGATTCTTGACGACGAGGCCTTTATCGCCAGCCATGCCCTTGTACTGGTAGGGCTCCTCGACAGCCCACTCGCCGACAAAGGCCCATTCTTCATCTTTGCCGGAACCCTTCATGTCCTTCTTTGCGTGAGAAGGTTTCCATCGCTTCTCCCAGTCATCGGTGAACTGCTCAATAAAGGGAGCTTTCAAGGTGGTGGGCTAGTTATCCAGAGTGTTAGCTTCTGAATGCTCCAATGAGCTGGCTGCTGGCCTTGTTGGACAAGTGTCCACATGAGCTGCGAGGATAGAGGTGGGCGGCCCCTGATCCCGGGGACAAGAGAGGGCGATTGTGGAGGGTAAAATTTGAGATGGTTTCTCATTGCTTACAGTAAAGGTGGGAAGCTCAGGAACGACGGGAGACTCCTCGGCCTTGTCGGCGTGAGCAGTGCCAGCCAGAATGGCCGCGGAAACAGCCGCAGCACCAACGTTGAACTTCATGGTATCAAAGGAACTCGAGCGCTGGATTTTCACTTTCTTCTTGGAACGACGGGGGACGGCGAGGGTGCGACTAGAGCGCCCAGCGCAAGTCGATTGATTCAGAGTAGAATAACGCAGAGAGAGGCTCTAGAGGGTGCCAATTGGTGCTGGTGCTAGTGCTCGAGGAAGGGGCAAGAATTCCACGAGTGAAGCTGAAGAATCAGAAGGAAGGTGAGCAGGATGAAGTTCGAGCGGCTCGTGAGAAGTTTTATGGAACACCGGAGCAGCGCTGACAGGGTCCACTGCGGTTAAGGACACGTCGACTGGTAGAGGCTGCTCGCCTACCTTTTTGGGGGGAGGCAGGCGGGGGGACTTGGCTAGCACAGCATGGAGCTCCCAAGCGCCTGTGTGGCTGCGCCGCGGTTCACAATGTGTGGGGGCACCAGCACTACATTGTTTGCGCCAAATCGGTGCAGGCACGATCGATCCAGTGCTGCATGACTAATCGCGCCTCGCCTTGCGGAATAGTAGTAAATCCATATCCGTGCAGTTTTTTGTTCCATGCAGCAAGGGGTGATGGCGATGACTGAAGATGACGGCACGCCTCGAGCAACAGGCTCTCTCACAAACACGCAAACACCAATCGGGACGTACTTGGCAGGTGTGTAAATTGTCAATCCGACTGACCTAGTCAAACTGTCATTGAACTAGATTCGACAACTCGAACTCAAGCCTACGACGCGCCAACTAATGTTTATCAATAAAGTTTATAGTTTATTGAGAACTAGCTTCATAAGTTTGACTAGTGTTAACTGCAAACGTAATGGGGAGAGAGAAGAAGAGATGTTTCTTTACTACTTCTTCCCAACATATAACTATATACTCTTCTTCTCAAATGTGCATTTAACACAAGACCTAGCGTAAACCTGAGCCTATGGGCTCGAGTCCATAACATAAACCTCTTATTGCTAGGGCAATATAGGTGAGATGGTACAGCGGGGCGGGGCAGTTCCCAATATCAATGTGAGACATTAGCACGGATAGATGGAGTTAGTAACGCGGTTAGCACAGCTCCCCAGGCAGTAGAGAGGACAGAGGACGCGTAGCGCCATAACAGTTGGTCTTTCTGGCAACACAGGGAGAACAAATACGCCGGCACACGGTGCAGCCAGCCACCGCAATCCAGATGCAAGCTGACACGTGTCCGTAAACTTGGCGTCTCTTAATAGTCCCCTCTAGCTGTACTCCATCCATGGCCAAATTCTACCAAGAAATCGACCGCAACCCAACCTAGCCATTACTACATCACATATTGCCTCGGTTTCTGGCCCGTGCACGTAGCCGTCACCTCAAGAGTGTAAAAAAATGTAGTAACTGTATCCCGATTACATTCTTGTCATTTTGATATCCAGAGTATGGGTATTACACATCCAATCCTTGCTACACCTTCCACCTAGCTGCGTACAATACAAGTACAGGTGCTCCTGTGTCGTCGGCCTAAATATCGTCTTCCCACCAATCTCGGGCGCAGAGACAATTAATCAGAAATGGCGTTTACAGAGCAAGAAGGGCGGCAAGGGCACCGATAAAGGCGCCAGAAGAGCCAACGGCAAAGCCGGAAGCGGCGCCTGACTTGGTGGCAGAAGCCCCGGTGCCAGTCTGGGTACCGGAGCCGGAGCCGGAGCCGGTAGTCTGGGAGCCAGAGCCAGAGCGGGCGCCAGAGCCCGAAGGAGAAGCACTCGTAGAAGCGGCGGAACCAGATCCGGATTCCACTTCGGTAGCAGTGCCCGAGGAGGAAGCTCCAGTGGCAGTGGCAGTGGCCTCAGAGCCAGCGCCGACGCCGGCGCCGGAGCCGGACTCGGAGGCAGGGGCAGAGGCAGGGGCGGACCCAGAGGCGCCGTTGCCGCTGCCGTTACCGTTACCGCTGCCGCTGCCGCTGGCGCCGGTGGCTTGGGGAGTTCCCTGACCGGAGACGAGGTAGTTATCATGGACACATTGCGCCAGGCAGTCTCCGTATTTCTTCGTGTCTTCCGGGCTGCCGGTACCCTGGGAGCACTTGGCGGAACACTCGTTATTGTTCGCAATGTTTTGACTGTTAGGTGACGGAACCTGTCGTAATGTCTGTCAGTAAATTGTCTGGATAGACAGGCGACAATCAGCAGAGGCAGGGGGGGAGGGGGCCTGGCAGAATTGTGGCCGAGGCAGAGGTCTCCCAGAGCGCAAACCACCCGAGTACCCAGGTCGGAAGTCAACAAACACGGACTGCGGTGCCAACTTACACCATCGCAGTGAGCCAGGCAGTTCACATCACCCGGGTTGCAGTTTTTGATGCAGGCCATTTTGGATGATTCAGCAGGACTGGCGGTACTGGTGGAAGACTGAGCGACAGCAACAGCGGCGACAACGCCAGAGGCGATCAAGGTGGTGAAACGCATGTTGACGACTTGACGTGACGAAAGCGTAGAGCTTGAGCTGGTATCACGGCTGCAAAGCTAGTGACTCAAAAGGCAATGCTGAGGAGCAAAAAGTTGTCGACGGAAACGAGAGACTTGGAAGGACGACTGGACGGGTGGAAGGGAAGAGATCGAAGAGGGAGGAAGTCGGGGGCGATCAAGGCAGGGGAAGGCGAGGTCCTTTATTTGCCGGGGCAGGGCCGTTAACCAGGTCGATGGGCAAGCTTGCGGGTCTCGCAGGCATAAACCAGAAACATATTCCCCAATGTTGACCCAGGTGCCCTTTTCTGTTTGTGTCTAGTGCCTCGCCCTGCCTGGATCCCCAGCAGGCGGCGAACGGGCGGACATTGGGTGCATGCCGACAGGAACCGCGAGCAGACAGTACACTAGCACGTGTGCAGGGGTCAAGGTCCAGGACTCAGGAGAGGAGCACCCATCAGCCGCTCGCCGCTCGCCGCTAGCTGCCCGTCGCCCGTTGCCGCCACCGTTGCCGTTGCCGTTGCCACCACATGCAGTCCAATCAAAAGCACCAGAAGACCAATGTTGCCTGGCCGCCGGTCCGTTTGTTACGCCACTGGCAAGAGACTCGCGGACCGCCCGCGAAACACCCTCGAGGCCGGCATCGTTTGTCGCGTCGGAGCATGGATGCTGCTGGGCCGCTGTTGGAAGGGAATTTGGCCCTCTTGTCCCCGATGGTGCTCGACGACATCAATTGACCGTGGGCTGGCCTTGGAAGCTGTCTCGACACTTGGGCGATTGGCAATTGGCATTGTCTTGATGGACTCTGATGGAAATTGCACCCATCGTCATGTTTCACCACGCAACCTTCTGGCGGCAGTCAACCAAGCAACCTTGATGATCCAAGCAACCAAGCAGGGCAGCGTCGCCCGCACTCGTTCAGGAAGTGGAGCCAGCCGATTGTGGCCCGTCTCACTTTCAGACACTCCCCAGCATTGCCATGATTCAGTCGGGCACACAAGATCCTACCAGGAATTCTGGCCATCCCCGCCAGGGTTGTTGTTCATTGCAGATTGGTCAAGGACTGAATACGTAGCATGATTCATCCCCCCGGGAACAGCGTCAGGACCATTCCGAACCGTTTCTGAAGCGTGTGCGCACTCCGTCATATCACAACAAAAAGGGGGAGGGGGGGTGTGCGTGTTGACATGGTTGCCGTCGGGATTAGGTAATCTCCTCGCGTCCGGAGATTGAGCCCTGTCCCAGATGGCCATTCGCGGGGCGGCTGGGGGAGAGGGAAACAGGCTCTTCTTCACTTGGCCTCCTGCAGCCCTGGCCTAATGTGTCGATTGCGGACTAGTCGAGGTGGCACAAAGCATAATCGGCATGAATACGAGATTGCGGACATTTGGCTCGTGTTTTCCGGCATCTTGGTGGTCGGTTGTGCGTTGCGTTGCGTTGCCCAACGTTTCCTCATCCATCTGCGGACCGCTTGCTCGGGTTGTTCAGGGCCTCTCAACACGAAGAACTCTGTACTACTCTGTACTTTCAACGTTGGCACCTGTGTCCGCGACGTTGCCTTGAGAGGAAAGCACACGCAGGAAACAAATACCACAGGCATCAACTATTTCGGTTCTCCGTACGGAGTGGTGCTTGTTTCAACCCGTCGCGTCTGGAGCGCGTCACGGCTCAAGCGCCGCAAGATAATTGGCTGCTGCTTCCAGTGAGTATCCAGATACATACAGAGTACTTACTTGAGTACTTCTTGACAATGCTGGTACTTACTTCTCCAACCCAGCACAACAGCTCCAGCAGCAAGGATACCAACAGACAAAGGTGCCGACGAGCAATTGTCGCGAATCCACGCAGTGGGTATGGAGCAGGCAGTCGGCCGTTCACGCCGTCGCCGCGCCCGCCATGTGCTGAGGTTTGACCGTGATGAATCCTCCCAATTGAACAGATGACAGTTCGTGACGTGACTGTCGACCGTTCGGTCCCGGTTGCATGGCCTTTGAATTGGCAGTCCACACGCACGGCGGCGGACCATTATGCGTATCGCAAGCCTTAATACGTAGTTGAACAGGCATAACCGCCATATGACTCATGTCTGCGTTGCGAGGTGCGCCTCGGACCAGCCCTATAGCCTGTAGCAAGTTACCCCGTGCTGCTCCATACTCCAAGATTGGAGAAGCAGCAGCACCCGGCAGCCCCACCATCAACTGCGATTCGCCTCATCCTCGAAACCTCGAAACTTGGCCATGGACGGGCTGCCTCCCTGAAGCCTCTTTCTCCCTCATACCACCGCCCGCCCGCCTCCTCGCCCAAGCCGCCGTCATGTCGGCTCCGCACGCCGACGGGGCACGCCGTCTCGACACCGACACCGACGCCGACGCCGCCGCCGCCGCCGCCGCCGCCGCCGACCAGCTCGTCACCTCCGCCGACCCAGAACATCCCGCCAACCTCATCCCCTCGCTGTGCGCCAAGTTCTGGACGCTGGGATGGGTCACGGGCACCGGCGGCGGCTGCTCAGTTCGCCATGAGTATGTACCAGGACCCAACTCCCCCGCCTCCCCCTTCTCTCCCGTCTCCCCTCGCCGCCGACCAGCTCACGCATCCGCTCACGAGTCACGACGACCAGCGACCTCGTCTACATCGCCCCCTCGGGCGTCCAGAAGGAACTCATGAAGCACACAGACATATACGTGCTCTCCCTCTCCTCCCAGGAGCCGTCCTCCAAGCAGCGCACCTACCTCCGCGCGCCGCCGTGCCACAAGCCGTCCCAGTGCACCCCCCTCTTCCTGGCCGCCTTCACGCGCCGCAACGCCGGCTGCTGCATCCACACGCACTCGCAGTGGGCTGTCCTCGTCACGCTGCTCCTCGAGGCCCGCGGCCCCGGCGCCGACCGCGTCTTCGAGATCAACAACATTGAGCAGATCAAGGGCTTCGGCAGGGGCCCCTCCAAGCAGGGCAACCTGGGGTACCATGACACCCTGAGGATTCCCGTCATCGAGAACACCCCCCACGAGGAAGACCTGACGACGTATCTGGAGGGCGCCATGCTTCAGCACCCCGATACCTACGCCGTGCTCGTCAGGAGGCATGGGGTTTATGTCTGGGGGGATAACGTGCACAAGGCAAAGACCATGTGCGAGAGGTGAGTGTCAATGCTGTCAACTATGTGCCGAGAGGGCGTGGGGAAGGGAAAAAAAAAAAAAGCCAGCGACTGACGACAGACATATCGCCGTAGTCTCGATTATTTGTTCCAGTTGGCGGTGGAGATGGAGAAGCTGCGTCTGCCGTGGATCAGTGACGTTGCCCGTGTCGCGCCTGATCGAGCTTGATTTTCCGCCCTCCGGGCGTGTATATTTGGCGAGGAGTCAAGTGTATTTTTCAACCGTCGGGCGTGTTGGGATTCTAGACCATGCGAAGAGTGCAAAAAGTTCAAAGGGAGCCGGGGCCGCCATCTTCAACAGACCAGGAGTAGGCGTGGGGAAGAAGGCGTCTACTTGCTCAACTTTTGTATATAAAACAGATATGCAGATTGCTCATATCTTCATCTTGTGGTTACAATTCATCGCGCTGCGTATCCGGCTCCGGCTCCGGCTCCGGCTCCCAAACCCTCTTCAAGGGATTTCTCGGACGATCCTCAGCGTCCCTGAGATGCCCATTTCCCTGGCCCCCCAGATTTCCCAACTTGTCGGCCTCGTCTACAATCTTGGCGACCTCTTCAATCACAGAATCCCCACCACCCTCTCCCACATCCCTCGCCCGTCTTACCTGCGCCGTCGGCAAATCCTCTCTCGGTAGGCCTCCTACAGAGACTTTTGACGTCTCCCCCACGCCGCCTGTTTTCCCGGACTCCCCTGCTCCCCGCGGCATCATCATGCCGCCGGCCTTGGAGCCCACGCCAAACACGATCCGCAGCGGCAGCCAGACCAGATACCACATGGGCCCGTACAAGAGCCGCCTGAATAATAGCCACGCACCCGTCGCCATGAGCATGTACATGGCCGTCTGCAAGTACCAGGTATCGCTCTTCTGCGACCGCAGCAAAGTGCCCAGCAAGTCCCTCGAGCTGGCGAGCATGCTACCCATGGTCGTATACGACTCGTCGAGCTGTTTCAGCGTAGCAGAAGACTCGGTGAGAGTCTGGTGCGCGTACTCGCTGCGAAAGAGTTCCGCGGCGATGAGATCGTGCGTGCGGCGGAGCGCGTCTGTGACGTCGCTGCCCGCGCCGACGGTGCGCCGCTCGTCCTCGGAGAGGGAGAGGTTGGAGTGCAGGTGCTGCTCGACGTGTCGCCGGGGCCCGTGGACAGCTTCGCCCGCGCGCGGTGGCCCGGCCTCGGGCCGCGGGCTATCTGGCTCGGAGACGGAGGCGGAGACGGGGAGGGAGTACGACTGGACGAGCAGTTGCCGCTCTAGTCTTTGCGCCCTTATCAGGGACTCCCGTGCTGACAGGCGGGCTTTTCGAAAGTCGACTCGGCAGCTTGGACGGTCTGGTCAGTACGTCGGTGCGAGCCATCGTGTGTGTGTAGGGGTCGAAATTACCGGGCGAGTTCGGCACCAAGCCGGTCGACTGCGTCCGTCAACGTGGTCTTGTCGTCGTCCTCTGGCCGGACAAACTTGGCCTCTTCGCGGAGGAGTTCCTGCTCGTCGAGGGCGTTTCGGAGCAGTTGGCTGATTTCCGCGCTCAACTCGCCGCTCACGCTGCTTTCTTCGTCCGTTCCCCGGGGCACGGAGCCGGGTTGGAAATCGACGTGGGCGAGCTGGTCGATCAACTCCCTTAGCTGGTGGGTGGTCCCTTGCAGAGCGGAAAACCGCCCTTGCAGACCTGCCAGGGACATTTTGAACTGGAAGCGGTCGGCGGCAGGACAAGACTTCACCGTCTATCCGCGTGTTGCGGGACTTGTAGTGACGAGACGATTTGATCTGGTTCCTGGTTCCAAGGAAGTCGACGACCAAGACAGCATGGCAGCTCGGGAAACGGTGCATCTGGTGGGGCTGTGACGTGCTGCCTCGGGGCTGATTGGCTTCCTGGCGCCCACGGCTTGAGCATCACAAAGGCAACAAGTCCCGACGCACAAGGGCCATTCAGGCAGTGATTCGGAAATGTAATCGACATTCATACAATGCGAATATGTTGAGCGTTCTCCATGTAAATTTCCCCGAAGCATCATGCCCAAACACGGAGAATACCAACGTAGGAGCAAAGTTTGCCCCAACGCCAACCTTGAACCGAGTCCATGTACCAAAAACACTAAAAAAAACTCGGTGAAACAAAAAAAAAAAGGAACATCAAACTCCCCGCCAAAAGCATTCGAAAGATTCCCGTTCAACGACCAACCCGACCAAGCCCATTGAGGAAAAAGAAACAACCCCAAACCAGCTCCAACATCCATCCGTCCCGTCTGTCACCTCACCACCCCATCACCAGATTCACCACCCGCCCGGGCCAAGCCCAGGCACAAAGTTAGCATCATCCCACCACCGCAAAGGGAGCCAACATACCTGAGGAGAAAAAAAAGTTGAAGCACCGCCCTCCAGGAAGAATAATCGGAATCGAATCATGGCTACCCGCCACGCCACGCATCGCACTCAAGTGTCAACACACAATCTACGCAGCAGCTTCCCATAGGAGACCAACCAAACAAGCCACCCCCCTCCCAAGAGAGAGAGAGGGGACCCGAGGCAGCCCTGAAATTTCTGATGCCAACTGCGGGCGTCGATGGACGCCGAGCCCTCACGGGCAGGCCCGTCCTCCTCTTCGCAAAAGAGTGACCGCGGCAGAAAAAAACAAGTTTCCAAGTCTTTTTCAAAAGTGTAGAGGCTTCTCCGAATTTCTCGCATGCAAAAAGTCCCATCGTCTGCCGCGCCCGCCTCCCGAATGGGAGAAGACGGACAGTATGTTGAGATTTCCCTCCCCCAATCTATCCGAGGACAGATTGGGGACAAAGAAATCTCCGTTTGTAAGCATGGAAGCGTGGCGTTTCCCAGAGGACGGTGCTTGGGGAAGAAGAGGAAAAAAAAGGCAATCCATGCGCTGTTGCTCCTAACTGCTTTATGTCGCTGCGGGACCCCTACCTACCTAGTCTTTGCTGCATGGGAATGCCCAGCACGTGACTGACGTTGGAGCCGCAACATCGTGGGCCCGATCCTACAAGCTCGATTTGACGCCGGGCTTCTCGGGACGGCTTGAGGACGTCCCTTCAGCCCTTTGATCGCCAGTTCGCGCCGTGCGGACATCCTCAAAATGATTACGAAATTTATGACCGAGATCACGGCCAAGTTCAACCCGTTTTCGGCATGCGCCAAGCCAGCTCGACTGTTCCTCACGTTTCTGCCTCCGAATGCCCGTGCCAACGGCACCTCGATAACTACAACTCTTCTCCCTCGAAATTCAAACGAGCCGAGCTCCCTGCGCGTCAAGTTCAGTATGTGGGCCCTTTTGGGTGTCCGTTAAAAGGCGAGGACGAAATGCTAACCGTCTGCAGAGGATGGCAAGGAGCTCAAGTTTGACTGTGCCAAGATCAACATCAAGGGAGTCGTTGAGGAAGTCAACCGGCACTCTCGCCAGTTGCAAAAGGCAGCCGACTTGACCGATTGATCATGTGTCATGACAGCCTACTGTTTTGCATTTGCGGCGTTCTTTTGTACATTTTTTTGTTTCATTTTTTTGGTGTTACAAGAGGGGCATACCAAGAGGCTGCCCTAATCTCAAGTCAACGCATGCACAAAATATAGATAGATCTCTAAAAGTAAGAAGACTCTTTTGTATGATTTTAGGGGGGCGAGACTTTTGTGCCGGCTTAACTACTCTTGATTACATTTATACTATTCCTAAAAATAGTGGCCCCCTCGCATGCTGTATGCTCAAGCAGAGTTACCGCTAATGAAGTACCACTTCTCCGACGTGGGATCGACTGCGGCAGGAGGAAGTTCCTCGTGAGGCTTGATTTCGGGCGGCGTAGCCCTGTAGTCACCTTTGCCCACAAGCGTAGTGTTGGTGCTGGAGCATGTGTCAGCACAACGGCTAGAGGAAATCAGATTTTGGTTAGACTTACGTCTTGATCTTGTCGGCCGCCTTCTCCCTCTGGCCCTGTCGGGGTTCGGTTTTTCCATCGAGAAGGCGGCTCCAGGCCTTGTGGCACTCCTTAATGATATCATTGGCAAACCTTTCAATATCATGTCAGTACTGCGAGCAGCAATTTTGAACACCTGGGATAGACAGTACTCTTTGTTCTTGGTCTCACCCGTGAAGGCGAACTGGTTCTCGGGTTTGCCGTGGGGAATCTTGTAGATACGGAACCACTCGTTGGTGGCACGTAGAAGACCGGGCAGCTTGGACTCGATGTCTTCGGCGGAGTTGAGCTCAGGCGCCAAGGGGTCCTTGACGTCAATAACAATGACTTTCCAGTCCGTCTCGCCCTCGTCGAGAAGGGCCATGATGCCGAGAACCTTGACCTGCTTTACCTGACCAGTGTAGCCAACTTGCTCGCCGATCTCGCAAACGTCAAGAGGGTCGTTGTCACCATAGGCTGCGGTATGTTGGTCCTCGTGCGCGGGATCCTCCCAGGTCTGGAGAGGTGGTCAGCTACCAGTCATACATATGCTTGCCAACACAATGTGACTTACCTGGGGGAAGGCACCATAGTTCCACAGGTAGCCCCTGTGGGGAAAACAGTTGCGAACAAATCGAAGATTGCCTGCCTTGTCCTTGTCCTGCACGATGGGGTTGAGCTCCTGACCCTTGGAGATCTGGTCAAGGCGAGGAGCAGTTAGTAAGACTGTTTTTCAGCCTCTTTCGTCTTGAGTGGAGAGGCATTGGCCAGCAATGTTTGTTTGCTTCCATCGAGATCGGGCCGCTGCCAGTTTCTCTGTCGAGCAGGGGGGGGGACACAGAGAGCTACGGAGGACGGGGGAGCTTGTACACACCTCGAGCTTGGCATTGGTCCATCGGGGAATCTCAACAATCATGTTGAGAATGCCCTTCTCCTTGTCGGCATAAAGGGGAATGTCGTGGAAGGGGGAGATGATCTTGCTGCCGACTTTGACCCCCTTCTGGTAAACCTGCTGCTCAATGTAGAGCTTGAAGTCCATCGAGTTGAGGGCGCCATTCTTGTGAAGGGCGTACTTGACCTCGGAAGCCATTTTGGGCGGGGTGAAGGAAGCAGGAGAGGACAGTGACGGAGAGGAGGATGTAGAGGAGAGAGATTGGATAGCAGAGCCCGACAAATGACGAGCAATTTGCGCGGTTCGCAGCGACGAGACGGCGATGGATGAGGTGATTCGGTGGGATGGAGAAGAAAGAGGGGGCGGGGCTTGCAGACCCATAGCCATAGCACTAGTATGGAAGCCCGCAGAGACGGCCGTTGGCCACGGCGCGGATGGTGCTGCTGCTAAGGCTGCTGCTGGTGCACCCGCGGTTCTGGCCCCTGCTGGCCGGCACATGCGCCTGCGCCTGCACCCGGTTAGAGTTGCAGTTGGCAGCGCCGGCGACTGCTGGCCTTGCCGTTGGACCGAAGTCACTCGTGTCCTCGCTGGCCGCGGTGTCGTCGTCGTCGTTGTCGTCGTCGTCGGCCCTGTGCCCCGTCCAGTTCGCGATGCTGTGTTTGATCCAAGAGCGCCGTCATTGGCCGAGCTCAGTAGCTGCGACAGGCTCTGCAGACGCCGCGGGCCTCGGAGTCCAAGTCCACGTTGGGAGAGCATCAATTGGGCTCTTTCCTCTTTGTCTGCGTTGGGCAAAAAGGGGGGGGAGGAGTCTTTAACTCTCGCAGTCTGGCTGGCTGGCGCTGGCGGGTGCGGATTCCCGGGACATGGAAACCGAGGTTATTTTCACCTGATGCCTCTGCTCAGCTCGACACTCAGAGCTAGGTTTCGGTCGGAGTCGATACGTTGACGGACTCGGGACTCGGAGAAGCACGGGAGGGAAGGGAATCGACTGGAGAAAGCCAAGTCCCTGCTAAGTGCCCTGCGGACATGTTGGTACTACTAGTAGGTACGTGGTGCGTGCTCCGTATCTCGTACAGACAGAGAGACGAAGTAAGTTCCTTGGGTGGGCCACTGGGGACACCAGACGGATCAATTACTATCAATTGATGGCAGACTAGGCACGGGCTCGGACCCGGGACACGGAACACTGAACACTGAACACGGGACCACACAGAGGGTCCCAGGGCCCAACTCGCCCCTATTCATCGACATGTGGGTCCCGCCTCACCCTGAACATGTCCCGGTGACCCTGGATAAAACGTGACGCCAGCACGAAGCCATACTCTCGAGACGACATGGGCAGCGGAACGCTGTTGATAAGACGCGGGTACTCCCTATGTGATGTACAGACGTTTCACCGTGTTGAGTACTCCTCGTGTGCCTCTCTTCATCTTGCGCGTAAGCAACATCTGATGGCCTGTCTGGTGGGCATGTGCGGCACAAGTTCGCTTCCTGTGGATCGGGATGCCATTCAACATCAGTCGTGACACAAAGGCTGTCGAGAGGAATCATTTGCTACTGGATACCTACTTGTGTCACCTAAAACACGACAACCCTAGAACTACATACAGCAGAGCGGTTCTTGGTAAAAGACATGACACAAGAAACACTACAGTTCTCAAACCCAAGCAAGAAAGTGAAAAAAGAAAAAAAGGCGTATCAAACCGACAAAACAGTAGTCATTCAAAAGCTGTGCAAATCATCAGGTCGACGGCTGAACCTCAGTTCCGGCCTCAAACTCCTTCGCGCCATCATGCTCCTCGACGGACAGAGCTGGTTGCTTCTCCCTGGCCGGGGAAGTCTCCTCGGCTGGAGCGTCATGCGGCTCGGCCTCTGGTCGCCAGTCTCGGAGGTCGTCCTCGCAGTCGTTGAGGATCTGACGAGCCTGACTACCCTCGGAGTAGCTGGGACGAGCGTCGCCAGGGATGACCGGTGTATCGTCGATGAGAGACAGGAGACGGCGTCCATGCTTGGCAAGGATGATCTGCTTCTCCGCTCGCTCGATGGTGGCGAGGAACTCGGCATCATAAGCCTCCTTGAGCTTCTGACGAGTCTGTCCATTTCGTTAGCAGCCTGTGCAACAAACGAGGCCAGATGAACCATGGCCATGGCACACTCACGACGTTGCTCAACTGAGCTTCGGCAACCAAATTCTCGGCTTCAGCACGGACAAGTTCCTGCTCCAAGACGACCAGTCTAGCACTCTCGGGCTCCTTCATCTTGAGCTTGGCAATCTCATCCGCAATCTTGGCCTTGCCATCACGGCTAGGCTGGACGCTCTTCTCAGTGTTACGGATGGACTTGAGCCGCCCGCGACAGTCGTCCAGCGCGTGGGCGTACGTGTCTTCCTGCTCGCCAATCTCGCTCAAAACCACACCAACCTTGTCAGAGATGTCGCTGATGGCGTCATCGCCAGTTTGCTCCCCCCACTCAGACAGCTGGGTAGCAATGTTGATGCGCTCGCGGCCGGCGGCTTCGTGAGCATTAATGAGGTTATTCTCGGACTTGATGAGCTTGAACAGCTTGCGAGACAGCTCGGGCTGAGCCTGGCCACGGAGGGAGCTGAAGGAGAAGCTGGGAAGCTGGCTGCCGGAGCCGGAGCCCTTGCCGGACTTGCCTCCAGAGCGGATAGAAAGCGCGCGATTCCTGTGTGCGGAAGGGCTGTCAGCGATCGACTCGCCGGAGTGGAAGCGCAGGTAGGCTGGACCAAGCTGCATAAAGGAGCTGTCGAAGCTTGATCGCGACATGATGTGAGAGTGGTCATGTAGTTGCAACGCAAGCCAAAGCCGTGTGCCGCGGTCTGCATAACATTGTAGGGAATTTGGAGAGCCTGCGGCTTCGTCGGAGTCACTTACATAGCAGCGGCTCTGGGTTATCTTTGGAGTCGAGGCAGCTGCGCTGCCGAGCGGAGGCAAGAACGTTTGTCTGTCTGTAGCTTCCGAACTATGATTCTGTGTCAGCTCAGGCTCCAACCAACTGACCGCCTCACGTGTCGACAAACGTCGTTCACCATGGATGACTACACGTACAATCAGCGGCGAGCAGTTCGCACTCGGCGTCGGCGTCGGCGTCGGCTTCGATGCCAGGGATCACGGCAATGAAACAACAAAGTCCCGGGACGAAAGAGGGCCAGTAGGATGGAGGAGAGAAGCAGCCAAGCCTAGCGGAGCAAGAGGCGCAAAGAGGGTTTTTAAGAGGAAGGCAATGGGAACAGATGGTGCAAGTCTGTGTGATGACACGCTATTCAGTGATCGGCTGTCAGGTCAACGGGCTGGCTGACCAGTGCGCTGGCCCGAATTTTCACTAGAGAAACAATGTGACGAGGCACGAGGCGGCGAAACGACATTTTGGGCTGTTCTGCGAGGCGCCTCCAAGCTTGCTTGAATGTGGGATGAAGCCATGGCTGCTCGTGGTGACGGACTGGACCATGATGTCATTCATTGCGAGGTTGCCTGCCAGTGACGGCACTTGAGCCAATGTCGGGCCCCGGGGGCGGCCAATGACAGCCATCCTGCCAAGTTAGCTGATGCGCGAGGTACAAGGAACCTGAGTACTTCCACTTGGTGGGTCGACGACGTTGGCTGCGCGCCGATTGCAACTGCCAGCCTTTTGACGAGGAACGGAAATTCCGGCTTCTCTCGACGCCTGGCACTTGCTCGACCGTCTACCCAGTGTCTCCGTCTCTAGTCCTGCTCCCAGCCAGCAAATACCTCGGTGGGTGCACATTGAGTCCCAAAGGCCCATTCGTGATTCAAATCCAAACAAATACGCCGTATTGGCTCCCTTGTATCAGTTATTGATCAATTAACATGTGCCGCAGCCCCAAACACCAGCGGCATTGCCTGAAAGCCCGCCAACACCACCTCCCCTCCCTGCCTCGTGGGAAGCCGAAATGCACCCGCCTCGACAAAATTCATCAATCATGATCGCCCATCCCGCTCATCATGTCGTCGCATATCCGCGCAACGCCGCGTCCGTGGTGTCCCTAGTGTCGCACGGTCGAGCCAAGGCACCTCCAGGCTCTCTCATCACGCCTCGAGTACCGGCTCAGCCGGGCGCACCCAGGTCCCATCAGGTCATCGTGGGGACAGGACCGGCCCCGTCCTGACTCTCGAGTCTTGACTCTTGTTGAGGCTAGTACCTCGTGGGATGATGGACTCTCTCGTAGACCACGGTCCCTCCCCCTCCGGGCGGAGCTCGATAATGCGCATACGACCCGCTCACCCGCGGACTAGCAGTACGATACGACTGCCGCGTCACGCTTGTGTAGCTCGCCCTGGGTGAATGGTGATGGTGGTGGTAGTGGCGCCGTCGAGGCGGAATGATTTCCTCCTTGTAGTAGTATTTGGTGTTTGGTTCGCCCCAGAAACACATTGTGGGAAAATTTTCCTTGCTCACGACGACTTGTTTGGTGTTGCGAGGCCGAGCGAGGCGTGCGTGGCCGCTGCGTGCTTTGTAGCCAGCCCTTGTGCCTGTGCGCCTGGGAAATGAGGTGACGCCGTGGTGGAAGGTGATGATGGTGCTGACGGGCTCAGAATCAAGGGAGAGGGAGAGGGAGAGGGAGAGGGAGTCGCGTCGTTTTTTATAAGTTGCAGAAGAACTCGATTTTTTTCCCGTTATGGGCTGTGCTGCAGGCTGCGCTTGTGCTGTACGGAGTACGGAGTAAGCTTGTTTTTAATCCTTTGTACCCTGTTGCATGTTTGCGAATCCAACCTCCAACCCCCAACATGGCTCTCCCTCTCCATTCCCACCCCTGCTCGGTGCTCGGTGGTGGTGGGCGCATCTCTCGCCGTTGCCGTCATTGCTCGACTCATTACTCATTGCGATGCATCGGCCCCCCCCCCCCCAGCCACTTATTTATCGGTCGCCAGGTTGCGGCTACTAGGATGGCCTACTCGTGCGAGGTGAAATGAGGCTGTAAGATGGGCATGGATGTGAGACTACAGGTGGACGGTAGGGCTGACGCAGCCCTGGTGACGTGATGGTCCGCAGCAACCTAATGCTTGCGAATCTGCAGAGTGCATACCGAGTACTGCTCGGGCAGGCAGGATTTATTGGCCTGGATAGCATGGCACACGAGGGACTCGGGTGCGCTGCAAAACTCAGCGGCCCGGATAAAAGACCATTTGTCACTTGTCCTCCCTCACACGCGTGCCATCGCCCCGGTTCAAACTCTGCTGTGCAAGTTTGCATCTTGGAACGCCCATATGGTACATTTTATTATTGCCCCGTGACTCCTGCTCAACTCGTACGTCTATCTCATCTTCGCTCGTCAACGCAAGGCTTGCTCTCTTTATTGTTTGGCAAACCCAACCTCCACCTTGCCAACTGCCCAGGCGGCCGCATACACGGCCATCATGCTAGCAAACACGATAAAAGGCTTTCGCAGAGTGTCCAACGCCGAGGTCTCGTATGAAATGATGACGTCGCGGTCGCGGAATGCATCAACCAGGTTCTGTGCCTCGATCGTCACTGAGGTGCGGCCCAGGGTATCGAGGTAGGTCTTGTGAACGCTGACTTCAGTCTTGACAATGGAAGATTCGGGGATACCAGTGTAATACTTGACGTTGCTACGTGCATCGTTAGTGATTGTTGGCCTCACATTATGAGTTTCCGACAGGTGGGCTTACCGAGCTCCCTCAGGCAGGACCACGCGGATCATCACTTGGCCATACTCAACGCCTTCCGCCTGCCTGGGGCCCTCGAGGAAAGGGACCTTCAAAACATAGCCACCAGTTGCGGTCCTGCGGAGGAGGTTGGCAGCATCAGTGTTCCAGCCAATGGTAAAGGGATACTTCCAGCCACCGAAAAGGGGGTAGCGGGGCTTCAGCTCGAGCAATGCTTCACGCTTGTTGCTTCTGAACTTGGAGGTTGAAACGTTGCCAATGACGTCGGTGAAGTACGGATCAACACTGCCAACCTGCAGGGGAACACGAAGCTCCTTCAGGGCATTAGAGGCAGCGCTGAAGAGAGAAGACTGTGCGTACTTGACTCGGTCGAAAGGGGACGACAGGTTGGCACCGCGGTTGTGCATCGTGTATCGCTCCTCAAAGGCAATATTGCCACCCCAGTGGCTGACTTCGATGTCACGTTCAAGTGTAGACACATGGGTGACGGGCTTGGTGAACTCGAATCGAACCTGGGCGGGGGACACGGCTCCAGCAGGCTTCTCACCAAAGGGACCATACGTGAGCTTGGCACCCTGCTTCTGTGGCTGCTCCTCCTCGCCCTCGGTGAGCTTGGTGTAGTCAGGGATCGTGGATGACGCGGCCTTGATTTCGGTCTTTTGCTTCAAGGTGGGATAGGCAGATGGCGCGTACACAGAGAAATCATGGACGAGATATTGCTTCTCGTCTTGCTTGATAGAGGCGGGCAGAGGTCTGTATGCCTTTAAGTTGTAGAATGATATGCCGAGGGTTTGTTGGCCGCCGGCTTTGAGAGGAGTTGGGAGACGGATACGATAATACTGAGTGTCACTGAGAGTTCAAAGTCAATGATGGTCTTCCGTATGATGAAGTGACATTATTTGAAAACGCAATGGACAGACCTGTTGGGATCATATTCGACTGCTTCTGAAACAAACGGACCTGCGTTTGCGTTCTTGCGATCCTTTACTTCGAACCCGCCAAGGCGAGCAATTTGTTCCGTGGTGAACGGTACGTAGTAGTCGCTTTGTGGCTCGTTGGAAACATTCTCTATGAGGACATTTATCTGATCCTTGACATAATTCTTCTCCAAGGAGATGATGTGGACTAAGTTGGCATTCCTGAAGACCTGCGGCGGCAGGAACTGTGCAGGCAGGGAAGACCTGGACGAGGAGGCGCTGGCGGAGGGGAGGGCGCTGAAAGCGACGGCCAACAACGCTGATGCAACGAATAATGGCTTCATTGCGACGAAGGAAGGAAAAGGGCGCTCATTGAGTTGCGCGTGCGCCCGGTTGTGCTGTTGTGAAGGTCCGAACAATGTCGTCGGGTTCCTTGGAGACACCTTGTCGCGAGCTCCTTTCAAACGACATACGTTTCCTGAAGCTTGCAGCCTGGAGGCCAATCATTGATGAGAGGCGGGGCGGCCTGCATTGCACTACTAGTAGTACGGAGTAGTATTCTCCCAGTGCGGCCAGGTGAGGGCGACAGGGGTCACAGGGCCATGATTACGTACGAGGGCAAAGCACAAAGTAAAATGTCGATTTTTTTGGGGGTATTTTTTTAGGAACAAGGCCCAAATCCGCAAGCATCTTGAGGCGTGCCAATGAGGGCTGGTGTTTGCGAACGCAAGGCTGGACGTGACCGTCATTGACTCATCGGGGTTTTGTTTGTGCACATATACAGTATTTCGACAAATGACAGGTGGCACGGTAACTTTCCGTCTGCCATTTCGCAGGAACAGGGCTGTCAGCGACATGTGATGAAAAAGAATGTCAGAATAAGACGCAGGCCGAAGTGGGCGTTTGTGTGTTGGGACGACAGGCAGATATTATGTCACGGTTGCTTGCCTGGTCGACATCTGGAGTCTATCTAGACCGCCGGTTCCAGCGAGCAAGCGGTGCTCTCGCCAGGTCAATCTGCATGCAGAACGCATCAGAAACTAGGCTAATTGTCCCCAGACTCCTTTTGTTCTCGGTAAGCCATGGCGGCGCTGGTGCCATCGCGAATGCACATGGATTCGTATCAATACTGGGTGCTGTGCTGGGACAGGAGAGAGGAGAGAGGTAATCATGAGCAATCAATTGATCACCCGGTGGCGCCTTGGCGGGGACCCCAGCAGCCCCCAGCAGCCCCCAGACTCGAGACCAGTGACGTCCTCAGCGCACTTGGACATGCCCAGCTTGCCAACTCAAACCACCTTCAGGCTCAAGTGCCTGCAGGGCCTCCTTCTTACCTATCACCTGCAGACGTCGTCTCCACGAATACGTGCCAACACCATCACCTCCATCCCGCTGCTCCTCTCCCCTAGCAATTCCTATCCTGTGCACCTTTGTTCTCTGCATAGATGCAAATCGCGCATTTCAGTCGACCAGCACCACTGAATCCAACAGCGCCGTCGATTGCAGCCGCTGCAGTCGATCCGTGAGAAGCGTGCTCAAGCTACCCCTCCACCCTCCTCCACCCCGCCGTCACACACCAGCCAAAAATGGTCGGTCTCGGGCCTCGTCTGCCTCCCTCTAGGAAGGGTATGTTGAACCGAGTGATTTTGTATCCCGACCGTGTCACGGCGATTATGCGTGCTATTCACATCCTCGACGAATCCTCAATGTTTCAGCGCACTTGCTCGTCCACGGACCAAGTGGTTCAAAGCTTCTGGCCCGACTTGAGATGGCTGTCCCTGTCCCTTGCGACGCTTTGGTCAAACGCCCCTCTGCCAGCTTGGGGCCCGACTCGTTGGGTAACACGGATGAGAAACCACCTGTCAGCTCTGACTGTGGCATTAAAAGGCCAGGGTTAGCACCGCGCAGCTGTCATTGTGTCGCTCGAGAGAAACCGGCCGGTCGAATGCTTGAACCACAAACCGCAAAATACTTCTTCAATGCCGAGCGTTGAGCCTTGCAACATGTCTTCACCATGTACGCAACGTTCATGACACACTTCTGCCATTTCCTAACCTACATTGTCTAACATTCACATACCGACTGCCATGGCTAACAATCCCACTGCAGGGTCCAAGGCGGACATTCCCCAAGACCTGCTCAACGAGATCAAGAGGCTTGAGGATCTCTTCACCGTTGACACGCAAGTGCTCAAGAAGATTACCAGCCATTTCGTTTCGGAGTTGGCCAAGGGTACGCTTTACAACGTACCGAAACAAATTTGACACAATTGGGCTGATGGCAATGCTCACAGGTCTCACTGTCGAGGGTGGCAGTATTGTAAGTCTCCTACACGACCACATATGTATCAAATACCAACACCTAATCTTATGCCTTTAGCCAATGAACCCAACCTGGGTCATGTCATTCCCCGATGGCTACGAAACCGGCACCTTCCTCGCCCTGGACATGGGCGGCACCAACCTCCGCGTGTGCCAGATCACCCTGACCGACCAGAAATCCGAATTTGATATTCTCCAGTCCAAGTATCGTATGCCTGACAAGCTCAAAACAGGCAAATCGGATGAGCTTTGGGAATATATTGCCGATTGTCTCCAGCAGTTTGTAGAGACTCATCACGGTGATTGTGCTGGCATTGACACCCTTCCTCTTGGTTTCACCTTTTCGTACCCGGCAACACAAAACTACATTGACGAGGGTATTCTTCAGAGATGGACCAAAGGCTTTGACATTGCCGGGGTCGAGGGAGAAAATGTTGTTCCAATGCTCAACTCTGCCCTGGAGAAGAAGGTATGCACAATCCCTAGCCTGGCCTTGACCAAGTACTAATGACACAATAACAGGGTGTGCCCATCAGACTCACTGCTCTGATTAACGATACGACGGGAACATTGATTGCTTCCGCATACACCGACCCAAAGATGAAAATTGGCTGCATCTTTGGCACTGGCTGCAATGCCGCCTATATGGAGGATGTTGGCTCCATCCCCAAACTTGCACATATGAATCTACCACCAGACACTCCCATGGCTATCAACTGCGAGTGGGGTGCTTTCGACAACGAGCACAAGGTGCTGCCTAGAACCGAGTATGACGAAATAATTGACCGTGACTCCCCTCGACCGGGCCAGCAGGCCTTTGAGAAGATGATTGCTGGTCTATATCTCGGCGAAATTTTCCGACTTGTCCTGGTTGACTTGCACGACAATCGCGACGTACATGTCTTTGCCGGCCAGGACATTTCCCTGCTGCGCAAGGCCTATTCTCTGGATTCGTCTTTTCTTTCTGCTATTGAAGAGTAAGTTCCCGGCTCTTCATTCCGTCTCCGACACTCCATGCTGACAGGACATCGCCGTAGGGATCCCTTTGAGAACTTGCAGGAGACCTTTGACCTGTTCAACTCCAAGCTCGGCATTACTTGCGCAAGATCAGAACTGGAACTCATCCGACGACTGGCAGAGCTTATCGGCACTCGTGCTGCCCGACTTTCTGCCAGTGGTGTTGCTGCCATCTGCAAGAAGAAGGGCTATGAGACCTGCCATGTAGGTGCTGATGGGTCCGTCTTCAACAAGTACCGTTATTTCAAGGAACGCGGTGCTCAGGCTCTCCGTGAGATTCTCGACTGGCCTGAGAAGACGAATGCAAAGGAAGAAGATCCCATTGAGATTCTTGCTGCCGAGGACGGCAGCGGCGTAGGCGCCGCACTGATTGCGGCCTTGACTCTGAAGAGAGTCAAGGCTGGTAATGTTGCTGGTGTGCTGCACCCTGAACACTTCAAATAAGTGGGTGTTGGGGCGGGTCGAGAAAAAGGAGACTGAAGAAGATTTCGGCACATGGTCATGATAGCAAAGTAATGGATATTTAGCCAATGAGAAAATGGGGGGGGAATAGACTTCAATATATATATATATATTATAATCATAAGTGGGTGGTGTGGCGGGTATCATGATTTCTTCTAGCACGTGACGACGTGTCACTCTTTGCCATGTATTTGCTTCGCCTTTGACTTTGTTTTGATGCTCATCCCATGAATGTACACACAGGCAGACGGTACTCTGTTGAGAAAGTTAGCGAGCAAGCCGTCAATGGCATCAAACCACGCCGAAGCAAACAAGACAACTTACTATCCAGCGTCCAATATCGCCTCCGCACTCCTTCCCACTGGCCCTTCCCATCCTCCTTCAGTCCTTTCATATCAACATCACTCACCTCCCATTCTACATCCAGACCTGCATCTGCCCCATGCATCTCGACTACCTTTGTATAAACATCATAACAGACCTGCCTATCGGCGCCCAGTCCGTTGAAGAAGCTAAATCTGCCCTCGCGGTCCATCAATCCCGGCACATACTCCATGAAGAACAGCCTAAGCTGCGAGTAATCCTCGCCGAAGGTGTCAAAGTAAATGGCGTCGTATACCTCGCCTTGATCCAGTAACTGGGGCACAATGTCCTGCCACCTTCCAGGCCAGACCTTGTAGGCGCCCTCGTCGGGACCGCGCCTCTCCCAGTCTTTGCCAAAGCCGGAGTCCGGCTGGGAGAGGTGCCGTAGTACCGAGGGGTGTGCTTCGATTATGTGATGGCGGGACGGGTTTGTCTGGGCAAACATGCCATCGACGATGCCCATTCCGAAGCCGATATTGAGGATGCGCTTGCCGGTCTGGACTTGGGGCCCTGGGAGGAGGGCGGCGACGGAGCGGGCCATGATGTCGGTCTCCCAGGACATCATGACGCCGTTCAAGTCTGCGTCGAGGAGCTTGGAGGAGTCGTAGGTTATCTGGGAGGATAAGTACCCGTCGCTCGTGACGGTGACGGGTTTCTCGCCCGCGCCGGGGGGGATGAAGCGTGGCGGGTCTTGCGGACGAGCTTGGTCGCCGGTGGTGTCTATTGCGTCGCCGTCTTGCTCGACCGGGGCAGCACCCTCGTCGTCGTCGTCGTCTACATTGACTTCGGCGTCTGAGGCCGATGAAAGCTTTTCGTACCCGTCCATGAGGGAGAAGAGCAGCTCGGCGCGGACACCGGCGTCTACGCACATGTCGTACAAGGCTTTGCGGCCCAGCCGATGGGCCACGCAGCCGGGGGTTTCGTCGTTGCTGTCGACATCGTTCCAGATAGCGCCCGAGAAGAAGAGTTCCTGTAGGACTGCGCTTGCTTCTTCCACGCAGCCGTCTTCGCCTTGTTCAGGATCGTTGGAGTCCGGGTCGGCGGGACCGCATGCGCGAATGGCGGCGTGGAGAGGGGTTTCGCCAGTTTGGGGATCTTGAGCGCTGGCTTTGCCTGGGACGTCGAGGAGCTTTTTGAGGTCGGAGAGGTCGTGGGCCCAAGCGTGGTATAAGACGTCGCGCGTGTCTTGGGGGCAGTCGGAGGATATCCTCGTTGGCATGGAGTCGTCTATGGGAGGGGACATGGCGGTGCCGATTGGGGCCAAGGGCTTGGAGTGTCGTCTTGATTGGACTTTGTATGTGTCTAAGAGGCGTGGCTTTTTAGAAATTGACTCTTCTTGATGGGTTTGGCTGTATCAGCCCGACAACAACAACGACGATGACGACCACAAAAAAAAAAAAAAAAAAAAAAAAAAAAAAAAGCCCAATGCTGCCCCGCCTCCAGATGTCAAAGCATTACATACCAAGTACCTAGGTACTTAGATAGGTACTTAAGTACTTACTTAAGTACCTAGGCAACCCCAGGTACTCTGCACTCTCCACTCCGAAGTGAGTGCCCTGAGCTGGCGTGGGCCGCCAAGGAATCCCCGCGCCGCCACTGACTAATCGTGCCCGCCCCACTTTATGTGGTTCGGCTAGCAAAAGCCCTCACCACCAAAGGTGGTGCTCGACAGCAAGGCGGGCCGGACACCAAGGCGGGCCAATTTTCAACCTAATAACGCTATTAACCTCTTCGCCTATAATGTACACCCTTCTCGTCCCAAATTTCTAGTAGATCTAGTACAGAATCCAGACGCCATTTACGTGCCTTTTTAGCTGCTTCAAAAAACGTCCTCTTGGCGTGGTTGTGGCGCCTTTTGTCGGCATGCTCTTTATGCTTGCTGTTCGCCTGATGAACTCGAGAAAGGTCTTTGCAAAGGCGTGATTGGAAGGAGAAACGGCGAATGGTTGACGCGACAGGTATGCATTTGTTGGCGGTGACGGGAGGGGAGCCATATGAAGAGGTGCATTATCTGTTGACTGTTTTTCTAGACCGGGAAATAAAAATAGGACATGTATAGAAAACCAGATATTACAGCCCTTTTTAAAAAAAAAATCAAAAAAATCAAAGGTCGTCACTCATTCATTGGAAGCTTCAACGAAAAAAAAAACCCCGGATGTAATTACGCAGCTCATTAAAGATCCACCTGATCAATCGCCGGCCACCATTGAGACCAGGCCCCCTGCTCGTCGAGGTTATTGCTGACTTCCGCGAAAAGCTGGTTCAACAAGGTATTAGTGTCGAGCTCGTGCTCGTGCTCGTGCTCGTGCTCGTGCCCTTGAACCGGCCAAGTCGCCTGCGCCGAGGGCCGCTCCGCGCCCCGAATCTCCCGAGTATGCGCGTCGGATCTATCCACGACACGGAACTCGTGGACAGACTGGTGTAGAGTATCAAAGTCTGCTCGTGTGCGCCCCTGGTATCGTGTCCGGTCCTCGGTTGCTCGCTCGTAGAGCACGGATGCATGGTGTATCGTTTTGATCTTGCGCGTGCCGCCCTCTCAATGTTAGCGCAACGGTGGCCACGGTCGTGTCATGCTTGCGGGCGGCTTACCCATCCGTCGGCGATTTTCCAGACAAGTCGAAACTTTTCCAGGTAGTCGAGACACATTTTGAGACAGTCGCTTGCTCGCGGGCTGCGGCCCAGGTTCATTCGGGGGTATTTCGCCACGTAGAGGTTGAGGTAGCCGGCTGAGAATGCGCAGAACCCGGCAAAGGGCGTCATGAGATGCACGCCACACTCGGAGGCCTCGTGTAGAATGGCGGCGATGTGCTCTGCCGCGCCGAAGAGGAGTCGGGAGCTGTCGTCCCACCAGCCCTCGGGGGCGGGCGCCCCCAGCATGGGCTGGTCGACTGGACCCCGTGGCTCCGACTCCGGGGTCGGCAGGAAGGGGAAGTACTCGCGGTGAAGCATGAGGGTGCTGACAAGGCGTAAGCAGGGGCGGCGGCGGCAAGTTGGGAGCCCCGTCGACCGCTACCGCTGTGGGAAGGGGATTCTTACCTCACGTAGTACAGGAGATTGAGGTAGGTCCGGCCCGCCTTGCTGTCGAGCACCACCTTTGGTGGTGAGGGCTTTTGCTAGCCGAACCACATAAAGTGGGGCGGGCACGATTACTGCCTCTGACACTTGATGACGCTGGGCTGACCCCGCTTTTTGTCCAGCGTGATTCGTCAATGCCATTTCCGCCGACGCCGCCGCCGCCCATCACGAGCTTCTACTCTCAAAACAGACACCCCATCATCGTGGCCTTGCTCATCGTTGCCTCAGCTACAAGACAGTCTTTGCCTGCTTTTTTTGTCCGCCGTCTGTCCTGAAATTGAGGTGAGCCACCCATCTATGTTCTTTTCGTTCCCTCGTCCCGATCCGGCAGCAGTTGTTGCCGTAGCTTGTTTCCTTCCTGCTGCATCGCCCTGTCGCCGGTCGGCGTCCGGCGTCCTGGCTGTGTTTCCCTGCCTGATCCTCCAACAAACACTCGCTTTCGGTTCATCCATTCACCCCTGGCGTCGCTCATGCTGATTGTCAAAGACTTCAACTCACGAGATAACCCCTGGAAGGCGTCGCCCAACGCCACGCTCAAGGCCCTGCCCGGCGTATTCGTCATGAAGTTCGGCGAGCAACTCCGGTCGAGCGTCATCCGCGAGTACCAGTGGTACTACATTGACTACAATGCCTTGAAGGCCGAGCTGAAGCATGCCACCGGGCCTCTGAGGGCTGGCGGTACTTCCAGACCCGAGTGGACCGAGGAGGATGAGATTCGATTCGTCGGCAAGCTCGAGGCTGAGCTGGAGAAGGTGCACACGAAGCAGCAGGTCAAGGCCATGGAGATTTCCAGGCGTATCGCAGTCAGTGACCACGAGGTCAAGGATGTCGTCAACCGGTTGAATGAGCGTGGCTTGAACGAGGAAGGCCCCAGCGAGGAGGAATTTCTGCTGCTCGAGGAGGACTTGAGCGACATCATTGCCGACGTTCATGATCTCGCCAAGTTTGTGCAGTTGAACTACACGGGCTTCTACAAGATTATCAAGAAGCATGATGTGAGCTTACAGTGGCTCCTCCCGGTGGACTTGACCATGGCTAATCAGAGGCAAAGAAACTGACCGGCTGGCATCTCCGCCCCGTTTTTGACACCCGACTCAAGGCGAAACCGTTCTACAAGGAGAACTACGATGCCTCCGTCATCCAGCTGTCGAAGCTCTATGACCTGGTTCGAACCCGTGGCAACCCCGTTAAAGGCGACAGCGCTGCTGGAGGTGGCCAGGCCAACTTTGTTCGCCAGACAACAAAGTACTGGGTACATCCTGACAACGTCACCGAGCTGAAGCTCATCATCCTGAAGCACTTACCAGTCCTTGTGTTTAATGCTAGCAAGGAGTTTGAGCAAGCGGACTCGGCCATCACCTCTATCTACTACGACAATCCCGAGAAATGGGACTTGTACGAAGGCCGACTGAAGAAGACTGAGGGAGCCGAAGCTATTCGACTGAGATGGTATGGTGGAATGCAAAACGAGACTATTTTCGTCGAGCGAAAGACTCACCGAGAAGACTGGACTGGCGAAAAGTCCGTCAAGGCCCGTTTTTCCATCAAGGAGAAGAACGTCAACGCGTATATGCGTGGTGAGCTTCTTCCCGCAGCCATTTTTGAAAAAGCACGCAAGGAAGGCAAGAAGTCGGACAAGGCCATTGCGGAAGACGAGCGCTTGGCCTCTGAAATTCAGTACTCTGTGTTGAAGCATGGCTACGAGCCTGTGTGTCGCTCATTTTACAACCGAACAGCCTTTCAGCTGCCAGCAGACGCTCGAGTTCGGATTTCGCTGGACACCGAGCTCACCATGGTCCGCGAAGACAATCTCGATGGACGTCGGCGAAGCGGTGACAACTGGAGACGCATGGATATTGGGATCGACTGGCCATTTTCACAATTACCTGCTGAGGATGTCGTCCGGTTTCCCTATGCCGTTCTCGAAGTGAAACTCCAGACCCAAATGGGCCAAGAACCTCCCGAGTGGGTACGACAGCTCATCTCATCACATCTGGTCGAGGCGGTGCCCAAGTTTTCCAAGTTCATCCACGGCACGGCCTGCTTGTTTCCTGACCGAATCAACCTTTTGCCTTTCTGGATGCCGCAGATGGATGTAGATATCCGGAAGCCTGCTTCACATGATTTTGGTATCCGCAGACCTGGACTGTCAAACACGACCAATACCTCGGATGATGATGACGACGACGATGATGATTTGGACTCTGACGAAGAAGAACCGAGACTGTCGGCTCGTCCTGCTACCTCGAACAGCCAATCCGGCCCACGCGCTCTCACTGGAGCAGCCGATGCGGAAGGCCAGACGGCCGACCAAGCAGTCGGCAATGACGATTATCCCATCTATGACTCCGACGACGAGTACGATGCCAACTACGAGCTGGAAGAAGCAAGACGCGTCGGCGGATGGCACTACTACCATACCATCTTGACCACCAAAGGACGAGCACTCCGCGACGGAACCCTTAGCCTTCTCAAGCACCTGGTTCCCGCTCCACGAAGCACGCAGGTCCCTCGTAGTGACAGACTCCAAATGCTGTTTGGCTCCAGCACCATTCAGCAGAAAAAGTTCAAGGCGCCCCCGGGGAAGAAGATTTATGTCCCTGTCCGCGTCGAGCCCAAGGTCTACTTTGCCGCAGAACGAACTTTTCTAGGATGGGTAAGTGACATGGAAAACAGGCGCCGTTTATCGTGCACGCACAAGACTAACCATATCAGCTCGAATACTCCATCTACATTGGTGCAATTGCCATTACCCTCCTCAACTTTGGTGAGCATCCGACTACTACGTCGTTCTTCGTCGCGGGCATCTTTACACTGCTTGCGATCCTGAGCTTGTGTTATTCGGTTGGGATCTACTTGTACAGAAGCAATTCGATTCGGAACCGCAGGGCGGCCCGGTTCTACGACAAATGGGGACCTAGCGTGCTCTGCGTGTCGTTGTTCATCGCCGTGGCATTGAACTTTGGCTTCGAGGGAAGGCAGAGAAGTATTTGGTAAGAGGCGATCACCGTGTACAAAATTTTCCAGAGCCCAAGCGTGCGTACGACGTCGGCGGTTGTTTGGATAGGCAACTTTGTTGAAATACATTTGTACTATTTCGTCATCATGCAGTCTCTGTTGGCGCGGGCAATGGATCCTGATGAAGAGCACACGCCGGGCGTCGCGTAACGAAATATTATTCACATGGTACGGTGATGTCTGACAAACTATAAACGCCGACGGGTAAATCCAGACGCGTGTCCCTTCCTGACGCTTTGTATCCCACATCGTTTTGCATAGCGAGGTCACACTTGTAGAGAATAAGAACAAGAATTACACGACAGCCGTCACTCGTCGGACCGTCCTCCGGGCTCCCTCGCCATTGATCAGGATGAGATTCTCCGTCTCCAAAGCCCTCATGACCTCGTTAAACTCGGCCGTTTCCACGGGCATACTAGCGCCGTCGGCCAAGCGCTTTGAAACGTCGCCCCATCGGACGCTGTTCCCTCCAGCCGTCATGTCGTCCAGCAGTTTCAAGATGGCGTCTCTCAGTTCCCCACGACGCTTGCGGTCTGCGGCGCTCGTGCCCTCGGTCAACAGGGACATGTCGATGCGGCCCTGGGAGTCAGTGGCAGCCGTCTTGAGGGCGCTCTGAATGAGGCGATTGGCCTCGCGAACATCCTCCTTTGTGACGGTGCCCGACAGCCTCATCTTTGCGTGAGCCTCAGAGAGACGTATCATACTTTCGAGCTGACGCGTCGTGGCGGTGATGCGCTTCTCCGCGGCACGGACGTCCTGGCCGAGGGCGCGCATCGCAATGTATGCGTCGACGAGCTCCTCGCCGGCTTCGCGGGAGATGGTGGGCTGGATCCGGGAGCGGGCGTAGGAGATGTAGAGCGTAAGAAACTCGACCGGGAGGATGTCGTTGTCTGTGGGGGCAGAGTGAGGCTTGTCTTCTAGGTAGAGGGAGAGCAGGTGCTTGGCGAGACGCTTGTCCGTCTTCTCGTCGACGCGGTCGAGGATCAGGTAGACAAGATCAAAACGGGAGAGCAGGGTTGGGGGCAGGTCGATGTTCTGGGGCACGGAGAGGTCGGGATTGTAGCGGCTGCCGATGGGGTTGGCAGAAGCGAGGATGCTGGTCCGGGCGTTGAGGGTGGTGATGATGCCTGCCTTGGCGACGGACACGGTCTGCTGCTCCATGACTTCGTGGAGGACGGAACGCGTCGCGTCGGACATCTTGTCGAACTCGTCGATGCAGCATACACCGCCGTCTGACAGCACCAACGCACCAGACTCGAGCACGAGCTGCTTGGTTTCGGGGTCGCGCGTGACGTAGGCCGTGAGACCGACGGCTGAGGAGCCCTTGCCGCTGGTGTAGACGCCACGGGGAGCAATCTTGTGGACGTAGGAGAGCATCTGGGACTTGGAAGTGGAAGGGTCACCGCAAAGAAGTACGTTGATGTCACCTCTGTACTTGGGGCTGCCTCCCTTGTGAAACGTCTTGTTTGTGCCGCCAAAGAGCTGGAGGAGGATGCCTTTCTTGACGTCGTCCATCTCGTAGATTGAAGGCGCTAGAGACCGGGCCAGAAGCTCGTAGATGTCCTCACGAGCGGCGGTTTCTCGAATCTTGGCTTCTTCTTCGGGTGTGATGACGCGCGTTTGTTCAAGACCGTTCCCACCGTTGTCTGCGTCCTCTTCGCCTTCGACACCAAGCGTTGTGGGATCGGCCTCCATGCGTTTCTTATCAACTTTCTGGACGTGAAGAACATCAACGTAGGTCTTGTATACGCTCTTGACGGCGCGCTGACGCGGGTTGACTCTAACAGGGCTGACTCGGAATATGCCCGTCAACTGGACTCGATCACCAGCTTTGCAGAAATCCACGAGTTCGTTATACACGCAGACCGAAACGGAGTGGGGAGTTTGACCGGCGGGCACGGCGTCGGGAGTTTCTTGCAATTTGATGACTTGTTTGTCCTCAAATGAACATCTGTTGTGAACGATCTGCATAGAGTTCTTGGAGGCGCACATCCGGCGAGGGCACTCGGTTGGCTCTCGAATCTTGCCTCGGTCGAGGCTGACGTTGACCGAGTGGTTACAAACATTACAGCGAAAAAAAGCGTCCTTCATGTCCGGGATGACGGGTGTCGTCCGAATGACCAGACCCTTTATGGAGATGAGGCGGTCCATGTCTACAGGGTGTGTTAGCACTAGAAATCGGGATCGGGGCATGATGGGAGACAAACCGGATGGGTTCAAATCTCTCAAGTTGATCGTCTTGTCGAGGCCAAAGGGCCGAACAACATACAAGTTGGCGGACACCTGGTCCTCCAAAGACGGCTGGTCTTGTTGGGGACGGGGGGTAGCAGGCTCGTCGGGTCTGTCAGAGCTAGGGAAGACGGGTTCAGAGCTCTGGGCACTATTCTGGGTGTCCTGTTGGCCAGCACTGCTCTGGGATGGTCGGCTTTTGAGGGAATCAGCCCGTGCAAGTTCGACCATCAAGTCATGGACGGACTGATCCATGATTGGGACAATTTCCTGAGGATAGGCCTGGATTTGGTACCACAGCTTGCGAGTTGGGGGGAACAGATTCAGGTCGGAAATGTCGAGATAGAGTCTTGTAGTGCCAAGAAGTAGCATGTTTCCCATGGCTTCCAGATAAGGCTTCGACTCGGCGTCGGGGATGGCCTGCACTTCGGCATCTGAGAACCCATCCCGGTATAATCTGTACTTTTGGGTGAAGTGACGTAGGAAGTCTTTGAACGCCGCAAAGGTGTCATCAATGGATACAGTTGTGCCCCAGATGAGGCTTTGGCCTCGGCCTCCAAGAACATCGGCTTCGGACGTATTTGGGTCCCGGTTGGTGAAGGACGCAGCGTCTGAGCCTGGGGTTTGGCCCTCCTGCACCACGCGACCAGTATCGTCGAGGACAATACGCCGTGGAGCACGAGGCGTCCGTAAGGCATCTGAGTTGATATCTCCACGTCTGTAGGCGGTAGAGCTACCTCGCTCCGAGCCAACAAACAAACCACTACTCTCACTGCGCAGCTCTGATCGTTGACCAAGTGATCGTCCAGGACTGGAACTCGGTTCGTATCGGATTGGCGAGGACTCTGCGGAGGGTCAGAAATGATAATAAATGCCGGATCCATGAGAGACAACAGAACAGGCAACTGAGTTGCTTACCCCCGGCAAATGTACCACTTGCTCTCGGTGTCCGCTCGGCATCGTGTCGAGGCGTCTGCGACTCGGACATTTGCCGCAACGGAGAACTAGGAGGAGCGGCATGTGCTTGCGTGCTCTGACTACCCGACATCTGCCTCAGAGGAGACGAGACATCCTCACTCGATCCATGCGCCCGACCAGCTTCGGGGCCAGGAGACGAGGACTGGAAGAAGATTGGGCTCGACGCCAGCTGTGAAGGCGGATTGCTGGGGGTGTTGGCTTCGGACAGGCGAGTCGACCGACGCGGCGTGGCAGACTGGGAACTGCGTTGCCGGCGTTGTGAGGGCGACGACATTATGTGGCTTTCTGTGATGAAATCAGACGGCAGAGGTATGGAGTGGTATCCTGCTAGTTTGCACCGGACGTCGTTGGGGTTGGAAAGGTGTAGATGAGCAATGGAAGTTGTCGAGTGGAGGGGCTCGTTTTCACGCGTCTTGCCCGCGTCTGGACGCGTAAAGTGGCAGGCATATACATCTCTCGTGTTTGGTTACCGAGTAACTTACGGAGTGCCGGTAGCGGAGTCTGTGGCTGCGACTCCACTGCACCTCCCTGAGCCCTGAGTACTAACGTTACTAGTTAGCATGCGATATAAGGTGGCATACCACATAAAATATGTGGTGTGGCCACACCCGTTTTCCGGTGTGACATTTTTTTTCCCGAGGTATCTATCTATCTATTAGGCTGCGCGCTATCGGTCCTCTATATGCACTCATCACACCGCTTCAGAAAGGGGCCTTGGGCGCTTGAGGATGCTCTAAAAGCTTTCCGAGGGCGCCTCGTCACCGGTAACAAGCACAAAGCAAGTCGCCAGATCACCCAGCCACGCGTGATCATATCTTCGCGGTCAAAATCAGTGCCGATCCATCTTATCTTGACTCCAACCAACTTCTCAATGTACTCGACATGATCCCGGGCCTGCTTGGGAAGGTCGTACTATGTCCGGGCGTTGGTTGTCGGCTTCCTCCACCCGGGCACTTCGTCAACGACTTCGGCGTCACGTAGTGTGTCATGGTCCGCCGGATGACAGTCAAGCTCCGTGACTGTCTCGAAGGAATCGAGCACATCGAGCTTGGTCAGTTCAGCGAGGACTATGCTTCACTACAACGAGATCGAGTCAGCCACAGGCCCACAGCGACGTCTTTGTCACACTAAAAAATGACTTTTGTGTGTGGTAGACCACCTTGTATGCTATGCGACAGTCTTTGGCCGTGGAGTTTCGTTCCGGACCTCTCCCAGATTCCCCGTCTTGAAAGCGCCAGCGCCAACACGTGTGGTGTAGACCTTTACCACCCCCATGGTCTCCGTAATGTTCGTGGGGTTGAGCGTCAAGCCGGCAATGATGCCATGTTAATGTCGCTCGCCTGTGCAGAATGCATAAAGCTCAAGCTATCAAGGGCATCTTTGCGAGCTCTGCACGGTATCTGCGGAATCTCTTAATCAGTATCATACTTCAGCAGATCGCTGTATTTAGCCCTGTAGCTATAAGCTAGTCGACGCAGCTTTGTTTCAAGTAACGTTAATTTTGCTACACGATTTCCGCTCCTGGCAGCCTTGGTACTGCACGAGGGTCCAATTCCGCAGCCAGTGGCGCCTCTCTTGCGCTCTCCGGCGCGTTGTGTCTTCCGGCGGCTCTCGCGCAGGGTAGAGCTTCGGGCGCGAGTACGTCTACTAGTTTGCCCTTTTCTTCATCTCCCCACTGGGCTGTGGCTGGTCTGGAAGAGATAAAAGACACTCTTGAACACCTCCAACATTCTGCTGTTCTGTTGCAGCTAGGCCGTGTGTCGCATCGGATTCAGACAAGTTGAGTACGTAGTTTCTTGGCGAGACACCAGCCAATCACAATGCACTGTCGTCAATTGAGCCCTCCACCCTCAATGCCCTTGGCCAACACCCGTCTTCTGTATCTCCACGTTACCTCAGCGAGGGCAGCCAACCCATCGCAACACCATCCGACAACCCTTCTACGCCACCCCTCGCCGTCACCATGTCTCCCGCAGTGTCCCTCTTCTCGGTGCAAGCCGTCCTCATTCTCGGCACAGAGGACGGCGCCAGAATCCTGGCCAAATACTACTCCCCCCCGCACAGCGCCGCCGGTGGTAAGTCCCCTTCTCTGACGGGAGAGTTATGCTATCAAACCGAACCGAACCCAAGACAAGCATTTAATCTGACATATCCTCCCCTCGCACAGGCGGCGCAACTCCCGGCAACCCGTATCCTGACCTGAAAGCCCAAAAGGCCTTCGAGAAGGGCCTCATAGAAAAGACGGCCAAACAGACGGGCGACATTATCCTGTACGACAACAGAATCGTTCTGTACAAGCTCGAGTCCGATATCATGATTTACGTGGTGGGCAGCCCGGACGAGAACGAAGTCCTGCTGTACAACGCCGTTCTCGCCATCCGCGACTCCCTGCACCTCGTCTTCAAGTATGTCTCCGTCTCTTGCTCTCGGGTATGAGGGCCCCAAACTGACAGCCACAGACAATCCGTGGACAAGCGCACCATCATCGAAAACTACGACCTCGTCTCGCTCGCCATTGATGAAATCGTCGACGACGGCATCGTCCTCGAAACAGACCCCACCATAATCGTCCAGCGTGTCAGCAAAGCCCCGGCGCAAGACGTGCCCATCGGCCGCATCGACCTCAGCGAACAGGGCGTCAATAATTTAGCCCAGTTGGGCAAGTCAAAACTGGCAGATTGGTTACGGCAGGGCCTGTAAAGGCTTTTTGCAAATTTGACCGTCTTCGAATGTCCTCTTCGTCTCGTAGGCTTTGCCACGAAAGTACCACTGATGACATGGGGGAATAAATGGATGACGTTTGTTCTGGTTTTCAAAATCAACCATGACAGAAGGACACCGGTTGTTTGTCCTCTGCAAGCGCCGCATGACATGTAAAATGGGCAGGTTTGCTTTGTGCCCGAGGCTGGTAGATCTGCAAAGTGGCATGGGGAACGGGGAACACAAAATATTTGAACAATGTTAAAAAAACGCTTCATGGTTCCTATGCTCTAGTTTCGGATGCCGCCTTGCGAAGGCGGTTCATCACGGCGGCTGCTATATCCAGCTTGTCGTCTATACCGTCTACAAAAATAACGTCTGCGCCTCGTCTATCCAGTTCTCGGAGGGCGGAGAATAACCCTTGCGCTATGCCGCGGGTTTCGTGGCCCAAACTAATGTCGAATACTTGGCCGATTGTGTTTCCCTCATCGTTTTGCAAGTCCCCGGCATACACGTCATACCGGGTCTCGTCGTGATGGCCGTTTTGCCGGCTGTGCCCGACGTGTCCCGCGTGTAAATCGAGCTTGCTGCATCGCAGGCCAGCAGCGGGCTTCCACCTCTTGGTCCGTATGACTCCGACCTTCCTTCTCGCAGTGCCATTCGTGGCATGTGCATCCGCATTCGCAGTTGCCGCGACAGTAGCCGCGTCTGCCTTGACGATGCCAGCTCGTCCCTGCTCGTAACTCGACTCATACAGCACGACCCTTGCACGAGGACTATAGTGCTTATACTTCATGCCCGGCGCTCGCGGCGCCTCCTTCCCCTCCTCGCTCCGGTCCTTGTATGCTCTCACGACATCTTGCCAGCCAGGACAGCTCCTCAACTCGTCGATACCCACGCCCCCCGGTCTCAAAACAACCGGCGGATCACACAGGCCATCGACAACGGTGCTTTCCACACCAACTTGGCAGGAGCCCCCATCGAGGATCAGTTCAATCCGCCCGTCCAAGTCATCCTTGACGTGCTGCGCCGTGGTGGGCGACGGCTTCGTGGAGGCATTCGCAGACGGGGCAGCCAGCGGCACACCAGCAAGCTTGATGAGCGTCAGGGCCAACGGCTCCGACGGCATGCGCACGCCAAACGTCCCAAGCCCGGCCGTGACCTCTGGCGCAAGCGGCGAGGGATCAGGATTGGGCAGTAGGATCGTCAGCGGGCCAGGCCAGAACCTCTCGATGAGAGACTGGTACCGCGCCGGGAGGGCGTCTTCGACCCGGGATCCAAGCAGGGTCCGTAGCATATCGACATCGCACACGTGCACTATGAGCGGGTTGTCCGACGGCCTCCCTTTCGCCGAATATATCCCCCTGACCGACGCACTCCTCGTGGCATCGGCGCCCAGGCCGTACACCGTCTCCGTGGGGAAGGCAACGGGCGTGTCTTTGGTCCTGAGGTATTCTGCGGCGTGTTCCAGTGTGACGACTGCATCTTTTGCGTCTCTGCGGATGTGCCAGTGCTCTAATCTGCCCAGGGGATCCTTGGTATCGTCAAACGAGCCCAGGGTGCTGTTCCGAGGGACGACAACCACCCGCGTGTTCATGGCGGGCGGCAGTGAGGTTGTGGCAAGGGGTCGCGATGGGGATCGGATGAGGACCGATGTAAGTCGTGATGAGGCGAGACGGGTGAGACGGGCCAACTTGAATTGAATGGTGAGAGTGATATAGAGGACAACCTGGTTGATTGATGATGGCAGAGATCCACGACAGCTTCGTTTATCGGGATGTGATATGGGCCATTAGACGGCCATTGGATGGATGAGATTGATGGCTTGAGGAGTTTGTGTTTGGAATGTTGATATTGGAGGTCGATTTTTTTTTTTGGGGAAGCGCACATTGCGCCTGGCGCAGTCTGGTCACTGTGCTTCTGGGGATTCGAGTCTCCAAGTTCCACTGGAGCCAGTCCCGTAAGAAGTACTTGATGCTCATTGGCCAGTCCCGGTGACGCCCGACGTTGAACTTGACCAGTCGGCTAGGTTCAACAATTTAAAATAGGCATACGAGGGGTCTTTGCTGAGTTTTTGAAAGGTTAAAGTGATCATACATTATCATGTTTAGTGTTTCGGTGAGAGAAGAAAAGACGTCAGTTTTATATTGAGGTCGCTGCAGACCCTCACAAGCAGGGTCCCAAGGCTGTTGAGGGAATTGACTGCTTGCTGTAGGCCGGCTACCCGGTACACATTGAAATTGTCCAACGTTATATTGGAAGTGTTTGTGCTTGTGGCAAGTCCTTCCAGTGTAAGGCATCCTTGCCTACTTTTTTTCGTCCTGAATTCTTTATGCTGTCCATGAGTCTATGACCATGTCTCGGCTGACTCGTCTAGCCCTTCACCAACCCCCTCGCCTTTCTCTTCTCCTCCTCCGTCAGCACCCATTCGACAGCAGCCTCGTCGTTGGCCAGCTCCTCCCACTCGTCGTCCTCCATATTAGCCACCATAAGCAGCTGCGTCACTTTGCCAAACGCCTCCCGGACGCGATAGTCTCCCCTGGAGACAACGTTCACGATGCCAGTAAAGTCCCTCTCTATGCGGACCGCGCCAAACGCACTCGTCTTCCCCGCATAACTCAGTATCCTCTTCTCCAGAATCTTGGACAGGGACCGAGTCGTGATATCTAGCAGCGTGCTGAATGTGCCAGGCGTCATGATGCGCGCAATAGGCCTCATCAGCTGATCCCAACCGTGTTCGAATCGTCGCGGCACCTGGTCGAGGATGTCCTTGACGTTTTCGTCATTTTGCTCCGCCACGTCTGCCACATCTTGCTCGTTCAAAGTATAATCCACATCGCGGAAGGTATCGCTGAAGACGGGCCGTAGTCGGAGCTTGACAACTTGCGTGAAGAGCACTTGGATGCCCTCGTTGAGGAGCTCAGAGGACTTGTTGACAAAGCTGGTTTCGAGCGAGTGTAGCGCGTTGGCGGCAAAAGCATTATCCTTGTCGAATGGGAACGAGTCCTTGAAAGACTCGTGCAGCGCTACGCCATTTGCTTGGCCTTGGGCTATAACGACCCGGCTGCCGATGATTCTGCTCAAGTATTCATTTGCCAAGTCGAGGCTGTTGATGAGCACGATGAACTGGATGATTTTGTCTTCGGGCGGGAAGCCACCGTGTACTGCGGGCTTTGGATAGGACTCATCCCTCATCTTGCGCTGCACCATACCGATGAAATCAGAGCCCAAGACTCGGCCGATGGTCGGAATGACGGATGCAATAACTTCCCGTTGCGATGTCGACATGGACTTTTGTATCACCGTATTGACAATGTACATGACATCATCTACAGCCGTGATGATAATGGGACCGTGGCCGTCAATGGACTTGTTTAGGCGCAAGGACAAACCGGCAGGATACTCGTCCAGTTGGAACGCCTTCTCTACAGACCGGCGAAAAAAGAATGTCGTCATGACATTGTACGGGGTCGTAAGCTTTGCAGACATCTTTCGATACAAGTTTGACTTGATCAAAAGGTCCGGTAGGACCAACGACGTGTCGTGATCAGAGGAAACCTGAAGCGCGCACCCGCCCTCTTGTTAGCCTCCGTTCCCAACCGCTCCTCATACCCGAGTGCAGCTTACCATGCATTTGCCGGACAGAAACCGGGTATATAGCGACCACCTCCCGAGCATAAGGGCAATCTCACTCAGCAGCCCATCCACCTCTTTCATGTTCACCCCTTCATCCTCGCTCGAGCGAGGATTCCCGCCAGCCACAGCTGGGGAATTGACCCGGGGCGTGCCACTCCTAGGGGCCTGCGGCAGAAAGCTCTGCACCAAAAAAGAAAAGGGATAGCTTTTCACGTCAGTTATCATCCTGTCAATGCCGCGCTCATCACTCCAGGTATCCACGATGATGCCGCCCTGAACATCCGCCTCCATTTGCAGCCGCTCAATGACGCGGACCATCTTGCCGGCGCCGTAATGCCGCTTCACGAGACCCCCATGGCTTTCGACAATCTGCGCTATGTGCTCGAAAAGTCTCGTCAGTGCATTGGCGTAGAAGAATCCCTCCTTCCCGCCGAGGGAGCCAACACTGTCCTTCAACGTGGCGCGAGCCGTCCCTGCTACCCCCTGGCAGACATATCGCCCGTACACGTCCAACCCGACGTCGGTCCTTCCAATCAAGGGGAACAGTTTGAAGAATCGGGTGACTTTTGCGCCGTCGCCGTCTTCAGCCGCCTTTTCAAACTCCCGCAGGAAGAGTCCGCACAGCGACTCTCTCGCCGTCTCCAGCGTCACCCACGGAGGGTCGGGAGCCTCCACGCTGGGGACGATGCTCGTGGCGAATGCCCCCTTGGCGATTTCTTCCGGGACTCTGCTTGCTCTATCCAGGTACCCGGCGGCTGCCTCCCAATCCTGCGGCGCGCCCATGGACCCTATCACGCCGTTGACACAGGCCTTGAGCTCGGCAACTTGGTCCACCACGCCGAGCGTATCTTCCACACGGCTCTTCTCCAGGTCCAGCTCCTTGACCCTGTTGCTAAGCCTCCCCGCAGTCGCGGCCGCGGACGAGAGCATGTCATTGCTGATGGATCTCGCAGCGATGACCTGCGCGCCCAGGCCGGCTCGCAGCAGATCCAGCCGACCGAGATGCCGCGTCAAGTCGGGCTGCGAAGCGACCAGGGAGTCGAGACGGGCCGTCACGTCGGATTCTCGCTCATGCAGGGCTTCTAGAGCAGCGCGCAAGTCGGCAGCGCTGCAGACATCGCCGAGGAGCGACGACGACGATCCGGCAGGGTTCGGCTTCACGTCCTTGCCGTCGGTGGTGCTGTAGCGACTGGGCACGCCATTCGGGAGAGCGGACATTGGCGACGAAGAGATCTGGCCGGGCGGCACATAGCTCCCGGGCCCTTTGCTGACGAGGTTGCTGGCCGAGGACTCTGGAGCTTCAAGGTTGAGCGAGTTGTCCACGTACGCCGGTGCCAATTGGTCGTCTGTCGACCGAGACATTGCACTGCCAACGTGACGTCGCACTCGGAACCCCACCATGCATGCGGTCGGTACTCGCTTCGGCTCCACATCCATCACGGTTACGCGTTGTACTCCGTATTGTGCAACTTTTCACTTTTATATTTCATGTTGGACCAGTTGACCGTTTCGGATTCCATCCATCCACACGTTCAACCGTGTTGCAATGGGAGACTCTATCTATTCACGATATATGCCACATCTCTCGTCGCCAGGAATTGCTATGCTACGCTTTATATGTTAGAGCTCCAACTCCAGGTAAAACAAAATGTTCACCAATCAAAAGTGCCGCCATCAATTTCCCCCTTTTTCCTTGCGCAAGCGAAACAAAAACGTCACACAGCTTGACTGTATCCGCTGCCCAGACGCCGCTTACCGTACTTGAGGTATTTGCGCAGTTCGTCCACCCAGAAGACTGAGCTACAAAGAACAATGAGCCTGAAAAGGTCGCCGAGTCCTATCGCCTCCGTCTGGAAGACTTCCTGAAGCCAAGGCACGTATATGACCAACAGCTGGCAGACGACGCTGAGTGACACCGCCCAATTGAATAAGCTGTTGGCGAATAGACCCATCTCGCCCCGTAAAACAGATTTTGCCTCCGATCGGCAGCTGAGTGCGTTGAACATGTCGAAGAAGACGAAGCACGTAAATGTCATGGTTGTGTCGCGCCGTGTTACTTGCCCATCGCCCAGCATCTCGTGCCTGTAAATTAGCATGGTGCCGAACATGATGATGGTGGCCGATGTCAGGACGCGCGTGAGAACCGCCTTGGTAAGTACCGCATCATTCCGTCTTCGTGGAGGCCGATTCATCACATCGGGGTCGACTTTCTCAACACCCAGCGACTGAGCTGGGGGTCCGTCCATGATAATATCTGGCCTCATGTCAACATTCGGATCGGAGTTGGTATGAACCGTTACCACTTACTAATCCACAAAATTTGCATCGCGTTCAGAGGAGTTTTGAAGCCAAAAAAGGTACACAAGAGTACAAGTGATAGGCTGGCGGCACTGGTGCTTAGCTGAAAGGTGAGGAAGTTTTGAATGTTGTTAAAAATGCCCTTGCCTTCTTCAATTGCGCGCAGAATCGTCGAAAAATCATCGTCTGTGAGTATCATATCTGCGGCCTCCTTAGCGACATCAGTCCCATGGCGGCCCATCGAAATACCGATATCGGCCTTCTTCAAGGCGGGAGCGTCGTTGACTCCATCTCCAGTCATGGCAACGATATCCCCACGACATTGCAAAGCCCTGATGATCTTCATTTTGTGGTCCGGATTCGTTCTGGCAAAAATAGTGGTGTGTTGCATAGCCAAAGCCAAGTCCTCTTCCGACATGTTGTCGACGTCTTCTCCGAGAAGGACCGGCCGCACGGTGCTCTGGCTGCTCGAATGTTCGCTAGCCACTGCGATACTCATGCCCAGTTGCTTGCCAATGGCAAGGGCTGTGGTTTCAGCATCACCAGTGATCATTATAACCTTGACTCCGCCGCGCATAAGCCTCTTGAGGGAACGGCTGACCCCAGGTCTTGGTGGATCACTCATACCCACCAAGCCGGCAAACACCAAGTCTCTATAAACGTCTTCATTGCCCCCTAGGACTGAATTGGTGCTGTTTTCGAGGTCGGGGGTTCCTGTACGCGAAGTGCCCTGCCCCGCTCTTCCCTTGGAAGACTTGGACACAACAGCACCACTGGCAAAGGCCAGAACTCGGAGACCCTTCACTGCCATTCTTTCAGCTGCTGCTAGAGCCTCTTGACGTCTAGCCGAGTCAAGAACAATCTCTCGTCCGTCATTGTCCAAGTAGGTGCCGCACGCAGCAAGAACCTTTTCCACTGAACCTTTCATATATGCGTATTCTTTTTCTCCCTTCAAATCAGAGCCGATGGTCACGCCCATCCATTTTCTCTCAGAACTGAACGGCGTTTCCGATACCCGCGGTCCTATGGAGTTGCGAATGTCGTGCTCCTTGAACTTATCAAGCATATCCAACATAGCCACATCCGTGGGTTGGCCGACCCATCTCGTGTTCGTGGCCACGTGCCCACGGCCCAGCGTTGAGGACAAAACGGCAGAAGCAGCGGCACCACTCTCGGTGTACTTTTGTGCAAGGCGTGCATTATTGGCGATATTTCCGATGCGCAAAATTCTCAAGTGTGTAGGCGTACTCTTATCATCCATGGAGTCGGTGTCAGAGGCAATATCGACTGGGTCTCCGGCTCCAAAATACCACATCTCGGACGCTGTCATATGATTTGTAGTCAGCGTGCCTAGTTAAAACAAGGTCAGCATTATTTCATCTTCATTTGTTCGGCAGAGAGCAATGCTTACCGGTCTTGTCGGTACAAACTACATTGACAGAGCCAAGAGTCTCAACTTTGGGCATTCTCCGAACAATGGCGTTGTGTCTTGCCATTCTGTGGACACCCAGTGCTAGAGTGACGGTTACAATAATTGGAAGGCCTTCTGGAATCGCCGCTACAGCAAGTGAAATGGATATTGTGAAGATTTCCAACAAGTTCTTGCCTTGCAACCACCCGATTAACGAGATTAGGCCAATGACAACGAAAGATGCCTTACTGAGTTGGGTACCAAGTTCGTCCATGGACAATTGGAGTGGCGAGCGAGGGCTTTCCGTACCAGATACGCTGGTAGCTATTGTACCAAAATGTGTGCTCCCTCCTGTTGCAAACACAATGCCCCGGCCGTGGCCAGATGTGACCAAAGTTCCCATGAATGCAATGTTGTGTGTGTCACTGTCGGAATCTCCATGATGTCCCCCGGATCCAAGCGCTGGCGGCTGAGGAAGCTGCAGGTGATTCAATCCGTGGATGTTGACTTTTCTTGTTCGCGCCTCAGCCGTGACTCGGACCGGTTCCGTCTCACCTGTCAAGTTGGAGGCATCTATTGTCAAATCGGTTGCCTTGGTCACACGAACATCTGCGGGGATCCGGTCGCCGGTTGTAAACAGCACCAAGTCTCCAGGAACAAGCTGCCCGGCCATGACCTTGGTTGATACAGCATCCATAGCATCCTCCGCTGGTGTCTTCGATCCAGAGCTGCCTGTTGAGCCAGGGTCGTCGGATGGCGGTGGCCAGGCCGGTGACTTAGGCGTGGTCGCTGATGTTTTGGTAGATCCCCCGCGTACCAGATGAGCGTGGTTTGGAACCAAGTGGTTAAGAGCCTCAATTGACTTTTCGGACCGGTATTCTTGGATAAACCCAACAGTCACTACGATTGTGACAGCGATGGTGATGCTCACTGCATCGTCCAAGTTGCCTAACAAGACAGACATGCCTGCGGACACGAGCAGCAGGATAATGAGCGGCTCTTGAAATTGTTTCACAAACCGCAGCCAAAGCGGCTCTGGTTCATCATGAGGAATTTCATTCGGGCCATATTCACCCAGCCGGGTGAGGGCATCGGTAGCAGTGAGCCCGTGTGTTAACGACGTTCGTAAGCGGGCACCGGTTTCGCTAGGCGTCATGTAGGAGAATTCATCCGCGACACTCTTGAGCAAAGTTAGTGATGCAACACTGCAGTAGCCATGACGATACACTACATACTCTGGCATGCGATGAAGAGGTCCGGGCATGTTGCGATTGAACTAGCCTGCCGTTCTGGGACGAATCCAAGGTGGGCAATTCCATGATGGTTGGAGTGCCCGAGGTAGGGAGCAGACTCTCCTTACCTGAGCCATCGCGTGCAAACCATGGTATCTGCATTGTCGTGCTCGGAGAGTCGGCCGTCCTAGTGTCGATATGGCATGGGGATGGCTAGATGAATGAGAAACGGATCTGCGTCGTCATGAGGATACTTGAGGCGGAGATGTCCGTTGCTCTCATACATCAATGATCAATGCGCAAGGCGCAAAGAGGCCGCAGGGAGTGTGGATTGAAGATGGGTTATGCAGCGAGAGCAAAGCGAAGGCAGGGCCTCCCTGGCGCTAGAGGAACAAGGATAGACGAGTTCGCAACGAAAGAACTACTCGATAGACAATGGTTTGTAGAAGAGTCAACGGATTCCCCGAAATCCAAGACCTGAGAGACAACTTGCAGGGGCAGTTTCCGGTATGAACAGATCTGCGTGTACGGAGTACGGAATATCTCGATGCAACTTGGAGGGTGGGTCCTTCTATCGTGAGCCAAAACAACGAACCAATGACAGCTTGCACACTCTGTTCCCAACTACACCTTTGCTATGCTTGGGCACGACAAAAAGACAACTTTGGCAGGTCTAGGAGTAGATTGTCGACGAGTAAGTCAAGTAAGTGGAATCGAGCGATGGCAAAACAAGAGGTATTCTACGGTGCCTCCGTGCGACGTAGACACTTGGGTGTACAGGACCGGGCACGGAGTATGCCCGCTGTGCTCCGTACGGAGTACCAGTCAGTAGATATGCGAGATGAAAGACCTCACAATGGACGTGGATTGACACCAAGGGCCGTCCAATGGCAGCGGCAGAAGTTCCTCAGATCAAGTTCCTCGGAAGGTACCTCCGTACTCTGGGCTAGCGAAATGAAGGATGCATGCATCTCAGTGGACCCAGTTTTCTGTTGTCCGTAGTGATGATGCGGAAGGAGCGTTCTTCCGTCCTGGCGGAGGGACGCTGCTTCCCCCCAACCACCTGGTTATTTGCTGGTACCAATCCTGATCTCCTGCCCAGCAGCATTTCGTCACGACCCTCACGTCCACGCTCATTTATCACTAGGTCTGCCATCGCTCTCGATCGCAGACACGCACATTCAACTCGTCCGATTATTTTCGCTTTGCTGTCCTCTTTTGCGCGGCCCGTTTTCGCGCCTTGCAAATCGTCGACACGGTCCAAATCTTTGTTTACCCCGACAACGCGCCACCCCAGGTGCTGTTGACACGGAACTTCTCGACCCCTCACCGGCGCTTGCGCCTCAACCATCTCGGCGGACTTGACTTGAGCCTTGGTGTAATTGCTCGTTTCGAGCCATTCGAGTAGCCGTGTCGCGTCGCGAAGCGCCACCATGTTCTACTCAGAGACCCTGCTCCAGAAGAGCGGGCCGTTGGCTCGCGTCTGGCTTTCGGCAAACCTAGAGCGCAAGCTCTCCAAAAACCACATCTTGCAGTCCAATGTCACCGACAGTGTTGAGGCCATCATCACGCCGAATCAGGCGCCTATGGCACTGCGCTTGAGTGGTCAACTTTTGCTTGGTGTCGTGAGAATATACCAACGAAAGACGCGTTATTTGCTAGATGATTGTAACGAAGCAATGATGAAGATCAAAATGGTGCGCCGCCCAGAAATGAAGCCAGTCCGTCATGAACACAATTACTAACCTGATTGTACTAGGCTTTCCGTTCCAGCGGGAACAATGATATGGCAGCTAACCTACAAATGCCGAATCGCGAGGCCTTGCTTTTACCTGATCGTATCACGCCCTATGACAATTTGGAATTGCCACCCCCTCCAGATGCCTCATGGCTGTTGTCACAGGTCGATGACATCACGGCTACTCCAGTCGGCCGCAAGGGACGTGCCAGCAATAACAGAGATATTAACTTGCAGGAGGATCTTGAAGTCAGTCAATTTTTGCACGGAAATGACAATGCAGACGACAGCTTTGCGCCAATGGGCGAATTGGACCTCGAGCTCGATTTCGGCTTCAGCATAGACGATGACTTGAGTCAGAGCATTGAACATGGTCGAGATGCACCACCAGCACGCGACGTCGAGGACGACATTCTGAGCGACGACTTGGAACTCAGGACACACAATAAGGATGCGACTGACTTGGGCGAACCCCCAGTGAGAATTGCGGATGAAGAGGGCGATATTGCAATGGGGGATGATGACTTTGCTTTCAATGTTGAGGACCAATCTGCCATGCCGGGAATGGCTTCCACAGCAGATCTTGCCCGTGAAAGAATATCTGAATCGCCGCTTTCTGACATAGACGAGAAACTGGCACAGGAGATTGAGACGGAATACTCACGCCATAACCACACCGATCTCTACGAACCCACGGAAGACACAGAACACACGATAGTTCGCAGACCTGCTCAACGCGCCAAGAAGCAGAAAATCATGATGCCTGATGACGAAATCGCCTTATCAAGTAGTCATATCAAACAACAACAGGCTGACCGACAAAACATCATGAAACCTGCCTCTTTTCTCCCTCGGGACCCCTTCCTACTAGCTCTGATGGACATGCAGAAGAATGGTGGCTTTGTGTCGTCCATCATGACCGAGGGTCGCAGCTCAGCTTGGGCTCCAGAGCTTCGAGGCATGCTCTCATTAGATGCTGTCCGAGGAATGAGCGAGCTCAAGCGAAAGCGAGACAGCGGCATCGCAGATGTGGATAGCGATGCGGGTGCCGTCAAGTCGCCGCGCCTGGAACTCGGAGACGATACAGACTTTGGCTTTGATGGCGATGGCATGGGCAGCCACAGCGTGGCGGCCGATGGCACCGTCCTGGAGATCCCTGCCGCTGGCGGCGACGATGACCACTACGAACCCGAGGGTAGTGTAATGAATCCTTTCGACGAAACGACGGCCCCCGTGACGCACCCGCAAGACAGCGGCCCAGTCTCTATTGGCACCAAGCACGCTGTACACATTCTTCGAGACTTGTTTGGAGCCGAAGCTGCGACGAACGCCGAGAGGAGGAAGAAGAGCTCCGTCGTGTTCCAGAATCTGCTACCCGAGAAGCAAACCACCAAAGCGGAAGCCACCAAGATGTTCTTTGAATGCCTTGTCCTCGCCACTAAGGACGCGATCAAGGTTGAGCAAGGGCCCGAGCTGGGGGCGCCCATCAGAGTCCGCGGAAAAAGAGGCCTATGGGGAGACTGGGCCGAGCGAGAAGCTGGAGGCGAGATTTCAAACGACAACGAGCCTGAGCCCGCAGCGGTCAGTTCTACGGCAGTTGCTGTGGAAGCCTGAAAGACACGACCTGGCCGTTGTATGACCCATCATCATTTGATTTCATGACCTGAAAAAAAAAACAAAAAAACGGAAAAGAATAATTGTGGTGTGGTGCGCTGTCTGTCGGGACCAGTATTTTGGCTAGGGATATTCGCTGTGTGCTTGTGTATTATACTGGATTCGCGCATCCTTGGGCATTGGTGTTGGACTACTCTGAAGGCGTTGGAGGCGTTGATAGGAAGAAGATACCAATGATCACGACGGGGTACAGTTGATCAGGGATGTTTATGAAGAGCAAATGCTGGACTTGCGGAGCAAAACTGGACCTTCGATAGAGAGGCAGGAGCTTGCTTCTAAATGTTGGTCTTTTTGTGCGACGGTGCTGGTGGGGGGATAGCAATGATTCTAATTAGGTACTTAAGTAGCTACTACACTTCAATCATAAGGGGCTTCACCTCGGTTTTCCTTGCGTGGGATCTTGTAAGTGCTACCCACGACGTCCATGGACGTGGATGAGTCAATGTCGGAACATGACGGTCCCAGAGACGTGCCCTGTTCGCCTCCTCGACGGCATGAACTAGACACAGATAGCAAAGCAGTTGTGCTGCCGGACAACCCCACCAACGGCCAGCAACGGCCACCACCGCCCCACGTAAGGACCGAGTAGCTGCACATCCTCAAGTCTTAAGTTACTTAGTGGTCAGATCGCACCATCCCGTCCGTCAGACAGATATTCCCGGGACCGCTTGTTCACATCACGCGTCTCACCCGCGCCGGCCCCAAGGCACTCAACATGGCTCCCCCCTCACAGCTCGCTATCGCCGCGAGCGCCGTAACCAGGCTGCTCAAAGAAGAAGCCTCGTACCACAAGGAACTTGCCGACCAAGAGGCGCAGGTGAAGAGGCTGGAGGAGAGTGTCCAGAACGGAGGCAACGGCGGCGACGACGGCAACGCCGAGTTTATGCTGAAGCAGAATGTGCGTTGCCTCATCTCTCTCCTTGAATTTACCCTGCTTGCATGGCCATGCAGTCACGCCGTCACGCCATCACGCGGGACATGAGCTTGGGTTTGTATCTAGGCAGGAAAGCTAATGGCTCGTTTGTCCAGAAAACTGCCGTTGAGCAGACAAAGGCCGTCTTTGGGCCGCTCAGGGACCGCATTGCCGCAGCGGTGACCAAGTTGGAGGATCAGATTGCTCTGGCCGAGGAGGCTGGTGGTTCGGAGGACTTGGAGAATGCGAAGAAGGTGCTTGGCCAGGCGAGAGCCAAGGCTTAGGGTGAAGGCCAAGTAAGAGCCAAAAACTGCTCGGGAATTCCGTGGTTGTAAATGGTCACCACTCGTGGGCGATGAATGGGAAAGCGCTGCGGCGAGGCGGGACTGCTCTGGGGCCCGACGAGAGATTGGCATTGCTAGATAGAAACTTGGGCCTGCCTTGTAGTTTGCGGCATCACAGTTTGACAGCATTATGGTACATTCCTCGAGACAACAGACGCCGACCCCGCTGCTTTATTCCTCAACCTCCATTTCATCCTCGCCCTCTTCATCATCCCGCCTTCTCGTTTGGTTCTCCGCATGGTATTCCATGTCGACATCCCCGGCGTCCTGATCTCCTTGCAGTGAAGGGGTTTGCCCGTCAGGAGCCTGTAGATAGCGTCCTGAACTTCGTGACGCCCAGGACGTCGAGTCGGCCGGTGTCGGGGCCGCCCTTGACCCTTCCCGGTCCTGAGCGGGCGTGTCGCCCAGCGGCGTCCTGTCCCTGCTCGAAGCCGCTGCGTTTGCGGACCCATCTTCGTTTTCCACATCGTCCTCGCCTTTGGACTGAACCTCGCCGTCTGGACGTGGCGTCGCATTGTCACTGGCAACCGGTCTGGGTGTTGCGCCCACCCTCTCTCCTTCGGCCTCATCCTCCCCTTCCTCATTCATGCCCTCTCGCCGGTCGACCTCCTCCTTCTCGTCGCGAATTTGCCGCCTCAGCATCATGCCTTCTTCCATGATCCTGTTGAACTGTTCTCTGCGCTCCTTCCATGTTTCTTTGTATGTACCACTCTCTCGTTCCAACTCCCTGCACTCTTCCTCGAGTTTCGCCAAGTTGGCGAGCTGGTCCTCCCGCGGACGCAGTAGTCTGTTGGATGTGATCTTGTCCGCGAGTTCGTCGAATTTCTTCCGCTGGTCGAGCGTCGCTCTCGCGGCGTTCAACTGTTCTCTTAACTGTCCATTGTTGGTCCGCACTGTCTGGCATTCCGTCAGAATGCGCTGCTGGTCAGCCGCATATCGTTCACGCTCGCGCTGATTGGCGTCGTGGAGGAACTGGAGACGCGCAATGCTGCTCTCAAAGGCGGCAAAGTCGAGCGTAACATCTTCTTTCAAGCTGTCTTGGGTGGGGACGTTTGCTGCATCGGTGCCATTTTCTGTTGTCCCATTACGCCGTGCGGCTTTGGAGGCGACGGAGGAGATGGTAGACAGGCGCGTGGCGATTCGTTTGAACGGTCTCTCTTCGACATTGAAAAGACGGGACTTGTGAAGCTCAAACTCGCTTTTCTCGTCGAGCAAAGCCCAGGACGCCATGGCTGGGTAATGGCAGAGCCGGCAGACGTAGGCCTTTCGAAATCGAGCCTGTGCCAAATAAATGATGGCCTCTTATCCCGGGAAGAAGTGGGAGACAAGGGTTATCTGGGAGTGTCGCACAGGCTTGCGAGAGGAGAAGCGACGCAAAGCCGGTGTTTTGGTCGCTGGTATTTCAGCTGGGCTGCTTGAGAGGAGGCAACTGTCATGGAGTCTGCCTGTGGCCGCCTCTGTTTAGTGGTTGGTAGTTATTATTAGCAAGCCCAACAGTGCACGCAGTGCCATACTCGCCTGGGGCCCTGCTGACTAATCGCTCCCGAGGCCCCATGCCGTCATTTGAAATTTGAACAAACGGGCCCGTTGAGTCCCATTTCTCTCAAGCTGCAGGCATCACCTAATTTTTATGTTTCAAGAGAGCTGAATTTCGGCCGGTCGAGTCTCTCGCCAATGTCTGGAGAAGAAAAAGAGCTTCTGGCTCGCATCGGGCAACTTGCCGGTATGTCGTCTTCTCTTAACTCCCCCAGCTTTGATTTGCCACTGACTCTCCCCAGGCCAGATCAACAGACACAAAAGTCAACAGGCTGGAGTCGGAGCCACTTCGAGTCGCCAAGCAAGCGACTACCGAGGTTCGTCTACGATTGACACATCGAGTTTTCATGGTTCTGACTTTGGCAAAGGGGAAAATGTATATCGCCCACCCCGCGCTTATAATGGCTCGGCATACAGAGTAGGACGATTGCACAACAACCATCGCCATCGTACACTTCACCTGAACCAATCTCGGCCGCCATCTGACTCCAACACCCCAAGTCCAGGCTCAACAACACCTGGAAACAGTGGCTGGGTATCCAGAAACGACCGACATCGACAGCTAATCAATGCCAACGTCTTTGAGAAGGATACCCAGAACCGCGCCAAGGCAATAGAGGAGACGAGGCAGAAGAAGCTGCAGGATCGGAAGACGCGCGAGAAAACCCAGTTGCTGGCTTTTTTACGCCATCAGACCCGCACGGCTGATGCGGTTGCTAATCCCAAACCTGGCACAGGCAGAGCTGAGATTGTGATTGAAGGCATTCGTTTCCACATCGCCGATGGCGGCAAGAAGCTTGTTAAATCGCCAGGTAAGCAACGCACATGGTGCGAGCACAGCGGTGTACCGAATGTCACTAATAGATTGCCCTTGTTTGTTCTCTCGTTTTTTGGTCCTGCTGCAGATCAACATTCCACCACCCCCAAGACGGCTGTCGTGGCTGGCGTCAGATTTCATCGGACGAAGACTGGTAATCTCGTGACCAACAGAATCGTTCAAGATCAACGGTACGTCGCCGACGCCTTGGCGGGCGAAGTGCTGACATTCCGCAGTCGATCTGGAGTTCGAAAGAAGGCCCCCCAACCTTGCAAAACATTCTCAACGATCGGTAATAGATATTTCCAACTGGATCGGACCATGGCTCGCAACAAACGAGGAAGCCCCGATACGTGGGACTAGGTATGGGGATATACTAACGACCAAACTTGTCTGTAGGTTCCTGCCCCAAGGGCCCATCGTGTCGATTTCAACATGACCCTGCCAAGGTGGCTGTTTGCAAAGACTTTTTGAAAGACGGCAAGTGTCCCAACGGCGAGTCGTGCGACCTTTCCCATGATGTTTGCCCCGAACGCGTCCCGAATTGCTTGCACTATGCAAAAGGCCACTGCACAAAGGCCGATTGTCCATACACGCACTCTAGAGCACCCCCCGGCGCCTTGGTTTGCGAGGCATTCGGTTTCTACGGGTACTGTGACAAGGGAGCGCTGTGCACCGAGCGTCATGTTTTTGAGTGCCCAGACTTTAGCAACACGGGGTTTTGCAGGACTAAAGGATGTAAACTCCTCCACCGTGAAAGGGCAAGCGTCCTGCGAAACCAGGCCAAAGCCAACGAAGTTATGGACGAAGACGTTTCCAGCGATGACGAAGCAGTGGATTCGGACGACGTCGACTCAGATGAGGTTGCAGAATTCATCGAAGCAGAGTCAGACGACTCTGACTTTGAGAACCAAAAGGACTTTATACCCCTCTAGATTTGATGCATGACCTTTTTATTCTAGCATGAGATGCATTTTTGTGCGAGGTTTTGGGCGTTGGGGCTCACTCGTGCATTTGATTGATGTCACGGAGCCTTGCATATGCGTGCTACCATGTGTCTCTCATGGGACGTGGCCAAGCCCATGATATATACTATACCTAGGTCCCCAGGAGGATGGAGGAACGTCGGTCGTGGATGGCACATGGCAGGGTTCCCTCGAAGTACGTTGTAGCGGGACGATGCAAAACGACGTGACGAGGGGAAGAGTTACGATAGACGATATTTTTTGAATGCGAAAAATAATTAAGAAGGCACGTATTGCAGAGGGCATGTACTCTGTTAACAGGGGCTCATGAGGTGTTGCTTGACGTGTCAAGAGGGAGAAATGGACAGGCTACAATTTGGGCATTGGGACTGTTGTGCCGTGCCAGGGGAGTGGCGAGCGTCACGAATCGATTGGAGCTCGGCGCAATTTGAAGATGTAAAGATGAATGTGGTCCGGATTCCGGAGTACGGTGTTTGGAGCACAGACGTCGTACCTCCAAGTACTTAGGTACCTAGATACTGTAACGGGAGGGGGGGGGTGTTCAATATCGTGTGGAACATAGTGTGCTGGGCAAAACAGCTTATAGATGTAATATTGCTTTAAGAGGTTAAAATAGTATTAAAGCCTGTCTAAGTGTGAAAGAGCGTTAATATAGCAATATTATAAGACATAATAACCTGTATAGATAGATATTATGTTAAGTTGCGTAGACTATATAGGTGTTAATATATATTAAATAGAAAACACTATTAATATTAACTTTACTGTTCTTTATAATATACTATAGTATATATATATTATGCCTTAATTAGATAGAAAGTTAAGACTACTACTTTATAGAATTATAGATATATATTTAATTTCTATATATATACTTTATAACACAGACTTATTTACAAACTATATATACTAAGTGCTTAGAGATTTATAGTTGCAAGAGGTACTAATTTGTAATATATATTATAAACTAATTAGTATTGCTAAATTAATATCTACTGCTAATATTATAGAGCCTTAACAGCTATTTGTAAAAGATATAGTATCTAACTTTATAGATATATACTATTCTTTCTAGACATCTATATATATTATAGATAGTATAGAACATTCTACTATAAATACTAAATGTTATTATAATAATTCTATTATAAGCTCTAATAATTAATAAATATATATTTGCAGACTTTATAGATATAAACTTACTATAAAGCTAACTGCTGTTAGGCTGCAATAGCGCTATTAATAGCGTAAGAGATAGCATTATATTTTCTAGTTATCTGCTATAGTAGAGTTTTCTTAGCGTGCGTTATAATACTTATAGTATATAAAGTAAGGTACCTTTCTATAAAGCTATATTAAATTATTATAATAGAATGTCCTAGTGTTTTTAGATAATAGTAATAAACTTACTTATGCTACTATATATTCTATATAAAATAATTGCCTGTTTTAATACTAATATTAAGAAAACTATTTCTAGATAGTAAAGCAATCTACTATTAAGAATTTAGAGAAAACTTTTTATCTATCTTGTAATAGCACTTCTAGTGCAACTTCTAGTGTTAAAAATAAGTAACGCTAACTCTCTCCTTTTACTAGTTAAACACTATTTTATTTAGTAAAAATAAGGTCCTATAGTTTAATTAACTTATTTAAAGTTATTTATAATTACTTACTATAGCAGAAAACGCTTAGAGACACTTGCCTAGACGTTTATTCTATACTCTATATTACTATTACAATTATAAATGCATGCTTGCTAGAACTTAGCAATAACTTTACTATAACTTAAAGTATTAAATAAAATAAGTTAAATTAACTTTATAAGTATAATAAGAGAATATCTAAGAATACAAACTAAAAGACTTACATTAAGAATAGAAGTAAGAATAAACACTTGCTATTTATTTCCTGTTATATAGCTTACTACTTTATTATTAGTAAAAGTAAATATATATTTATCTAGAAGTACTTATTAAATAAAACGTTCTTTCTCTAGAAGCTTACTTTAATAAATGCTGCAGACTTATCTAGCGTTCTTCCCTAGTGTTATTATATCTAGTAGGTTAGTATAAACTAATAGGCAATTAGAGATAATTTATAAAGAATATACCTTTTAATAGAAATAGAATTTAAATCTATAATTATTCTATATTTAGTTAGATTAAGCAATATTATAGTAATATAAACGCGCTTATACTTCTATGCTATATTTATGTTCTATAGGCTAATATTGCTATACAGCAAACTAGTTGCAATTATTTATTGCATTCTAGCGAATTTGCAAATAACTTATTTAATATAAAGAACACTTAATATTCTTGTCCTTATTAGTTAGTTAGTTAGTCCTGCTTTAGGGGGATAGAAGCAAGAATATATAGTAATTATCTAATAAGTTATAGTCTTAAAGCTAGTAATATTAATATTATGCTAGCAGCTAGAAAAGCTTTATAAATAGTTACTAGTGCTAGGAAAGAATTCTTTATTAGCCTTTTGTAGAAGTATAGTTAGTTCTAGATATATTCTGCCTACTAAGTTTTCTTTCTTAGAGGTAGATAATTTAAATAGTTCTTAGTGCTAGGAAAGAATTCTTTGTTAGCCTTTTGCAGAAGTATAGTTAGTTCTAGATATATTCTGCTTACTAAGTTTTCTATTAAGTTGTAATTTCTAGTAAGTTTATTCTTATCTCTATCTAAGTCTTCTATTACTATAGGTTGCTTGTTTTAAAATAAATAATATAGATATTATATATAAAGAGAGGCATTATATATAATAAGTAGCAGGAGGCAAAAGTTAGATAAGTTATTATTAAAATTATTTTATCTATAGTGTAAATATTAGTATAGTTATCTAGTAAATAACTCTAACTATAAGTAATAAGGGGTAGTAACAAGTAACGTCTATTATAGTATAGTAGACCTAGTAGAATAATATTGCAGTAGGGCGTTTAAGTAACTATATATAATAATTAACCTTAGATAAATACAAGTATAACAAGAAGTACAGACAAGGAAAATTGTAACTATAGCTTGCATACAGAGATATATATATAGCTTAGCATAGAAACAGTAAGTACTAGCAAGCAGTAGTAAGCACTAAGTAGAAATAAATGCATACTTACTGTAAATTTAGCAAGAGTATACTTCTTAGCTTATATCTAGAATATAGCATGCTATTTAATCTCTTAGTGTTTTAATTTACTATATAAGAATTGTAAGGAAAGAATAGAATATATTCTATAGTTTAATAGTACTTAGTTCTTTACTTATAGTAATATATAAAGTATATAATTTAAAGTTTATCTTACAACTATAAAATAAAATATTTATACTACTCTAGCTATATAAAGTAGACGTTATAGTTAATAAACAAGAAGCTATTATTATAGTATAGAACTATCTATATATATAAATCTAGGATTCTAGGCAATTCTACAACTTCTCTCTATTCTATGTAATTATAGATATTAACCTCTAGAATAAACTTCTTTATTTATTCTATTGTTTAATATAATATATAGTTTATAATAGCAAATAGATATAATATAGTAGCCTAATAAAGAACAAAAAAAGCTTTAATTCTTATGTAGCTAGAACTTACTTTAATAAAGTTGCTAATTTTAAAGGAGAAGCGCTTATTATGCCTTAGATAGATTAGTGCCTACTTTATAGAAGAAATATTTTATAGTATTATATCTATTTGTAAATAATAATTACTAATACTATTTTAATAGTCTCTTCTCTCTATATAATAGAATAGAAACACTATAGTTATTCTAAAATGCCTAAGTAAGTTCTTATGCAAATTTACTAGATATATCTATTAAGTCTACTTGCTAAATCCTAATAAATGTTTTATTAAACTAAGATTAATTAAATTTTAACTATTGCTATATAGTTAGAGATTAATAGTTCTTATCTATATATATAAGAGTCTCTATTTTATCTATATTCTCTAGACTATTACTAGCTCTTAAATTAAGAGAATAAACTAACATAAAATAGTTGTTATAAATCTATTAAAATAGCTTATAATATTCTAGATATATATTTTTATAGCAACTATTTAGTAGAAATAAAACAGTAAGGCAATAGTTTTTGCAATAAATTAGAGTAGCAGCAGTATTAATAAAGTTAGTAGTAAGTATATTGTGCTTAAAGAGTTTAAGAGTTTGTATTAGCAATAGTAATAATAGAGATGCAAAGGTGTAGCTATAAATTTATCTTGCTATACTTACTTATGTTTTATCTTGCTAAGTAATATAGAGGTTATATTGCTGCTTCTATACTTAATGCAATTTTCTTTATAGTATAATTCTATATATATATTTAGAAGGCCTTTCTTAGATTCTATCTTGCTATTATTTATTATAAGTAGTTTATTATTAGAAACTATAAGACTGCTTGCTGCTTAGGAAAGTATATTATTAAACTTATAAAATATTGCTTAGCTGCTAGTAATACTTAAGTAAGGTAAGTTTCTCTGCAATATAACTATAAATAAGAATAGACATTAGCAATCTAGATAAATATATATAGCAATCTAGATAAATATATATAAGCTACTTTCTATAATAAGTAATAAATATTATAAGTAAGTTCTAGTAAGGCGCAATAAATGCTTAATAAATGCTTAATAAATGCTTAATAAATGCTTAATAAGTACTTAACAAATATAGTAGGTAAATTATAGTAATATGCAATAAATGCATAATAAATATACTAGTAGATTCTAGAGGGATAACAAACGTTTTCTTAACCTGCTTAGACTTAAGTATAATTAGATTAAGAACTAAATAGCATAGCATTTAGTAATAATATATTTATAATATTATAGAAGTATATTATATAAGAACAGACTGCAGGTAAGTAAGAGCAACTTTACAAATATCTAGTATACTGCTACAAGCTAATCTATATATATAAACTTTAAAGCATTATATAAAAACT